CCCCGGATACCGGTGTGACACGGGACCCAGACCAAAGTGACCTTCCTCCCCTCAGCCACTATCCTCAGTACCCCTTTGCACTCCTTTATCAACAAGGAGCGCGTACGCACTGACTTCAGCGCCATAAGTGCAGCCCTACTATCCGAGCAGAAGAAAATCCTCCTGCTTCCGTGGTTGAGCCAAAGCACCTCTCTGGCCGCCATCAATAAATCGAAACACAGTGCAGCACTGACCCGGAGGGACCGACTAACTCGATCCCGTTGTCTCGCAGTACGCTCCAGCTCCGGCCAAATCTCCCATTCTGGACCCGTCCGTGTACCAGACAAGTCCATCCCAGGAGCCAACTCTGCCCTCTCTCCACTCTTCCCTTGATGGGAAGAGAAAGGCCCATTTGTCAAAGAAGGTCATCTCAGAGCCCGTAGCTCGCCAGCCTCACAGCCGTCCTGGCCGCCTCCATCCGCACCCGATCCGCCAGAGAGGGTAAACCCACCAGAGCCTCTAGGGCCCTTGTGGGCGCCGTCTTCATGGCGCCCGTTATGCAGAGGTAAGCCAATCTCTGCAGTTTGTCAAGAACTAGCCTTGCTCCTGCTCTTTCTGCTCTGCTCCACTTCATGATCTTCGGCCTCAGGCCCCAAGTGCCCCCTAGCGCTCTGCGGTACGCCCACAGAGCTCCAAAGGAAGAACCTGGTCCTTGATCTTGTATGTTCCTGGAAGGTCAACTTGGAGTCCAACCATACACCCAAGTACTTGACGCTTCCGCTTGCAGATCCATCGAAATGTTAAGGTTGCACTCGATCTTCCTTTTCCTGGTGAAGATGACCATCTCCACCTTGCCAGGATTATAAATGGACTTTCTCTGTCTGCGAAAAATATTAAAGATTCTTCTCGGGATTACCATGAAGATACCACCGCTGATTTATTTTAAAGTTGGTTTAAAAACACACTAGTTCCAAACATTTCTCCTAATAACGTCATTGTAATGGACAATGCAAGTTATCACAGTAGACAGTTGACTAAAACCCCTTCCTTTTACCTAATCTTGTCAAAGTCGCATTTGATATTAAAAAGAGAGAGCTAGATCAAATCCTATGTAAATATAGTGCACTAGATTATGTGTTAAATTTTTACATTACAAATGATCAATAGAATGTTTTATCGGTTATACTTCTTCTCCAACAAAGTCTGTTTAGCTAAATTTGTCTTAGTCCAAAAGTAAAGTTTTAAGCAAGAACAAAGTAAAATGTTACATAAAACCGAACCGACACGGAGTTCAAAAAATAAATGGCGCGGTCTTTAAATTTTATATTTGAGATGTTGATGATACCGATAATTTCATATTCTAGAAGGCGCCACAAATACCAAAACTTTTGACACCCAAACATCGTGTTAGTCTTCTTTGATGCTTAAAAAGGGAATTACCAACCGAGATAACCATTTAACCCATTTTGTCCAAGTGTTGCGTTAATTCACCACCTATTCTATGAATTTTTTTTTTCACATCCAGGAAATATTTTTGCATATCCATTTAGAAATTTTATTATCACTACTAAAGGACATAAAACCGTAGATATCGCTAATTTATGTGTAAGGGAAAGATCTTATGTATGACTTCAAAAGTTAACAAAAAAAATTTGTATCACATTTTCAAGTAAATAAAAAATAGTAAAAAAAATATTTTGGATTTGTATTGCCATTTTTGTTAAGTCTATAGCATGTAGATTACATCACAGAAAACATACATTGGAAATACTATATTGATTATGCTTTATTTTTTGAAAATATTTAATGGTTCGTGAATGTACCACTGGTTTTATCTGTGAAACAAAACTTTGTTATTGCAAGTCTAGACAAGTTAGCGTATATAGAATAAACATCCAACAATTAGCGTGTTCTTTAGTATTAATTTGTGCCCTGTGTAGTTTGTGCCTTGTAAATTTATGCTAAAAATAACGTAAAAAAATATTTACAGAACATACTGACGCGATCCATATTCCACCCGACATTGATACCTTGACTGACGAAGAAGATATGAACGATAACATAAATCTACCAGAGTTTGGGGAACTAACTGATATAGTTGGAATTTTCGAGTTACATACACCGAATGATACAACTGTTCTTCAACAGTCCTGTAATTCATCAATCACTGAACCTGAATAGGACTCATCAAATGATGAAACCCTGGAATTCAAAAGAAGACGTATGCTTTCTGCATACGACAGGCTTGCTTCTACTGTCAAATGGAAAAAAGGTACACTCACATACCTATATCCGATGAATTTAGATCATGTGAGGAACTAAAAAATAGGCTTATAAATATTTTTTATGTTTCTTGATGACGAAGTGATTGATTTGATTTTAAAATTTTCGGAAAAATATGATCAAGAGAATAACCGCCATGAATTCTCGTTTACAAAAAATAAACTTTTACATTTTGTGGCCATTTTGTTGTTCTCGGGTTATCATTCACTGCCACATATTTAGCATTATTGGTCTACTAATGAAGACAAAGGAATTGATCTTATAAAAAAATGTATGAGCCACAATAGATTCCAATTGATAAAGCAAAACTTGCACTTATCCGACAATAATCTGTTGGATAAAAATGATAAATTTTCAAAAGTTAGACCGTTCTTTGAGGTAATAAATAAAAAAAATCTTTAGTTTGCCATATTTTCGTTCAACTTATTCATAGATGAACCTTACTTTGGCCGCTATTCCTGCAAAATGTTTCGTTTTGGCTTCAAGCTCTGGTGCCTTTGTTCATCTGATGGGTACCTATTTTATTTACTTCCATATGGTGGTGCTCCAAATAAACGTCATTCTGACCTTGGTCTTGGCGGTGACGTCAATTTTTCTTCATCATCCAAACTATTTGTACATTGTTATATGCCACCGGTACTATCCGGGAAAATAGAACAAATAAAATAGAACAAATAGAAAATTGTAAATCATTTGGAAAAAAAGACCGCGGATCCTCTATTTCAGCATATGAATCTGAATTAAAAATTTTTATTGTCCGTTGGCACAATTCAGCTGTAACTGTGGCAAGTAATGTTTCTAGTATAGATCCTGTCCAAAATGTAAAAAGCTATAATAGGAAAGAACGGAAAGATGTAAATATACCCCAACCTAATAAAATAGATATATGGGTGGGGTAGATTTACATGACAACGCTATTTGCTAATTGCTAATTACAGGTGCCAGGTATTTGGAAAAAAATGGTGGTGGCCTTTATTTTGAAACTCACTGGATACTTTAGTGGAAATTGTATAATATTGTCAACGAACAAAAGATTTCCCAGGTGGATTTTAAATCTTACATTGCTTTGCGACTTTTAAAAACTGATAAAACAATTACTCAAAGAAATCTTGCACCTGCCATAGATGAAGTGCGTTATGATAATCAAGGTCACCTCATGATTGCGCATGCTAATAAAGCACGAAGGAGATGTAGAATCTGCCACAGTGACACAATTTACGTTTGTAATAAGTGTAATGTGCATTTACATACTTCATGCTTTGTAAAATATCACCAAAATTGAAACCGACCGGGTGTTACCTATGGTTCGCTCAGGCACCAAAAAATATTATGCGTTGTATTGTATCAAATCAGGTTCTATTTGGAAAACAATCTACTTTTACTTGTTTTCTGTCGAATTGGAATTTTCTTTTGTATATTTATATATAAATTATATGTTTCATCTTATGTGCCCCAAAATATTATTTAATGGTTTCTCCCAGTGGTTCGTTTACGTATCACTATTCTTTTTCTTTTATTAATTTTTTTTTTCACATGTAATGTATTCTTAAGCGCAACAAAATAAATAATTTCAGAGCAAAACAGGATTTTTTTTATGCTTGCGATAGTATCCGAACATGTAAATAAAACTTCAAATACTTTCGCCATGCGCGTATGGAGTTCGTCTAGTATTTTCGGTTTATTGTGCATATTACGCTGGTTCTTTCAAATATTTTATTTCAATTTCAATTTATTCAATTCATAAAGTTGTAACCATCCTTAAAAATTAAAAAAAAACGCATTTTCTTATTTGCATACTCTTAATTTGGTGCAGTATATATTATATTACAAAGTTGTTGTAGTTTTAAGTTTTAACCGAGGCGTATAATCGTTTGTTGTTGTGTCCATGGAATAAAACTGGAATGGAACACTATAAATGATAATCAGTTCATGGGATGTAAAATCAATTGAATTTAAAGAGCATATTATCATTGCACTAAATTACATTCGCATGAATTTTTATAGAATGATATTTTGAGATTGTTCTCTTTTATGGTGCCTGCTGTCTTCGTAGAAATATTGAAGCCAAAGCGGTAGAAGCTCTTTTATTTATTCATCATAATACATTATTAAAATAAAAATTACCACACCGACTCGCACGATTGTAAGAGACGTTTCATTTTTATTAACCTATTGGTTTGTAGTTCATTGCTACCGTTACCTCTTAAACAGAGTTAGGCTACGCAGAAAAATGCAAAAAATCAAAAAAAATATTTATGAATTACATTTGGTAGGCGCAAATTGAGGTAACGATTGTAATTGTCATCATCGACGTACATACCGCACTGACCTAGGTCAACTTTATTACATTGATCCACTAAAAAAGGCAGCAAGTAAAACAGTATAATTAGCCCCTAATTTTCCATTACAGCCTCGTTGAAATTTAAATCGTATCATAAATAGACCAAAACTAGATACATATATAAAAAATATTTTTGAATCGGTACCACCTTAACCTAAAACGGACCACATTCTATCCTGTTACTCTAGGTGAATTATTTGGCTGTTGAAATATTTACTTTACCCTGCGTGAAACAAACACTCAAAATGTGCATTAGAAATAAGCCGTATTACAAGCACTGTTATTCCAAAACAAAATTTTAAAAATGATAAAACGTAATCAAAATTCTTTTAATTCGTCAACTTATCAAACACTTCGGAAAGTGGAAAACAAGTACTTGAATTTGGTATATAAAAAGAGTATGATACGCTGGAGCAGATCAAGTCGCCATTTTGCGAAAGGTAAGTGAACCAGTAAACAGTAGCAATAAAATAAAAAATTAATTCAAACCGAAATATTAAATTTTGAACTATATTAAATAGTTTTATAATAGTTAAATAATTTCTTGATTATTTACATTCCGTTTTTGTAGGCAGCAAATATTAATAAGTGTGCGCAGTTTTAATTGATGTTTCAGTTTTCTTATATTTTTATTTACTACTAAATTACTATAATCATTAAACCCAAATAAAAGATATCTTGAATATTACCGCAAAATTACTGTTATGGACTTGGTAGTAGTGTTTCATGCTCTCTTTTATTGCAGTAGCAGAATGAAATCGCTGGCTCTTTTGTTAGCTTGCGTAGCTCTCGTACGAGCCGGTACCTACCAGGACCGGTTCACGGAACAGTACAACAAAATCCACGATTCGAACAATGGATACTTCTCTAACGAAGGCATCCCGTACCATTCCATTGAAACTCTGATCGTCGAGGCCCCAGACCACGGTCATCAGACCACTTCGGAAGCATACAGTTACTATGTCTGGTTGGAAGCCGTCTATGGGGGTGTAACCGGGGACTTCTCCAAATTCAACAATGCTTGGCAGAGTTTGGAAGACCACATCATTCCCAAACTCCAACCGACCAACAACTATTACAATCCGAGCTCCCCTGCCACTTACTCCGCCGAATTGGATGATCCCAGTCAATACCCATCTCCGATGGAACCCGGTGTACCCACCGGACAAGATCCTTTGTTCCAGGAATTGAATCAGGCCTACGGAACTGAAGATGTTTATGGAATGCACTGGCTTCTGGATATCGACAACGTATACGGTTTCGGTAATACCCAAGGACAATGCGAATTGGGACCCAACGAAAGTGGTGCTTCTCTCATCAACAACTACCAAAGAGGACCCCAGGAATCCGTATGGAGGACAGTTCCCCAACCGACTTGCGATTCCTTCAAGTATGGTGGCCGCAACGGCTTCTTGGACTTGTTCGTAGGTGACAACAGTTACGCTCAGCAATGGAAATACTCCAATGCTCCTGATGCCGATGCCCGCGCCGTACAAGCCGCATACTGGGCTGCCCAATGGGCCAGATCTGCTGGAAAAATCAACGACATCAGTTCCACCCTCACCAAAGCCTCCAAATTGGGAGATTACTTGCGTTACGCTATGTTTGACAAATACTTCAAGAGAATCGGCAATTGCATTGGACCCTACAACTGCCCCGGAGGTAACGGAAAAGATAGCGCCCACTACTTGATTTCCTGGTACTATGCATGGGGAGGTTCTTTGACCACCAACGGTGGCTGGGCTTGGCGTATTGGAGATGGTGCCACTCACTTCGGTTATCAAAACCCATTGGCCGCCTACGCTCTGTCCAACGAAGAAACTTTGAAACCCAAAGGTACCACCGCTGTAGACGACTGGTCTAAATCTCTCCAGAGACAGTTGGAATTGTACCAGTACTTACAAACCGAAGAAGGTGCATTCGCCGGTGGTGTGACCAATACATGGAAGGGACGTTACGACACCCCTGATTCTAACCTTACGGATGACACTTTCTACGGCATGTTCTACGACTGGGAACCGGTCTACCATGACCCTCCATCCAACAGATGGTACGGTATGCAACCCTGGTCCGTCGATCGTCTGGCTCAATATTATTACGTAACTGGAGACTCCAGTGCTCAGGGAGTTTTACAAAAATGGGTCAACTGGATCATCCCCAACATCAAAATCGAAAACGGCGACTTCTCACTTCCATTGAACTTGGGTTGGCAGGGTGACCCGCCAAGAATTGATGTAACTATCGAAAGCTACGGACAGGATATCGGTGCCGCCTCTGCCACTGCCAGGACTCTCGCTTACTATGCAGCCAAGTCTGGTGACAGCAACGCCAAGAATGTTGCTAAGCAACTTTTGGACGCCATCTGGACCCACAACGAATCCAAGGGTGTGACCGTTGTCGAAACCATGGACACCTACACCCGATTTAACGAGAAAGTATACATTCCCTCAGGCTGGACCGGTACCTACCCCAATGGTGACGTCATTGACGAATCTGCCACCTTCATTAAGATCCGTTCGTGGTACAAGAATGACCCCGACTGGTCCAAGGTTGAATCATACTTGAATGGTGGAGCGGCTCCGCAATTCACTTACCATCGTTTCTGGCAACAGGCTGACATTGCCATCGCTAACGGAGTTTACGCATTGTTGTTCAACGAATAAATGGGACTTGTGATAGGTTTATTTAAACTCAATAAATAAAAATTAAAATTAATTAAAAATAGTTTTTATTACCTGGAAACATAAAGTTGGTCAAACTTGAACTATTTGTTTACGGCTCGAGGTTATAAGTCAAAAGACGTCAAAGTCTATCTTCTAACTTAAGGATTCTGCGAAACGCAGGTACAAATATTATTTTAAAATAGTTAGCGCAAAATTCAGGTCAAGATTGGGTGCTACACCCGACATGGAAACTATAATACAATAATTATTAATAAAACACTGAAATAATTTTATTCTTCGTAGCAGAAAAAAATGGAAGTGTTTAAAATAATTAAATAATAATAGTTTTTGTTCAATTCTTTATTTTCGTTGCAGTGTCTTTAATTTAATAATGACTTGGTGTTCTTAAACATTATAGAACCTCATTTTTGGGAAAAATGTAATATACCAAAATTTAATTATGAAGATAACCAGTTATTATTTTACCTCCATATAAGTCATGATTCACTATCCTCATCTCTCGGATCTCAGTTTAAAGTATCTCCTAACCTGCCAATCCCTCTCTTGGAGACCTCTTTGCGGCATTGCAAATGCCAAACCCTGTTTCCAGGTCTTTTTCGGTCTTAGTCTTTTTCTACTTTTTGGTGGCACCCACTTTAGCAGTTGAACATGCTCGTCTTACGCCTTTAGCGTTAACTGCGTCCATGATGGATGTGTCACTCCCATTCTATTTTTTATATACTAACATTGTCTCCAGAAGCAAATTTCTGCTGCTTTCAATTTATCTCTTTGATGTTCGGTCATTTCCCATAATTCCGCTCCGAAAGTTGCAATACTCTCAACTATGGTTTGGTAAATTCGCTCTGTTGATTCCAGAAAACTCCATTCCCACCTAACTGGAATCAGATTTAGTGAATATCACTGCTAGGTATTGGTAGGCATCAACAGCTGTTATAACAACGCTGTCCAGGACTATATTTCTGTTTTCACCACTATGTTTTGGTGGTATTAATGGTTAGACACCATTGTCGATATTTTTCGTTTAACTTATGGATCACGTAGTAAATATTCTAATTCATTATAAAATATTGAATTTCCCACATTTTCTATATAATAGTATGAAATAGTTAGAATTCTTAGTAACTTAAATAACATTAATTTTTATTGTTACTCTACACTTCCAAATACTGCAGTAAAAAAACAATAACAAATTAGTTGTTACTGTTATAGGTATAATTTAATTAGATTCTTGTTAATTTCCTTTTTTCTATTTTTTTATTAATATAATTACATTTTTCTTCTTCTTGTCTAGATATTCGAGAATTTAATGCCACATTCATTGGCAGGTTTTTCATCACTCCGTCATTGCCAAGTAAGTCGTGAAAGTTTCCACAGTGTTTTATACAATTTTTATTTAAAATTCTATATTTATTGTTATTTTTTATTATTTATTAAGCGGTGCACATGTATACAATTTATTGTAACTATTTAATTGCAACTTAATGATTAATTCTAATAATTCGAACCTGCTGTAGTTTCATTTAAAGTATCATCTTATTTAGTAGTGCACAAACGGAGTTGATGTAACATATATAGGTGATTTTCACCTTATTTACACCGAATATTTATTGAAAAAATTAGTAACACTATCACATATCTTTTTCTATTTTTATAAAACTTTCTTTCTATTTCAAAACAAATAACACGATATTAATTTGAAGCAGGCCTCAACATATTGGCAGAATATTTTATTTTATTATTACACTTTTTTGAAAGATCATTTCCAAAATCATAATCTACAAAACCCGAAAACGTTTTTAACCATAGCTAACTGAAATTTTTGTTTTTTAAAATAATCCATGCCTAGATTTACAACATGTGCATTTCCTGAATTAATAAATATGAAGAAATACAGACTTGAGAAGACGCCTACATATTTCATAATAAAAAATAAATACCAATATCGAGGTCGATGAATCATAATAACACATTTCTATTGCTGTGTTCTCTTTATTTGCAATTCGGGTTGTATGAATAATTTGTGTGATGCAATACCGCCGGCAAAATGCGAAACAGCTTGTAATTTTGTCTCGATAATCAATAAGAACATGTTTCAAACTATGCCGCCTTTTGGTGCGTTTTTGATTGGTCTGAAACTCTAACCTGTTTTCTAATTCTACCAATAACGTAGAGCCACAACAGCTTTCAGAATGACGTCGCAAAAGTCGATGTTTTTTCCAGAAGGTTTGTCGAAATTAAACGACAGTCTCATCTGATAAGTGGAAGTGATAACTGAGGAGTACTTTAAACTGAAGAAAGAAATTTGTTTTGCTGCACTTGGTTTGGACATTGACATTTTAATTAGAAAATATTAAGAAGGGAAACCAACAATAAATAACCTACTAACTCAAACAGAACTTTTCAAAAACCAAAAAAAAAATGACTTCTGTACCTTTGCCAACGATTTTAAAATTCTTAAATGACAACAACAACTATATGGTGGATCAGAATGTTGAGGCTCCGGCTCAAAGAGCTAAGAAACGACGGCTGGACCATCTTTCTTGGGAAGAGAAGATTCAAAGAAAGTACGTTTTGAATTTTTCTGTTTGATTAGCCCATATGTCTTCCTTTTACTTTACAGAAAATTAAAGAACAGGGTAGCAGCTCAGACGTCGAGAGACAGAAAGAAAGCTAAGCTTGAACAGATGGAAGGTGCTATCCAACAATTGTTTAATAAAAACGAAACTTTGATAGCTGAATGTGAAAAATTAAGGGCAGCCAACGAGAGATTACAAGCAGAAAATGTAGAACTGCACCAGCGACTGCAGGTAGTGTGAATGGTATTATGGAATAAAGCACTTAAATGTGTAAAGTGAAAAAGGAAACAAAGAAAAATTGTAATATTCTGAGAAATATTCATTTATTTATACTTTAAAGTTAGTTATTTACTATACACAACACTTTTTGCATCATTTCAATTAATCCTAGATTATTTTTTTATAAATTTCAATTTAATGTAATATAATACAATTTTATCATATTATAATCTTGTGTAATAGGTGTCTGCATGCCAAAACTGCCACCAAAATCGGTCTGTCGTGTGTGAGGTCGAGAGCGGATCAGCAGAATCCCTCCTTCGGCCGAAAGGAACGACCACACACTCAGCAGCGCTTTTGGGCAGCAGCAACAGCATCACCAAAACAGCCCTGTTGAAAATGGTACTAGCTTGCCTTCTCTACCGGACCTTCTCGATGAACTCGAATCAGACGTTGATATCAACGCCCTTGAACAACTCACACAGTCTTTGCTCGAAGATATCGCCAGAGACTTGGAGACTGCTGCTGAAAAGGCAGCTCATCAAGTAAGCACTGGACGGTCTTTTTATTTTGACGGATTTGTATGTATTGAGTATTCTTTCATTCTGACTGACATTTTGGAACTTATGTGATTTGAGCGTATGTTATCTGATCTGATCAAAGTAAGTTTGGAAATATTGTATGTTCAGAATTAGATTAATTGCAATCCCTTGGCACCTATGGTGGGGAAAAGATTGGAAATGGGAAGAACGCCGCACAATCAGTTCCAGTAGAATCAATTTGTTTGCTCAGATGAAAGAATACATATAATGTTTAGCGAATTTTCTTTAGAAGCGGCACTCCATTTGCATTGTAAATAACATCATAACATAATTAAGTGAAAGGAAGATCATTCAGAGCATTTTGAGTATGTGATCTAATTATTAATTTGCCAGCATTTGGGGTTTTAGGGTATTCAAAACTTCTTTATTCTTCAGCCAAAATAAGCAATTTTGTGGTGCTAGTTACAAATATATCTGTATTTCTTTTTGATTGGTCTATATGGCTAACAGTCTTTTCCACAGCGGTTAGAAATTTTTGCACATGTGATTGTAATTGGCAGGAATATTTTTATTAATAGATTTGTTTCATATAACTATCAACATTCAATATGTTTTTTGTGCAGTATGCAGTTTTAAAATGTTACAAAAAATGAATAACTTATTTTTAATTTTCTACAAATAATACTTCAATTTAAAATGTTTCGCAATAAAGCAAAACTTTATTGTTGATGGCAATAGCACAGGCGCTATTGTACATTGTATGGTTTAAATTTAAATAAATAATAAATCAAATGTTTTATTTGATGTTTGGTGAGCTACAAATAAAATAAGGTAAAACCAAATGCAAATTCAGATAATTTAATGAGTGAATCTGGACTCCACGATTAGGACTCAATATTTTGTTTGGTCAAATGCAAAATTAAAAATTCAACCTAAAAAATATTTCATTTAATTATATCTTAGATGATTAATACGTGATATATATGTTTAGAACTAGAGAACAGACACTTATGGCGTCAAAAAGTCGCGGTAGAGAGCATAGGTGATAAATACATTTTTGTCACAACTTTTTGTGCTGTTGTTGCGAATCAATCAGAATTTATTTTAAATTACCAACAACACTGCGTTTTGTAAACAGATTTGTCAACTCGCACCATACACAACATCGAAATAGCACATAATGAACCGTGCTTGCGAAAATATATCCGGTAATGACAAAAGATAAAAGTGCGCCTTCACATGTAATATTATTTTTATTTTATGTAAACATTTGAATTAAACAACCTTATTCGAAGGGGGCTATTGCATACCGCAAGACCAATATCTTTTGAATTTTATTCTGTCTGTAATTAAAAAATTTGATTACAAAGGACACTGTCTCATATGTTTTCTACAAGTTGGCATTTACTTTTTACAAAACTTTTTTGGATTCCTCCTGCGTCGGTTTTTTTTTTGCTGAGTCGAAAATGAAGTTTTGGAAGAAGTATTACATTAGCCTGTAGAAGTTTCTTTGAAAAATTAGGTTTTAAAGATGAAGTTTCGGTTTTATGAACTTTTTATTTAATATTTTGAAAGTGTTTGCCATTCTGAAAAAATACATGCGTTACACTTAATGATTTACTAAACAATACTGCCCTTGATAAAAAAAAAGCAAATTTATACAAGAAAATAACATGGCTATGAAACAAACGCATTTATGTCACAGTCGACATAGTTGTTAATTAGGAAATTGCCTGTTACTTTTTGCTATTTAATTATAGTCGCGAATGCAACCGTATCCAAATTTGTTTACCAATTTGGATACAAATTTGTTAGAATTCCGTGGTTTTAATAAGCCGAGAAATGTCGAATTGATCCTGATGAGGAAGATACAGATTTTCGATTTTTATTTTTTTTAATTTTGTTAATAACTTTAGGTTAATAATACCAATTGCCTTCAAAACCAGTGTGAAGCAGATGGTCACTTTTTATTTAAAATAATTTAGACCCCTGAGTGTAGTTCGACAAATCACGGTCACGGCACATTCAATAGGAATAAGAATACTACTGGTCCTTAGAGAATCCGGGAAAACATCTTAAAGGAGAGCACATATTGCAGGGTTTTAATGTTATATTAGATCCTGCAGGGTGGTCAAAATAAACCAATATTTGGATCATTTTAAATTGAAAAATCTCGATTTTCTTAGATAGCACACCACATATATTTTTTTTCTGGAAGATCATACGTCATACCAATTTTTAATACTTTTTTAAAACTTTTTCCAATATTCACACTCTTCTTTCTGTCTAAGACTATTGCTATAACATTAGTTGGCCACGGCAAAACTATTAGCCAACTGGGCTCTGTTAAGATTAAAAAACGAACAGCAATTTTGGTGAAAATAACGGCGAAATTTTCAATTCACAGAAAAAGTTAATAATTTTAAATACTTATTACTACAAATTAACTTACCTTATTTTTAAATATTGTTATGGCGCAATAAATGTTCAAAAATATGTCTTTCTACTTGGATACAGTTAGTCTTTTTCGTATATTTTCTTGGACGTTCCTTAGCATAAATGGTGTTATTCTCCTGCACGCGTCCCGAATGCTATTTTCCATAACTTCTGGTGTTGTAGGTGGATTCACATAACACCCCTGTACATGTATATTATTACTGTTGACATTATTTCCCCAATTAACTTAAATTAAGCATAAAATGTCGGCCGGCACCTAGATTCACTCATTCAACAACATTTAATGGATACAATAATAGCTACAACCTTTGCACATAAGGTTGTTTTTGCAGCTAATCTAATGATGGAAATATTAGATTACATTTTATAATTTTGTTAATTTCTCTCCTTACAATTAACATCCATCCCTGTCTATTAAAATATTTAAATAATGTTTTTTAGTCTAGGAAAGAAATAGTTTTATATTGATACCATTTACTACCATTTAATAGATAAAATATTTGATTTTGTTCTTAACAATGCTTTGAATGGACTATCTATTTCATTATAGATTATAATGTTTTTTGCTTGAGATTTGTGGAATGTTTTTAGAATGGAGTGGCTAAAACGCTTGATTTTTAGAAATATTAAAATAATCCTAATGAACTTTTTAGTAAAAAACTTGATTACATTCAAGGATTTATTTGCGAGTTTTTACATCGTCTCTTAATGTGGAACAATCCAAATTTATAATATGACTCAGAAGGGAATCTAATTTAGCGTTGGAATAATTATGTATAAAAAATAACATTTTCAGAGAGCTAGGGTTGTCATTATTATTTATAACAAATCAAATTAATATCAACAATTCCATAACAAGGGACAGAATGTAGAAGATCTTTTTGTAAGTTTATTCTAGTGGCCAAAAATAACATTGCCGAAAAAATAAGATCAGTTTTACATTGAAACACTAAGATAGTAAATGTTTGTTCTATTTATTTATTTTTAATATGACGTAGAAGGGAATCAAATTTGGCATTGAAATAATTATGTATAAAAAATGGCATTATCAGAAAGTTAAGGTTTGTATTATTATTTTTAATAAGTAACGATTAAATAACAACGGTCAGACGGCAGAAGGTCTTTTTGCAATTTTATTCTAGTGGCCAATAATAACATTGCAGAAAGATAAGACCAGGTTTACTTAGAAATACTACGATAGTAAATGTAATTATTAATTTGATTTGTTGATTGAAAGAATTTACTTGTTACCAAAGGAAAACCACTATTTTAATATCCTTTGGATTTTTTTTTCTGAAAAAATTATATGGGGATTTATTTCTTTTGTCTTTATTTTATAACAGTGTTATAACTATATAAGTATATTTTATTTCTTTTAGATATGTTGACCAATATGTTGATATCGTTGTAAATGTGTCTTGCATTACAAGGTAAAATAAATTGAAATCGGATAAAAATATGCAAAACTCACATTGTCCTCGTCTTTTTTACAAGCACTCCACTGTTACATTTATTATTAAGCGTTTTTACCGTTTTTAATTAAAAAAAATTAGTTAAAATTTGTTAATAGATTTACATTTTCTAAATAATGGAAAAAAAATAGTCTGCTACCTTTTAGTTTTTAGCTACCAAAAAAAATCCTGTTTTAGGAAAAGTAGATATAGCTATAGTTATACTGCTATATTTTGCAATAATTTAAAAGGGGGCAGCTGAACGTTCTTTACATTCTGCTTTCATGAAACAACTGTAGTGTCACTCACCCTATCTGGTTTAGTCTTGGTGGTTAATGTTTAGAACACACGTAGTTTTTTGCATGGATAATAACTGTACAAATGATGCTGGGTCATATTAATACATTTTGAAGTTATTTCTCAGAAAAAAAAAACGAATCAAATACACGTTCAAAGCAATGAAAAACGTAGAATAATTAAGAAGAGTTAAAATTTACAAGACATTTGAAACATTTTGATTTTTGAATCATATGACTTCAAAATTTATTGATATTGAGATAGATTTCAAATTCAGCAAACCTTGAGTGGAAGATTGTTTCCAGGAATCAACCGTTGATAGAAAAGATATTCCAAGAGAAATGGTGGGGTCGGCACCAGAACAATTGGAACCCAGTCGAAGTGAAGTGCTAGACAATAAGGAAGAACAAGAGCCAGCCGTTTCAGAATTTTTGCTTCACCACAACTACGCGGCCAAGCCCAAGTCACGTCCAGAAAAAAGCACTAAACGCCATAGGAAATCGCAGATTGGCACCAAGAAACTGAAACCCATTTGTCCAAAACTAAACACACCTAATAAATTAGCCGTCATTCAGCCTGAGCGTCCAGAAAATGAAGTAGTTTACGCTACTTTTGATGAGAATACCAATACGATAACGATCCTGGTAAATGAAGATGGTGTGCCCGTTAACGATCATGGTGTACCTTTAGATGATGTAGTTATGGAAATTTCAAATGATAATTTGACCGTACAGGGTTTGGAAGGAGGCATGTCTCCCGTTTCGACATCCGGATCTGATTTGGGTTATGAATCTTTGGATTCTCCCGTCAGTAGTTCAGATGTCGACACTTGGGACAAAAGCGTTTCGGAACTGTTTCCATCCTTGTTTTAATGTTTCTAGAGGTCTACCATTGTTTTTAGTATATTGTTGTTTGGTCTCTCTCAAAAAGATGGCTAATTTATTTTTGTATTTAATTTAAGGAATTTTATATTGTTGCTTATTGTATTAAATAGATTTCTTAATATTTTTTATTGAAATAGAGAATGCGTGTGTGAAGTATGCCTTTGTTTGATTTTCCTGCTTTAGTAGTATTTAACACAATATAGGGAGAAATGAAATATAGGTCTGCCCTGGTTTTCTCAGCAGCAGCTCACAACTCTTGATTAGGGTAGCTTTTAGAGGAGAGATCGTCTGGCAGTTTGAGGAATGCTAATCCAAATCTGTAGGAATGAAGTCCTTAGTATCTGTACTGAAAGAATATAAAATTACTGTAACAGGGCTATGAAATATGAGCTGGCAGTTTGCCGATTCTGAGAACATGTGGTGGCGTTTAAATGTTTCATGATACACAATGGGCAACTGACAAATGGACAAAAGACAAAGTTGGTAAACTAACAGTTATGTACACCAGTTTCTGCTTCGTCACTGGTGCAAGAACAGGTTTCCTCAACTAACTTCATTAGAAGCCTGGATCTGGTAGGGCAAAAGTGTATTCAAAATTGTTAAAATAGCCAATATTCACACAACAAAAGTGTAGTATCAGACAAAAAATCATCGAATCTCATAAACTCACTGAAATTGGTTAAAGCTAGCTTAGTTAAAACTCTTTTAGTTAAGTTATCCTAAGCGCCTAATAATATAAGGAATAATTAGAACAGAATCCATACATTCCTACACCTAGAAGTAAGCTAAAAATAAATTTAATCATAGGTGTTAATTTTTTATTGATTTGGCACTGACTGTACAAAAGACTACAAAGGACATTGGACAACAAATTGTAGTAAAAAAATGCAACTTTAGAGCTGTAGCAATTTGTTAACTTTATTTTGTTTATTTATTTTAGGCATAAGACCACTAGTAAGTAATTAAGGATAAATAAAAATAACTCAGTATTACATTTTCCACAGTTTATTCAATTTTTTTATGATAAATGTTTAAAGATGTTGAACATAAACTTACAAAACCAAATTAAACATATATGTACTAAACTTAAATTTATTTCTTTCTAGTATTAAAATTAACATTATTAAAATTCATCTTAAAACACGTTTCAATAATGTAAATGTTAAGGCTTTGTCAACTTGTATCTTACAATGTCTGCCTGCACTTTATTTGTTACACATTAATTATTCACACGCAAGTGTCTCAGAGAAACATCAAAACAGTTTTGGGCAAACACAATCCGCACTACTTCATTTCTTTGCTGTACGCGTCCAATTCAGCATCTAATTCTTCTGCAGTTGGCTGTTTTCTAGGCATTCTGTTACTGCCCCCTCGACCACGACCTGCAACAAAAAGCAAAAATTTATTAACAACTGCCAATAAAAATTTAATGCAAGGGGTGACAATATAAGAAACAATAACCAATAACCATATTTATCTGAAAGTAAAGAGGAAACTCAATTCATTTTATTTCAAAATATGTATAATTGATGCATATTGAATTTAAAATTAAAAATGTTAAGTTAAATACATCAATTATCTATGAAAACACCCACCTCTGACAGGTCGTCCTTTGCCTCCTCCTCGGGGACTTTTGTTGAATTTACGGTCACGAACTACTGGCCCAGTTGGCCCGCCGACTCTTCTACCAGGAGAAGGAATTTCTGATGTGGTCATTTGGATGTTCATTGCTCTTCCATCCAAGGGTACACCATTATATTGTTTCATGGCTTTAATTGCGTCACTCCTTCTTTCAAATATAACGTCAGCGGTGCCCAAAGACCTGCCTGAACGGTCATAATGGACAGCAGCACTTTTAAGGGGCCCAAATTCAGCAAACAATTCTTGTATATCCGAATCGGATACACCGAAATCGAGGTTTGACACCATAAGCTTTGTGGGCCCCATGCTTGCTTGCACAATAGAGCGTGCCGCAGCCACTCTACGCTGCCCATAACCTTCGAACAGATCATGTTTCCACGCACTGTTCACGTCCCCCTAAAGGAAAAATTTGGTTGTTGACAAAATCCACTCTCTGCTGGCACTGCTAGACTGGCATAAGGCTGACCCCATGTTACAATCCCGCTTTCGTTACATGCCTTCAAAGAAAATAAGAATAATTAGAAATGCTCTAAAACTAAGTTACCCGCGTGTAGGTGCGTGTGATGCCACCGCGGCCGCGACCACGTTGCACGCTAGAGCCGTCGCCGCCGAATCTTCTAAAGTTGCCTCTTCTTTGGCCGCCACCGCCGCGGCCCTGACCCCCTCTACCGCCTCGGCGACTGCCGCCACCACGTCGAGATTTGCTTGATTTAATAATATCGTCGAGACTCATTTCGATTTTATCTACCATTTTTCAGTTCTTATTCGTATTGCTCAAAATTCTTTACCACAATTACACAACTACTTCACAACGCCGACAGTAAACCCAACACAAAATGAAGGACGCTCACGGGACAAGAACAGCACGCACGCCACCGCTCGAATTGGTGTGACCAACTTACGAATGCAAAAAGAAACAGTTAGTGCCAACCGCGTGATGATATTGCTTAATTTGAAAAGTAATACTTAAAAGTTGGGTGAAATAAAATGCTATACCACACACACAAATGTTAAAATCAAATTGCATTTTGAGAATTTAATTTTTGAATTTAATTGTTGGTAGCACAATTACGAATTTATAAAAAAATGAGAAGTATTATTCAAGGGAAATTATGATCTTGTCATTACATTAATATTAAAAAAAAAAACGTTTACCGCACTTGTTGCATATTTCAGCTGTATTTTTACATCCTGGTGTCTTACATAAGTTTAACTACTGTCTTAACGAAGTTTGCAATGACGAATGAATCAAGAAAATGCCTGTCTATAAACTCCAGTCCATGATTTTTATTTTTTATTGGAATCAAAAGAATGTACTTATTAAATAGTGCTGATTGTGAAAAATATATAACTACGGGATAACACAGTTATTAATCATTGAGACAAATGTAAATGGCTATGGCGCAATACCTCAAAGTTTTAATAAACTTATGGAGACAATTTATAGTGAACAACCCCAAACCTTAAAAGACTTCTAAGCAAGGGTCTTGCCCACGATGTGTGCGGCTGAACTTGAGATTGTTTTTTGTTGAGCAACTTTCATTTCTTCCATTAAATTCTAACTTCTCTATAACGTATTTTACAATGAACCTTCTACTGACCAAAACTAATCTCAGTATTCTGTGGTTTTTCGTTCGCTGTCAGCGATTCGTCCTTGTATATTTTTTAATGTTTATTTGTATTGTTACTTAATTAATGTTAACAAGCTATGTAAGAACTTGCTTTATGATCTCTACTGATAATCCCGGATAATGTCGTTAAATTTTGCGTCCTGTGATTATACGAGACCACAGTGATGAAGGCGTTTTTGCCGTCAGAATATTAAGTTTCCTGTTTCCTGAATCAAACTCAGTAAGTAGTTTATTTGCGATGTTTTGTGTTGTACAGATTTGTTTCTATTGGTTACAACGAATTTTTAAGACAATAAATGCGATGATGGCAAAAAGATCTGCTAAGTTTAGTTGTTTACTTTCACTTTTTCTGCCGCAATTTCAACGTATTTGGAGATCTATTACACTACTTAATACTTGTTTCAAAAAATGTAATAATCTGTACTTTTTAATATAAATTAAGCACTACTGCTAATTTAAAACCTTGCAAATGGCTGAGGTTGGTATTGAGTGGCTTAAAGAACTTCTGGTTGATGTCCAGCTCAGTCAGTTCTTGGTATCAATTAGAGATGATTTGCAAATCACAAGGTTGGAGCATTTCGATTTTGTTAAACCTGAAGATTTGGAAAACATAGGACTGAGTAAACCAGGTAGAAAACTGTTTCTGAATAATACACATGTGTTTTGATCTTCAAATGTTTGTGATTCTAGGAGCCAGAAGGCTATTGGAAGCAGTGAAAAAGAAAAGAGCTCACCAGAAAAAAAGAAACTTGATTAATAAATTGATTCCTGCTTCAGGAAAAAGCAATTCAAGTAAAAAAATTAATGATGGGATATCTGATAGCGATTTTACTTCTTGCTTGATTCAAGAGAGCAATATCACTTTATCTGTCAAGTTAGGAGATGGCAGTTTTGGAGTTGTTAGGCGAGGTAAACAATATTTTTTTGCTCTTCCTGTAATAAAATTCGCATTATTCAACTTGATTATATGAGAATTATTGTTAGCCCATAAATTACAATTCTGTATTACTAATAGTTACAGTAAGGATGTATTGAATACAAATTGCTAATTAATAAATTAATGATAATTTATTCAATGTTTGTATATAAGAACTCGTCAATAATTTTTTTATTTCATAACTTTCCAATATTGCCATAGTATGCATTTTTATCTTGGACACTTTTTTAATGTAGAGGTGCCAGAGCCCTAAAATTTCCATCAGTTATTTGATTCTTCCAGTGTCATTTCTGCAGCATGAGTGAAATTGTTTTTCATTTAGGTGAGTGGACAAGCCCAAATGGTAAAATAATACCAGTTGCGGTGAAAGTGCTAAAAGCAGATGCCCTCAACCAGCCTGGAGTTTTTGAAGATTTTATAAAGGAAGTGCAAGCAATGCATTGCTTAAATCATCAAAATCTCATAAGGTGTGCTATATGGGTGTGTCAGTATCATCATAAGTCTTACAGTTTCACTTGAAAACCTGTCAAATATTTTATTGTGTATAATGTAACTTGTGTGTAACTTTTGATTTACTGTATATCTTCATTTAGGAGCAACTCATTATTTTTCAGAAAAAATTACTTGCAAAGGGAGAACAATAGTAATATATTAATATATTTGACACAACTATCAAGTGTGGCAATGCCTCTTTTCCTTAATCTTCAAATTTAGCAAAAACAATTTATTTCAGTGTATTTAAAATGAATGAAAAAGGTTTGAGCAAAAGCCATTTTTTAGGTTGTATGGGGTAGTCTTGTCTCAACCAATGATGATGGTCACTGAGTTGGCTCCTTTGGGTGCCCTTTTGGATTTCCTGCGAAAACAATGCCAACACACACCTGTGCCAATGTTGTGTGAGTATGCCACTCAAGTGGCTAATGGCATGGCATATTTGGAAAGTAAGCGCTTCTTGCACAGAGATTTGGCTTGCAGAAATGTTCTTTTAGCTGCAGTTGATAAGGTAGAATAATTTCCTTAAGGTGGTGGTGGATATGCCAGTATTAATAATTATTCCATACATTCAGGTTAAAATAGGCGATTTTGGACTAATGAGAGCACTGCCGCAAGAAGACGACTGTTATGTCATGACTGAACATAAAAAGGTTCCATTTCCGTGGTGTGCCCCCGAGTCATTAAGATCACGACAATTTTCCCATGCTTCAGACACTTGGATGTTTGGAGTTACTGTATGGGAAATGTTTACTTTTGGAGAAGATCCTTGGATGGGTCTGATAGGATCAGAAATTTTACGCAAAATCGACAAAGAAGGGGAGCGCTTGGTGCTGCCTGAAGCCTGTCCACCGCCCATTTATAGCATCCTGCTTCAGTGTTGGGCTCGGAACCCTCAAGAGAGGCCAACCTTTGCGGCTTTGAAAGAGTTTTTCCGTAGAAATACCACACCAATTATGAAGGCCTTAGATAAGCAGGAGGAACCTGACAAGCTTCAAATTAAAGAAGGGGATGAGATTGCTATTATAGATGGGAGTGCCGAGTTGTATTGGTGGAAGGGGCAAAACCAAAGGACATTTGAAATTGGAACATTTCCGAGGTATGAATTGTATTTATACATGTGTGTTTTTGTCGCCCTTCAACTAGGATTACAGAGATTGATGTAGTATCTGAGAAAGTATTTTCAAAACACATATCATATCATGAACAGTTTGGTATTCCAAAGTTTTGGCATTTGAAATATACATGTATATATATATAGATCCTGCTATCTTCTGAGCATCCTTTCATGGATCCGTCTCTGAGCGTCCAGTATCGTTTTCTTCAAGATCCCTACTTTAACAAGTGAATATTTTTTAGTTTTGTAAACGAAATGGCGTTGGGTTTCCTTAGGCCAGATTTTACGAAGATCATTTTTGTGATGATACTGATATGTCGGCGTCCTTTCATACAGGTGACTTGCTAGCATCCAATATACACGGGAAAACTTTTACATTCCAGAATTCTAGCGTCCTTATGTATATGTTTCATTGACTGCGCAGATGTCTGAGCGTCCGAGCAACGTTGCACGATTGATTTAAACTTAATTTCTTTGTGTAGATGTTTTCTTTAATACGTCGCCCGATTTCGGAAAGTAATTCTTATATTCATTTTAACGCAATATGTTTGCCAGAAATTTTGCACTTGTATCTACGTTAGTCAGGCGCTAGTTGGACCTAAAGTTGCATAAAAAGTGTTAATTTCAGGGATGCCCTAAAAAACAATATGTTTTAAATGGAAATCTTAACCACTTTTTTTTACAACTTACACTGTCCCTTTCGAAAGTTCAGGAATAGACTCGACACTAGGTGACACATTATCTCCGTTCGAATGTGTGTGTAAGATTCAGCGCGGCACCGTTTGTGCAATTGTCTGCCGCCATTTTCACACTAATTCGTATTGCTTTTGCAACACTGGACGTGGAACTATCCCACTTCTGATGTTAACTTAAGGGGTGGCGTCAGCGTCCTTAATACAACTCTCCCCAAAAACCAAAGCACTGTTCTATTCGTCCATTTATTACAACATTGGTTGCTTTCGGCTCTTCGGTGTACGTCGTACTACCGTTCGTTCTTGCGTAGCTGGAACGGCATGCCGCTCGTCCGTCCTGACTCAGCATACGTGACTTTTGGTGTATATTATATTTTGACTCTTTTCAATTCTGATGGTCGATGGTCACGTGAGACGTCACTCAGTAAATGTAATAGTACTGTTTTGCAAAAATGTACTCAAAAAGTAATAGGCGGCTGCTGTGATTTGCTCATGACAAATTAAACTTGTGATTAAAGTGGCGTTTATAAAAGTTATTGCCAAATATGATTTATAAGGATAACGCTTCATCCAGTAGTACTGGTTACTCAGCGTATAGGTTAACATTATTACTTAATGAAACTTTGACAATATTGGATATTGCTTTACTTTGCAACATATGGGTAGTATAGATTTGGACACATTTTTTCTGTTACTAGCTGTGTGTAGCAATTTTTTAAAACAATATCAATCGTCCACTTCTTAATTGACTAGTCAAATTCGATCAAAATGTTATCTATCATTATTTAATAATATGTATTTTATAATAAGTTATTATGCGTTTGTGATGTCCAATTTACCGATAAAACCAATAAAAATATCGACTCTCTTTAGTTCTCAGAACGCACAATATTAATAAATATAAATTTCATTATATTTTTAAAATTAAAAAAATTTGACCCATCAATTCCACAACCCTAATCTCCACCAATTTACACAGGTGCATTGTTAATCCAATGCGGCCCAAACAACCCGAGGATATAAGCAAACCACTGGATAACTCATTTATTCACACTGGTCATGGGTCTCCTTTCGGCGAAAGTTGGGGCAGCCCTTCCCACATCGATGATATGTACCTGAAAAACCCGATGGAACCGCCGGATCTCATAGGCATGAAACGTCAACCTAAACCATCACCTCAACTCTGTGATAGAAGAAAATCCAGCTCTAAATCTTGTAGGTGTATCACTTTTGCAAACATTTTGAAGTTAAACTGTCTATTTTTCTATAAGTAGTGAATGGCTCTCTAAGGAATTCAACTGATAAGCAATTCAGCTATAAGAAACTTAAGAACCAGGATAGTTTTAAGGTCAAGCCTAAGAGACCGCCGCAGCCCAAAATTAATTCTGCCACTGAATCTCCAATATTGATAGATATTACTTCAGATAGTGGGAATGCAGTTTTACGGTGTAACAATAATTTCGAAAGTGAATCTCACCCAATTTCTTTGCTGGATGAACCTATCGATGTGCCCCAAGAAAATTTAGATGGTATATTCTTTTCAGAAGCCCAATTGATTCAAAGCTCAAAATGGTATGTGTTTTAGATTCAACAAGTTGGACGTCTGATAGTCTCCAGAAGGTGGAAAACGCGCCACCTCCTTACCATAGTCCACCAGCTTATTATAACACTCTCTCTGTATCTCAGCCTTATGATCCGTTTGACACTTCTAGTCTTTTTCCAGACCAGAATTGTCCATATTATTCTCGAATCTCGCCAGTTCCCAGCATTCAATCTGTAGATGTTAACCTCCAAACTGAAATAATGAAAAAAATCCAAAATTATAATGCTCAGACTGTAACCAATGGAGTTCCTGCCCCCGTTTTAAAGGCCGGTACTAGTTATGTGGCCAGCGATATAAGTAATCGCGGTTTGAATTACATTAGGTCAGGTGTTGCAACTTCAAAGGGTGTAAAATCGCCACAAAAAGGCATTGTCGGTCCTGTCGCGAACGAACAACTGATCACTAGTGTCTCATTGATGAAATTGGATGACTCACCAACTAAGAAGAGAACTGAAGGTTCGTTCCTAGCTGATCTTGAGAAATATTTGTTGGGGAAGGAAAGTGGTACTACAGATATACCACTGATTGCTCCTCCCCCACAGGGGCACTCAAAGAATGTCGAAAAGGAGAAGGAGATTGGGGCGCAAGTACTGCCAAAGGTTCAGAATTGTAAGTTAAAATTACGGTGTTTAAACCTGAGTTTTTATATTTATTTTTTTTAGCTACATATTCGAATTTAAACGAAGTCTACTCAAAAACTAGCTCTTCATCACAAAAAAACGACACTGCCTTTCTTTTGAATAAGATATGGCTGGAGAACAACTCAAGTGTTAATGGAAATATCAGTCCTGATAAACAAAATGCTCAATCAAATGGTGAAAAAGTTTCTGAAAAAGGTAAAACATATGTTGTCGAGTCGGAGTTTGGGCAGTTCAAGAGTAACAGACGATATGATCCTGTGTACTGTCCAAGTAGTGTCACCTATGAAGCTATTAGTGACTATGATGTTATTACAGGCCTAAGTAGACGTTTAGGTGAGACTCACTTGTTTATGTACTGATTATATTCATTTTTTGCGCTAGCCTACCTCTGGAGAGAGTTCTTTGCTTCATTCAAATGTAACGTCAGCCCTCTTGTTCACCCAGAAGCAAGATTTTTTTTGCTTATAGAGAAATATTACAAAATGGCCCTATCTCATCTATAGCTAGCGGTAATGTGCATGCCTCAACTTTTCAATTCACTTGACGGATTAAAAGATCTGTGTTTCAGTAATTTCGATGACGCCTGATTTATTTAAACTTGGGCCAGTTAGCTAGCTAAGCTAATTCTCATAAGCAGGTACTATTACTGACTGCTAGGTTACTTTCTTTCTGACTCTTCTGACTGCTGTAAGGTGATAAGTTAGTTTGCCCAGACCGTTTGTCCTTATTCGTCCAATACACTGGCATCTTTCCAGACAGATGCCCTATTATTTGCTTTTGATAGAAATTAGTAGTGCTGGTATATTAAAGACTTTTTCTTAGTGTTGGAAATCATCTTGGCTAACGTTTTTGAATCTTCTTAGGGCAAATTAAAATAGGGTTTCACTCACTCATGCTTATTATTATCATTATTATTTTCGTGTTTTACGCAGTCAAAGGTAACTCTAATAAATCTACGAAGAATTCATATTTCATATTTAATCTGTTAATAATCGTGAAAACAATAATGTTGTGATCCTCTTGACAGAGTCAATTTTCCTGCCTCAACATGATTGCAATTTCAGCTTCTTCGGCGTCTTCCACCACTTACGAGCCGCTAAATTTTGGTTACGCCTCTACCAATTCCTCTGCTTCAATCTACAACAACCTCTACCAGTCATCTGGTAGCAGTTGCTACCAGACAGCTGATTCTTACAATAACACTCAAACAACAGGTTATGGGTATGCTACCACCAATTCTAGACAGTATTCGGAGGTGGGAGAAAGGCTTTACCATGAAATACCTGAGAACTTATATAGCCAGGTGCCCGAAGAGGCGCTGAGACCGCACAGGCCTGCTCCTACCACACCCGGGCAAGGACAGCCTCTCAGCATGCAACAGATTCAGCGAAAGATACAACAAGGGCAGGTTAGTATAATTTGAGCATGTTCTCCTTTAATGGCAACATTGTTCTTTTAATAAAGCTAAGTGCCGATGCGGAAAGGCTAATGACGCCCGAATATCGCAACAACAAAATTGGACAGGTAAGGGAGTGTGTTCCAGAATCAAATAGTGAAGAGTGCCTATCGGCACTGCAATCATGTGGGTGGGATGTACCGTTGGCAATTAAAACTATCAAGATTAACACCTTATTAAAGTGAGTACCACCATTATTTCAAAAATTAATAGATTAAGCGAGGATAGAATAAAAACCAACCAACCAACCATTCGTGCAGCTGCAATACACTAATACGAAATACAGTAAATTTGAGTTGTTTTAAAAATTTGTAGGTTGTGTAGGGTAGTTGTACAATTGACTTGCCCTGCCATCGTTGAATTTTAGACAAATATATGTATTTTAAAATAATGCAAATTGAAAAACGAGATCTTTTCCCTTACTGGGTGCAATAGTGCCGCATCTACAAAATCTAGTTCCGAGAAAATCAGTGATTTAGGAAAATAAAAACTGAAATATTAAGATAATGGGTTTATAATTATAAATTGATTTGTATTATTCTCTTTTTAAAACCAAAAATATTTGCGGGTCTTTTTTAAATGTTTTTAAATTTTGTGCAGTTATTGATTTTTTTTTTGTACACATCAATTTCACAAATTTTGATAAAAAAATTCTCAATAAAACAGCATCAAAGTTTTAACATCATTTTATTATAAAAATACAATACGGTTCATTTGCAAGATAGGTACATAATAGTAACGTGTAAAATGTGCCTTTATAAACTTTGGCAGGTAAACATAACTACAAAAAACAAAAAGGTATATAGTTCTTTATACATGTCGAAAAAAAAGATCAGATAAGTAGTCTTTTAACACATAAACAATAAAAAACAACGGACCTATAGTTTTTGGTAGAGGCATACTGTTGTCACAACTCACCTGTTTTTTTTGGAAAATAAACAAAAAGTACTATTTTCAACACACATTTCAGAGACTAGTATAAAAGTGACTGACATTTATTAATAGCATTTCTTTTTAGAAAATCCATTAAGTCATTAAGCTTTTTCTTTGGAATTGGTATAACATTTCGATAAGCACAGTATAGCTTCACATTTTCAAAAGTTGTAAAATTCGCGCCTGCTCGCATTTTTCTTTGCATAATGCTTATGCTTATTTAGTCAGTTTCGCTAAAAGATGTTTTATAAAAAAATGTGTCGGGAGCATCTTTTCCTACTTTGAAAACACGCGTCATTTATTTTGACAATATCGCCTGAACTGTCCCAATGAAAGTTAAAGAAGTTGGAGTTACTGGTTTTTTAAAATAAAAAAAAAATCATCGTAACTCATCTCTACGACTTTATAGTTTTAGGGAGTTCCCGCCTTCTTGGCGCTTTTTACCAACATTAAGTGCTCTGCGGCGATCACAGACGCACTGGGCTATATGCCGGTTTTGCGCGTAAGATTGTTAAACACGCGAGAAATTCAATAGTGATGGCACTAACTCTCTAACGGAACTGGAGTAAGATAACTATGTACCGGTATTGTTCGTAGTTCACATACAAATGTCCATGTTTTATGGTACAATTAACTAAAAATAGTTATTCCTTGACTTTGTCATTATTGCACCCAGTGAGCGATTTGGTTAGTTTAGTTAATATAAATTATTTAGAGAATACAGCAATAACAATTTTTGGCTCAAATAAATGTATTTAGTTAATAAAATAGTTATTAACTATAATGTAATAAAAAGTGTTTTATTTAAATGATATTTGATAAAGTGTATAATGTAAAATGTCATTGGAAATAATACGTATTTTACTTCTTCTTCAGTCATTTGTTCATATCAATCTAATCTTTTTACGCTGTTCCCACTAATATACAGGCTGTTATTTAACTGCTACAATTCTTGATTTTCGAGATACAGTTTTATTTTCATTTTTGTTTTTTCTGCCTAATTTCCTAAATAATGCCAATTTTTGAACGAAAGAAACAAAACATATTTCAGAATAGACTTACTAGGCTACTTGAACCTTTTTTCATTAGTGCAACTGTTTCACCTTTTGAAAAACCAAAAGTTATTAAGAACAAATTCGATATTTTCATGTCGGAAAACGGAATTATTCACGAAATTGTGCAGAAAAAAGAAAAACAGCAATAACACTTTTTACCTTAAAAATACTTGAGACATCAACTCGTCAAATGAAACAATCTGACAGTTTTATGTGTTACTGTTTTTTTTATGGTGAAAATGTGATTTGGTTTTGTTGAATACTTTCAAGATTGTCACTTCTAGGTTAGGGTTGGCAGATAGCAGCTCATGCGAGGCAGCTTTGCATAGGACGAATTGGAACGTAGAACTTGCCGCTTCAGCGATACTAGATAATTAGTAGACAACAATAGAGTGTTAAAGTCAATGCAAAAAATTTAAACAGTATTTAAAGCAATTTTAATTATTTTTATGTGTCTTAATTAGTTCGATGTTGCCAAATGTACGGACGTACTTAATGTTAGTTCATTTTGAAGCGCAACGAGACAAGAATGATAGTTTTAAGTTTTTAAATTAGAATGAAGTAAACAATGCAAATAAGTAATGTGACAACCTTGCTATCATGATTTGATTTTTTATGATTTGAAAGTGGATTGTAATAAAACCTCTAAATATAATTCTTATTTCCCGAAATCATCAATCTGTAGTGTAAGAATTTCTGTAACTTTTTGGTGGCACCTTCGTGTATTTATAAAATAATCCCAAGTAGTTTTTAAGATTATTTATTGTGCCAAAGACGTAACAGTGATGGTACTATCGTTGTTTTCAAATGCTGCGACCAAAAGAACGTAGAACGAAACAAAAGAAAATATTTTTTTGTTACTTTTTTTGTGATAAGGCAAATTTCCAGTGTTTTCCATATTTTGTTTCTGTTACGTTTGTCTTTAGGTTAATCCAATGTGAAAATGTTATAAGAATAAACAATATTTTTTCTATTAAAATTTTATATCCTAGCCTAGATTTTGTAAAAATTTTAATGCAGGCCCCGAAAACGATATGATTAACAAAGTCGACCAAGGTAAATTGCTGTTTATGTAAATTTTCCTTACAAAAATACGTAAAAAAGCTTTTCTAGAAAATTTGTTTTATAGATTCAGGAGATGGGAATCTATTATGTATAGATCTAGAACAATTATGAAGAAACAGGCACATTACAGATGCTCCGGCAATTTATCTTGGTCAATAAGAATAAAAATTAAAGGCGAGACAGAAATAAATTTTAACCTATTTGTTTTTTTTTAATCTCTTTCGTCACATTTCTACGCGTTCATCGGAATCATTGTATTTGGAATTCCACAAAGTCAACAGTAAATTGTTTACTCCGAGGTATTGTTTATGACACAAAATTCTTAAAACAGTACAAATAATTTTCTTATCAAACATTTCTTTCGGGACGATGCTTTCTTGTCAGTCTTTGTTTCTCTATTCGTCGTAAAGCTGAAATAATGTGCAGTGATGCATCTTTCATTATAACTCCTAAAATCTTCCATTGCCAAAGAAGAGGTTTGGAAACAACGACGAGATATTATAGATAGACGCACAATATAATAAATAATATCGACTCGTTTCAGCAGACACTTAACAGTTTCAGAATGGTGCTGCATTCGTTCGGACATTTTAAATGCTAAGAGCAAAAACATATTTAGTGGACGTGTTCAAAAACTGCTACAGCTACCAAGAATGGTTCCTAAATAGTATGTTGGGCGAATGTCACCTATGGCATAGCGGATTCGCTCAACAATTTCGAACGCCTGCAGTTCTTGAAATAATGAGCGTGAACGTATTAGAAAACAATATCGATGCTGAGAAGAGTTACGTAACTGTCGCGTCTGGTGAATGCGCTTGGCCATTTTGCTCTCGAGTTTCGAATGACTGACGTTCCAGAAATATCGATCAAATACTGGTTTTAAAAATATGCCATTCCTTCATGAAAGAAAATCGTTTATCCTCAGATCTCGCCAAATCGAAAATACCGCCAAAAGAAATGGTTTGCGACACACTATTTTCAATACCATCGGTGACCAATACATTGGAGAATGGAAAGACGATAAAAAGTCGGGTAAAACGTGTTTTTATTTTTTTTACAGATGAAATTTACCCGAATTAAATATTTAAATGCAAATGAACTGTCACAGGCAAGGGTAAAATAATAACGCGTGCAGGCGAGCTGTACGAAGGCGATCTTGAAGGGAACCGTCGTCACGGCTTCGGGGTTTTGGCGCGCAAATTGCCAAACAGAGACGTCTTCGAATTAATATACAGGGGCGATTGGAAAAATGGAAAAATGAGCGGAACGGGACTGAGAATTTTTCCGGATGGTGGATTTTATGTCGGGGGGTGGAAGAATGGGAAGCGAGAAGGTCATGGCCGACATTGGTATTCTGATGGTGCATTTTACGACGGACAATATAAAAATGACATGAGACACGGATTAGGTTCACATAAACTAATATTTTATTGATAGCGTATGTTAACAATATTCGGGACGTTCTAGGAATTTTGATTAAAGCAGATGGAAATGGCTACGAAGGGGCATTTAAATCTGATAAAAAACGCGGCAAGGGTATGTATTTCCACTTGGACCGCGGTCAACTTCAGGAGGGCGTTTGGAACGATGATTGTTGCGTTTTTAGCACGTTTAGAGATATCGGATATAGGCAGTGTGCTGCTAATCCTGCACCTTATCCTATCCCATCAGTAAGTATAAACTATACATGTTTGTTCAATAATTAATAATAATAGATAATAAAATTGGTTGCAAATTACCATCTATAATTACAATAAACTAACTAGCAATGTGCCGAGTACGGTTTGACTCGAGTCAGACTCGATTCCTGCTTTGTACTCGCCTACTCGAATACCACTTTATTTTAATTCGAGTACGCCGGACTCGATTCAGGTACTCGAATCGGAAAGAATCGATTCGTACTCGCAGACTTGATTCTATTGCGAGTCCAACTGACTAGAGAGTTTAGTATTCGAGTTTGGTCAACTCGTCCGTACTCGTTTACTTAAGCAATGAAGTGGCGCGACGGGCAAGTTTGAACCTGCAACTTTTTGTTTTGATTTCTTTGATTTGTGTTAGTTAGCAGTTAAGAGTGACTTTATTTAATTGGTTATTAATACTAACTATGATTTGACTGTAATTTAATTTACTATAGAATGGCGCCGAAAAAAACCTCAGGTGTGTGGAAGTGTTTTGAGAAAGTGGACGGCAATAAAATAAAGTGCAAAAACTGTGATTCTGTGTTTAAAGATTTCAAAAACACAACTAATTTGTTAAAGCACCTAAAAAAATCTCATCCTATTATTTACTCGACTGAGATTGACAATTCTTCAATTATCTCCTCTGCTCAAAGTGATTCCGATTTATTAAGTGTAGCTTCTGGTTCTGGCGATGGAACACCAGTCCACGAGGACAAAAACTCCAATCTATCCCAGTTGACAGACGGCGAGACACCACCAGCACAACCACCATGTAAACGGCAACTTCAGATGACGTTCTCGTCTAAGCAAGCTCTGAAGATGAACTCTAAAAATGTGGATGAAGCATTATTGAGAATGGTGTGTGTTTATTTTCAGCCGCTTCAAGTCGTTGAGAATACAGGTTTTCAATATTCTTTGGCAAGAAAGGCTACGCAAGAGATGCTTAAAGTAACAGATTACATTGCTTTGACAACAGACTTGCGGACCTCCGATAGCAGCAAAAGCTACATGACCCTGACAATTCATTTCATTTATGATGGCAAGTCTAAAACTTTAACGTTATCCACCAGGGAAGTTAAGAATGCCCATACGTCAGAAAATTTAGCTTGAGAAATGAAAGATATATTGGAAACCGAATTGAATATTTTGGACAAAATCATTTGTGTCACAACTGACAATGCGGCTAATATAAAAAAAGCTGTTATTGATATTCTGCAAAAACGTCACCACTGTTGTGTAGCTCATACATTGAACTTGGTGGTTCAGGATACCATCAAAAACAATGAACTATCAATTCAATTGATTGAAAAGTGCCGAGCAGTAGTAGCCTATTTCAAAAGAATCAATAATGCTGCATATAAATTAAAACAGGTTCAAGAACCCAGCAGCAGCAGCTGGAACGCTTAAAACTAAAGCAAGATGTCCTGACAAGATGTTATTCAGTGTATTATATGCTCGAACGTCTCGATAAGGTCAAGATACCTCTTTCTGCTGCAATTTCTTCATTACCTGGCTGTCCGGATAACCTTAACGCTGACGAATGGATCGAGGTGCACGAGTACCTTTGTGTTTTAAAACCTGTGGAGCAAATATAGTAAAATAGTATTATATCTGGCGAGCAATATCCAACGTTATCCTGCATCATACCTCTTATTCGAGGAGTACAAACGGCACTAAGAAGTTGCAGTTCCAATTCCGAAGTCGCCAGCAGGTTAAACATAAAATTACTGGAGGTTTTCGATAGAAGATTTGGCGGTCATGAGATCAATAAAACTGTTGCCGAAGCAACATTCATGGATCCAAAGTTTAAAAAAGCTGGTTTTGGCGTCGAGACAAATGCAGATAATGCTCAAAAATTTGTTATTGACGAGTTGATGATGGAAACACAGGAATATCAAGCTCAATTCCAGGTACCTAATAGATTTCTATTGTCATCTACCTCACGTCTCGAAACAGGTACAACTTCATCTTCAGATTCCCAGCAGATAACTTCAGAGGGGACTGGCGAGAATTTATGGGAGCATCTAGATAAAAAGGTATTGGAATTTTCGAGCGTGGAAAACTCCACATCAGCAATCATCAAGGTGAAACAGTACGTAGAGCTACCGTATTTGGATAGAAAAGCCAATCCACTTACATTTTGGGAACTTCGCAAAATCACCAACAGCGGCCTCTGTAAAATTGCTTTAAAGTATTTATGCATTCCAGTCACTTCCGTTCCTTCGGGACGAGTTTTCTCTAAGGCTGGACTTTTATGCAACCAACGCCGCAATAGACTGGAGCCCAAGAAGGTTGACCGAATACTGTTTCTGAACAGTTATTTTAAATAACTTTCATTTTCTTATATCTATTTTTTTTTCATATTCATTTAGTTTTGTACTGTATTCTGAGTTCGGTTTAGGTAGTTTAGGTGGATACCTTACCAAACTTTGTATTCTAAGCTATTGAGTTTGTGTGCCTACTTAATGTAAAGTTAAAAAAAATATTGATTATAATGCTTACTATATCTAGTATTAAAAGAATTGTTTAAAGCTGTCTCAAATTAATAGAATATTATCTAGACTCGTTGAGAATTTTTTTAATTATTTTCGGTTTTTCTAATTATCTCCTTAGAATTCCCATGCTCTTTATGTTTATAATTATCTTTCATTAAAAATATTGATTTACCCATTATTATTGTGTCAATGCTTAACCCTCTCGAGTTACTAGACTCTAGTCCGCCCGAACTCGAGTCATATTCGAATACTAAACATAGAATTCGAGTACTGGACTCGAATCAGGGAATCGAGGGCCATATAAACTGACTCGAGTCGACTCGATTCACCGAAACAGAGACTCGGCACAATTCTAAAACTAACCAAAACTTATCCCTATATGGCGTAAAGAAATTAAAATGCTGGATATGTTTAGCATTTTCTTTTTGGGGCAGGATATATTAGTTGAATTGCGTGAATGTTTCTTTTATTTTTCGCTATCGCTATTGATATACAAGATTTACCATAAATTGAAAACCGCATATTTTTAGATACATTTAAAATCCTCGGAGCAAGTGTGTAAAATTGCTACACTAAGATCGTTGGCAGGTTTAAAAGAACCATGCTTGGTTGGCGACTATATTCACGAAAATTATGATCAATTTTCGATTTTCTCCGAAGAAACGCTCTATTAAAAAAACAATTAATAGGAATTGTAAACAATCTGAAAGTTGCAATAAAGAGATGAGTAAAATTGTTTCCATAGTATAATGGTTATTAGGGCGTTATTTTAATATTACTACCAATAAAATAAATTTTATTAATTAAAATAGATTTTATTGCAAGGTAAATAAATAAAAATTCCACATGACTATTTATACTTAAACAGTAATAAAAACTAATCACTGGGAAAACAAATCAAAATCTATTACAAAGTTATAGTACAACTTTAGAAGTACATTTTAAAACCACAGCCTTATAATTACACCGGTATATGATATTGCTTTCAATGATTTGATTTTATCAGTCATCATATAGGCCCATTTGTCAACTATATATTAATACTAACGACTAAATTCAATCAGATCTATGCAATTTCTCTCACCATATAGGCCAGATAACAAAACAAATTCAATACAAACTAAGTTAAGTAATCAAAATGGAATACAACTAAAAAAATAAATAGGCAAGGATTCTTTAAAGCTGAAGAAACAAGTTAAGTCAAAACAAATAAGCAAAAATTTCAACCTTCCTCAAAAAACCAACACTCTCCATGTCAAATAAAATTTGTTGCCAGATCTTTCATCCATTGCCCCATTGCAAAAAATAAATACATTGCATATGAAACACTTCAAACAATGTGAATATTATTTCCTACCGGTTCATCTCCAAACAGTCTATTGCCAGTCACATCTCCAATCTGTTCATTCATTTTTTTCAGCTCCTTCATACTTATTTCATATTTGTGGGCTACTAGTGACCTATAGAAGTGAATGGCAAACGCCAAAAAAACAAATAAAATGGGCACTAATACTACACAAGCCGACCACGCTGCTGTCGTATTGACGTCATAAAACTTGAGCCAGCATATTATCGCTATTTCAGCTAAAAAAAGTAACAAACCGAGTAATGTAGAGAAGGCCCACGCAATTTCTATGTACCAGTGCAACCTTTCATGTGGGGATTCATCAACAAAACTAATTGAGTCCAAACTGCACACAGTTTCAATGTTGGGAAGAATGCAAGTACTTATCATTAATGCTAACATATGTACAGCTACTAGAAGTGTGGTTATGACCGCGAATACAACTAAAATTGGTCCAGGAATAGTACTTGGGGTCTGTAATTGAAGTTCGACCATTGCCACCATTGCAAAACCAGAAAGCAGAGCAGATGTTTTACTGGAGGCTTTCAGTTTTGCCCTGGACAAATGTAGTTTCCGCCAAGAGAGATATCTGGGTGTCTGGAACATGTCCTCAGTCATTGACATTTTTTTACACTACAAAAAGGAAAAATCTGATACTCTGAAAACATATGTGGTGGTTATATTATTCATTAAACATTTTTGAAAAGTTGATAGAACAGGTTTTGTTTGTGGAGGTCAAGATTATCTCATATACTATCACAATATGAATAATATGAATTCTCGATAAAAATTACCTTATTGTGGCCACGGTTATGAAGTTGACTGTTATTGTCTTTTGAGTGTTCAGTGCCGTTATTTGACCTGTCCAAATCCAAACCGACTGCATTAGTACTCCAGATGTACATGAGTTCGCAAAATTCTAAAAGACACGAATATTAGTAATATTTATGATAACACATTTAATAGCATAGACAAGGTTTTTGTAAAGTCAAGATATTAAAAAGAAAGCGATAACTGAATGTTCAAGCCTCGGTATTTTTGATAAATAATATAATCACACCACTAATTAAAATTACCGATAACATTAAATAAAACAATGTATTAAATGTATTATATAGGCATGCAGAATTAGGGCATCGGAGCCACAATCTAACACGCATAATAATCCAATGCATCATAAATCATAATTAATCCAAATCTGGAACTATAAGCCGATAAACCCGATTGGTATAATAATAAATTATAATTAAAACCGACTTTAATATTTACCCAAACATATTTTCCATGGTCCTGATTAAACAAAAAACAAAACCACCTCCTACAATACTTTTGGAACAAAAATAAATTAGGTTAGATTACCCGTGCAGGTCCACCAACCACAATCCGCGAAATCAAATCGATTTAAAGCTCCCGTGTCAATAATTCCACTTTTTCCGAGCGTCGTTTGTGTGTAAAACGAGTCACCAAACACTTAAAGTAGCGGCCAATGGATATATTGGAGAACCGTTTAAAACAAAAGTTGGGTTGTAGTGATTTAAACTCGACCTATGTATAGATTTCGAGAAAACAAAATTTGCTTTTCGAGAAAACAAAATTTGCTTTATAGATGCTAAGTTTAATAAGTTTTTAGGATACGGCTTCGCATTTGTTCAATTTTGAAATCTAATTTAATCAATCTACATATGAAACATATTTTTGTTATACATACAGGCACACCCTGTATATGTAACTAAGGATTATTTGAGGCGTAGAATCAGGTAAAATATGTGCTCCCAATTTTCGAACGCACCGTATATTGATATAATAATTACGTTAAAATACAACCAACTGACCAAACTGACGCGTCAACCAGTAAAGTTAATTAAATATTAAAAGCAAATCAAGGCACACAAATTTCTACAAACATCAAGTCGCATGCTTCTTACTGGGAACCCCGGTGTTGGGTTTTTGGCCCATCAATATTCGCTTGTTTAGTTTCTCGAACCTTGGGAAATGATGGTTTTGGTGCGTTTTGGGCACGCCCGCCGTTTTTTTTTCATTGCGGATCGCAGGGGCGCACTTATCTACAAAATATTCCAGCACGGTAAGTCGATAAAGATGTAACGATTTGCGGATCTTCACTAAACGCCACTGGAAGTGCAATATAATCGAGACGATCTGACAGAAAGTCAGATAATTGTAGTAAGATATTGTTTATATCAATTTCTCAATTTTCCTACCTGTTTGTGTTAATACATTTTTTTTAATGATTAAAATTTTGCATGCAATAGAATCGAGAACATCTGACAAAAAGTCAGATAACTGTAGCAAGATATTGTTTCTATCAATTTCTCAATTTTTCTACCTGTGTGTTAATACACTTTATTTTAATGATTAAAGTTTTTTTTGGGTAAGTAAAGCATTCAGACCTATTGGCCACGTAATAAAAAATGTTCTTATGCTATGACTATGAACTTTACATGAACTGATGAACTGATAACAGCTTTTATTTTTTCATTCTTTAGTAGAACTTAACACATGAATTAAAATATAATAGTGCTAAATTTCGGTTTAATAGTATCATTGAGACAGAAGAAGAGTATTCAATTACTCGTCAAGTATTGTTAACATAGGGTGTCAAGTGTCAACAGGCCATGAAAGAACTGCTACCATTTCTTTGTGGATCGACTCAAGTTATTAAAAATGTGTTTTGACATTAAACTTAATTACTAATATCGAAATACAGTAGTAACCAATATATTACTACGTTTCAACGTATACTCCTGTAAAAAAATTTGACACATTGACATACGCACTTCTCGTGCTGTTGATGTTAAGGCATTCTTTAAATAAATAAACTATACATAATATACTATTAAAAGTTGTTCTATTTAAAATAGTATAAGGATATTTTAGTCGGGCTACATTACATATTACGAGTTTAAGCAAGTGGATGTACTAAACAGTTAAACCTGACAGTTAAAAAAAGATAATTATGTACTAATTTCATGCAATTTAGTATTATTAGAAATTCATAAGTAGGTAGATAGCAACGGAAAATTTTTACATGATTAAACAACTTGCTGACGGCTTTGCGTGTCAATGTCGTGGCATCCATTATTTTGAAAATCACATAAACATCTTATTTCCGACCACAAGTATAATGAGGCTGGCAGTTATTGCAATTAATAATAGATATATATGCGGTTGCATGTACAGGTTGTCCCATTTTGAGGGTCCGCTTGTATTGGTTTATTAGAAGGATTTTTTTGCTTATTTAAATATAAGACTGCTTCCGCACCTTTTTTTTGATACTTACAGTAGACTCCGCTTACTTCTAGAAAATCTTATTTGCAAAAAAAATCGAAAAACGTTTTAATGTTATTTGTCCAAACATTTTTACTTGCCTAAATTTAGCGTATAATCTATAGCCACAGCAACGAATCTTCGTATATCTGGTTGGAATCATCAAAAATCGGCAAAAGTTCGAAGTGCCTGTTATATAATGTCAGTTATAACAGTTATACCACGATCTTTTGTAGCATTCTAAGATTCTTAACGAAACGAGTCCGTAATGGACGGGTATTTCTTTCTATTAACTGAAGAAAGTCAGTTGCACGTATTTGAAACCCTTATCAGATATAAACGGACCTTGCGTGATAATAAGGCCGCTATATCAAAAAATATTCTCATGCGCGAGTAATTTCAAAAATATTTTTCAGCCAATAAGGCCTATTCAGTAATCAACATGGCCGCTGACAGTTCATCAATTTTGCATTAATTTTATGGTGTTTGCGATCCATATGATCTCCATATGTGCATAATAATTGTTATCGTTGCGACCAACAATTTTTTGAAAAAATTATGTCAAGAATTTTTGTTGTATCTTCCCACGTAATGGTTGTTATTTATGAAGGGGCAGGGGCGGACGAGTAAATGTTTAGTGAATAACGTACTTTTAGATTTGGCCATCATAAATGTATGTCTTTGTTCTTGTCCCTTTTAACAAGCCGTTTAAATATAAAAGACAGAACTTACTTCAACAAAATTATAACCTTGATATTTTGTAGAAGTTATTGGCCCTTAATGATTTAGTCGTGTTAAATGTAAGACATAAAATGGCAAAAATACTACCTAAGGATTCTACGTCTTCATAAATCTCCGTTCCGTACGTAACCATGGAATTTCAAGACCTTACAATTTTAAATTCAACTAGCAAACAGTAGTAAAGTGACGAACGAAATTTTAATTTAATCAATATCAACTTATTCTTGTATAGTTTTATCATTGTACAGACCGAATCAAACTCCATGGTTCCATGGCGTTTACAGTATTTCTCGAAAAGTTCAAAACTGAAAAGTTTCTAATGCGTCGCCCCTAGTGTGGGACTCGCCCGATTCTTGACGCGGAGGAACGATGTTTTGGTTAGTTAGATGTTTTTTTAGGAACGTATAGTCCCAACAGAACTCTAGATAAAGTAACAGCGAAAAAGCAAAGCAAATTTGCGGGATTTAAAATTTATAATATACTAAAGGATTTTTGTCACCTACAATTGGAATTAATATATCGAGTTTTCAAAAGTGGGTTGACATTATGAAACGATTAAATTTTAGTAAATGCTACACTTTTGTTAAACAATTTTAAACTTGGTCCCTTAATAAAATTTGAACCTTGACAGACTCTATAACGATTTCCATGTTCATTAGACTCTGTAATTGTTATATACTACGAATTTATTCCAATTGAAGTTAAAACTAGTGCTAGTGTAATTATTGGAGCTAAAACGTTGGATGAATTAATAAATTTCGTTTGTTTCTGCCTATTAACACAAAAAAAACATTTATTAAAAAAAGTCAACGATGCATTTTTTTTAAATAAAGATCCCCATTGTTTAAGCATTTTTAAATAATGTTGAAGCCAACCTAGACTCGAGGTTAAAGACATCGCCAATATGCTGTTTTAAAAAATAATCAAAAGAATAAAAATCATTCGCAGTGGTTTGAAGAACGTAACATGAAAAAGTAATAAAAATAGTTCTTATCATGAGGAGTGCTGACACTATTGAATAGAGCGGGAAAGTGTCCACCCAAATATGGTATTTAAAAAGTTAGAAGAAAAATAAAATGATTTTTCAAAATTTAGTTTCTTTTTCCTCATGTCTCTGAAATTTCTCTAAATTTGCTGAATTTTCGACACGGTATATGAATAGGAATTTTGTATAATATTTTAAATAATACGCAAGATCTAATTTTAAGGTTTCAAATACTAAATTCAAAAACTGAAGTTTATACTAAACTGAAGAACTTGAGACAGTTACAATTCAGTTATAATTATTTCGCCATAGAGTGTTCAAAAGGTTAATTTAATAAAATAAGAATTGTTCACTTTATAAGTATGTTTGTACTTGTATTTAGTATTAGCTAAATTCGAAGAATGTATTAAAACTGGGGGCGCCATCAGGCGCGCAAGAGTCATAGTGTATCTCAAACATTTTTGAAACACGGTGTATCACAAATTATTCAAATATTTGTAATCCTAAACATACAGACCTACGACGTAGTTTCGAGCCAATTTTAATTAGTAGTTAACTTATAAATAGCAGCGCATCGAATTTGTTTAAGAAGTTTTTATAATCATGGGACTTGGAAGGCGACCTTTCAAAACAAAGTCAAAATGACCTAATCAGAGGGGACAACGTTACGATAATTGTTGTCATTCAATTGCGAGACGCTATACATCGAAACAAGATTTTCAATCGAAATGCATTTTATATAAAGTGTTGCTTTGAAATACCGAAACAAGTCGGAACACAGATACATATAAGTACTTTTATATAACTTTTATAAAACGACTTATCGAAGTTTTGGATATATATTTTTGAATTATACGTAATATAGCGAATGATAATGACGCCTCTCCTTCTTCGTTAACTTACTGTAAACTGACGCGTTTACATTGAAAAATCGCATTTGTAATTACGTTTTCCGAATCGAATCGTGCAAAATTTTTCCAGCTTTCCACCCACCTATTTTCGACTCCAATTTGGTGTAAACGAAAATGATTGTGAGGAAATTTCGACGACTAATCCCGCTCGATATTTTATCGACATCGAACCTTTCCGGAACATGGATTCCTCCGCATCACCACAAAAACACCACAGCGCCGGAATCGCACTGCTCGTACCGAGGACACCCGGGGCCAACATCCAAAAGTCCCCACCCCTTTCCGAACGACGGAGACGATGCCCGTGGCGAAATCTGAATCGAGCGTTCCGTTGCCGGCTTCTAAGTTCAAAGCGTTGAAAGACTGGATATTTGACTATATGGTCGAAGGACGGAGCAGTGAGCATCACAATAAATTTCTTCCAGTGGCGTGACCAGAGCTGTTAGAGAAGTTTTAAGTAAGGAGGCGGGGGAGACGGGGTTTCAAAATTACTGCTGTTACTGAAAATTAGTGCCGAATAGAAAGAAGGAGAGTGTTAACATTTTGGTTGGTGAAATCTTGAAAATTAACGTCCGCATGCCAGAGTACGTGACATAGTTGTGAATGGTTTCCACGAAAGAAAAGATCATCTTAAAAAGTCTGCTTGACATACACCATGCGGGAATAGTGAGACGGTTGCGTAGTGTTTTGAACATTGACTGTTGCTAAGAGACTTTGCGTGCGTTAGTACAAAGAATTGGTCTTTATTACAAAACCATCAATAAGAGACAAGTTTTGATGGAATCAAAAAGAATTTCGGAGTGGGGAACAAGATATTTGAGAGAAATTCAAGAAAATCGTGCTAAAAACGTCCCCAACATATATTTAGAAAGGATGGACTAATGGTAACAGCAGGAAATGTTCATTGGATGTGCCAGTTTCGCGGGGCAAACGAATTATCGTATTACATGCGGTCTCTAAAGCTGGTTGGGTAGATAACGCTTTGTTGCTTTTTGCAAAAGATGTCAAAAAAGCAGAGGTTGACTATCACGAAAACATGGCAGCAGACATCTTTGAAAAATGGTTTTCTGAAAAATTGTTTCCCAATATTCTATCAAACAGTTTTGTCGTGATGGACAATGCCAGCTACCATTCTGCCCAAGCGGAAAAAATACCTAATTCATCATCGAGTAAAGAAGTCATTCAAAATTTTTTGCTTGAAAATGATATATTTTGAAAATTCCTGCACAAACAAGTAGTTATTGGCAGTTGGAAGTTGGAAGTTGACCATGGAGCGAGGATTCAAAGTTCTTCTCTCTTCTTCTTCGGCCATATTATTGCAATTGAAGTAAGTGATATGGGGACAGCTGAAAACCAGTTTAAGAAGAAACAATACCTTGCCGAAATTTAGTTCTGGGGCAATATAATTAAATAAAAGTGAAGTAGAAAAAATATCTGCTTCTGGTTGGAAAAAATATGAACAATAAATATATCATCGAAAAAGAAAATATTTACAGAAGTCGACTAATGCCAGAATTAATGATAAATATTCTAACATTGTTTTATAGCTAAATTTACTCCTTCATTTATATTTGTAATAAATATTTTAAAGTAAGAATGGATTTTTCACTAGATGGACTAATAATAATGGAGGAATATCAACGATGAAACTCTACACAAATCTTTCTTTCAGCATTTGTATGCACGTACCGAAGTACGGTTCTGGAATGTCATTGTGGGAGTGCGAGGGATTGGGATTGTTGAGGGTTACAAAGAGAAACCCAAGCGAGGTCAGACTGCGGTTAGACCTTCATACAAATTTACCAAAGTTGAATACCGGATTATGTGGTAAAAACGGTATATCGTCTGGAGAATTTTACCTACCTTTACAGTAGTAGAAGTTATATATGCAGGCGGAGCGCCAGTCCGTTTTGGTTGCTTGAATGTAATATACAAACATTACTAAATAAGAATATATTTAGTTCAGTTAGGATATTGGTAACTAATATTTAAACATAAGTTGGAACTAGGGGCTTCATTTGAAAGGTTTATTCATTAGCAACTTCAACTTTATTCCACACAAATGAACAGAAAGAAAAATTGAAACTTTATTGAAGAAATTAACATGAAAAAGGTATATTTCCGGGTGTCCCGAAATCAAACCGCAAAATGGTGATTTCCAGTAAAAGATGGCTGAAATTAAGCTAACTTAGTTTATTTTTTCTAAGAACATGCACTTTAGGTGTTAAATATCCGGATTGGCGATGCCTCGACACTGGTCATAAAATATTTCCAATTCAGCATGAAGAGTTTATGTGTGTAATATATATAATGTAAGATATCTGTAATGGGAGCTTATTTTAATAAAACTTCTAAGATTCAGTTTTGAGGATTTTTTCAAGCTATTCAGTATTAAAGAATCAGATTGATGGGTTGGCACAATAATACTTTGGACAAACTTCTATTAGCCTCAGTCAGTCAGTTTAAATATATTGAACAAAAGTTAATAATAATAATGCAATAAAACGGACACCTCAAAAAAGTAAAAAATACGTTGTTTAATTAACTTTTGCACTAAGGTAGAGAACAGTTTTTTAATACTCTTCAATTCTTTGTGTTTTCTAGAGATTCTTACTTATTTTGACAAATAGAATGAAGCGGTGTTGATGCTGTTGTCCCAATTTTTCGAGAAATCAAAAGTGCTCTAAATACAGTGAATTTGTTTTTGAGAAACGAACATATCAGGTGATTATGTAAAAACAATTGTTTTTTATTTCATAAATAACGATACTAATAAATAAATAAATAATACAAACAGGCGTTAACAGTTTAATCAAATAATAAAAAGTTATGGCGGTTCCCTTAAAATACGCCACTTTTATAAATGCCCTATTTCAAAAACGCGCTAGAAATTTTGGTTATATCATAAGTTTCATAAAAAATTGGAATATATCTTCCTATTTTTAAATATAATTTCAATACCGTGCAAAATTATGGATTTCAATTTCAGCCGCATTTTTTGACAAAATTTAGAGCACACAAGATTTAACTGTTTGCGTTGTCACAAATATTTTCCCATAACCCCAATACACTTGTTTCCGGCGTATCTAATAATAATTGTTTTTATCATTTTTAGCCTCGACAGTATTCGTTTATAATTTCACGGTTTTCGACTTATTGTTTACATAATACGTAATTTATTAGCATCAAAATTGGCGTGTCGCCTGAATGTACAGATTCTATTTGCCTACTACTACTACCACGAAAACGCGGATCAAACAAACGAAAAAATTTTATTTTCATAGGGATCTAAAATTATTGTAATAATATATGTAATATAACGGAAAAAGTCTATTATAGTTTTATATTTTTTTTCTACTCTCGTCTGTAAAATACCTAATTACCCACTGGTCTGCGGGAAACGTCAAAACGTGGAAGCAATCGGATGTTTTCGGAGATTTTACCGCACGGCTTGAATTTTGACGTTTGTCAATTCTGACTGTCATGTCAGTAAATGTATTCGTGTTGTTTTGCGAAACGGTGCTAACGGTCTTAGAAAAAGTATAGTATGCAACACGTTTGGTAATTTTTTTAAGTCATTCTTATATTAAGCGCTCGCTCCGCTCGTGCCAAATAAATTTGTAACTCAAATGCCTTTTTTCGCACTTGTTGCATAATTTACTATTACGATATAGGTATACGCCGATTAAAATTTCCCACTCTCTTCTCTAAACCACCCAAATATGCACTGATCAACGGTGTGTAAAGTGTCACTTTAAAACATCAGCTTCGATAAACACTGTGGCGAGCCATTTCGGGTGTACTTAATCGCGGGTTTCGGAGCTATTAAGTTTGTAGAAAAATATACATCCATTGTGACGATTTCTTTCAAAAATGATTAATTCTTCCATCGTTGACAAGAGATAACACCAAGTTGATACGGTTCATTTAGGAATTTTAGTGAACCAGACAACCCTTGTCTTTTGGTGATAAAAGTTTCAGTTTCTTTCAATGCATTCAATTTTATGATGGTATAGTAACTCGTGACGATAGTGAATAACTAAATAAATGAATAAATAAATTTAATTCATCATATTATTTCAGACTACCTACCAGTGAAACGAGATAAAACATACATATTACTTAACTAGTAAACTACCTCATATAGTTTAATGTAAATTTGATATGACGAACAATAGCAAGGGCTTATTTTTTTTCAATTTTATAATCTAAATGCTTTTATTTTTAACAAAAAAAATTCTTGTTTATTATCGCTAAATGAACACAGTTTTCAAGAAAAACAATAATACAGAAATTATAATAAATTGATGCTGCATTTTTAATTAAAAAAAATTAACACAATCAATTATTTATTTTTCTTTACAAACAGATGGAAATTAAAAATCTACAGACATATACTTTTTCTCAATCTCCTCAGAGACCATTTGTTTTTTTACTTGTTTTTTTTTTATATAAAAAAGCATTCATGTTTTTTCTCAAAGGGGATTTTTTCCAGAGTAAACAAAAATTACTTTCTTAAATTTTAAAGATTATTTTATATAGGTTCTATATGGTGTTAAAAAACATTACTTAATTTCAAGGACAATATTTTAATTTTAAAAAAGTTTTTCCATTTTTATAGACAATAAATTCCTATACCGATAATATTCTTAGCTAAAATGGACAGCTGTGTTTTTTTGTCGGTATGCTATTAGTAAAAATTAAATGGTTTTAAGCGACCTTCCTGGTCTAAATTATTTATAATTAATTTAGAACAAAAAAACTATAGGCAATAGCAAAATCAAATAAAAAGAAGATGAAAGCAACACACTAAAGAAACGTTCAGTAGATTAAGTACAACTGGTTGCCTATACACGCTGCAATACTTGGTCTTGTTTTAAATCTTCCCCACTAAAAGCAGTATTTGCTGCCTCCCGGAATCACCTGTAGAATTATCGTCAGTGGTGAATATCCGCGACGGCGGTTGGTCAAATCAATACGAGAGGTACCACCAATTCGAAAGGCATACCTATACTGAGTTGTTTATTTACCAAGGACGTGCGCATTCGTTTGATGACCATGAGTGTCGCGAAGATCTCGCTGGATGACGACCAGAAATTTGCACTGATGAAGGTGAGCTTGTTGTGGCTGTCGTAACGTTTGTATGCGGGAACACGATTGTCTGTTTCGATGATTAACCGTAAAAAATTATTTATCATTAATTATTATATAAAGTAGTATAAACTTTTAAATTTGACACATTCAATGACAGTACTGTAAGCATTATAGGGGTGATAGTTTTTCTATCGGTAAATAAGACATACTTTTAATAAACTTATCCCTTGGCAGGAAAAGTAATTTCATTTGCATTATTATACAGGCATGTATTTATTTCTGATCAGTGTTAGTCGTTTAAAAAATAATTCCTCTTTAGAGTTATCACTTTTCCAAAATCAAAGCCCCGTTGCAATGTTTTTGTTAGTTAGTTGTTAGTTAGTGCAAAACGGTTGTTGCGTCTCTTAAAATATCATCTAACCTTCACTGCAAAAAGGTAGAAATGATTTTTTTGTATTAAAAACTGTTAAACAACCAACAACCGTCACGGTAACAAAGTCTTTGTAATTTAGCCTCATGAAATGTACGCAATTAAAATGGACATCGTTTTTAGTTTAAACTAATTTTTTGTTTTAATTAAAAAATGCTTTTAATTATTTCCTATTTGTGCTTTTAACATAAATTATTGATTCATCATTTTCTCGATAAATCGATTAACGCTTATTACTTACACTTTCACATATTTTCTTAATCAATTGTGAGAGGGTTAATAAATTGGCCACCGTCCTATATAAGATCTTTTGGTAAAAAATCAATTTTCTGAAAATACAAACTGCACTACACAACAGTAGAACATTGTATAATATATAAATTTATTTATATATATATTTAGGTTCATTGAAAATAATAAATGTTTCGTTAATTGAAGTCCGAAAATTATGAAATTTCTGAAAATTATGAAAAATTATGATTCCATTGAATACCGAGAAAGTACTTACCATTGCGTTAATACCGTCGCTAACAATATAACCTATTAGCAAAACTAGGAGGCATAAAATAATATAGGCATATTACCTTCTTTGGTAATCAAATTTAAACAGGTAATTTAACTGAATGAACCAGTGGCGTAAGCAAAACTTCAATTTGATGAAAGCTGCCGGCCAACGCGATTAATTATTAACACATTATTTATAAAAAACCGCTTGGAAATTTAATTCAAATTGAAATAATAATTTATATAATGTCTCTATTTATATTCGCCGATTATTTTTATTTGCTCGCCCTGGTTTTTCTTTTCCGACTGACTAACCAGGGAAAGCGGCGCTGCGTTTTTATTCAATCCAACCGTGTTCGCCGCGATTCCTGCGTATGCGCCAGAGCTCCTGAAAGGTAGACGGGGGCCATATTGCAGTATATAATTTTCAGAAGTAATGACCGCTGCATTGCAGTATATAATTAAACACGCACGCATTTACCTTAAAATGTACATTTAACCAATATTTTTAATTTTTGTCAAAAAGCAAAACATTTACTTTCTTTTTCAAAACATACATTATCATGGTATAAAGTTCGTTTTTCGTTATGAAATGGTTTTCGTTATGAAATGGAAATACTTAATGGTGTGTCAACACCGAAGAACATAATTTTTGGAATCATTTTAGGAAAAAAAATCAAAATCCGTTTTTGTATTATCTAAAAAACGATTTTGTATATCTTTTTGAAATTTGCACATTCTGTGCACAAAACTTTTTTATTTCGAAAAAAAAAATGCTACGCCACTAGTATTTAGTTAATATTGTATTTAGCTTATTTCTGCGTAAAAGTCATCCTTTGCCTTTTTCTTGACAGATAATAATTAAATTAAGAATGTTACATTTCGCTAATATGGAATAAATTACCGTTTATAAATTTCATTGTTATATTACTTCTCGTTGTTTTTCCGTTTGGTTAATTTATATTTTGTGCAAATTTTCAATAGGGTGAATTATACATGTATGTAACTCTAAGTTATCACGTTTAGAACATACGCTTCTTCTTAAAAGAGAGCTCAGGAATGATCTTCTTCTTGGGACCCCATTAAGGTACACCCTGTATATACATATACATTACTGCAACCAAATGCAATACTAGAAAATTTTTATTTGTTACCCTTAAAAATGTTGAATGTATTAGTGCAGAACGCAGTTATTGTCATAGATGGCATTACATGTATTGTTTTTGAAATAACTTCCTTTTTGGCCTACGAGACTAGAGAAGAAGCACGCGGTGGAATGGCGGACCAAGTGTAGAATGAATTATGTTAGTTTTTTTATAAATTCCAATATTTAATACATCCTTCTTAAAATAAAACGCTTCAGTGTGTGTTATTAAACCCACATAATTCAAGAAAAAAGAGTCAAAATACATCATAAGCAATAAATATAAACACTCTATTCTTGCAGTTGTCTGCCACTAGTTTTACACTATCCGTCACATCATTAGCATTGCCTGCATTACTGCAACTAGTCTAGTTCCATTGGTGAAATTTACTGATGGAACGCCTACTCCTTAGCGGATTTTAAAATAACGTTTGTCTCCAAAACCACTTTACTGAAACTAATAAAACAACTCTCAATCATTTCCGTTATCGGACCCCTCAGGTCGTATAAGATGGCAAGTTTCGGCTTCCAGTGCTAATTTCCGAATATTAGCCAGACACCCTGCTGCCGCCTCTTGGAGCTTCCAATCCGTCGACGACACGGCTTTGAGCAAGAATGGTACTACCCCGCTCTCATGCATCGTAATGCAGTTAAAGGGGTTGCTGGATAGATGGAAGAGGGCGAGCGCGGTCGTCCGGTGCACCCCCGCGTCACCATCCGCCATATATTGGACCAGCGGAGTTATGGCGCCCAACCTAAATTCATTTGTTTGGCGTCGATGATGAACGTTGAAATGGATCTTCTTACCGTCCAAATTCCTTGCAGTTCGATCCCCAAGCGCAGCAATACGCGACTGCCGAAGCCAAGTGTTGTCTAAGTTCGACGTCTTCAGTTTCCACCAAGTTTACTAACATCGGCACAACCCCATGATCTATAAAATCGGAAACAATAATTTCCCATAAAAAAAATTGTATCGAGTTAAATTTATTACCTCATTTAGAGACTTTATTTTAGGAGATACATTAAAATAAAAATCGTTTGTCATTACATTCTTCAGTCATAAAAAAAAAAAACATGAAAGTAATTCTAATCCGGGGAACCAAAAGTTTTTCCAGGATTACAGTGTCAAGCTGTTCAGGCTATTTTCAAATTGGAAGATCATTAAATAAAAAATATGGACCCAATTTTCTCTACAAAAATCTTAGGAAATCGCATGACATGCACACAAACCTACATTAATACAGAATCCAGAAAGTTATATGTTCATTGTTAAACCGTTCAAACAATATAATGGAAGGACATTTGCGATTCAGTTGAGTCGCAAAAAAATGTCAAAGTTTCAAATTAATCATTTTAAAAGAATTACCAGAAAAGGTTATTTAGTTGTTTAGTTTAAACTGGACAACCAGAATTAGGACATCGATATTAGCAGAAGAGAAATTTTGTACCATTCTGCGGTGGTTTGCTAGTGCTGCTGGTGATCTTCGATCAGTCTGCACAATCCAAAACTGACCGTTAAGTCTTAGGGGACAACGACGCTTGCGAATCAGTAAACACTCTCTGGTTTATCAGTCCAAAATCCCTAAATAAAACTTTATGTATATAGCTCGCTAATGCCCCAAGTCTCGCACCCCCGAACGTGTCAACGTTATATGGGAGTATAGGTTTTTATCGCCATTAATTTTCTCATAAAAATTAATCTTGTAACCCGTAGGTTATTTTTTTTTTTTTTCCAAAATGAGTTTCACTCTACATTTAAGATGGAAATCGTAATAAGTGCATAATTTTTACCTGTTATAACAGCTAAATTCTCGATGTCTTTCGCCACTTCGGATATAGCCGCGCAAACGCATGCCAGTACGTGAGAATTTGGAGACTTGAGAAGATTGACGATAAGTTCCAAACCACCCACGAAACATCTCACCATTTCGCCAGAATCTGTGGCGTGGCGAATGCAAGGCACCAAAGACCAAGCCGCGTTGGCTTGGACCTAAAGGGAAATAAATTGTCCACCAAATTCTTCAAATGGATCAATTTCTAGCATTTAAATGGATGCATATAAGGAGCAAAAGATGTCTCTACAAGTATTGAGTGGGTCGACAGTATGACGGAATGATCAGTTTGGTTAATATGGTGCTACAACCGCTTTCAAATACTCTATAAACTCAATTCCCAGTAAGGCCGTGTTATACATACACCAAGCAATAAGTTGCATTAACATGGGATACGTTACACTTCATTTGATACGCAAAATGGCTGGAACAGTTCAAGAATTTTAAAAAAACGTACAGGGTCACCATATATTTGTGATTTTTTCAATAGTATCTCATTCTCAGCCTAATAACCTTTCGATATACGTTTCTTAGTCTGTAATTTTTATGTCGTACGATGTGTTCACAAATTTGGAAGGTTTTCAAATTAGGGGAATCTTTTAGAACTAATAAAGAGGTATTAAAATGTAAGGAAAATCAGATGCTCTGAGAAATAAGTGGCACACAATTTTTCGATTTAAAATAAATTAATATGAACATTTTAAAACCAGTTCTGCAGCCATTTGTTGCAGTTTAAAATTTGAGAGCAACATCTTTAATCGAGCGATTGATTTAGTGTAGTAAAAAACAATAGTAATCATCCGTACCCATCTTAACTAAAAATGAACAGAAGTGAAGAATTTATTTTGGCTTTTAACTCTGGTGACGATGTTACGAAAAATTCCAAGGTACCTAGTAACCAAATTACCAAAAATATATCTTTATATTACGCTTAAATACTTTCGGTGAAGTCGTTATCTTCAGCTAACGACTTTGTTTACCAAAAAAAAATTCCAAAACTGTTAATGATTAAGGAGTCGTTAGATATTTCTTACTCGAAAAACATGTTATCGAGAACCATGTTGGTTTAAAGTATGTTAGATCTCATTCAGTTGTAGTATAAAAACTATCAAGATGAACGTGAAATCCGCTCCTTAAAAATTATGAAAAGAAAGCTCCAAACATATTTCGTGAAAGAATGTCCTGCTAAATTTAAATGAAAAAGAAGTAAAAATGGCTTAGAAGTACCACTGTACTTTAGAAAATACTATATTTAATTAGTTTCAATCGAGGTTTAAACTTTCTTCTCACAGATCGTCACAAATCATTAAGAACAAGTCAACGTAGATCAAGTCAATTGTGGAAATCCTTGATCAAACGCTGAAATCTCATTGGCTGAATTTTTAGGCACGTTATGAAATTAAAAATTAGAATTAACTAAAACTTTCACTCTTTGTTCTTGTTAAATAAATTTACTTCCACAAGTAAATTCTTTTATGTTATAAATAAACTAATTAATTTGAATATGCAATCCATTTATACGCATTTAGACAGTGATTATAGTGTTTTTTTTGGGGTAAAACAAATCTTTGGGCGGACAGGTAAAATTAATAATTAATGTAGCGTGATATTTGCTGCATCCCAAAATCCAAATTAGAGTTAATTGTTAATTTTATAATAATACAATAACGATCGATTATTACCTAAAAATTAAGTATTTTACAGGGTGTCCAAAAAAATGTCAATATGAAGATACTTTTTCAAACACCCTGTTTAATTTTCAGTTAGATTTTTTTTTTATCGAGTGCTAATGTCACACATGCGTTTACTGCTGAGCGGGTTAAACATTTTAATTTTACATGTGTTCTGCAGTTGCAAATTATTTACGATCCTGTCAGCAACTCCAATTTTTTTACCGATTTCGGTAGCTTTTTTTTCTTTTGGAGTGCAAAACGCGCAAGTTGGTACATCTACATAGTCCCTGCGTTTCTTACCCTCGGCGAGTCATTTTTCAACAATGACCAAATCAACCTAACACCGTCGAGCTGCTCGATGATTCTCATCGATTCTGGGTCTTCTGCGCATTCTCTCAAAACCATGGGGACATTCTCCAACAACGGAGAATAGGTGTAATTAAGCAGGTTAACCAGGTGGGGTATACCTTCCGCCCTTCTTAGCGCGGCGCGGTTATGTTCAAACTTAAGACACTCCCCAAGCGCTCCCACCACGTTGCTCAACACCTCTTCATTTTCTTCTACGTTTTCCAGTAACTTAACCAATACCTAATAATGGCAGTAGAAACCTATTTCATATAATTACGTCCTTAGATGGTCCTAAGTAACATTTCTCAGACACTTGAATTTGTTCAGTTAGAAGTTTCAGTTCACTAATGAACTTTTATTACAAAACCAATTTGAAACATTAATCAGCATGATTTTTATGATTTGCCGACTTAAAATGAAAGTGTTGGATGACAGGTTCTATTAGGCGAGTAATTATTATATACGTCGCTAAGAAAGTTAGCCTTTAAACATAAAAAAAATTCCAGAGTACTTTATAAAATTAACCAAAACTGACCTTATAAATACCTCATACGAACTGGTTTTTTTCTTAAAATATTTTCCTATAAATTTTTTAAAGCAGTAAGATATCAAATTCTATGTCGGGGTTACTTTTAACTGGCGTTTATACCACAGGATAGGAATGCATTTTTTAATTTCATCCCGAAACGTTGTGGTTCGACAATATCTTAATATGTTCGGTTGATAATTACTAAACCAGTTGTTTTACGGAAACCCAATGAACTGAAAACTGAAACGTATGAGCCTGGTCATTATTATTATGTTTGGTGACTTCGAAAACAAGTGGTTGAATATAACATATGTTGATGAATAAAGATGGTTGATAGAAGTTAGCCACAAAGTTACTGCGAAAATAGAAAAATAGCTATCATACTTATCATTATGTTTCATAAAAATCAAAATTTTAAATAGTCGAAAGGTAACGTCTTTCAACCTTCAAACTTGTACCTGTGCTAAGTTGTGGCGCAACTGATGATGAATAATTTAGATGTCATTAGACACGCGTGGGTTTGATGTCAACCGCGTTTTCTGATATTTTAACATTTCTTAACATTTAACTCATTTAATAGGTTAAGCATTCGTCTTCACGGTTAATTTATTATCGAAACCGATCTGAAAATTGTCAATTTTCAATACTGTTTAGATAATTCAAAATATCTTCCGACCTCAAGATTTTTAGTCGCTCGATGATTTCATAAATTTCTTCAAGAGTTTTTTGGGTTGAATAAAGAATGACTATTTTATTCGTTCATCGTGATATTTTATATTTTTTATATCTACATGTTTCTATATTTGTAGAGTTCGGAAATATATAAACTTTTCATCCAGGAATACAAGCATCAGCAACGGAAAACAATATTGTAGTTTCGGTTAGTTCTCGTTCCTTGGTTTGGTTAATAATGATCCTCGACTTTCCAGTAAAGGCCGAACGACTGGACAAACTATTAAAAAAAGAACCAGTACTTTCACTATTTTCGTAGATTATTTATTAGATTAGAATATTTCACAAGATATTATTTTGCAACAAACTATCTACACAACAATAGAAATTTATCAGGCTCGAAAATCTGTATCCATGACGCAACTGACGTTGTTTTATTCAAATCAATAAATTCAGTTTGTATTTACCAAACAAGACTTACCAAGGGGCGAGTTCAACAACTTCACCTTAACGTGAAAACCAACACTTTGCATACGTTGAAGTACTAGCAATGTACAAATAGCAAGACAGTTCAAAATCGGGGAAAAAATCGTTATAACTTTTGAGTGAAGGGTTGAGACTAAAAAATAAATGCCGGTGTTGAACCCTTATCAATCATGTATCTGTCGAGAAAAAATACGGAGATATACGGCCTTTTTTGCTTATGCATATAGCTGCCAATAACAATTTAAGACTTCATAGTGATCAGGGAAAACCCAAACTAACTAACCTCGACTGTTTTGAGCTGATCGAACCTCTCCACGTTTTCGGGACTGATGGCTGTTTTCCAGATCGCACCTGTAACCGCCGCAAGCAGCTTCTTATCTTCTTTGGTGTTTGAATCGCTGGCCATATTCACAAGCGGATCCAATCCTCCTGATTGTCTTACTATATCCCTGGTCGCAGTCTTTTCGCAGCATTTGAAAATAGTATCCGCACAATACCTCCGCAGGTCCGGAAATTCCTGGTAATACAAAGTCGTTCCCAAAAAAGTTTTTTGTCTTGTTCTCGAGTTACCCCTGCATATAAATGTGTCACTATGTCCCTAATCATCCCCTCTGTTTGGATTGCCAACTGGTAGTTCGGATCATTGGCGCACTGCGAAATAGTTCCCATAGTCGGCACAACAACCTCCATGTGAACCGATCTACAACATCAGACGCTAATCCCTCGAAAAGTATCAATGGCATCATTACTTCCACTACCTCAACAATCTGGCTAACAGAGGTACCGAGCCGCTCTTCATCATCACCTGGATATTCTTTTTGCTCTTCGAAGCAGACCACAAAGCTTTAACCGCGGCCTGTACAATATTCACCTGTTCGACTTCGTCTTTGCTCAATTGTTCTTTGGGCGTCTTCAAATATTGTTCGTCGATGTCGAGAAAATCGACCAGTTTCGGAATGCCATCGCATTTTCGAATTTGTTTTCTGGCTTTTCTCACTTGAGCCACGTTGTATATGGTTTCCGCTACCAGAATCTGTAGATCACGGGCCGGCTCCTTCAAATTTTTCACGAGTAAGTCTACGCCGCCTAGATTCGCGATACTACGGCGTATGTCCTGGTTTTGCGACAGCTCCGCGAGAACGCTCAATGCTCCTAACTTGCATTTTAGGTCTTTGGTCTCCAGCAGATTGATAAGTAGTTCCAGTCCACCGATTTCCTAATACGAAGCACTTTTTCGTAACGTAATGCTGTAGTTATGATTAGTTTGGTGTAGTTTTCCAAAAAGATACAGGTTCGCGAACTGTACTGTACACACGACACAAAAATAAAAGGCTCTTATCAAATTTCGACAAAATCATAAATAATTGCTGGTCTAACGTCTTTATCCAGATTTTTTTACTACTTCCCGAGTATCCCAGTTGATATAAAGTTTCAAATGTCACTTATTCTTCATAGGTATCGAGTATGACTTACCAACCGATGATATCTACGTAACGGGGTGTTCAATATTTAAAAAAACGATTTCAGCGAAAATTGACAAGTCATATACTACATGTAATTAAGCTGATGGTAGTCAATTTCCACATTTTCTTTAGAGTTAATTTTGTAGAACTCAGTGGCCAAATCACGTTTGGTCAACTATCATCAACTCAAGAGTCAAAAAAGCTGTACATTTAGTGGCAAAGTAAATAAAAATTGCAACAAAGTCAGTGACTTACATATCTTTGATAATACTGTTCGTTAGGATACATCCCAAAGCAGCACTTAGCACTGAATATCACAATTTATGCATTTAATCATTATAAATGATGTTGCTAAATATCAAAAAAATCGGAAAAAAAACATCTCATAGCTAAGCATTTCCGGACCTACATATATATAAACTTTATTTCTTTTTTACCGAGCTTCTGTGCGTGATTCATAAAAAGCCTGTAAAATCTAACTTTCAAGCATGAACATGTTGGCTTACCTGTATGGCTAGCTGATTAATTTCAGTGGTTAAATCGTGGTCTTTCAGGCAACAAAGAGCGACCACAGTCGCTGTTTGATTTCCGGTTTTCAAATACTTGACCAGTTTCTGAATGTGCCAGTACTCAGGTGGAATGTCAGTTTTGGGTCGTTCCACATGCCCTTCATCATCTGATGACAACCTGGGCAATTATATTGCTACGTTATACAGTTTAAATAAATTCGATCTGTAGAACGGGGGACAAAAGAAGTTGTTAGCGCTTAACGGGATAATCAATGGATAGTCAATCATATTTAAATTATAGCATTTAACTTGCTAAGTCAAAATTGCATTGTATTGCTTAGGTAACTTTTGAAACCTACTTTCCCATATTGTTATTTATTGAATATTAAGTACTGAATTTACATTAGGAGACTTATTATAATGAGCGACTAATTCATTGTTTTAAATCTTTTAAATTTGGCTTAGTTATAATAAGTCTTTGCTTTTGCCAGAAATTGTCGATATAACTTGCCGACGCCAATAAAACACCGGCCTGAACTTCTGTAGGAGCATCAGGTGTTTTAAAAGCATAACGATTAATTAAGTTTGTTTAGATATAATAAAATCACATTAGTACAAACAGAAAATTCGATCAGGCTGAATATATACAATGTATCAATAATCATCTAAAAATATACGGTTTTATTGAAAATCTAATTATGTTTCACTCTCAGGATCGTCATTAAGATTAATTACAATGGGCTGTCTGTTACTTTGTACTTCAATTTTGAAAATGTGCTGTATTGAATTTTTGCAGCTCTCAACATGTATATTATTAACTACATGTTCAAACCAGTTTTCAAAAACAATCATAAAACAACAACAACAACAAGCGGTTTAAAATAATTCAAGTTTCATCTAGGTAAATTATACATGCTCTATACTTTTTAATTTCCTTACCACTTTTTTTTTGAATATTTTGCACTCATGTCACAAATAATTCTACGGAGTGTAGTACGACTAACAATTTTATTAGTTTCATCTTCTTCTAGCTTGGCATATTTTCCTGATTATATCTTGTTTACTATTGTCCATCAAATTGAATTTTACCACTTTAATTTTTTCCTTCATATATTGGGTTGTTCGGAAAGTCATTTCGTTTTTTTTGGAGAACATGAAAGACAGTTTTCGTATAATGAATAAATATTTTATTAAATTATATATTGGCGGTTCTGGTCCAACACCTTTTGCCATCTTTCTGGCAGTAACATAATTCCCCTCTCATAAAAGTTTTGGTCCTTGCTGGCAAAAAACTGGTTCAGGTGGTTTTTGACATCTTCATTTGAGGTAAAGGTTTTGTCATCCAAAAAATTTTGCAGGGACCGGAACAAATAGTAGTCGGAAGGTACCAGATCTGGAGAATATGGTGGATGTTGCAGTACGTCCCATTCAAGCTGTAAAAGTTTTTGGCGAGTGACCAAACTTGTGTGAGGTCTCGCATTATCCTGGTGGAACACTACACCCTTCCTGTTGATTAATTCGGGCCTCTTCTCTTTAAGTGAATCATTCAATTTGTCCAGTTGATGACAATAGACTTCTGAATTAATCGTTGTATTGTCCGGCAAAAGCTCAAAAAAAAACGATTCCTTTGACATCCCACCAAACGGAGAGCATCATCTTTTTTTGGTGAATGTTGGCTTTTGACACGCTTTGAGCCGGTTCATCTTTTCTGCTCCATGACCTCTTGCGTTTAACATTGTTGTATACAACCCATTTTTCGTCCCCAGTAATAATCCGCTTCAAAAATGGATCATTTTCTTGACGTTTGAGGAGCGAATCACACACGTCAACGCGACGACACAAATTTCCTTAAATGCCTTTATCGCATCTTTGTCAGCTTCGACCGGCCTTCCAGACCGTGGTGCATCTTCGACATCAAAATTGCCGGATCGAAATTTTGCAAACCAGTTCTGGCACTGGCGTACTGTTAACACGCCTTCTCCATACACATCCGTCAATTTTTTTCTCGCTTGGACAGCATTTTTACCTTTTCTGAAGTAAAAAAGTAAAATATGACGAAAATGCTGCTTATTGCTCTCCATATTTAAAAGGGCACCAACCAAAAACTATTGCGTAGAATTAATAGAACTTTTTCACACACAAGCCTTGCAATATCAGCTCTCAAGACATATAATGGTTATGCGGCTTAAGTGTGAAGTTGGTTTCGAAAAAACGTAATTAAGTCCTCTGACGGGAAAAAACGAAATGACTTTCCGAACAACCTTATATTAATAATATCCTCTTTATCGAGAGATATTGGCATTTTTGTAAGTATACGCAGGCTTCTTTTAAAGCTTCCTGTTTAATGAAACCTCTACATATTAAATATTCACACACACTTTTCACTATTTGTTTTGCATCTAATGGCAAGTTATTTTAATTAGATATAAACGGAAAACTTAGTGATAGAGTCGTAAGACGACAATGCTACTGATATCAATCAACATGTGGTCGACATATACCTGACTAGCGACTTATCCCTTATACATGAATAAATTAAATACATGAATAAATCATTTCAATACTAATGAAAATACCCCGAAACAGAAGATCCCTCGCTGTCTGTGGGTTCTTCAATCACAACTTCCCTGGGTATGTATTTTCCAGCATCTTGAGCGAAATTGTCCAGGCTCTCCCCGGATTCTCTTGGGTTCATAGGGTTTCGTTACCAAAGACGCATTTCAAAAGACGACAACCACGGTTGACAGCAACGTCTGTCAGAAGTTATGTGCCAAAATTAGCACGAGAGTATCCTAGAAGTTTAGGAAGCACTAGGCATTTGAAACGGTGATCATAGGCTACTGTAATTTCCTGGAGTAACGAGTGATACAAAATCTTTATCTAGAAAAATTATTTTTTTAAACTGTTTTTTATTTATTACTATAGATAATTTGATGGCGAGAAAATGGAAGTTTTTTTCTGCCTAAAGCGTTGGTTTATTCGGCAGGTACGGTATAAAGCAGAGACTGTAAATTTGAAGACCAATTTTGCAATCTTTACAAAATTAAGTTTTACCACAAGAATAAAGAACAATTTATTCTTGTGATTTCAATTTCAATCTTTCTAACCCTCTAATTTTTTTTATTTATATTATATCACTTGTTGCCATATAGCGGATAAATTATGAAATTTTGTATTTCCCGCACAAAACATAACTGCAATTAAATGCCAATAATTACAATTATGGATTCGTTGAAAGCAGAAATTTTGGTAATCGCTTGCGAAGATCTCAAATAATAGTTTTGGGTCAAGAAGTTGGATCGGTGATGTTCAGATGCTTTCGAAATTCCTAAATAATTATAAAAACCTTATTTTGGCAAACACTTCCCATGGTGAATTGACAGTCAAAGCAATGTTACTTCAAAAGAGAAAATTTCCTTTCGCCAACCATCATGATTCCATCCTCACCATTATTATTACATTTTACCGGTTACACATAAAGTGATTGACCTAGAAATGAAGCGCGGGTATAGCAAGTCTCGAACCTTGAGGTGTTGGCTGGTTACTGAAACGAAATCTTAGTAACATATAACTGATAGAATAACTCACGACTACTGCCTTTTTACAAAACTGAATGCCCCCCCTCCCCCACCCATTGATGCCTTGAAGAATTTGCTCCCTAATGTTAACGTGCTTTATATTGAAAAATTCAAATTTGTCACATCTATTATAGTACTAACAAGTCAATCCAAAATAGTGAAACCTGCATCTGAACCTATTGTTGGCGCTGTGGTAAAACGAATATCAATATTGAGAGTTTGAACAGTACTATAACTAAAACCTAATTTAAAGCCCGCCAGTGATAAGATTATTGTTATAATATTGTAAAAATATTAGAGAAATGTAGACATCATTTCTTTTTATTTTTAGAAAAGGAATGAAACCTTTATTGGCAACTATTTTAAATAAATGGTGTCCATGTGTGTGTGCGTGATCTACATTTTTAATAATGCTCTGTTTTGCAACCATTACATACTTTAATCGATGCCCAACAATCGAGCCGAATAATTTATTTATCAGTACAAGATACCTATTAGCGGTCGTATTACACTGCCAGTCGTTGGTTATGAAAGTCCGTTATCAAAGATACGTTGACCTGCTTTTATGCAGTTTCTCCGCTTTGCGTTTTAGGTATGAAAACAGGATAACGTTCATAATAGGCTTGGCACTTGGCAAATCGAAACGTACAATTAATGTAATTAAACACACATTGCGTAATAGGGTTTCAAAACTTAGTAATTATTTTTATATGGCAAACCATCTCGGCCTAGGTATTTGATCCAATTACTCTTGTGTGGCATACGGAAATATGCATATAGTTTTGCATAAACTGGATACTAAATATTGACTGATTGATTACAAGTTATACCCAGTTGATACGAGCCCTAACAACTAATTGTTCGGACGATGTACGAAATAATAAGAAAACAATTTTATACTTATTTTAAATTGATTTTTTTTGCCTTTTCGATTGAAAAATGAAATCACGCACTTATTTTTATAACAAAAAGTAATGAATAAATACATAAATTACATAACAAAATATTAAAAACCATCCGAATTTGCTGACAAATAAATATTCAGACGTATTTAAATCTTTTACTTTAAATCGAACATTAATAAGAAGTAACATCACCTTTCGCGGCAATAACAGCTTTTATGCGTCTTGCAATGTTCGGGGGTGAAAGTGTTCCAAATTTCGGTGATTTTTGCCTTTAATGCTGGAACTGTACGCTGAGGATTGTTACGCAAAGTATTTTTCATCCGATGCCATAAAGTTTCAATAATATTCAAGTCGGGGCTACTTGATGGCCACGATAAAATTTTCATATTATGGTCCCCAAACCACTTTTTTTGTTCGTTCTATTGATGGAATCAAACTTCTTGATAAAATTTGTTGGTATTTTTCTGCATTTACAGTATCATCAATGAACTCGTAGTTGCCAACCCCTTTATCACTCATACACCCCCATATCATAACACCCTAAGGAAATTTTACCGTGCGCTTTAGACAATCTTTGTGAAAGGGATTTTGTACGAATCACCCTTTTTCGCAAATCGCCTACACACACATCAAATTTTGATTCGTCGCTGAAGATAACGTTACTCCACATTTCCGTTGTCCAGGATATTTTAGATTTTACCCAATCCAAACGTTTTTTCTTCTGAATAGACGTTAATAATGGTTTTTCCTTTGCCTTTAACAAAAGTGGATCATAGAATATTAATAATTTTTATATTGAAACAGGAAAAATTGTAAACTTAAATTATAAAAACTCAAACCAGACTTATGCATCCATTGTTGTAAGACGCTTCGTCTGCTAGTTTTACAAATCTTGACCAGAATACGACGATCTCTTTCAGTGATTTTACGGAGGAATTTACCACGAACGCTAACACTAGCTGTCTCTACGTACTTTTTTATAATATCCCCGACTGTTTTTTTTGCAATACTCAAGTCATTTGAAATTTTTTGCATTGATTTACCTCTGCAGTAATAAGATATGATAATTTCTCGCACTTTTTTGTTTGTTGCAACACCACGCGTCATTTTTTTATCAACTATTATACAAACTTGAAAGATACAACATTTATCTAAGCACACTATATTTTAGGATCAATGCATGGGTAGCATTGATTTCTTGGTCAATAAACATTCGAGTCCGAATATTTATTTGTCAGTAAATTTGGTAAGTTGCCGTTATTTTGCTATGTAATTCATGCGAAATAAAAAATAATTCATTACAAAGCAAAAAAAAAATTAAATAGATATAAAAATGTCTTTCTTATCATTTTTTACACCGTCCGAACATTTAGTTATTAGGGCTCGTATATTTTAAAGCTTTTTTCATTAAAGTTTTGAAGTTTGAATGTGCAAGAAAACATTTTTCTACGCACAGTGTCTCGAGTCACTTCGGGCATTCTCAGTAATTAAATTATAGTCGCATCAATCAGTGAATGTAAGCTTCAGTCATTCAAACAACAAATCAAAACAAATAAAACCTATGCATTATAGAATATGCAACAAATTTGACAAACAAGCGCAGCGAATGTTTAATAGATGACCATTACTTTTTGAGTCGAAACTTGTCGCCTAATATACTATTTTGCATCACTCGAGCATATTAAATTTGCGTAATTCTGGGCCGTAAATCAAAAGAGAAATTGCTAATCATTTCATAAACTGGTTGTCGCATCAGAAATTGCCAGATGGTATCTGCACTGGTAATTAAGACATTTTAATTATTTTTGCTTAAAGTTGAAATCTTTTGGTGTTAAAAACTGAAATTGTAATATCTAGCTATTTACAGCACTTAAGTGCAAATATCAAGTCAATTTCAGCACAATGAAGAAATCACAGATGTCACTTTTGTTTCAGTTTCGACGGAGCGTCCATGATGTGCTACAATCACACCACGATGACTATTTTTTGCTCAGATGGCTCAGAGGTAATCATAAATGAAAGTAATTATACCACTACAAAAATCTAATGACAAATTGAATGTCGCATGCCATCCCATTTCAAGTCAGGTCACTATCCATTATCTCTATTCAAAGCTTTCTTAATTCTAATTTTTATTTTCAGCATACCCCAGATATAGTAGCAATATGGTTGAAATTAACCGGTAACTAGAAATTTTGGTGTAACAACCCTCGTGTTTTTTTTTCAGCACGATCCTGGGATACTACCGCAGCAGAAAAAATGCTTCGACAGGTAAAAGGAAACAAATTATTTGCGACTAGTTTTTAAATTTTTCGATATGCTTAGTCGCTGAGGTGGCGCCAGCAGTGGGAAGTAGACACGGCTCTAAAAGATTGGGTCCTACCGGATGTGATACGGCTCTATTATCCCAGCGGGATATCCGGATTGGACAAACAAGGGGCACCAGGTTACGACTTCCCCGTAATATAAACCACAATAAAACCTTCTTATTTTCCATAGTGATTGTGGTTCCATTTGCCGGGTTGGATGTCGTAGGATTGCTCCATTCTGCCACAAGGCAGGACCTAATACGAACCACTATACAAATATTAGAGTCCACCTTAAAGACAGCGACTGAAACAGGTGCAAACCAACTGGTGGTTATATTCGATATGGAGGGGTTTAATTTGAGGCAATACGCATGGCGACCAGGCACGTAATTTAACCAATTACCAATTTAAAGTCTCTTCATAGATATAAGAAAGTGACTAACTGATACGAATTAAGGAAAGACCCGGGCAAGCTGTAAGAATGAAATATGGCCGAACAGGTCCGTACTTTGCCAAATAAACATTGTTTATAAATTGCTTAGTCTCAATAGAATAGTGTTTTCTACATTTGGGCGGGAGCATTTCCTGAGATACACTAGAATGATTACTAATAAACTTAAACTGAGTAGTATACCAAACCAAAGAATATTAAACACAGGTAGGTATAAAATTATTTTCGATTACGGACCACAATTTTACCTGAATTTAAATTCCGAAACTTTAGGTAATAATCTTGTTGCATTGTATGTTAATGACCACCCGCCAATGACTTCTTATATCTATGAACAGACTCTACCAATCTTGCATACAAAGGAGACCCGACAAGCCGTATTCATTATATGTATATAAAATGATCAACTAAATCACATTCTAAACGCGCATTACTAACTGTTGAAACTGTTGCGATATTAATAACAGATTAATATTTGCGCCCAAAAACATTTCGTTTTTAGTAGATTTTCATTCATAGTTTGTACGGGGCAGAGTTAACTATTCTTAATGATTTTTATGAATGTCATTTGGCTGGTCTCCTTTGAGCTTAACTAATTGTTGTGCAATTGTTTTTAGCGGCCGAAATGGTTATATCGCTGATTCAAATGTACGAGGCTAACTATCCAGAAATTCTGAAGGCCTGCTACATAATTAATGGTAATTAAAGCTTTAAAATTTTAAATTGTTTTGTTAGCAAAATATCGAAACCTAGAAGAATAAAAGACACGAGCATATCGTTGTAGAAAGTCTCTTCCTTTCGGGTTCATAAATCGAGTGTAGATATTTTCGAGATAAATAATAAGACTTTCTTCCACAGCGGGTTGCTTACCCAAATGTCCTCGTTATAATTAAACATAATTTATTTAAGAGCCAAAAATTTTAAGAAACAACTGATTGAGGTTTAATTGCCATCGTTCAAACGGAACTTTGGTATGTTTTGAAAGTGTAATAAATGACTGATCGCGATTGTCAAATTGCTCTAAAGACAATAGTTTTCTTTTACCTTCACATTAAAACCGTTCTTATAAGTATGGTAGAATTTTGTAAGCAATTGAATTAACCGTTCACTTTCAATAGCATCAAGGGTATTTCATAAATTTACTTCAGAAGAATGCGGAGGATTCTAGCAGTTTCTTATAAAAGTTCAGATTTTTATGATTGTATAGTAAAAACATGAATAACGCAACCTTCACCAAACGTCGCAAAGTAGTAACTATAGATATATTATTTGGTTTGAGTTAAGACATTCATGGAAATTTCAAGTAGTCTGTTGTTTCTTTAAATTTTAGCACCGAGTGTTTTCGCCATAGCGTTCAATGTGGTAAAGAAATTTTTAAACGAATCCACCCTAGCGAAAATTGAAATATTCAAAAAGGAGCCGAAAAGGTGGAAAGCAGCTATCTTGCAAACAATATCGGCGGACAATCTGCCCAAATATCTAGGTGGGGATTTGACAGATCCCGATGGGAACACCAAATATACGACTAAGGTAACTGTGAAAAAGCTGGGTCGGTTAATCGAATAAAACTCCATCCTATTGATTAATTTCAACACATACACGATTTTGTCAAATCAAGGTGCGTAAAGTGTATTCCCATGAAAAGAAAGGCTGACCCAATAATCTTGTTCCTCAAAATGTGATGCACAGAAAACAAATTTTTAGAAGCTTCATCCATGTATAATTTTTCTGTATCACCTTTTTCCAAACGTTTCCAAATATTGACTGTTCAAAATACATAAATTTCTACTAGCATCCCTACGATTTGAATTTGAATAGTTAAAATAACGAAGAATCATTTGGTTTACTCTAGCTCTCGATTACGACGCTGATTTGGATTGGATTAATTAGGAATTAGCTCTTTCACGAAGAGTCGCCGTCACCAACTAATCTTATTATTTCTACTTTTTCGCTGAAACTACCACCGCTAGCAGAGGGTCGTTAAAGTGACGTCATTAACTAGTCACCAAATAACGAAAATGACGTTATATTTGTGCGGGACTTGAATTTGACCTACTAATGTCTCAGACGGATGATGTCATTTATGTGACGTGTTTTTTACGTCAATTAGAGTCGTCAACTTTTGTCATTTAAGTGACATGTTTTTTACGTCAACTTAAAGTCAAACATTACTGCCAAAAAATATAACGACTTTTAAATTGTTTTTTTTTTCTTTTTGGAGTAGGGAAAATCGAAAGTAAATTAAAGTAAGTAAAGTAAATTAAATTAGATAGAACGTCTTTTGCGGTTGCGGAAAATGGAGAATTAAAGTTAATGAATAAAGATGAGCCTTTAAAAAATAATAATAAAATAATAATAATGGAAGTATAAGTCTTCTATTTGATTTTTTCACGAAAATTATTATTTTTCATTTTGACTCACCCTGTATAACACACTCGGTATAGACCATAAGAACTCTGCATTGGGTGATTGAGTATAAAAGGGAGTGCCATAATATACAGGGTGTTGCATTAAAAATATAAATTTGATTTTCCACACATTTATTAATCACCTTGTATATTTGAAAATACCTTCTATATTTAACATTTTTCTAAAAATTAATAAATAAACGAGATATATTATTTTGACACACCATTTGAACACCCTCCTACGTCATGGTTTTAAATAGTCATTTTATGACGACATTCTGAGGTCATTTTTGTAATGTTAATAAGATATCCGTCAATTTGACCACTTTGACTTGAAAATGATGTTCCCTTGACGAGCCGCTGCTACCTGGGACTAATAATAATTGAATGCATAGAACACTTTCCCTCTTTTTACGCAAAGCAATCACACGAAACACCTAATTTGCAGAAAAACTAAAAATCGTTCGATTGGGCGTTTCTGTTTTTTTTTATATAATAATACTTCAGTTTTGATAACGGATCCGAAAATCTGTAAAATATATTTTTTTAATCTTTCATAGCTAAACAAAATTGTTTGCGCTTTTTGCAAAAAACTCTCTAATTGTACTTTTTGAACCTTGACAGAATAAAAGTGATTGCTGTTGACCAATGATTTCAGCGCTCGTCGAATACGCAATCTTAATACCTAACTGGAAAAAAAGAAGTGTATGAAAATCTATGAAAAACTAAAGATTTCACTTAGGTTGCTAATAACTTAGTGTGGACACACTAGTGTTAGGAGGAAACGCTGCAGTCTTCGAATTAATTTTTTTTTAGATTAAGCAGGGCGGAAAGGTACCAAAGTCCTTTTACACTAAAAATTTGCAAGACGCCAGCAATGGACAACCTAAACGAGAGCACGTAACAACTGTGATAAAGAAGGGTGATAAATTAATTTTAGATTTTATAGTTGCCGAGGAAGGATGTTTTTTAAGGTACTATTAACCAAATAACTTACAACATAACTTCATTCACTGCCTCTAACCATTTTTCATCGAGTCTCACTCAAAAATGTTGAACATTCTTATACACGCAGTTATGTTTCAGTGGAAAATTATTCAATATATGAGGAGTGCCAGGGAAACTACAGTAGTCAAAATTATATCCGTCGAAAATATTATCAGGATGGCGGTACTGTTAGTCTGGAAGAAAATATTGTGATGCTAATTTTAATTGGAACAGAAAGATTTCGTTCCAATTCTAAATATGAAAAATTAATGTCCCATATTGGTTTTCAGATATTTAACATTTTCTGTTAAAAAGTACGTACGACCGAATTTTGTGAACAATATGCGATACATTTCGTTATCTGCAAATGAAAATAAAAAATAAAAAAAGCAGATGGGTCAAATTGCAAACAATATGAAATTAATATTTAGATTCCTACATGTAATGTGTCATACCTGAATAGATAACAGTAATATTTCATCATCACCTCACAATATTTCATATTAAAAAACTAAGAATATTCGCAATGCACTGTCGTATACGTAGTTTTTATTATATTTGTAATATTAAATAAGACCAGATTATACAAATTTTCATTTTTCTAGTTTTCATTTGAAAAACAAGTTTTGTGAAGTTCGAAAATTGCTCTCAAAAATTGTATATCTTAGTCCTCAAAAAGACAGAAAATTTATAGCCCACGCAATATGTGAAATTTTTCTGACAAATATTAAAAATTATAAAGAAGGACATAAGAAAGAAAACTTTTAAACGATTTGCGTTACAGGGTGTGAAATTTAATTTAATATTCAAAAGTTATCTTCGTTTCGGCCGGGCTAGAAGTCAAATCAATCGGAAAAAATATAAATTTTTCGCCTTTGAATTTAGAGACGCTTCAAATCGCCATCTTGAAACGATTAAAAATTATAGTTTTCAACTTTGCGTGTGTGTGTGGGCGACGAGCACTGACTCCTTGATCACTAAAACGCTATTTTTATGCGGCCTCGGACTCATCAATGATCGATCCTCATTCCACTAAAACACTAAAATAACACATATGGGCACTTTATTATTTATACATTTAGTTTATTTTAGGTGGGATTTTAAGACCGACGGTCACGATATCCGTTTTGGGGTGACGTTAAAAGACGCGAACGGAAACACAAGTCCCGCAATAAGACACCGGAGAGTTGCAGCCCACCAGATCGACGAATCCGGCATCATTTCGTGCCAGGCACCTGCTACATGTGAGCGTTACTATTGTTCTGTTTAGATGTACAGGTTGGCCAGTAGAAAAATGATCCCTGTCTGGGAGAAACATTGCGAAAAAAACTGAAATTAGACATTTGTTGAGTTATAAGTTCTTTAATTGCGTTTTCATTTTCAAATCAATCAATCAACGTAAACTTTGCTTTATAAACAAGTTTTTAAAACAACTCAAATCGTGCAGATTTGTTAAACGCGAAGGTGAAATTAAATATGGCACTCGGTGCTATATTTCCGCGATAAGAACCATACCCCTCCCCCTCCCTCTATCGAACCGTGTTTGGCACTTATAGATCACAGCGCCTTCTTGTGAAAGGTGATGGCGAGTTGTTTCTTTTTGGTTACGGACAGGGTCGTGTCCCGTCAATTTAGATCGCTTGTTACATTATTTATTAACAATCGAAAAACACGAAAATTAACTAACATTAACAAATAAATTCAAAACAAATATCTAAATTATTTTAGTTAAATTATGCTTCAATAATTTTTGTTTACTTGGCAAATAGTTTACAAATTATTTTTTATAAAATCTGTGGCTTTAATAGGTGGAAATAGTCAAAGCATAGAGTACCCCCTATTTAGACAAAATAAAATGTGGCATATACACGTATCAGTTATAAATTACATTACTTAAAGTCGACATTTGTTATCAATTTGTCTGTAGTATAATTTTGCTTTTAGATACAGTAACATTTGATAATTCCTACAGCCTGTTGAGAAGCAAAAAAATTCACTATTGTGTGTATGTAACCCCGCCTCTAAATAAAATGAATATCGTTCCCACCGATAGTGAAATTGAGGCTGCCAAGGAATGGACGGAAAGAAAACTGAGCAGTGTAAATGATATTGCCACTATCGTCGGTGATGGTAGCACCAAATTGTAATTTGGAAATATATTTTTTAAAGTTATTATTGTTTTATCACCAAAAGATAATATTGCTTGAACTAGCACTTTACCTCTAATTAGAATGCAATACAATTAACAATTAATCTGAGTTTCCTGTACATTTGAAAGAGTAATTTCTGTGACATCATAATATTTCAATAATACAAAGAAACAGATTCATTATGTATCATATCTTGGAATGAAGATATGAAGTTTTCAAAAAATAAAGTCTAAAGAGTTGAACAAAATCATTTTACATATATTAATAGATAGCCCTTTTTGAGATATGATTTTAACAACCTTTTATTCAATATGATAACATCACCAAAGACTAAGATTATAATGCACAATGAGGTCAAACTTTATTGAATGCTCTTCTGTTTTGCTTTCGTTGGATCTATTCTTCTGAGCCAAAAATTAATTCCAACAAATCTGATTTTTCACACTGATCACCTTCCAACTTTTGGTGCGTGTTCCAACGTTTCAGAGTTGGGATGACCATTAGTTTGGTCCTCGGATCTTTACGAAACGGACAGTTTGGATCTTTCCATCTAAAACGGAAGTTTTTTTAAATTAAATTGAAAGAGATACTGTAAACAACAAGATACCTACGTTGGTCGATCGCCGACTTCCACTACAATAAAATGGCAATTTTCTGGAAATTTTTCCAACTCCTTTTCTACTACTGGCCATGCTTTAAAAAATATATACAATTATTAAAAGAATCTTATTTACCAACATTACCACATATACAGAGAGCGGCATAACACAATTTGTCGTAAATGCTGGACATAAATTTAAGCCAACAGCACTTAGCTTTTGAAGCGGATATAATAAGTTACGCCATCGATCCAACCAACAGTAAATATTGCATAAAGGTCTATCTAATTTAGAAAATTTTAAATTGTTGGAAATTATTTTGCAAATGTATTCGTTTATTCAAGATATATCCTTTCAAACTGTGGTCACATGACAAAAAATCCCTCGCTCCCCAGATTAAATCGCCATCGACTATGCGATGTCGGTGTTGAATAAATTGCCAAACGCAACTACATTTCATTTTTGTTATCAATTTAAAAATTTATTTTTACTATCTAAGAGTTCCTGTAATTAGCGGCAAATGTTCTGCGTATAAAACATTCAACTTAGTCTTGTTACCTTTTACACAATCTGGGCACCAACTTTCACCACTGGGAAGCTTCGAACCAGTAAAATATACAAAAACAATTTGATCATTTGAATCGAATTCGCCACTGAAGAATTTCGAAAATTCTTCGTACCCCTGTAAATAATGCTTAGTTATCATCGTTGACAATGTTTGAAAAATGTATCAATAGGCATTCAATTCAATTCAATTATGCGTTTCACAAAAAATGTTGGGCACGACTGCTAGGATCATTCGCCCATTGCCGACTTCCGTCGAGGATTTTCACTTCTGGTCAATGACCACCACGTAAAAGAAGAATAACCAATAATTTGCTCAGCTAGCAAAAAACGATTCTGACCGATACCAAAAAAATCGGCTTCCCCCCGCTTCCACCACGGACCATCCGGGTCCATCCGGCCTCCATACCGGCGTGAACAGGGAAAAACGACGGGGCCGACGACGATTATCACTTTAAAACATGCACTAAACACTAAAAACACTAAGTCCACACAGTGGAAACCGATATCAAACTTTTGAGGACGAATACAAGGGATTCTGTCGGGAGCGAACGGAGGTTAAACCGCCGCGTGCAATGCTCCACCACAGAATCTCATCAATAATCATCGTATGCGCAAATGTGTAGATTAGCATTTTCTCTTTTCTATTCATCGCTTACGGTAGGCAAGTTTACCAGGGATAATCGTCCTTGATTATATAAATTTGTTAGATTTTAGCACTAGGGGAGCTAATAATTTTTTAATTTGCCAAATTGGTTCAATTTTCTCTACAGACTATAAGGAAATACTGGTTTTCATATGTTACGAAAAATATCTAATTTTCTACCTGCTTTAATACTCAAAGAAGAAGTAGCTATTTCTTCTATGCTAGTGTTTACGAAGCTCCTAACCTCTTTCTGTGTAAACAGTTATAAATCCATTTTTCTGTGTTTGTTTGAGATATACATAATATTATGTCTGGTGGAATGCTTTACGGCGGAGACGAAATTGGTGCTTTAGTATTCGATCCGGGGCATCATTCGTTGAGGGTCGGTTATGCTCAAGAAGACACTCCAAAAGCCGAAATTCCAGCTGTGGTTGGAGTGGCTCCCGACGATTCAACAAAAGTCGAACCCGAAGCCAAACCTGATGATAGCAATATCTCGTCGACCTCATCGCGTAAGTGTAAAAACATTAAGTTGTTTTCTATTAAAAGCAAATCTGTTCGTTTTTCTTTTTTTGGTAGAAAACAAATATTATATCGACACAACCTTTTTGCACACCCCACGACTTAACATGGAACTGCACAGTTATATGAAAGATGGAATGATTGAAAACTGGGACATGTTCGAGAAGATATTGGATTATTCCTATGATAAAATTATACAATCAGAATCACAATATCATCCAGTACTGTTTTCTGAATCTCCTTGGAACCAACGGCAAAAACGGGAAAAGCTTACCGAAATCATGTTTGAGAAGTACAAGGTGCCAGCGTTTTTCTTGGTAAAAAATGCAGCTTTGGCAGCGTTCGCCAATGGACGGGCCACAGCTTTGGTGATTGACAGTGGGGCTACTCATACTACAGCAGTACCTGTCTTAGATGGCTATGTTATTTCAAATGCAGTTGTCAAATCACCTTTGGGTGGTGATTACCTCATTTTAAGGTATAAAACTAGTGGTTTGTTCACATCAAACCTCACTTAATTCTCAATCTAGGGTTAAAATTTCTTTAATGAGTAATTCCATTTTTTTCCATTAAAGGGCTAGAGAAATGCTTGAGTCAGTGGGAATTGATTTGACTCCTGCTGCATTAATTGCCAGTAAAGAAGTGGTGAGAGATAAAGATAAGCCCCGATTTATGAAAAAAAAATTGTCATTTCAACCTTCAAACTCTTGGATGACATACATGGTGAAGAAAACAGTTCAAGATTTCCAACAAACTGTTCTACAGGTTAGTGATACAATTGTGCTCATATTATGTAAACCTCATATTTTGAAATATCCTATGAATACAGGTGTCAGAAAATCCTTATGATGAACGCATTGTGGCAAACATTCCGGCTGTTCATTATGAATTTCCGACAGGATATCACCAAGACTTTGGATCTGAACGATTCAAGTTAGCTGAAGGTTTGTTTGATCATGCAATGTTAGGAGCAGGGCATATTGGTAAGATTTTACAAATCCGATCAAAACAAATTGAAGAACGTGAATGAATCATTGTTTTATTTCAGCTGCTACAAGTGCAGGTATGTGTGATGTTGACATACGGCCTGCACTTTACAGCTCAGTTGTATTAACAGGCGGGAATTCTTTGGTACAGGTTAGGTTTGTCATTTGCAAGTTGCAAATTGTGTAAATTTAATTTGCATCTCAATTTTCTAGGGATTTGGTGATCGACTGAGCAGGGATTTATCCTCTAGAACGACAGGATCTCTGAGGTTAAAAATGATAGCGGCAAATGGTACTGTAGAACGGAGGTTTGGTGCATGGGTTGGTGGGTCAATCTTGGCGTCAATAGGCACGTTTCAACAGATGTGGATGTCCATGCAAGAATACCAAGAGTCAGGGAAGTCGCAAATTGATAGAAAATGTCCATGAAATGTTGATAAAGTGTGAACAATTTTAAGCATTAAGTTGTTTTTGTAATACATAACATTTTTGTATATATGTTTGTACCATTCATTCTTAGCTAGTCCCATTTAGAGTATTTTTTATATAAAAATCCTGGTATGCAACCCATTCTTTAATTATATTTTGAATAAGTACTTCTATTTCTATATACTTTTTGACAATTACAAAATAAATCGTGAAAGTCCCATGACTGCAGCAAAGTTTTTTTTTGCTACGAAAGACCCACTGCCTGACAAAAAAGTCTAAAGAGAAGAAATCACTAGTAGTCGTGGGAGAGCTTAATACTCAAATACAAAAAATTGGCGCATCTCTTATCTATTTAATATTAGTGTTACCCTCTCTCGTTAAGAGAATGCATTCTTAGACGCAGCTTCTAACCTCTCTTAGGCCATCCTTCGCAAAAATAATATCATATGGATTTACCCAAAAAATTGTGAAAATACAAGTTTATTTGAGCATTACAATAAAACATCCCTAAGTACAAATTTTAATCTATTATCAAATCAACAGTGTAACAACATAACCCCTTAAAAAACGAAATATAAAGAAAAATAGTTTTATAGATTGTGTATTTGTTGTAATTTATAAAATAGGGCAATATCACTGGGTTTATGATCCATATAAAGTTGAAGTACTAGTATAAAAAAAAATTGACAAAAATTAAGGCATTTATTTTTTTGCATTTAAATAATAATAAAGAACCAACTAGTTGCTAAAAGTAAAGAAACCACGTTTTTCTTTTAAATGTTGCTGCCACCAGTTTAAACACAATTGTGAAAAGAATATAAAGGCTCCCTATACTGATGGAGGCTTATTGGCTACACCTAGTGGTAAAGGCGTGACTTTTCGTGCTTCCAATGGCAAAGGGTCGGCATTTTAACTGCAGCAAGATGCGGGGTTGGGGTCCTTGCCCGATCTCTTGGTGACGTTTATTCTCGTAAACTCTTCGGCTATCGTTGGGTGGATTCCGACCGTATTCATTAAATCTTTGACAGTTAAATTGCACCTGCAATCACAAAACCCATCCTCAATTACCTGAATTTAAAAAAAAACTTCAAACGTAAAGAGCGGAATAATGTTCCGCGCATGTGTACATACTACTGGGCGGCCAAAACGAAGGTCTGACCAGCGCAGTGATTATCGCACCATGGCTTTGCTCGCCATAAAAAATAAATACACAATATTAGACTTGTGTGGTTACATTGGAGCGCCGATTATCGCTCCGCGCAGATAGTAAGGCTAAGATCTCATCCAAGGTCATGGACCCTCGACCAGTCTACTACGGTAATTTTTATTTCGCTTTTTTCTACATTTTATTAAAATATCAAATGTTTCTATTTTTATTCTCATATAGTCAAGAAAACGGAGGTTTAAGGGATGTATATTCATATATTCGTAGATATTTAATGCTTTTTTAGCATTGGCATGCAGAAAAATTTCCTTATCTGAAGAAGAGAGTGTTGTTGCAAGAAAAAGTGCCACTGCTCCAAGTCTCGATATGACCACACGCGCGCTTCGATCAGAGCGAGCGTCGGAGTCAGGGTCGAGGGTCAAGGATCAATGGTCCCCATTATATAAGTACCACTACCCTTTTTGTAAACCAAGATCTCCACACATTTAACTTCTAAGCCTTGCAATTTTCATTTGGCATTTGGACAGCAAAGAAACAAAGTTTATATTATATGGCAACAGAGAGGATTGTCGGCAGTAGTTTATGAAATTAGAAATTTTAACTCTATTTTTCATGTACATTATGCAGCTCCTGTTTACAAGAAAAAACAATACCAGATTTCAGATGGCTTCAGAGATTTAAAAACGGAACTCGAGATTTGGCATTGAAATTTAACAACTGCATTCCAGGGAATAACAAAGTTCGTTTGATTTGATTTTAATTCCTTTTTTTGTTTTAATTGCGTTAAATGATGTGTTAATGTATGATTTTTTACTAATAAACTATTTATCTAAATAAATTTTAACGAAATATCGGAATACTGTCGAATTGATGAACTGTCAGTTAATTGTCGAATATGATTCATTTGAAATGACAGGTGCTGTTAGTTAAAAACAAAGATTTGAATGGCCCGTGCATATTGATTAATTTTTTTCCATGGTTTCCGTATTATCAGTTAAAAGGTAATAAGGGAGCTTCCTCACTTGATCGCAGCCGAAAAACCCTGAATCACTTCGCCGGCCTGCGGGCCAATGTAATGCATGCCAAGAACCTTTTGGTCGCCATCCCTCTTGGCAACTACCTTGAGATAGCAGTGCGAGATATTCTTTTGAGGAATAAAGAACTCTGTTGGCTTGTAATAAGCGTGGTAGATTTCGACGTTGTCTTCACCGTAGCGCTGTACAGCTGTCTCTTCGCTGATGCCTATGATAAAAAATTGCATGTTAATTTAAAACCAATTTTCTAAATTTTTCTTTGGTGTGTTTACATAGTAGGTGAGAGAAGTAAGGAGGTCATCAAAATACCACTTATATAACTGAAATTAAGAGATGAGATGTGTATAAGATAACGATTTTATCCAAATTTCCAAATTTTATCGTTGTAATCCTCAAACATCATTTCCATTTTTATATGTTTCGCATCCTATTAATATAAGAGCATTATTTAGCTTAACATTTTTTTGCTCTTCTGCGTATTCTGCTTTTAGGGTTATGTTGTTGGTTACTTAGGAAGTATAGTGTAAACTGTATTACTTATGAGAAATTCTATACATTCAAAAAGTCTCTGATTATAAGACATGCAATTTTTATAAAATATATTTATTTAAGAGTACTATTATATAAAAATCCGTGAGATGTGCTGAGTTTAAAATATGATCCACGCCCTGATGTTTTGCAAAAAGCAACAAAAATTTGATTTTTGCATTAGCAACTAATAAATGCACTATTATTTATTCAAGATCCTTAAAATTTGAATTTTGAAATTTCTGAATCTATCTCAACTTGCGATAACATTGTTGACATCTATCTGGCCAATAAAAAAAAATAAAAAATTCACTTGCACAGAAATAGACTCTGAAATAACATCTTGGTGCGAAGAACTATGTACTGAACTGAAATTATGTACAATAAAAAGTCACAACCATTTTGTGCCAGCACACAGACGGACAAAAATATTAAAACACTTTACATTATTCAATTTTGAGAGAATAGTAGTTTTGGAAACTTTGTATTTCTAAAAGTAATGGAAATTACTACCTTTTTATATGAAAATAAAAAACCCCAATCTTTTCCCACTTTTCTAGGTATCTACCAACTCTGTTATTGTGAAATTATAGTTATTATTTCGTACTTGATACTTAATACTGCCAAATGACCATCAAAATCGGAGTGAAAATAATTATTACTTACCGACAGCTCCATATTCTAATGGGGTAAATACTGTTGTTGCGACATTTTCGTAGTTCATCGTGACTGCGCTGTCACCAAACAAACGACGGGCTAGGAGTCTGCCCGCGTGGATCGCGACCGGAGTGAGTTCCGGCTTTTTCTAAAAAACGCGCAGATAATCACTTGAACATTAACTTTATTTTCAGGGTCCTACTTACGTACAAAACGTCCCCGACCGCGTAAATATTCGGCACGTTGCTTTGTTCGTCGACGGCGTCGATTTTTTCGCCATCTCCCGCCACCTCGACGCCCGCATTTTCTAGGTGAAGTTCCTTGGTTAGGGCGCGACGCCCAATGGCGAACATAACCGTATCGAATTCGTCGTTAAATTCGTTTTTATCGCTGTCGGTCCACGTTACCTTCAACCGACCTGAATCCAACTTTTCCACGGATTTTGGTAAACATCTAAAAGAGGAGAATGTAATATAAAAAAAATGTCTAAAGGAATGGAATAAAAATTATAGCCTCAAAAGTAGGTAAGACTTTATTTAATTTATCTAAAGATACATTACTTACAAAATTTATGAATTCCTCATCCGTCGGTTTTTGCTGAGTCGAACTTGCAGACGTTTCGACAATCATCCTGTTGGTTTCTTCAGAGCTTGACTGAAACGTCAGCAAGTTCGCCTCAGCAAAAACCGACGCAGGAGTTTTGTAAAAAGTATTGCAATAGGCTGTGGAAGTTTCTTTGAAAAAAGATATATTACTGCATTAGAAAAGGGTTGCTTCCAAGAGAGAGGGAGGTAATTTTAATCATTATAAATTGCAATGAATTGTTCATACAATTATCTAGGCCTAATATAAAAAAAACTTAATACCACAACCGGATATTTGAAAAAAAAGTAAAAATTGCAGGTTTTGTTGTCGAACTCTGTTAAAACATGAGAGCAATGAAGTGTTATCAATATTTCACAAAAAACAGTATAAAAATAATCACTTTATTGAAAACAATGTTTACTTCATTGTTTTCACTCCAGTATGATATTAATAAATTTCACACAAAAGCAGGACTTTATCTTCTGCAATAGATCACTCACCTGTGTAAAAATTTTATGCCTTTATCCTGCATTTCGGCCACTACAATGTTCGCCATCTGTTGGTCGAAGCCTCTCAGTGGAATAGAACGAATCATTACCGTTGCATCATAACCTAATCCATTCAGGAATCCCGCGCATTCTAATCCAATATCTAGTAGAAGAGTTAAGAAGATTTAACATATCAATGTTAGATTGTATATTTTAATTTAGCTTATTATTATATTACCAAAGTACAAAATGTTGATTGAAATAAGTCAGATTAGTTCAAGTGCAATAGAGACTTGAAGGTTTTTTTGTAAGTTACTGAGAGAGGGAGAGATAGTTTCATTCATAAAATTGGCACTGTGGTAGACAAAACACATATCTTTTCAACAGTGTAATTTTAACTTTCTGAACTTGGGAAGAAAATCTGTTAATGTAAATAGATTCTCTTAACTTTAAACAAAAAAGGATACATCCAGCTCCAACTATAACGGTCTTGCCTGGAGGCCTGTTCAGACTGAATATATCATCGCTTGTGATGCCATATTCAACGGCACCTGGAATGTCCGGATACCTGGGTCTGCCACCCACAGCTATCAAAACATATTTGGCGGTTAGTAGACGATCCCCTTTATTGGTAGTCACAGAAATTGTATGTTGGTCTTTAAAAGTGCCCAGACCATTTATATATTCAACTTTCCTAAAAGACAAAGTTTTATGCAGGAAAAAAATTAAGACGCCACTCACTTGTCTCGCAGTTCAACTCTCGTCACCCAGTTGACAGATTTGATGTGAGCTTGCACAGCATCTTTTAAATTCTCCCAGCTGTGACTGACGTTATCCCCTACTTGCCAGCCGTAACTTTTTGCATCCTGAAAATGGAAATGAACATTTGGTATGTTAGCATAACTTTAAAATCTCATAAAAAAGATTTAAAATAACTTATATTCATTCGATTATTGAAATGCCTTTTTCAGAAATATAATTGTACAATAAAGATAATTAAATAGATGCGGTTAATTAACAAAACATATATAAAAACCTAGATCAACAAAAAGCATCTACAGATAACATAATGACAAATTTCATTAATCCCTAAACATGATTTTTAAAGATACTTCCACGCGCGCCATAACTTGTGACACAGTGCAACATATTTCTGTTCTTTTCTACATGGTTCTTCTAATGCTCTTATTTCAATTGTTATAATTCAACAAATAAATTGATATAAATTGATCAGAAAATTATGCTTGAAAATTTAAGATATTTCAGATTAATGAATTGCTCACAGAACTGAAATCACACAGATACATGTGTAATTTCAGTTCCATCAGCAATGGTCCGAATATTGAAAACATTAATGTAATACCGCGTCCTAAATCATCAGAAAAAGATTAAGCTTGTTAACAAACTATATGCCAACTATTTCGGAATAGTAAATAATACAGGTCCAAACAAACACACAATAAAATATTGACTTCATTAATAAAACAACGCAATATAATAGAGTGTAGGAGAAAATTAAAAATCCATATTCCGATACTCTCAAGGGAAATCAAGCCGGAATTATTTTCTTACATGCGGGAACAAACGTTGATTTGATGACTGTCTAACCCGTTTCAAAATAATGATGGTGGGATGTTTTGAAATTAACACAATGTAATGGTTCATAGAAAAGCAAACAAAACATTTAAAAATTGCAGCATACAAAGGGAAAATATTGATTTGACTTCTGCTTTAAAAGACTGAAAATAACACATTTTTAGTATTTCACAACTTACATGTATAGCTTCGCCTAAGAGAGCAGCTTGATGCATGAGTTTCTTGGGTATACAACCAACATTGACGCATGTGCCTCCTAGGCCCCATTTCGTGCCTATAGGTGTCGGTGTAACATAATCCAATACAGCTACTTTTGCCCCTAAGTTTGCGGCTGCCTCTTTAGCGGCAGCTAATCCGCCGGATCCACCTCCTATCACTACCAAGTCGTAATCATATTCTGATCCTGCAACAAAATTTACTGAATTAAAATCAGATCAGATCATAAATTCTTTGCGATTTGGCAACACCGAGTTATATCAACATCAGCTGTTTTCTGACATGATTCTGTCAGGATCACAATAAGTCACTTATTGGTCTCTTTTTCTATTTGTTTCTCCCAAACATATTTCTCTTCAATACTCATATTTTTCAAATTTTCAAATTTTGGTACTCGTAACCTTAATTTGTAAAAATGACTTGCTGAATTGATAGCAGCTAATTTTCAATTAATTTCACCTATCTCCTTTAAAGTGAAAATTACTTGACACAATTACTTAGCTCAACGTTTCAATTTTTGAAGGTTATCTCGCTTTACTTTATAATTTACCTCACAAAAAAAATTCAGATTCAAAGCGCGAAGGACGATTTCCAATACTTACGTTGTTTTCCAACGTAACTAGCGCACCCGCGTACTTGCTTCTGCTCCAGGTTTCTGAACAACAAAAAATTGGCACTTTTAAATTTACACGCGCCACCGAAAATGACATTTCGAAAACAAAAAACGGCCGCCATGACAGGCAAATTGCGGCCGGCCTCTAATTTTATTAGTCAAAGCAACAGCTGCTTCGCATAAACGCAATGAGGTCAATCCTTGCGACCGGTTGCAACAGGGGTCTCGGGTTGGGATTAATCAGGCGTCTGGTGAAAGAAATAAATCCCCCAAAAACTATTGTCGCTACTTGCCGGGATATCGCAAAGGCCAAGGTAAGCATAGTAGGGTTAGAAAATAAAACAAATGGCACATGACTTACCTGTAGGAGCCATGTTCTAATGTTTTCAGTCACGATCTGAAAATGTTTTAGACAGCTTTGTCCGCACGCTAACCAACACACTCGAAATATGTCAAACGCTAAATTGGAATGGTTCGGTTAAAGGTACGTCATCACGGTTTTGCGCGCTAGCGTCCCTCCCCCCGTCTATCATTATCCATAATCTTTCTGGACAATTAATTATCGAAGATTGTGTGGTTTCTAGTACCGTGACGGAGTGAGTTTCAACTCTTGCGTCATTGTCGGTTTCTGATTTTGTTTTTCAGAATTGATAAAAAATGTAACATATGGAGAGTGTTAATTAAAAATTATTGTTATTGCGAATTTTAAGACATTGAAAAGTGCATTTCAGAAATAGTTTTAAAGGTTTTATAACCGGAAAATATTTTAAAAAACAAGCTGATGAACTGTGTATATATTAGTTATCACTGCATATAATAACTATTTGTAGGTTAGAGTCTCAAACGTTTTATGTGCAGTTTTCTTCAAATATATAATATATATGATATATATTAAGATAAAACATCATTCACTCGTATAATAACTTATATTATTATAGTTCGACACTCACTTTTTTTAGGTGCGGTTGCTGTTGATATCCCATTTTTTACATTGTTAGTTTTACTTTCTTCAGAGATGGGTTTAGGTGGCGAGTGTGTCTTGTACTTTCTCGATTTGGAACCCCAGCACGGCATTTTTGCTTCTCGTTAGTAAAAACCGCGTTTCGATGTTTTCTGAACGACCGCGTTCGAAAAAATTACATCATTTGCGGATTTATCGTTAAGTGATTCACAAAGTCAAGGTGTTTCCCTTGCATGGAATTTTGCAGTGTTGTAGTAGAAGTTTTTGCTATCAAACGAGCCCTGGTTCATATTGTATCAGAATTAATTTGTTACGTGCCGCGACGGGAGATTCTGTTGTATTATCCTTGATGATTTATTGTTGAAGTTAATTAATATTTTCATGTAGTAGGGTATTAATAATTTAAGACGATAATTTATTGTTTTCGAAGTTCTCGTTGGTATGGCATTATACTGGACTTCAAGGCATACAGGGAGGCTTACAGTTAGAACTAGGCATATGGAAAACGGGGCAATGAACAAAAGACGAAATCTATCAGACCCTCGTAAGCGCAGGCATCCTTTCAATATAAAATATTTCGTGCCCCGCAGTCTTCCTTGCTTTATATACAGGGTAAACTAATAAAACGAATAATGCTTTTATAAATATAGGTTGTGAAACGCTTGCTTAACAGGGTGTTAACGGGTTGATTAAATTCTGTTTATCTTTATATCGAAACATTTAGATATATACATATATTAAAAAGAGACAATTTGATGCACAATTTCACACCCTACCAATTGTTAAACTTATGCGCTATTGATACTTTGCGTTATTTATAAAAGGTATTTGCGATTTATTGTGATTGAGTTTTCCCTCAGTCCGCTCCTTGACAAACAACTCAACCTTAGTAGAAGGCGAGTCAATACAAAATGAAACTGTTTAGCTGGTCTAGACATCCTTTTTTGAGGCCATCGTGGAAAAATGTTAAGAAGGGTCATTCAATAAATGCATTCGCGGTCATGTTAAGTCTGAAAAACTTATTGCAAGGTCATTCATTATGCTAGCGGCGTTCAACAACTAACATTTTCGCTGACAGTTCGTCAATTCGACAGTTTTCAGTTTGCATGTGGCATTTTATGGCGGTGTTTTTTTTAAATATGGTTTAGATCAGGTTAAATGTTCAGGGGAAAACGAGTTACGTGTGTGAAGATTGCCGTTTACTAACAAATTGAAGCGAAGTGTATGTTGTAGTAATCATGGGTATATCGCCTAGTACCGCATATTTCAAGTAGCACCCAAAAGTTTTAACTATCTATATCTATAGTTTCAGCTAATTAGTGAGAGAACTTTGTTGTGTTTGAAACTCATCCGAAATTAGGGAAACATATAAGCAGAAAAATTTCTAAAACAATTCAAATATTTTCTATATCGATTAAAAAATAAATAGTCACTTCACTAAAAAAATGCATAAAACTTTTTCTATGATTTGTAAACTGTAAATTGTTTTTTCTACTCCCGTCCGTAAAATACCTAATTACCCACCGATCTCGAGTGCGGGAAGCGTCACTTTAGCACAGCAGTTTCGTTTCCCACAAATCCGAGCCACTTCGGACATTTCCGGGATTTTACCGCACGGGTTTAGGAGCAATCGGATGATTTCGGAGATATCTCCCACGCTTTGAATTTTGACGTTTGTCAATTCTGACAGTTACGTCAGTGAATGTATTGGTGTTTTGCGAAATGTACCCAAAAACTAACGGTCGTAGAAAAAGTATAATATGCAACACGTTCGGTAAACTTTTTAACTCATTCGTTTATTAAAAACTCGCTCCGCTCATGTCAAATAAACTGGTGAGGAAAATGTCGTTTACCGCACTTGTTGCATGTTATTAGTAACTATTTCTTCGCGAGGACTATACAGGGAGTATCGTGAAGTCCAAATGTAAGTTAAATTAAAAACGGGGTGGTTTTTGGTAAATTGTGTCTTTGCTCATGCATTATTTTTTTAAATTCTTTTTGCAAATCTTTATATCATCATAAAATATTAAAATACATTAGTTACAGTGCGCAAAACTCTAAAAATGTTGAAGATAATTTTTTTTAATATACTTTCGTGATTTTCCACTCTATCAGCAATTGCCAACGTTATCCTAGATCCTTGATGACGCAGGATAATTTAACGCGTGACTTGAACATTATCCTTTCACTTAAATCATTTCTATTTATAGACAATTCTCCTAAATAATTCCGTGCTACATGCACAAGGATAACGCCAGGCAAACTTGTTATCTGCTTGCAGTGACTAGACGTTTTTGTGACCGTTATCATTCATTACCTATATCGCTAAATTACATCAAAAATAATTCCTTGCAGAGCTGTGGGTTTTATAGACTTTTTATTTAAGCATTATAAAAAGACCCGCAACAGTGAAATATATGTATTTTTCTACTCCCTTCTGTAAAATACCTAATTATACACCGATTCAGCGTGCGGGAAGCGTCACTTTACCACGTGCCCCACGGATCCTAAAATTTTCAAAAACACAAGAAAAAAGCGAAAATGTTGATTATTTACTTTAATTAATTATTTAAATTGAGGTTTCACTTGAATGGAGTAATATTTTTGCAACTTAAGTAACACAAGGTCTATGGAACTGTACCGAAGGACCTATTAAGAAAACTTGCGGACTCTAAACCTCGAACAAGACCATGCAGTACTTCGACTGCATGACGTCTTCTTTCTAGGAAAGCTGTCCTTTTAACGTTGTGAAACAAGAAACAGACACCAAGGTAGAATGGTGAACTGAAAGCGTTACGCGAAGTTGAATCGCGCTATGCGTTCTAACCAACCGAGCTCTACAAAGAATCCCAAAAAAAATGTAATAATTATAAACGTGCTGGAGAAAAGTCTGTGGTGACATGGAAAGTCTTCCAGTCTGTAGTCTGTAGAACGATTTTTGGGAAAAGTAGGGCTGAGCTGCCAGTTGATCGGTTTAACTGTAGGAGCCGGTACTCTGGAGAACCCGCTCTACCAAATTACCCATTCGTCGCTAGCATTGGATACATACCACCATCGTGAAGGTGGAATGACTTCTTTTTATTCCAAAGGCTGGACTTGCGTCCCATGAGTAGCTGATGAACTTATGTCCTAGAGACACAGTATCGAAGCAGCTTCAGGGCGATGGTGATCGGCTCTTTGAAAACCACGATAAAATCACGACTCGACCGATTACACCTTAGGGTGGAGCTTGTGGCCCGGAGAGCCGCCATTATATTGCTAATTCTGGGAAACTGGAAGTCGGTAACAGGGGGCGCCGACTCTGTGGCAGGTCCTAATTCAGTCCCTCTCTATGAAGACGGACTGGATTGAGCGTCCGTACACCATACATAGCGAGGATCCCTACAAAACGACGACTGGCTCTGTGCGGGAGAAAATATTTTTGTGCCTCATGGGCTATCTTGTATACAGGCGGTTTCAAAACAGACACTGGTTTATATGGAGCTCTTCTAGAGCAAAGATATCTGTGCCTCTGGGGATTTATCTTAGTATATTCTAGGCAGAGATCTATGCGATTTTGTTGTGCCCTCACGCGAACCTCAACAGCGGCTGTCCATGCTCTTACTTCTTGCCCTTACCTATGTGGGGCTCGGAAATGCTATTTGACTGCCAAAAAACATTGACAAGACTGGCGGCATGTAATTCTGTCAATCTGACCTGGATACCGCTCATGTGGATATTCAGAGCAACAAAATGGCAGACAGACTTAAAAGATTAAAAAACTCCAATTCGTCTCCTGCAGCTGCGCATCACTCAGCCGATTAGAGTACTAAGAATCCAGAGTACTAGGAAGCTATCCAAACTAGAAATGAAAGGACTGTACTTCCTCGAAAGTACAGGGCTTATGTATGGGAGTGAGCGAAGATGCGCCGGCATAATGGATGGAAAAGTCTGGATCGAATAGGAATGGGAACATAAGGACATTTATAATAATTGTCACCCTGTACAGGTGGCCAAATATTGTAAGCAATCTAGTAGTTTCGCTTTAAAAATTTTTTGAAAGTGACCAAAAGTAAATGATGGAAATTATTTGACCGTTTCTAAGATTACGTATCGTGAAAGGAACTAACTGCAATTTCAATTATGGTGGTGTCTTTTCCCACGTCTCGACGTTGCCCCTTATGGACATAAAAAAAAGGTTTTCAAGACCAGTTTAAATTCTTCCAGTTCTTTCCTATTGTTAAGTATATGAAACGTAAGAGAGAGCAGGAGGTTGTGCGGGTTTGTTCAATTAACTCTAAAACTTTACAAATGCCTAAGGATATGCACCTAAGTTGCTGTCGAAAGTATTTTTTCAGAAACGTTTAACTGTACAGAACCAAGGAATTTAATTAATTTATTATTATGTATATTAGCAGTTTGTTAACTTTAAAAAGATGGCTGTATATGCCCATCCCCTTTTCATCCTTGAATTATTTGACTTTGGGAAATACAAAAGGAAGCGACGAATGTAGTACTGAAAGCTGTTAATTATATTCCAAAAGTGTATATATGGTTTTTGAACATATTAATCCAAATCATATTTTTATTTTTTGGGGGATAATTTTGATTATTGTTTTGTTCGTTGCTACATCCCTATTGTGTACCTATCGAGTATTTTTTAACTTTAGGAACTTGGAGAAATCGCTCAAATCCACAAAAACGTACACATTCTGGAATTAGGTAAGGCCACACACACATCCCAGCGCTCACTTCTTACATCAATATACCCTGTAATGTGGAATTCAAAAAAATTGACTAAGCGGTATTAGTTACAGTCGGTCAAAAAAGTCTCCATACACATAGTATTTTTTCAGTTTTCTCTTAGTTCCTTCTTTCAGTTACATTTAATGAGAAATATATTTCAAGTAAATATCCGCAATCTCAGTAGGAGTAATAAAAAAAAATCATTTGAACACTTCACAATTGCCATTTGCTTTAATAATGGCATTAAATCTGTTTGGAAGACGTAAATCAAGCTTTCTTGTAAATTCTGGCGATATGTTTTTCCACTCTCTCCTTATCCTATTTTTGATGTCTTCTTTACTCGTAACTCGATGTTTTTTCGCTTTAATTCTTCACACAGGTGCTCCATGGGGTTGAGATTGTGGTGTTGTATGAAGTTGTTAGCGGACATATATGGATCATCCAGTGACGTACAAGCGTAGCACTGTGTTTAGGATCGTTATCCTGTTGGAATAAATAACGCCCCTCAAGGTAAAGTTTTTCAACACTTTTCAATAAAAGCTTAATTGCCTGTCCCATTAGCTGACATGCACCCCCACAATAAAACATTACTTCCACCATTCTTCACCGTAGGACGGACATTTTCGATTTTTAGAGCTGTATTTTCCAAACTTTATCCCGACCATCTGACCCAAAAAGATTAATTGTTGTTGCGTCACTAAAGATAACGTTTTCCCAAAACTTCCTAGTTTTGTTAATGTATTGTCGGGAAAATTCCAAACATTTTTTTCGATTTTTAAATTAATGATTTCTTTCTAGCAACGCGGCCGTTATAACCTGCTCGATGCAAGCAGTTTCTAATCGTTTGAGGGCTAACATTTTTTGAGAACTCTTCTCTGCAAGTTTTAGAGCGCTTGTTTTAGAATTAATTCTAATTTTTTTTCATAACAGAAGACTCTTCTCGTGCAATTAACTTTCTGGGACGACTAGAGCGTGGCCGCACTTTATAAGATTCGGTGAATTTGTATTGATTTATTACGTACTGTACAGTTGAATGTGATTTTTTAATTATTTGATAAATATCTCTAAAGAATTTTTTCTCTTTCCGTAAATCTTCCATGATTTTTCGAAGCGCAATTTGAATTTCGCAATTTTTAGCGCTCATTTTGCTTTTGCTTCAAAACCACCGACTTAAAAGGGGTGTCAAAAATAAACAAGTATAACTCATCTGTTTAAGCGAAATTTGATACAAGCTGAGCGATAAAATATTGATAATTAACGGTTCTACCTGCAGTTCTGAATAGTGATTTATTAAAATGTATGGAGACTTATTTAACATAGTTTCTTGCTTTTGAAACTGCCTTATTTTTTATCTTTCAAATAAAGTGTCTTAAATAATTTTTATTACTCTTGATGAGATTGCTGATATTTACTTGAAATATATTTCTCATTAAATGTAAGTGAAAGAAGAAACTAAACAAAAATGAAAAAATACTATGAACACGGAGACTTTTTTCACCGACTATATATACGTACATATTTGGTTAATAACTCAGTTGGTTTATAAAACTAATTTATTTTTATTTTTTTGAATACATTTTAAGATTTAGGGGTAAGGTATTATAAATCAAACAATCCATTTTAATCGTTTCTCGAGAAAACTATTTAACTATTAAACAGTTTGTTTTTTTTTATTTGCAGATGTCCAGAATGTAGACAAATTTTCCCACTTTTCCAAAGAAGTGGAACGGATTGTCGGAGACAATGGGTTGAACGTTCTCTTCAACAATGCTGGCTATTCACCGAAATCAACCAGAATAAATTTCGTCAAAGCTGATCAATTGACACTGACGTTCGCGGTTAACGTCGCAGCTCCGATTTTGTTAACAAAGGTAATGTTGCCAATGAAGCGAACAACACCCTAAATTTCTATTTTTGAGAAGTTGGACACAAATTAACAACAGTGCCAAGGGGAAGTAGTATTTCAGCTCACTTGCATAATTAAAAACTGACGTGGGCAGTTGAAGTCGCATATTCATCTAGGGGTCGTATATGGCCCGACCCTATGTGTTCGATAAGTGGACGTAAACAATTTCATTGACGAACTGAACTGTTTACGGCACTTGTTGCACAATATACTATTAACAGATGTTGAATAGCAATGGATTGATTATACGATTCTTTCTTAGGTTATGCTCCCGCTTTTGAAGAAAGCCTCCGCTTCAAAATCTAGTAGTCCATTAGGGAGCGAAAGAGCGGCAATTGTCAACATGTCATCTGTTTTGGGGTCGATTACTTTGAATAAGGACGGAGGACTTTATGCTTATCGTTGTTCCAAAGTAAATATCGCATCGATCTTTTTGATTAATATTTGACAAGTGGGTCAGATAACTTAAAAGGTTTTTACTGTAGATATATTGGATGTCTATGGAGACGCTACTTGAGATAAAGTGCTTAATTGTTAGTTTAAGTTCATATTTGTTTTTTTTTTTGACAAACTGAAACTGGACAAAAGTCATCTTAATCAAAAATTAATTGACTTGCTGAAAGCCGTAGAGGTTCGAAAAATATAAAAGTAAAAACGGAATGATGAATAACGTAGAAACGTTACATTAAAATGTTGTTACAGGCAGCTCTCAATATGGCCACAAAAAGCATGAGTATCGATTTGAAGAACGACGGAATCTTGGTGACAGCTATCCATCCTGGATGGGTGAAAACGGATATGGGGGGAAGCAACGCACCCTTAACAGTAGACGAAAGCATTACTGGTATCCTAAAGGTTCTTCGAGGGTTGTCAGAAGAACATAATGGACGTTTAGTACAATGGGATGGACAGTATTTGGCGTGGTAGTGTCTTGAAGAAATTTCACTAAAAGTGATTAAGCTACATATGTATATTTTTTTATGACTTTAAATATAAACCCGTTAGATTTACTGTGTTAACTTTTGCCTTTAACGACTAAATCATCCAGCATTAAAGCAAGAAATGACCTAATTCAGATGGTACTTTGTTTTGTACTCTCAATCTGACAAACTAATGTGGGAGATTAAATTTTGAAAAAATGACCTTTTAAGATATTATTTATAGAAGGTATTGTAAAATCTTCTCAATTGCACTAATTTATTTATTTTTTATTTATTTTATTTTAAGTAGAACCTCCCAATATTTTACTTTTTTTTACACATTTTAATAACTCGCCAACTTAGATGGATTGTTGCAGTGATCAGAATAAATTCCATTCACCCTTTAAAATTAAGTTAATTAAGATATTAAGCAACGAGTTTGATAATGGTCGCATTAGTCGTGGCTCAAGTGCGTAGGACTAGCGAGTCTTTTTTTCCATATGACCAGCAAAGATTCATACATAAAAACTACTAGCATACTCAGACATTCTCGCAGTAAATTTGAAAGTTAGCTAAAATCATGTTAGCTGCAATCTTTAGGAAAGTGCCCCCTTAAGCCTCGACTTTATAATCCACGGTAGCGAGCCAGTTCCTTCTCGGTATTTTAGTAACGCGTTTGAGAGTGATCAGAGTTTACGGTAGAATTTATGTAATCATGGTATTTTGAAGTTTGTCAATTCTGACGGTTATATATAAAACGCACAAAAAACCAATGCTCGTAAAAAAAGTGCAGTATGCAACCTTAGTTATTCGTTTATTTATCGCTCTGCTCGTAACTAAAATGACGTTTATCAAACTTGCTGCTTAATATACTATTTTACCTAAGGTGACAAATAGAAAATTTGGATAAAACGTTTAAAAACATTTGCTAAGATGGCTCATTTGCAGGTTAAAATTAGATTGACTTCTCACCTCGCCCCGTTGAAAAAAACATATGATACGGTATCGCACAGTAAAAATTGTTTTTCTTTTGGGCAATAAAAGCGACGATATCGGCCAATATAAAATCCTACCTCTGTATCGAAGAAAGTATAGTTAAAACCCAATACTACTTTAGTTAACATGAAGACTGTATTTTTTATGGGATTTTTTGCCGTTGCTAGTGCAGCGCCATATTACAACTATATTCCCGATTCAACCTACTATACTCAATATCAAGGCTCGAATGGCTATCCTTACCAACAAATTGAGAATCTCGTGGAACAGGCTGAACAACTAATTAAAGTTATGAAGCAGCAATTACTTCAAGAAAATTACAGGTCACAGTACCCAGGTGCTTATCGGTTTGGATTGCAGGATACCTCAAATAGCCAAACACCAAGCTCAATATTGCTTTTAAAGTACATAACGTTTCAAAACCCGTCTAACCATTCCAAATGATGTAAAAATTATTATTATACAGCAAGTTTTTTGGTAACATCATGATTCGGTTAATTTCATTTATTTAAGGGAACAATATGAACCATAAAGGAAAAAGCGCAACGAAAAATATATATATTTGTATCAAACAATAAAGTTAGCAACTTAACAAAGTGAGAATTATTTTTTCAACACCCATTACGCCAAGCGTTTTGAGCGCTTTGAGATCCTGCAATAAGGTTCCACTAGATAATAGTTGCTAAAACGAAACAATTTTTTTTCAGAAAAATCTTTTATAAAAGGCGAACTTACCTTCAAGTAGCAATCTTTTTTGTCTGGTGCATATTGTAGCAGGGCAGCAGCAAAATCGAACCTACCACGAGCGATGAAATTTTGAATATATGTATCGAAATCTAAGGATGGAAGTATGGGACAAGCCTATAAAAAAAGTGTAACTGTCACGGTACACAATTTTTTTAAACAGACCTGCACAAGGTGCACCGCTTTTATAAACTTATTAGTAATTCTATCATTTGATGTATCCGTGTCCTGGAGCGCGATGGATAGCAAGGAAAACGCATTATTTACAATAAACCTCCATGCATTTTCAATCACTGGTGTAATAAGTCCACCTTTTAAGTAGTTTAGGTAATCTACTAGTTCCTTTGCCTAAAATAAATTATAATGTTTCGAAAAAATAATATTAAAGCTTATACCAAATAATCATAATGTTACTTTAAATTGTTGTTTTCGAGAAATAACATATTTTAATTTATCGAAAATGTAAAAACAGATCCTGCTTGCTGAGTTTAGCGGTTTTCAAGATGTTAAAGGGCGTTAAAACACACTTTCACGCAAAAATAATGCTTTAAAAAGACTATGAACTTTAAACCAGTATTAATCAAAGATCAAAAGAATGAATTAGTCATATTTTTGACTTGTGTTTCTAAATCTTGTTTTCCTATTATTCTGTCGGTCTCTTACCATGTGAAAGTTCATCGCCGCATTGAGTATAAAGTTCCAATACTTCATGTCCTGTATGTTATAAATTTTGCACAAACTCCCCATGCACTTTATTGCCAAGGGATCGTTATGTTTGTTCAACACCACAAAAGTCTTCTTGATACAATCGTCAAGCTGCACGACACTCGATACATTTATTCCCAACGTATTAATATCGCCGATTACCGATACTTTCTCCATCAAACGACTAGAAAATCCCATTATAACTCAGAGTTAAATCTTGAACAGGAACTTACAAAAAATCAGCCTGAGACATATTAGTCATTGTTTCGACGGCATCCGCATCGCTTATATAATAAAAACACTTCAATGCGTTTCCCTTAAATATCATATCGCATTGAATTTCTGGGGCGCTGTTAGTAGGAATGCCAATATTTAATAAAGTTTGTTGCCAAAACGGCAAAATCGCATCGGAACACATATAGCAGGCTCTCTTAAGATTATCGAATTCTTTAAAATTCCCACTCTGATACTTTTGTACATAGTTATCATCCAAGACAGAGGCGCTCTGCAATAGACCTTCGAGCAGATCATACTTCACTTTTTCCAAATTTAGTCCAAACAGTTCCGTCAAGTCGCTTACGGCACTATTTATGTCCGGACAATAAACCATTACGTTAACTGCTTTTAACAAAATCCTAGGATCTTCGTACAGCGCAGAAATTAGTTTCTTAGGCTGCGCGACTAATTCCTGATATTTCTTTTCAGGTAATTGATATTTATATAACACATGCATTGCTGAATAATTATAATATCGTTGTTTAACCTGTAACGAGACCTTCGTTGAAACTTTTATATAGGGACGAAGAAAAAGTGCTGCAAATTTAGCTTTATGACAACCATGTATACACCTATACCCGTAGCGGATAGGCAGTTGTCTGTGTACCTTTTCTAGATGAAAAATTATTTACAAACGATTTTGGTGGAATTAATGAAGGGCGGAGAAAAAACTGAAGATTGGCGTTGTCTTGACCAAATGGAAAATAGAAACATCCAAAATCCAGCATACCATATTCAGTTTACCTTCATCTCGCTAAGTTTTGCACAAAAATGGCCACATCGTCTGTATAAATATGAAATATAAAATATAAATTTCAACACACCTTCTGATACACTTGCTCTACGTCTTCGCCAGCGTGTCGCTCCTTGTACATTTTTGCGTATTTGTAACCTAATTTAGCAAAATTGACTTTATCCGCGCCTTGCGGCATTCCGCACATGAACGTGTAAACCGCGGCGGTGGCTCGTTGCAAGTCCTCGATGTTAGCTGCGCAATCGTCCACTTCCGAGACTAAATTTTCGTGTTTCGCGTACAAATCCCATTCGCACGATTGCGATGTGTTGAACAGAGCGGTTGACAAAAGGCTGTTAATGGCATAGGTACAAATGTCTTGGCAGTTCAGAAACTCTCCCAGGACATCGGTCAATTCGAACCATTCCTTGTAAGTTTTCAAGTTGACTTCCGGTTTTATGATGTTCCAAATGCCGTCCGAGAGAAATGTCGCGGTCAGCGGAAGTCTAAATTCAGACAGCGAATCGATGAAGGCAGCCTTCGGAAACGCCCCATACCATTGCTCAATTTCAGACCTTGTCGGGGGACTTGTCCTCGTGTATTTTTTTAAAAACATCAGCAAAGATTTATTTATAGACACTGTACTAACGGTACTTTGGGTTTCCAAATTGGTTTGTAAATAAATCAGCGTCAAGTAGACTTCGTAGTAATAGAAATTGACCTGAAAAGATCAAATTTACGAAAAATCGTCACCTAATTTTTATATGCTAATACTCTATACTAATATATTTTAGAGCAATGGTAACATTGAAATTTTTAAAGAGAACCCCATAAATTTTATTAAAGATTCAGATCACACACAAAACTGACATCGATTAGGTAAATTATTGGTCTATTCGAATTTCGAATAACAGAATAAAGATTGCATATTTTTTAATTTTAAGATATATCCTAATTTAAATTAAATAAGAATGTTCGAATATATATTAATGCAGTGTTGTAATGGATTTCTATATTATTAAATATTACTATAATTAAATTTTAGAAAAAACGGACAATTTTGAGACCCTCATATATTATACGATTTAAATGCCTAATGCAAGAAGAAATATGAAGTGCCTGGATTGCTTACCGACCCGATATACATAAGCTTTTTTCAATTACTAGTAAAAAAAATCATTAAGATTTGAATTTTTTCCATTTAAAATTTCAATAGTACCATTAATTTCATATTTTTATCTCCCATCGTGAATGTAATATGTACCTATCAAATTTGAAACGATATTTTAAATTTATTTTTACAAACAAATGTACAAATGATAATGATAACAATAACAATTAATCTATTAAATTAACCAGAATACCCATCAAGTTCTGATTCTTCATTTCCTTGATAGCATTCTTAAAAATTCTGTTTGTGCTGTAATATTTCACAGGTTAAATATCTTAAAGCACATAATAAAGTTTATTATGTCTTATATTTGTGTTCAATTCATTTTTCTATTTTTAAATATTATGCATTCATCAAGGAAGATTGTATGCATTATTAGTTTGTTATGCATAAACTACACATTTTGTCAAGTACATTTTTCATTTAACAAAAATTTAAGAAAAGTGGCTTCAATGAAGTAGTTTATGGAAGAAAAACTTACAGAGTTCCATACTTTTTGGACAAGATCGACCACTTCGAATTTATTATGTATACGATCGACTATCGACCAGCATGTGTTGAACAGCTCTTTCTCATCATTTTTGACAATCGCGATTTTTTTTCCTTCAATGTCAGATTTTAATTCTACATCCGGCTTCCAGTCGAGCAATAGCCTAAAAATTATGTTAAATTTACTTAATTAACTTTAGGAATTATTTTTTATTTCTATGAATTTCGAAAATAAACTAGAAACATACAATCAAACGAATACCAATATGGCATTAAAAAATTCAAAAATAACTTACGTTCTTAAGTATTTCAAATAGCAGACCTGCGGATCTTGTCTGAAATCGTTACAGTACTCAGTCACATTATCTAAATCAATGAGTTTGGCGGAAACGAGCATCACAAAGCGAGACCCGGTATTACATTTGAAAAACTTGTCATAATCCAATTTGTAGCTTTTGCACTTGCTCCACCATTTGCACGTATTTATGATATTCCGCAAATCCACTTGACCAGTAGTTATCTTGTGTAGTTTCAGCAAATCGAGGCCGACTTGGGCGATACATGCCAGTTTGCTGGGTTGTCTCTTATACGCTTTTAGGTAAGTTTCCAGGTGTGTTTCGAACTCATTGTCAAAAAGGAGCATAAGATTAAAAAAGAGTGATTTATCAAGGCATTTCGATGAAAGTGTCGCTTCTAGAGTTTGCGGTAACCATGTTCTCCTAATTAAATCGTTTATCGCAACGGAAACCTCTCTATTCGTCTGTGAGTTGTCACTCAACCCTTGATGTAGCGTTTTAATTAAACTGTATGCCGTAAAATGTTCGTTATCTCTGATCAATACGTTTATATCTGACGACAGTTCCTTTATGTTGCTCCGAAGTTGATCCTGATATTATAAATGAAATTAGTTGGGATTAAAAAAATATTGGGAGAGTGTAAGGGTATAATGACATAAAGAGTGCGTCCTATGCTTCTATGCTTGACGCCCATTCCTCCGAAATAAAGACGAAATGAAAAGGACTTCTTTCATTGAAAGCTTACTTTAAATAAAGAGTAAAGAACAAAAATTGCCGAACAAGAAATTGAATTTTAAAAAAGCACTATCAAACACAAAAAATTGTTGTCTAACCATTATAGTTGTTAGGAGGACTTAGAAAATCGTACCTGATTAATAGAACGCCCGTTGGAAAAGTGCGTGAGATACCTTGTGTTCGGGTGTTTAAATGTTTCTAAAAGGAAAACAATCTTCTTGTTTGTATTATTATAGTTAATAGATTTACATACCTATGTAGGCGACATAATTTTCGAATACCCTTTTGACTACGCTAAGGGATGCGCTATGGGTATATGACACACCTTGAGATACCTCAAAGAAGCAACAAGTATCCGCCCAATTCACAACCTCCATGACTGCATGGAAGTCGTCGGTGGTAGCGTATATCAATGCTTTTACTGCCAGTTTTTTCGCCAGCCGTATCCCTAGTATGTAATCTTCATCTTTTTGTGAACACGTTTCGGAAAAATCGAATATTGTTTCGTCGAGGTCGTTTTCCGCCAATATTTTCGTATACTTGAAGACGAATATCGAAAAAACGGCAAGGTGTTGTGAGCTGGTGCTGATTTCGAGCAGGTGTTCGCCGATGTTTAGGATAAGTTGAAAATTGTCGCATATAGACAGAAATTTGACGATCACATCGTCCGAACTTACTGACATGCTGGAAGCTACCTTTTTCGAGAAGCGTAAAATTGGTTCTATGTCAGTGTAATCTATATTAAAAAAGAAAACCGATAAACTAAGTCAAAACCTATAAAAGTTTATATCGGTAAATGAAATAATTAAACTAGGTTTAAATGAGCAAAATATGGGCAATCATATTACTTAAGCGTCTTTTTGATTGATTGATAAAAGTAGGGAAATCTAAATACTGATTGATTGAAAATTCGCAAAACAGTCAATATGAAAAGTTCTTTTTGTAGTTTTGTCGTAGTAGCAGTTTATATTCGTTGTCGACATCACTTCCACTAACCAAAACTGCTACACCACGGCAGAAACTGCATGATGTTCTATTTTCTATTAAATTACATAAAACGATGCATTAGCCCCAAATTTCTTAAAAATTTAGGTAAAAAAAGTTTACTTTAAAAAGGTGAGACAAATCTAAACAACATAAATAATATTTTTTTGAGTGAAATACAGAAATAAAATCACATGTTTAAACAAAGCAAAGCATGTTCATGCAGAGGCGGCAACGGGGCGTGCTTCAAAATATTTTTGAGGGAGGCAATTTGGAATCAATCCGAACCCTTTAATAATCTGCCCAACAATGTATCAGATTTGCTCATTTGCGAAATTGCTTGTTCAAATTTTAAGAGATACTGCAGAGGTGCATTCAGATTGCCAGAATAAAATTTGAACAAAAAATATTCAGATTTTCACAGTTATATAATGCTATTTCGGCAACACTGTTCCTTTATCAAATCCAAAATATGACAATATTCCGACATCTATATATACAATCCGGTAGTAATAGACTCTTGATTACTGGTCTAGGGTAATAAATTTAAATTTAACAAGGAAGACACAATTAAAACCAATTGGTCATTAAGTAATAGATTCGAATATCTCATTTTATTAATCTTCAGAGCTTCCAAAAAAATTAGTTTTGTGCTTTTTGTTTCATTATATAAAATATAAAAATTATGGCCAAACTTGTGTAGTTCTGAATTTAAATGAATGGTGTAGTTAATATCTGCTAATAATGATACTGATTTTGATAAACTTTCCATGATATCTTTCAAGTTGTGAGACTACTTTTTCTCTCCATTGTTGTGCTCTCTATTTTTATTTCCTTTTTTTCCTTACAGCACGTTTCCTGAATGATTTAATATTCAAATTAAGTTGTGCTTCTTGTTTTGAAAATGAAAACTATAGAAGGTTAGAGAACAGCAACCGTTCAACTGCGCATGCGCGACCAATTTGACTTACCAATCCCAACCAACTTCAAGGTGAATGACGCACGCGTGTGACAACTGCCGTACAATCTAAATGTACCTCCGCAGAATGATAAGAAATGGGGAATAATTACCGTCTGTTATGGAAAGTGCCATCTGTTTAACTACAACGTCGAACAACTTCCGTTTCTCTGTTTTTGAACACAATTGGGCGCTGGTGGCCGAAATACCGAATTCGGCACGTAACTTGTATATTGATCGCGTATTTTCAAAAATAAAGCGGGTATATCTATCCACTGCGCGATCCTTATCAAATTTATTCCTTTTCCAGATCAAATCCATCATTTTGAAATACCTATCCACTAATTTATGTGAAACAAGATGAGATACGAACGTGTATGTCAAGCGGAATAGGGAGTCAATTAATTTGTTGGGCTGAATACCTCGATTTAATACATTCAGAGCCTCCAAGTATCGTTCTGTTTCGATCAACTTTTGCAGAATTATTTCGTCGGCTATGTATCGTTGTTCGTCGTCTTTACAAAGCTGGTAAATATCTTCGATTGCAGATTCTCTATCAAGGTACAATATTCTCTTAAAACAAAACTTGATCTACAAAGCACAATACATTCATCACACTATTAAACTAGGGTCAATTTATTACATCTTCTATGACTGGCTTTCCTTGTAAAGAATACTTGTGCAAAATAATTAGCCTCCTCTCATTCACCAATAAGTCTTTAATGTCTTCGGCTAATTGATTGTCTGTAGAAAAACCAAAAGTCAAACGGGCGAGATTCTTAACAGTATTGGACCAAGGCAGGTTCGCTATCTCCAATACACCCTTGATGGCCTCCAACTTTTTGTCGACGCTTTCAATAAACATTAACAACACTTCTATCAAGTTTGTCCAAAATTCTTCCTCATATTTCAGTAAATTCTAAAATCGCAAATTATTGATGAAAGTAATCTAATTTTTGATATTAGCTTTAAAGTTACTGTTTTAATTTCACCAAACCCTACATATGTAACTCTTAGACTATACATTCGTTTCTGCGGGACAGGTACAACACAGAGAGAAAAGAATTGACGGAGTGTGTCTTTTTTATATATTTCCCTATATCTTCTTGAAATTTCATAAATCTTTTACTAGATTCACGTCATGCTGAAAAGCATCATTTTCATTTTCCATACTTTGGAATAATCGAAACCAAAACTAACCAGTTGCAATAAAATTGAAACTAACCAAAATATGAAAACAAAAAATCTAATACCACGAATACAATATATCTTTAGTATAGGTGCATCGCTAATAATAATAATAATAATTATTATAAGTTATTACATATACTGCTGCAAACTTAAGTGAATTTGAGTCCATATATCATTTTCCCCAATAAGGATGACAAACATATAAATTTATATTTTCCCAAAAAAATTATTGCATTTTTATATTAAAAAAAAAAAATCTGAAGCAAAAAGTAATTTTTAATTTCGACTATTCTAAAACAAGGAAAATGGAAATGATACATTCCGTAAAAAATATTTGTGATTGTATCTTTATGTTCTAAAGCACAATCCTTATTTATAAATGATTTGGACTAAACGAAAGTTGAGTCGTTGCCTGTTCAAGCAAATCCGCCGTTTCAAGAATGCAAATAATTTTCATTTTTGAAAACAGAACACAACTACAACCGAACACGCATGACGTATTCCCGTTCTACCGCAGTATGTATTGTCTCAAGACTGCATTTAAGCAAAAACGCATTGTATATTCCCGACCTAAAACGGACTTGTTTGTTTAATTTCGTATTAAATTATGGGGTCTTGGGGGGTCCTGATTAACCCCGCGGTGTCATATTCGAAATAAAGGTCAAGGCTAATTAAAAATGTTAGTTATCGCTCCTTGGAGAGGCTTATTGGAACCCAAAATCAAACCTTTAGATGACTCAAAATTTTACTTAGATTTCATAATCGCTTGGGCAAGCTTATTGAACAAAGAGATTTTTGATTCAATAAATAAATTGATCACCTTAAACAATAATGACTTATTAACATTTATAACTCAAATTTGCTCTTACCAACGTTTCTTGCAACAAAATTTCGTCTCTGTTGAGTCCATTTTTCAATATAAATGGACAAACGAATTCTCTTATCAGTCGCTCTAATTTTTCACTCTCCATTTCTCCAGTTAAGATCAGGTGCCTAATGGTGTGGGCAGGTTCTGTCAGATATTCGGAAAGGGAAATTTTAATACCAAAATTGTTATAGAGCATTTGAATGTCATTTAGAGCTGCGAAAAGATTTGTTATTTTATTGATAAGTTCTTCCATGTTAGATTGCTGTATCAGTGTGTCAAGATTTAGAAGGGATGTTACATCTTTGACAAACTGTATACCGACACCAGGGAAATCGAAACGATGCTGATTTTCCAAATAGTATATCCGGTCATAGAGCCATTGAATGAAAATCGACAATGCATCCGGTCGGTATTTCAAAGTAGTCGGTACGAAATTATTACGAAATAATGTGCAGTTGATCGGAAGGTTGTTTGATATTAACAGAATTTCTTTGATTTTATGATCAGATAGTGTTTGAATTGCCCTTAAATCCAGACGACTGTAAATCAGCATTGATTGCTCAACAGACGCCTCCTAAAATACAAGTAAATTTAATAATAAAACATAATTTGCTAGAAAGATTAAGTCTTACACTCCTTAAAAATTTTTTTACTTCCTCAATGAGGTCGCATACTGAAAACTTAATCCATTTGTTAGAGTCAAAGGTCCCATAAACTGCCATGAAAGTGTCGTATCTGAATAATTTTTGGGCAAATTGTTGCTTCATCTTTAAAATCTCTGAACTTTCTTCTTTAGACTAAAATTTTTGTAGAATGCATTAATTTGTCATGAAATATTCAAATATTCACATATTCAAAACATATTCAAATGGACTGTAGTACAATTTAAAAAAAAATAACTATATAGCAAATTAAATAACAAGAAACAGATCGAATAGAAGCAAAGCCACGACTCCAATTGCCGTGTGAGATCCGGAGCCTATAACATTTGGGATGTTTATAACAGTTTTTTGCACACTAATATTTATTACACCTTTCCGTGGCAACAATTAAATTTAAAATATCAAAAATGCCAATACAGAGTAAAATTGCTTAAGCGGCTACGAGCCTTTTGTCCAGGACGAACAATCTGCGCAAGCACATTAATTTCACACATTTTATTAATTGTTATTAATTTTGGTTATTATTCATAATAATTCTCCTTTATTTTTACCGTGAGTTGAAAGTTTAATGCATATTGTAAATGAACTTTGCCTTAAGGTCTTAATGGATGAAAGGAATTTTGAATATTGAATATTCACTTTTTTAAGTTTTTTTTTATGTTTGTTACGAAAGTACTCGTGTTATCATCCGTTTCTTTTATAGTTGTAATGTTCCAGGAAGGTTTGAATTGTCTCTGGTAACATTAGAAAATTTGGCCTAAGGGTTCATAATAAAATAAATTGTTTATTTTAAAATATTGTTGACCTTAAGTACTAGAACAAAAAAAACTTACACAATTGCGATGCTCAAAATTCATGGAACTGGTATAATGTAACATTCGCCTCGTATCTTCGCCAGTCTCGCAGTCGATATGTTCACAACATTCCAACTTAAACAAATGATTATCCACACAATCAAAGAGGGCTAGAAGCTCATCTACGTCTTTCGTGGTCAAGACATAGTTACTTATAATGCGCTCAATTTTGGCTCTTGTAATGATTTCCAGATCAAGATTAAAAGTTTTAGCGAATGCCTCAGCCTCATCAAAACACTGTTTTCTAATCAATCGTTCAATTCTCAAAATTGGATCGACTTCGCAAACGTATTGCAAACGAAGTTCCGACACTGACGAATTGTTATGTACTTCTGAAAAGAATATAACCTCCTCGGTTAGGCTCTCAATTTGCATTAAATGTATTGTGGTACTTAATTTAATTGAATAAATTACATCAAAATTTGGGTAGTTAAAAAGTTTAACTTCGGAGTTCTGGTCAGTGCCTCTTTGTGTGAATCCAACCACTTGAATTTTCGCATTATTTTGGATATCTTTAACAACGATTAAATCTTCGAAGCGGTCTTTAATCAGTTTGTCTCCCGGAAAAGCGAAAAGCGTTAAACTGCTTAATACATAAACCTGGCCTGCTTTATCCAGTACCAAAAAATCACTAGAAACAAAAAAATAATAAGAAAGTACAGTAACATTGATATAATCACTCACTTTGTAAGGGTACACATTTTCTTAATATCCAACGGATCATCAACTTGTAAAATTTTATTTTCTAGGTCTACCAACATTAGATCATTACCTTCAGCACATAAATAAGGATACAAAAGCGCACAATTATTAACATAGCCCTGTAAATTAAATACTACTTCTGATTTAAATTTATCTTCTAAATAAATTCTAAAATAATAGTGTTAATCCATGTGAATGAGCTGCTACAACTTTAGCGAATACCTTTTTATCGTGCCATTTGAATTAACTGTATAAAAATCTAATTTGTTTTCAAAACATCCAATATAAAATGGTGCTTCCTCGGGTCTCTCATTTAATCTGAAGCAAAAAGTAACTAATACCAAATTAAATTTTACTGGATGAAATGCTCACTCTTGGTGAAAATTTGCACTTAGCTCTACTGCTTCTTTGTTATCTTTATCTGCTAAGGCAGACAAATCCTTTATAACAATGCTCCCATCATGGGTACAGATAAGCAAAAACCTTCCAGAAGTTGAGACACAACAACAATCAATCAAAGATGAAAACGAAAAGCTAGCGATTTCTTGAGTCAGTTCTCTATCTGACATTACTCGCAATATGTGGTTAATAGCAAAGAAAATCGTGCCATTCCGAGAAAACGATATAATATGAACATTATTGATTTGCTAAAAAATGAACAGTATTAGAATCAATTTTTTTCATATAGCTCGTGTAATTTAGAAAGATAGAAGGACGCAACCTTTACACAATACAGAGCATTCCCGGCAGAAACTTATCAAATGAAATCAGAACCATTTGCGAAAATGCCTTGATCCTTTCGCTGTTTTATCACAAAAGTTAATACTTGCCGCTTCAGTTTGAGATGGTCTTATTAGGCCTAAAGTACATATTTCATACAAATTGTTACTGTCTGCCACAGCTCTTCCTCCAAAATTAAACGTTTCGTCAATATTACTGAATCCGGCTTCGATAATATCGAAACCATTCATTTTGTGTTTCTTTTCAACGAACTTTTTAGATATATTTGAAATTGACATAGTCTCTTAACTATGAACCACAGAATACACCTTTGTCTTTCATATACAGTTGGCCAAACTTAGTATGGGCATTCGCCCATTGCCAACGTTCGTCGAGAAAATTTTTGCTTTTTGTCAAAAACCAACAGTTAACAGAAAAAAAACAAACCAACATTTGTTCTCAGTATACAATAAGGAACTTTGGACAATAACAAAAAGAGGCCTTCCCCTTTACTATCCCTGGACCTACCTGGTTACCAACCGGCGCGGACTGGAAAAAACAGCGGGACTGACAACGGTTACACATTTAAAACATTCACTAAACACTTAGGGAACGAAAATCGCACAATTGAAACGGGTATCATAATTTTTTGGGACGATTAAACAGGATTCTACCGGGAACGAGCGGAATTTAAACCGCCATGTACAATGCTCAAGACAAAATCCACCACAGAAAACAAAACTTTTTTTTGTCTATATAATCATAAGCAATTTGATCCAATTACCGAAAGTGTCACTAACTTATTGGACTTCCAAAGGATATCTCCGTGATGAGGGTTCGAGACGTCCCATCATCCCTCGCGCTTCACCATAGAAATGAAATTTAAAAGGAAATAAAAAATTACAATTTCAAACCACATCTTTCCAAAAAGAGAGAACATTGGTTGGATGGAAAAGACGAGCAGAAATGTTCACTTGACTGTTGAAAGTAGTGATTCCTTTCCTGTTCAGTGCCAACTTATGGAAGAGTTAGCAGGAGGCTTATTAAAGTGGAAACTATGGCTTTCCCTTATTGTAAACATTTTTATTTAAAGTTAAAAAAAACTACACAGTGTGCAAATTTCCAAGTAATATATAGATATAACTTGCCCAGGCAAACAGTCACCCGTGAAATTATTAATTTTTTAATAACCATAAGTTAGTATTCTGTGAACAAGATCAAGAGTTAAAACTAACTTCCTTATTATGTGGTCAAAACAAACGGATCCTAAATACGTCTGGTACGTTGGTGAACATGGCTGCCGATTTTTTACGAGTTTGAATAATAGAGCTATTGAGAACCCTAACTTGCAAAACATTAAACACACTATCAGAAATTTAACAAATAAATTACCTTGTTATTTACCAGGGTTTGTTCCCTTGTGTGTTAATGCTTTCGTTGCCGTAAAGCGAGAAGTATGTCTTTTTTTGTTGTCCTCACCTGTAACTGCGCTATCGAGGGTAAAATCATCAGGATCCAGATGCATCTTTGGTGCACTTTCCATTAGGAAAAGCATTTGGGCGGTCGTCTAACGAGTTGTTAGCTAATCATCAATGCGAAGAGAAGGTATTTAACGTAGGCACTTGATTCTGTGGTGGAGCATTGCACGCGGCGGTTTAACCTCCGTTCGCTCCCGACAGAATCCCTTGTATTCGTCCTCAAAAGTTTGATATCGGTTTCCACTGTGTGGACTTAGTGTTTTTAGTGTTCAGTGCATGTTTTAAAGTGATAATCGTCGTCGGCCCCGTCGTTTTTCCCTGTTCACGCCGGTATGGAGGCCGGATGGGCCCGGATGGTCCGCGGTGGAAGCGGTGGGAAGCCGATTTTTTTGGTATCGGTCAGAATCGTTTTTTGCTAGTTGAGCAAATATTGGTTATATGTCTTCTTTGTACGTGTTGGTCCATGACCAAAAGCGAAGATCCTCGACGGAAGTCGGCAATGGGCGAATGATCCTAGCAGTCGAGCCCAACATTTTTGTGAAACGCATAATTGAATTGAATTTGAATTGAACGTTGGCACTTTGATGCGGTTATTTTTAAATATTTATAATATTTTAAATTAACAAAACCATGAAAAATTAAAAATGTGTTACAATTATGTTTTAATTATACGCACCTTAAGAGTTAAGAGAGTGCATACTTGTTTTGAGATTTGTTTTGTTTGTGATATTAAGACAATTTTTGTTATAGAATAGGTAATTATGAACAGAGAAAGAAACAAAAAGTCTTTCTCTCTGATTGACGCGTACAGTTTTTCCACGAGCAAGTTGCGTGTTGCGTTTCAAGTTGGAGATTATTTTAACAATAAATGGTTTTAGTGTGTCTTTTAGAAATTTTTTGGGCATTAACCCTAAAAGACATGGAAATGTAGGAACGCGGGTATTACAAACATATATTTACGATATTTATTTTGTGCTACTATGGATATTATTTTAGAACACTAATTAAGACAATTATAAGCGATTTATTTGGCAGCATAACACTAACCCCAAGATTCCTAAACACATGTTTTATCCAAAAAGTTGTCGCATTTTCTCGGCATCTTCCCTGCAACCTACCCAAAGTGGAGCAATTGGAAGCGGTGAGTTTTCGGTGATAGTAATCCATTCGTTATCAAATTTCCAAAACAGATCTCCTTTGAAGAAATAAGTCTTCTCTAGATGGAAATATTCGTTAAAGAGAAATATGGAAACTTGGAGGATAAGAGCCTACCATCTTTCCAAGTGGTAGCAGCATCTAAATTTTCCGGCACACCTCTCCATCTGTTTATATGCAACGGGTATCCGGAATCCATAGTCTGCGAGGTTTCATTGTACCTCCAAAATCTCTCTTTCTTATAGAAATACGTTTTACCTACAATTTGATCCGCGAAGTATTGATGCACTCTTTGGATTAACTCTCACCATTTCTAGCCCATGTTTGCACTGCATCGATACCATCCAGATAATCTGGCAATCCAAAGTAAGATAAAGTTTGAGGGCTGTCCACGAATCTTGTGCCGTCGTAGATCCATACATCCTTGCCGACGAAGAGGATTATATCGCCACTAGGCCTCTGATAAACGGCGTCTATTTTGCGAACACTTTTTGGTAGTTTAGGAAACATTTGTCTCAGCGGAACTGGATATCCATCAACTAACTGCCCCATATCTTTGAACCTCCAGACATACTTACAAGAGATTTGAATTTGTCAATAAGTCAATTGAAATGTTAGATGCCACATCAACCCATTGACAGTTTATTGCGTTATAATGATAATTAGCAAAAAATTGAAAATTTGGTATTGTACTACCTAAAATTTTTCTTATTCTTAAGTAGCGAAACTTGCTATAATAGTGTGAAAGTTGAGTCATTTTTCTTAGTTTAAGTGAAACATTCTAATTAGTGTGCTCAGCAATTCAAGATGGGAGGAACAGATAGCTATTAGATAATGTAGAGGCTGTAAATAAGATAAAATTGTTACCCCTTTAGCGACAGGAGGGAGTAATTATATGCATATGGAACATATACACACTAAACTGCACCTTGCGCCATGTCTGAACTATTCCCATCGAAAATTTAATGCAAAAAAAATCCGCAGTTAAACTGAAAACTGTTACCAGTAATACTGACTGTTGAAAGAGACTGGTTGAAAGTTAAATTTGCCGCATGCACATATTGAATGGCCATTCTGCCGCCTTTATTATCAGCAAAATCAAGACCTTTATATAAATATATATATATAGTAACCATATGTTACAGATATTCGACGACCCGTATACGGATAAATTTGAGGACAATTAAAGTAATTATTTTTTTCTTCTCCCGTCTGTAAAATACCTAATTACATACCGATCTAGCGTGCGGGAAGTGTCACTTTACCACGTCAATTTTGTTTCCCACGGATTCGATCCACTTCGGACATTTCCGGGATTTTACCGCAAGGATTTGGGAGCGATCGGATGTTTTCGGAGATATTTCCCTCGCCTTGAATTTTGACCTTTGTCAATTCCGACGGTCATGTCAGTGAATGTATTCGTGTTGTTTAGCGAAAATGTACCCAAAAACTAACGGTCGTAGAAAAAGTGTAGTATGCAGCATGTTCGGTAAACTTAAGTCACTCGTTTATTAAATACTTGCTCCGCTGCGCTCCGTCCGTGTCAAACAAACTCGTGTGTCAAATGCCGTTTACCGCACTTGTTGCATAATATACTAATTTTCTACTCCCTTTAGTAAAATACCTACGGATCCGAACCCCTTCGGACATTTCCGGTATATTACCGCATGGGTTTGGCAGCAATCGGATGCTTTCGAAGATTTTACCTCATAGTTTGTCAGTCAATGTATTGGTGTTGTTTTGAAAATATTTACCCAAAAACTAACGGTCGTAGAAAAAGTATAGTATGCATCACGTTTGGTAAACTTTTTAGGTTACTCGTTCATTAAACAATCGGTGTGCGTGCCAAATAAACTCGTGACTCAAATGCCATTTACCGCACTTCTTGCATAATGTATGTAAACGGCATTTGACTCACGAGTTTACCGAACGTGTTGCATACTGTACTTTTTCTATGATCGTGAGTTTTTGGGTACATTTTCGCCAAACAACACGAATACATTCACTGACATAACCGCCAGAATTGACAAATGTCAAAATTCAAACCATGCGGTAGTATCCCGCAGATGTTCGAAGTGATTCGGGTCCGGGGGAAACGAAACTGATGTGGTAAAGTGATGCTTCCCGTACGCTAGATAGATGTGTAATTAGGTATTTTACAGACGGCGGATCTAGCATGTGGGAAGCGTCACTTTACCACGTGAGTTTCTGGTTCCATGTATCTGAACCACTTTGTACATTTCCGGAATATTAGCAAACGGGTTCAGGAGCAGTCGGATATTTTCGGAGATTTGCTCTGCTCGTGCCAAGTCAACTCCTTGCTCAAATGCCGTTTACCACACTTGTTGCATAATGTACCATTCATGCATAATGTACAGTAAGTAAATTATAATTTTCTGTGTACAATCTTTTTTTCCTCTTTGCATATTATATATTTGCATCCAACAACCTCGTAAATAAATGCTGGGTTTTTATTATTTAGAACAAATAAATGAACGGCGCAAATACCCTCAAAATTTTTTTTAGGTGTGACTGGTTCAAAATTTCTCAGCACGTCAAATTTCTAGATATGAGAGAATAATGGAACTATAATTTACTCTTTCTGATCCATGTTTTGTAAGGTCTCAAACTTGCAGACGATTGGATATTTATTCGCAGATATACTGAACGTCGATTTTTAAATTCAATCAATCCTCAAATTTTTAAATCAAGCTCCTCTGGCACTAATCTTTTAGCCATGTTTTTTTTAAGTTTGTCAGTCACGTCACACATTACTCAGTATGGATTCGTGCTGCTTTGCAAAAATATACCTAAAATTTAACGATTTTATAAAAATAATAGTAAGCAACATATCGATAAACTTTAGTAATTCGTTTATACAGAACTCTCTCCGCTTGTGCCAAAACAAACTTGTGACTAATGTGGCGTTTATCATTTTTTTACAGAATATACTATTGTGTTGAAGGCTGGTTCATCCCTAATTTTATTAAAATACCCTACATGTCACCACTACTGATCTTGAACTAAATTATGTGTATTAAGATAAAATTTTTGGACTGGCTTTACCTGATCTTTGAAAACAAACAGTTCGTTCCTGAGCGTGGCCACCGCATCAAAATGCCCATCGCACACGTGAGGTAAGCTAGGAGAATTGGTGCTGGGCACATGATGCTTCCCATCGTGAGACTTGTGGTCGTCTACTGATTCGAAATCACCTTCATAGGATACGGTTGTCTCCGGATAATCGGTTGGAAACGCGGTATGGGTACTTTCGGATGTCCATGGACTAAACATATCGAAAAACGTCAGCTTATAGCGAAATCATTATTGATATTGTTTTTTTAACTTCTTAGTTGAAATAGATGTTCCGCCTCTCCTAGGATGATGGTGGTGAAACTTTCTCCTTGGTTTCGTAGGCAGCTTCGGCTCATGCGTAATCGGTGGTCTGGTTGAAGTTATCACGTTTGTTGTAGACGACGTATCTGTGTTGTGTAATATTCTGTCGTCATCTTCTTTCAATCGCCTTTGTACTACCACGTCGGAATGTAAGACGTTAATAGGTGAGAGTATATTTCTTACTCACTGTATAAATTATACATAGCCAAAATATCGTCATAGTCAAGCTGGTACTGAGCACTCGGGTCATAACCTCTATAATAAGGAAACATTATAGAGGTCGCTACTGTGGAATGCGCCAGCCCGAGTGAATGACCCAACTCGTGGAGAGCGACTGTAAAAAAGTCTGTTCCGCGATCCGAATCCGCTTGATCTCTATCCGTCCAGCTTTCGTCATCGTCAAAGTGGATGTCGCCACCCAGGCCGGTACCTTCACGGTCGTATGGAAAGAAAGCGTGAGCTAGAACATTTCCTGGGCCGTCGAAAGGATACCTGGGTAAAACCCATATTTTTATAATTTACAACAAATTATACAATTTGTTAGTAAATGGAAGCTACTACATAAAGCAATTTTCTCAAATACAGAAAATAACACCAAGATTTTTACCTGTCTCCATGATATCCTCTTCCAAAGGCTACGATAATATCGGCGTCCTGGTGAAATGATTTGCTAAATGTGAGTCGGCCGTATTGTCCCCAGATGTCCAAAGCTTTTTGGATATTCTTCGCGATTGCAGATTCAGTTAGTCTCGGAGTCCAATTGGCTATACTGAAACCTCAATTTCTTTACATTCTACACGTTTGTGGAGGCGTAACGGAACCGAAGTTTCAATAAATCTCGCCTTATAAAACAATCAATAAACGTTATTGACTGTTTAAATCTAAATGGGACTAATAGACCTGAATTTCACCAGCATGAGTGGCATGTAGAAAGGACTGGGAGTTTAGAGACACACATTTGTCGCGTGGGGTTGTAAGATAGTTCGGATTTAAGAAACACGTGAATTGATGTTGTAAATCAAAGGATGGAGAACTAAGTGGATGTTCCAATTTCTTCTGACTAAGTACTTGTTCGGAAAAGCATTGCCCAGTTTGTTGGGTTCCTGTCGTTTGAAATGTTGTGCATCAAAACTTACAGAGTCTGCCATTTAAATTTTAAAATATGTAGTTGAAGAATTTCGCTTAGCATTTAAAAGTTACAGAATGTTCCTATTTCAACTGATGGCACGAAACTTACTAATACGTGATATTTCTTTTATTCCATCCATCCATGGTGGCAAATCTTTTCTGTCTATTGCTTTTTATCACGTCCGGGACCCCACATCTTGGGGATGCCATAAGCTGCGAAAAATATTTAAAATTAATTCCTATTAATAACAATAATAATAATGATAATAATAATAATAAATAAATAATCGTTTATTGACCACTTATAAATACAAAAACGTGTTTTTGAAGTCAGGAAAACTACAAACAAGATAAATATATTACATATAAACAGTTAAACCAGTGTAACCAGAAAGTAAAACTTTGTACACTTTAAGAATTATCTTATAAAATAACTTAGATCTACTGTGTCTGATGAGTAACAAATTCTTTTATAGAATAGAAACAATGCTCTTCAAAAAACTTGTTTTATAATTGTTTGAATTTTCTAATGGAAAGCCGTTTAACATCAATATTTTTGGATCGAAAAGGAGTGTTTGCAAAAATATTATACAAATCTAGATTAAGTTTATTTTTTTTTGTATCGATCTTAATTTTATGATATTGTCAGTTGTTCGCGTCATGTAGCTGTGATATCAAGCGTGAGTCGAAAATACCGACAAATTTGAGTGGATTTCATCTAAAGTTTGGAGAATAAACATACATCGTAACGTAAGTATTTTCAATTTTTTGAATATTGGGCGGCAGTATCTGCAGTAGTAGTCCATATAATAAGACACTATGAAACAGTGCAAAATAAACTGTACGGAGAGTGTTTTGCAAGATGGAACCTCGCAGTTGTCTCAGAACAAAAACCTGAGAAGATAATTTACCGCACAGGTGGTCTATATGAGGCGACCAGGTTAAAAACGCATCTAGGTAAACACCAAGGAGTTCAGATTTTGTACTTCTTCTATTGGTATTGAAAATTAGAGTCTTTGTTTTATCGGAATTTAATTTAATTTTATTTGCAGAGAACCACTGCTCATCAGTGTAGTTTTTATTTAAATTAATTAGATCTTTCTCGGATTCAATCAATGATGTGTCATTCGCATAGAGTCTACTGCAAGCAGCATTTGTTGCAAATACTACGTCATTTATGTATATTACAAACAAAAGTGGACCAAAAATGGAACCCTGAGGCACTCTGTTAGTAATGTCCAACAGAGTGGATTCCCGATCATTCCAGACGACAAATTGATTTCTTCCGGTCAAATAGGATTTTAAGAGGGCTAGGGTATTTTCACGAATTCCGTAGTATTCAAGTTTAGAAAGAAGTATATTAGTATCCACGCAGTCGAATGCCTTGCTGAGGTCGCACATCGTTACCGAAATCGACAGGCCCTCCTCAAACCCATCAACCACATACTCAATCATTGTGTATAAGGCACAGATGGTGGACCTACCCGACCGAAAACCAAATTGGGAATCTGTTAATAATTTCCTTTCCTCAAAGTCAGCGATAAGTTGATCTTTTATTATCGACTCAAAAATTTTTCCAATGGTAGGAACGATTGCTATGGGTCTGAAATTATCTAAGATATTAGTATCCCCTTTTTCTGAAGTGGAAAAATTTTTGTCACTTTTAATTCATCCGGAAAACATCCCTCTTGAATGCTATTGTTTATTAGTAACGTAATAGGTTTCAGAATTGAAGATATTGATTGCTTAATTATATTGGCATTTAGATCATAATAGTCAAGACAATGAGAGTTTTTTAGTTTCAAAATAATAATAATAATAATAGTAATAATAATATCTGTTTTATTCCACATATTTAGAATACAATCAATATATTATGGAGTTCTTGAAGTAGATCAAAATTATGTACACAATATACATCCCGCAAATGAGGCAGAAAACTACATTAAAAATTTATATAATAAAAAATTATGTAACACAACACAATATACAGTGATAACAAACATTAAAAATTAAAATATTCGTTTAAATTATGTTTTGTATGAGAAAAATTTTTAGTGTGGATTAAAAAATATTACTCATAAAAAATATTACTCACTGCTTTTTAGCTCTAGGGAAAGTTTATTGTAGACTCTAACACCGGTGTTTGTAAAATATTTTTTTGAAAATTCTGGTCTATTTTTTTATAAAAAGAAACAGTCTTTGTTACGTGTACCTTAGGACTTTCTTTTGCTATTTGAAAACATATATCGCATGACTTGAAACAATAAGCGTGCAGCTTTGAAGAAAGCGATTGGCATTGAGCCTTTTTATGTCAACGGCCTTCCCGGCCGAGTAGACATTCACAAAAAGGTTTTTTTTGTTTTGTGTGTATTTTAATATCAATAGACTTGTTTTTTGGACATTTAAAAGAGTTCGTTCGTTATTCTGTCTTCAAGAGTTTGATAAATGTGAGAAGATTAAACTTGAACAGTCGTCAGCGAACTGATACCTGCCTATTAAGCTTATAAGTTTTAACCGATTCTCTGTGCGGGCTTACCTTTAGGGTATCATTGTCGATAATGCCGCTTTCTTTGATAGCCCCGTATCGTTGAACGGTTTTGATCACATTCGATATACTTTCTTCGGTGTAAAGCGCTTCCGATTGTCCGCCGTCGTCCACAATATAGCCGTATTTTTTCATAAACTGAAGCTGAAAACGTATTTGATTCATTAAAACCTAGTATAATTTCGTCATACCTATCCACCTAGAGATATCATTAAAGGAAAAATATTATAATTACTTCAAATGAAGTTTTCGACAGTTACAAATAACCTATATAAAATAAAAGTTTTCACGGAAATAGCAAAAAGAAATCTGCTGAAGTTAAAGTTACTGATTTGAGGCCTAACTCCTTGAGATATATTTTATGAACATCTACCTATAAAAATTTCTGTCAATAAATTAATTTAAATTGAAGTTGTTTGAAGAGAGATTGTCGATAAGTTAACAAATCGAAACTTCGGTTTCAGTTTTTCCAATTTATAAACATTACAAAACAATCAAATGTATTTATATAGTGTAGAATAGTCAACTGGAATAAGTTCAGTAGTTCCATTAATAGGCACGTTATTTTCTAATGCAACCTTATTCACCGATGCGACCTCTAAATTTTAAAATTGGAAGTAGGAGTCTATTATACTTCATTCTGGGTTTTTCATTGTTTATTCAAAATATTTTATTGCAGTAATGTTTTTGTTGTGATAAGAAGATTTTTTAAGTAAATTCCTCAATTTTCAATTTTTGGTTTTCAATTTAAAGTGCATTTAAAGAAAATTGTTTACTGGATATTGCGGAAATAATCAGTTAATATGTATTGCCAATATTAAAATTTTGTCGTAACAAAAAATATTAAATTGACATTAATTTAAAAAGTGATTAGTTTCGATGAGTTTCTCGTACACATTGCAACAAAGATTTAAGAACACTATTATGCTATTTGTACATTCTAAATTTCGTTTAGTTACAGTGATCACAATATTCATTATTACTTGAAGTTTACTAGTTAATTTGTCGTGTCCTTGAATTAAAAGTAAGAGTAATTTCAAAATAATAAAAAATACTTCCTTCTAAATTTTGGGTCCCTAAATAATTGACAAAAATAAAACGATATACCATAAAAATTATATTTTGAAATACTTACCACGCTGTCTGAGGAAATTTGACGTGGAGACGGATTTTCTTTTCCTGCAGGGAAACAAGTGACTCCCAGGAAGCACCAGCCAAACACAACACAACGTGCCCATTTGTCCCGCATTTTCGTCCCCATTCAATTCAATTTATAATTTCGCCGCCAAAAAATTATAATTTCCCGATCGGTAAACGTCTGTCGAATTGTTGAATAATATTTGAATATTGTTTATCTTTTTTAATCGACCATGGTGAGGTATCGTATTGTTTTATTTGGAAAAATGCTGGTCGCAGTCTTGCCGATCCAAGCTTTAATGGACGAATAAAAACGCTCTTGGGTGTATATAACTGTTTTTAAATTTGTGTTTCTGGCCGCGGGGGACCCTCCGGAATTTTGCGAATACTCGATATTTTTTTATTATTTAGTTTCTCGGAACATTTCTCCCAAGATAAATGAGAACCATTATAAAAGTGATTCACGAAGAAATACGCACAATTAATAATAAATAAATAAACACGTCGTTGTATGATTAAGGCGAAAACACCTTTCTCGCGGTGTTAATATAAATATAAAACACGTTGTATTACACTGGGCGGCTCCCGCTAAAATTCGGTTACTTTTATTTGACAAAGCGGAAAGAGGAAAAATTCTTAGCTTGAACTTTACAGTATTTTATAATTTTCATGGTATTTAAAAGAACACGTCATTGCTTAGTAACAGGATGTGGTATTGTTACGATGCTTAAGATTAAAGATTTATAGTGGCATTTTTTGTATTCTTATTTGTCATTCTCCCGTCACATCCTCGTAAAGACTATTATTGTCTCTAGCATTTCCTTCAAATTGAAGGTACCGGTTTCAAGTTTTGACTATCTGACTAATAAAACCAAAGGTGACTTTAGCATTGTGATACTGTGATGCCATTTCTTCATCCTTCAAGAACAACTGACATTTTTGTGAGATTTGGAGAAATTTAATAGATTATAGAATATCGTTAATCAAATAATCGCAGTATAAACCATCTACAACTAAAAATGAGAAAATATTTTTCTCTAAATATGTTGATTGTTGAATGTGTTTTACCTTATTGCAACAATCAGTGGAAAAGGGCCTTAAGTAAAAACAAAACGTAATTGTTGTTTCAGTTTTCTTTTTGTTTTTTAAGTTCCAAAAAATACGAACAAAACATAAACCCAAGAAAACTGACTTTATTATGATATTTATTGTAAAGGTGCACATGAAGTTTGACACATGGATACCACACTGGAGTTTTCGATACCCATACCCATTGGAAAAAGGATATTATATCTACCATAATTTTTAGTCACAGCACAAAAATGTTATTGTTAGAGCTATGAAGTCGGAATCTGGAATGTGTTGTAATAATAGTGGTAAATTTAAATAACTTAAAACTAATTAAAATAAAGCAATCAATAAGAAATTTGGCTCAAATTGATTTCTTTCGCATGCGAAAATCTTTAAGTTTTCCATCGTCCACCCGGTTTCAACAAATTCGTGTGGACAATCTATTTATGGAATATTTATTTCTTTAAGTTAAGTGAAATTGCTTTCGAGAAATCGGTTTAAGCTCATTCGAAAATTTATTTACTTCTGCTCGTTCAGACGACTGATGACAATATAAAAATAAATATTTATCATTTCTTGAATGTGATTTTCCGTTTACATTCTGAAATGTTACATTTTTGTACGGGTTCTTTTATGTCGCATTATTCTATCGGCAATTCCAATTGAATCAATTAAAACTATACCACACAGTAAACCGAGGGGATAACTGACTACGATTTTATTGACACTATACGTTGAAAATTAAAGATTCGTTGCAATAAACGGTAACTGATTGGGGTAATATCAATTTTTAAATAAATAATTACCCAAATGTTCCAGTTACTGCTCTACGTTTCATTAGATTTTATTTCGGTAATCTAAGAAACGTGCCTCTTTTTTTGAAATAAGTGGCACCTTATATCAGAACCTCTAAACATAACCAAAAAAAAACTTAAAGACAAAGCAAGTGGTTTGGATTCACTTATAATTTTAGAATATTTCATTATTATATACATAGAAGGTTTGTATTTCCGCGAACAAGTAAATGCTTTTCTACTCTCAGGGAAACACCCTACATTTGGTATATTAAGGCATTTTTGAATATTTAGGAAAACATAACATCTTATAGCTAAGTGTTGCTGTCTCTGATATATGTGTGATTATGTCAAAGGTGATTTCTTCGACCGAATATATTTAGGGATGATTTTCTGCTTTAATAGTGTCTTTCTAAAAATAAATAAACAGAGTGTGGTTTAATTGAAATGAAAAAATTAGTTAAAAGTCATTTTCTCAAATAGAAACACATCATTTTTCTTATATATCTAACTTATATCAAAACATTGTAAATTTCGAAATATTAGCAATAAAAAGTTTTTCCATTGTCAAAATGCTATGAACCATCACTACTTTGGGTTATTGCTGGTTTGGAAATCAATGTTTGACAGCTTCTAGCAAATATTATTAAAAATATATAAAATATATGTTTCATTCAGAAAAAAAAAAGTTTGATTGGCGAAACGTTAGCAAGTTCGACCCAACAAAGACCGATGCAGGAGGAATCCAGAAGTTTTGTATAAAATGACTCAATAAGTTTTTCATTTACTTTTAAGATATGTCGCAAGCAGTTAAACTTAGGTATTTAATTTTTATTATATATGAAATACGATTTTTTTTTGTTTTCATTAAAATAAGTAAGTTGTTACGTGTCCTTTGAAAATACAGACAAATATAAGTGACTCGAAGCGACTTTCGACTTTAGTTTTTTATATACATTTTTTGACAGCTTCTGAGATTAGATGTTATTCCATTATAAGCAGCCGCCCGATTATACAACCTTGCTCCGGTCTAATTATGTGATAATGTGTTGCACTGGATATGTTAACCCATTTTGTCATCATCAGTTTCAATTATGCTCTGATGCAGGAGGACTCCAGAAGATTTGTAAATAGTAAGTTTTCCTCTTATTATAAAATAAATAAATAAGTCTATAGTTTCCTGCAAATTTTAAAGAAATGTAAAGAATAATAACATAATAAATAATTTATTTAATTTACAAAAATGCTATTTCTGCAAAAACAGAATATCAAAATTTAGACGTTTGCCATCCAAAAGCATTCAGAAAGAAATTTTGACAGGTAAAAATGTCCAAAGGAAAAAACTGATTGTTCAGATTAATGAAAATGATGAACTAGGAACTAAAAAGTAACAATATATAATTGTAATCGCAAAATTGTGACTTTGGTTAACTAGATGATTGTTTTTCATTCTGGATATGCAATCATTTCTCTGTTGGTTTAGAATAGCCCCCTATTGTAACCTAGTTACTGAGCAAATAGGTTTAGTTTTATTAGAATGGGGTCCGTCAATCAACGATCGATTCAGGGAGTACAATAACGAAACAAAAGGCATCGTAAGAAAAAAAAAACAGTCATAATATTCTTAAAGCTATTTACGTTTCCTTGTACGAATTTTTGCCCGATTCTAGTATTTAATTATATTAACTTTTTAATTAATTGACCCAATCTGTCAAGCACTGAACCTATTGTGTAAGAAGTTTTTAATAATTTTAGAAGCAAATTAGCATGGGCGGTTCAAGAATTTGTCAAGCCGGTTGTGGAAATTTCACGCTGATCAAATTGTAGTTAACAATGAAAGTAGGACCTTTTGATTTTTAATTATCTTGCAATTTCCTATACCAGAAATCTTATTTCCTAATTTGGATGGTAGTTTTAAATCAATATATTTTTTTATGTGATTAAATTACCATCTAAGATTCAAGAATGTAAGAGATGGTATATTAGGACAATGTAAGACAATGTTAACAATGTGAAAATTTTAATTACTGTATTTTGATTTTATGTAAATTAATGTGGAAAAGGCTGATTTACATAAATATGTTGTACAAAATGGCAGTAATTTGTTCATTGCCATTTCCGATAGTAGTACACCATTTTTTGTGGACTTATGCTTTTAGGATGGGTCGTCTGCTACCATTTGTTATTAAGACACTCCTACATATAATGATAGTAGAATTTATTTCGTTTTAAGTTAGTAATGTGGCTTATAACTCCCTAGCGAGAAGTCACAAGTATTCCATAAATTTTAACTCACTGGTGAGCTATAGAAATCATAAAAGGGTGATTGCAATCTAAATTTAAAATAGTATGTATATTCTTGGTATTAAAAATGTAAATGTACATGTGCAGTTAACAAATAGCAAATTTGATTATTTTTTTAGTACGTTTCATTATATTATTAATTTTTGCTTTTTTTTGTATTTATTTTGATATTTTGTCTATGTTATAAATTAAGTGACGATAAATTTGTGACGATTTCTATCGTATTATGCAAGCTTTGCTTAAGTGTTAAGTACAGTGGAACGAAAGTAAATAAGGTGTGCGCTATTACTGAAATCGACCACCTTTCGTTGACCCAGACCTCTATACTTTTAAATAAGTTTTTACACAATTATTAGATGAAGCGTGTGGGATCGTTTGTTGGTATATATATAACAAAAAAAATATGTAGGGTTAGTTGAGGTGCACGCTTGATCCATAAGGCAACAGTAATGTTTTCAAAGGCAAGTAATTATCTACGCAATCATATCGCTTTTTCTATAATAACGTTTAAAATGCCGCTTTCAGATTTTGGCTTTCACTGCCATTTTGGCCACTACCACTGCCATTTCAGTCGAACATGGAGACACCTCATACTCAAGCTACAACCAGAACCAAAATGCATTCCAACAAATCCAGTCAGCACCCTCTTTCGTGGAACCGACTCAAGCTTATTCAGCTTCATCCTATTCTGAGCCTGCTTATACAAAACTGGCTCTTTCGGTAGCTCCAGTTGTTTCATATTCCGCTCCAGTGGCTCAAGTTATTGCCCCAGTTGCTAAAGTTCCTGCTCCTCACTATTCGTCAAGTCCAGCTTACAAGGAAGAGTACGCACCAGCTAAATATGAATTCGCGTACGGAATCCAAGATGCCCACACTGGTGACTTCCACTCCCAGCAGGAACAACGTGATGGTGAACACGTGGTGGGACAGTACTCTCTTCATGAAGCTGATGGAACCGCACGCGTAGTCAAGTATTCCGATGATGGGCATGGCTTCAACGCAATCGTAGAAAGATCTGGAAGCCTTGCTATAGCTCCGGTAGCATATAAGAAACTTGTAGTACCCGTAGCAAAAAATGTAATAACCGCCCCACAGGACCATTATTAATTGCCAAAAAATAGGAGCCATTTACTTATATTGTAAATTATTTAATTGTTAAGGAAATACAATTATTATTTGTGTGTTTGAGTATTTAAAGCAGTTTCATTACAATCCCAACAGCAGGCTGTATTGTCACGTGTCAGGTGTACTAACAAATAGAATTAGAAAAACCAAGTTCTTTATTTCTAGTATTTCCTCCAAGCAAATTTATTTCTAATCTCACAAAATAAGAAGGATAAAGTTTTGTATACACTGTGTATTAGTTTTGAAATGCTACTGCCACAAATGAAAGTTATCTAAGATAAAATAAATTATATCTAACTCCATAAAATTCGCTGTTAACTTTCAAACAGGATTTATAATTATAATTGGTGTATAATAGTATATTGGCTATTTAGCCGAAACCGCAATTAATGGACAAAAATTCAATTTTCGACAATCCCCTGGTTTACAACCTCCTCTGGTTTGTATCCTTGACTGACGGCTTGTCCTAAGACTTCGATCTCTTAAAATTAAATTGACTTGTCTTCGAGCCCGAACCCTGAACGATTTGGCTTGTCTGGTTCTCGACCTCACACAAGACCGAAAGCGTTCTTTTTGTTCTCTAGCTTTTAAATTGATTTTTTTATTTATGCACTTTGCTTTCGTTGATGCATTTTTTTTTATTTTTTAGTCTTTAATGATTATAAAAATAGATAACAAATTGAGTTTATTTTCTAAAAATTTGTTTTTTCTTTTTTTTCTGACCTTATAAGGATTGGTTGAAATAACATGGAAACGTGAAAATACATTTCATTGTTATTAATATTATTATTGTTCTTCCCATTGAAAAAGTGGTAACCCTGTAAATTTTATTAATAAGAAAACGGGAACTTATACTATTTTTTAGAAATATGCATAGAAGTTGCACACTATAACGACTTATTTAAGTAAGGATGTGTATGTAAATGTTTAGCGAGTTTTTGAAAATTGATGAAAAAATTTAACTCCTTTTGACATTAGTTATTTTGATTTTTATATAGTGAAAAGATTTAACTCCTTTTGACATTAGTTATGTTGATTTTGATATAGTTATTGAATAGTTATTATTTTTGCTTACTTCCAAGAAAAGGTTCTTTAATAATCACAAATATTAACTTTGAAAAATACGGTTAATGTCGATTTCAAATTTAGTATCCCTGAAGAAAACTGTTTATATTTTTACTTGTAGAGAAAAAGCAATAATATTTTATACGATGTACGAAATTAAAGTCGGGTTTACCTATCTGCCAGGTGTGAAATGAAAAGTATTGCTTGCTTCTAAAATTAAATCATTGCATTGCATCAATATATTAAGTTATCAATGAACATCATCTGAGCTATAGAAAAAGAAACTACAAATACTCAACTAAAATGAAATAATTTAATTTTCATATGTAATTATAAATACAAAATTTAAAAGTAACTTTCAATTTTTGGCAATTAATGGTGGTACTGTGGAGCGGCCACTAAAGCTTTTGCTACGGGTACTACAAGCTTCTTGTACGCTACTGGAGCCTCAGTGGGGCTTCCCGATCTTTCTACGATTGCGTTGAAGCCATGCCCATCATCGGAATACTTGACTACGCGTACGGTTCCATCAGCTTCATGAAGAGAGTACTGTCCCACCACGTGGTCACCATCACGTTGTTCCTGTTGGGAGTGGAAGTCACCAGTGTGGGCATCTTGGATTCCATACGCGAATTCGTATTGAGCTGGTGCGTATTCTTCCTTGTAAGCTGGAGCCGATGCGTAGTGAGGCGCAGGGGCGGTAACTTTAGTGATTGGGGCAACAACTTTGGCTACTGGGGCAGCATATGAAACAACGGGAGCAACAGGTAACGCCAGTTTTGCATAAGCAGACTTAGAATACGCTGGAGCGGAGTAAGCTTGAGTTAGTTTTGCAAAAGCGGGTGAAGCCTGGATATGTTGGACGTTGTTGTAGTTTTGGTTATAGCTTGAGTATGAGGTGGCTTCATGTTCGATTGGAACAGCAACGGCGGTGGCCACAATGACAGTGAAAGCAAAAATCTGAAAAGCAATATAATTGTATTGATCAAAGTCTTTGTAATAATTAAACACAGCAATTTTTGTATTATATGGAGCGCTTCCTCGGGATTTTTTTAAATTTTTGGCGAGATCTATGTTCACGTAATATATTATTATATTATACCAAGTGCTTAATTTATTTTATTTTCAAATGTCAAAATCAATATATTTCGGAAATTATCCTGCAATACTTAACTTCAACCACACTAGGATACTTACCTTTGAAAACATTTTGAATGTTTTGTTAATCAGTCTTGCACCTCAACTAAGTATAAAAGTTTGTTTCGTTTCTATATATACCCGCCAACTCTGTTTCATCTGGCTGTGTCGTAAACACATTCAAAGTATAGAGGTCTGGGTCAAAGAAGTGTGGTCGAACGAATAGTCCGCACCTGATTACATTCACTATACTTTCGTCGAAATTTTTAGTAACAACATATATAGCAAACGTTGGGCAATATCACTCAATATTTTATCGATATTTTGAATAATATCTGCGAAGACAGAAATTTGGCTCCTCAAAAAACTTAAAGCAAATATCTACGTGCCTCATAATTAAATAAAATTTATTTATTTAACAACATTTCGTTTATAAATGCTTTGGCAATATGGTACCTGTCTTATTTATTTATTCATTTAAAGTGCGAACTGCAGACAGATTCTCAAAACTAAACAATTAACAAGAATTCGAGAGAAAATACATTTAACCAGAATTCACAGTTAACAACTTTGTTTTTTTTTTAACAGCGGTTTCTAATAACTCGAGCAACAACTACCAATTCAAGGAGTAGTTCCTATAGGAGTGGGTTGGAATCCTAACTAATGCAATTGTTTACGACAGTCAACTACTTTGTTAGACTGGAAATTATGTATGTACAACTTAAAATATTTATCCGACCATACAAATAGAATCCGTCACTATAAAAAATAAAGCACTTTTGCTGCAAAGCGATAAATTTGTTCGTTGACGACGAAAATACTTGAGAGGTACAAAGCAATACGGAAGGGACCGAAGGAAAATCGAATCGAAAACGAATAATGGACCATATTGCAAGCGAAGGGAGATTCTGTAGTGTCATATGAGGACATGAAGTCGAAAGTTTTTGATTATTTTGATGAAATGATAAAATATCTTCCGGCTGACTCAGTAGTAGTTATAAATAACTCAAACCATCCTTCATGACGCATAGACTCCAAGTTCATCTTGCAGAAAACAAGAAGTTATCGACTTTAAGCTACCGTTGGAGCTTTACTACTAAATTTAAGTTAATTTTAACGCCAAGAGAAGATGACAGTTCGTTAGATGCCGAAGAATATTATAATTTTTTATAACAAAATTTCTGTAGACGTCTAATAATATATCAGATAAATATTCTTACGATGATAGTTTATAAAACGATGAATAAAGAACGGAAAACGATTTTCGATCGTTCAACAAAACTAATATCAACGCAGAATTTAATTTTAGATCATATGCTTTAACATTTCATAACAAATTCTGTGGTTGATGGGATAGTTACGGTTAAGAGTAGATAGTCCCCCCATAACATAACACATCATAAGGTCTGAATTCAGCGCTATGACCATTAGGACGGTGACGCCTCATAGATAGGATTGGAATGTGCTGAATACATGCAGTCCCAATTTCAGATAGCGATTTGAAATTTGGAAGGGTTTGGTATAGACTGAATGTCCAACTTTTTTAAAATTTAACAACACTTCCGGTTCGAGCGGAAACGACAGAAACTTTCGAATTTTAAATGGCTATATTTTTTACATTTTTTGATTCAGGAGATCATTCTACGTAGGTTTGGACGGTTTTTCTCTTTTCTTTTGTTTTTTTAAAATTTTAGGATAACCTAGTTTTTTCAAGTAGCACCCTAGAACAAAAACTTTTTAAATCGATACTTTTTTTGCAACATTTTGTCACCAGAATTTTGAAAAAATAAGCTCACAGGATGAAAAAAACCAGATAAGTAAATTCATTTTTATAAAAACAAAATATTACTTAGGTTGCTTTGCTTCTATTCATCATCAAGTCGGTATGATTGAAAATTCTGACAGTTTGTACATTTTTTTGGATTTGGTCGTGTTATAAATTTGGATTAACATGGAAAATAATAATCAATTTACAAAAGGAGAAATAGTTTATATGTTTCTAATATCCAGGAAGTCTCCTTCCTGCATATTCTTGTCATGATAATAAATCAATGTTGTGGGATACGTCAACACAAATCCGCATCGCTAACAGAAATGGAATTAGACATCTCAATCGAATCTGTGAGGAGAATTTAAAAAAAAACTCAAATAATGTTATATTTAAACGACAGAACAACAGATACTGGTCAATGTTTGGATAGGAGTGATAGGAAGGCTACTTATTGGACCTGTTTTTTTTTTCTTGGTGCCTTAACTAGCCCACGATATTTACAATTCCAAAGAAATGAAATTGAAGACTCGTTAGATGATTTTCAGCAGGATGGCACACCTCCCCATAATTTTGTCACTGAACACCTACGTGATGTTTATGTTGATAGACTAATCTTAACACACGGTCCAGTCACCGGACTTCACACCGTTAGATTTTTTTGTTTGGGGGTACGTCAAGGACCGTGTTTATGTAATTCCAGTGTTCGGCCTGCAAAAATTACAGCGGAGAATATGGGCTGCACTTGATAACACCAGAATTGTTAGGAAGGGTTACAGCGAATGTAATTTCTAAAGCCAGGGTCATATACAGGAAGGAGGATATTTTGAAAGCATTCTATGAAAGTTTCATCTTAAAATAAATTGGTTATTAAGTAAATATGTATCCCAATTGTTTAATTCAAATGAATACAAAACTCCAGTTTCAAAATAAATGAATGTGATGTTTTGTGTCAATGTAAAACTTACTTACAGTAACACAAGTTGATATACCACTTTCAAATGAATTCTACCAGTCAAAATGTTCTAAAAAAAGTACCGGTTTTAAAAAGTTTTTGTTCCCGCTAGGGTGCTTCTTGAAAAAACTAGGTTCTCCTAAAAAACTAATAATTCATTACATTAAATGCTACTTGTTATTAAAAAAGTTTCATTTACAATTCTTCCCATGACCAGGTGACCCGGTAAATAGTATTTATGATGGTCAGAGGCTTCTAGACACAATTTTCAAAAATAAAAAAAAAAACAAAAATGAGAATGACCGTCCTATCCTAGGTAGAATTTTTCCTTGAGTCCAAAAATGCAAAAAAATACAGGTTGTGCCATTTAAAATACAAAAGTTACCGTCATTTCCATTCAAACCGGAAGTGCAACCATTGACTACATATTCCTAAAAAATTGCACATTCCTATATTAACCCTTTCAAATTTCAAATCGCTATCTCAAGCCGTTTAAATGTTATAGAGTGTTCTCATTTTTTTTGTTTGTTGTGTCTGTGTGTTGTTGTGGTATACCGATCGCTCCAAGTACGTGACTAAAGCACCTGAAACACTCGAAGTGGCTCGCGGCAATGCTGAAAGAAGCTAACATTTTAAAGTGATATTTTACGCACGCTTGGTCTGTGCATAATTATGTATTTTAGAATAGGAAGTAGAAAAAATAGTTTAAAGCATTATATTTGTACTGGCACCGCACTGCCGTCATTTTAGTTTATTTAGCTTAATGCAAAGATGGGTGGGATTTGTTGAGTGGACGAAAAATATAATTATAAAAGTCAATATTTTAAAATTTTTGTATTAATCATAAATAAATAAATATAGCGCGATTTTCTCAGTTCCTTTGTTTAGTAGTGATATTGATATTGTGGAGCGGCTGCCACGGCTTTAGCTATTGGAACCACGAGGTTTTTAACAACGGCGGGAGCTTCTGTGGGTTGACCAGATTTTTCAACGACAGCGTTGAAACCGTGTCCATCGTCAGAGTACTTTACAATCCTCACGGTACCGTCGGCTTCGTGAAGCGAATACTGTCCTACGACATGGTCACCATCACGTTGTTCCTGTTGGGAGTGGAAGTCACCAGTGTGGGCGTCTTGGATTCCATACGCGAATTCGTATTTCGCTGGATCGTATTCTTCCTTGTAAACTGGAGCCGACGCATAGTGGGACACTGGAGCGATTACTTTCGTAATTGGGGCGACGACTTTAGCGACTGGTGCAGCATATGAAACAACTGGAGCAACAGGGAGAGCCACTTTTGTGTAACTAGGTGCCGAATACGCTGGAACTGAGTAAGATGGAGTCGCTTTCACGAAAGCATTTGCTGACTGGATGTGTTGCACATTGTTGTAGTTTTGGTTGTAGCTTGAATATGAGGTCGCCCCATGTTCAACTGGAACAGCAATGGAGGTGGCCACAATGGCAGCAAAAGCAAAAATCTGAAACGAAAAATCGACTTTAAACATCGAGTTTTTCTTTCTCTTAATAAATTTACCTTAGAGAACATGATGTATCGATTAAGCTTATTCCTTAACTGACGATAGCTTGATTTTTTCGTGGATTATATACATCAGCTTCGCAAAGTCCTTGTTACATTCGACATTCGTGCACGGTTTGTGTGAGTAGTACAATTTTAGGGTAGGGGATATTATGTGAGCAGGATTTTTTAACGTTGATCGACTGGCGTAGGTCGCGCTTTTTTAAATAGGGGGGTCTAGGTCAAAGAAATGTTCTTTCACTTTCATCCGTTTCGTAAAAATGAGGTTAATAGTTCTGCTGCAATGCAATTTGTCGAATATAAAATTTGATTATATAATTGCATTACTTGTACAGGCCAACTTTTAACGGTACCCGCCAAATATTTTTTGTCGCATTTTTGAATGTATTAAGTATAAAAGGCATTTTTCATTTCGGCGCATAAATATTGTATCAATTTAAATTGATCTGAATTATCACAGTTTAAGATTTAGTACAATTTACAAAAATAAAAAGATTCGGAAATCTAATTTTTCATTATAAACCTAATGAACCTTCTGGATTTTTCCTGCTTGTGGTTTTGGCTGGATGATTTGAAAAACGAAGCCAGCATCATATATGGCGCGATCCATGAATACTGAGGATAAGAATAATCTAGAAGCTTATTATGAGGTCAGATAGTTCTAACAGGACTATTTTTAATTAATTATTGCAATAAGTGGATGAGTTGCAGATACCCTTTGGATATTTTTCAGTGTTGAGCAAAAATGTTAAAAAGACACGCCTTTAATAAAACAGCCACTTTATTTTTCTTAAATAAGTGAGTTGATTTCAGTAATCAATTCTTTTTTCTTAAATATTAATATTTTTGCAGCATAAAGGAAAGTGGATATTTAACTTAATTCTTTAAGCAGCACTGTATCAGCTAGCTGGAGCACTACTTCTTGGCTATATGTCAAACACTACTACTAATTCAAATTGACGTCTATGTGCAGAATTTTCACAACTTATAAACTTTAGATGCATTTATAATAATGATGAATGTTGGCTTGCATTATTTTATTGCATTTTATTATATAACCACTGATGAATCAGTCGGAAATAGTATATTATGCAACAAGTGCGGTAAACGGCATTTGACTCACGAGTTTATTTGACACGAGCGGAGCGCAGCGGAGCCAGTTTTTAATAAACGACTGGGTTAAAAAGTTTTCCGAACGTGTTGCATACTATACTTTTTCTACGACCGTCAGTTTTTGGACAAACGTCAAATATCTTCGAAAACATCCGATTACTCCCAAATCCGTGCGGTAAAATCCCGGAAATGTCCGAAGTGGCTCGGATTCATGGGAAACGAAACTGACGTGGTAAAGTGACACTTCCCGAACGCTAAATCTGTGGGTAATTAGGTATTTTACAGACGGGAGTAAAATTTTTTTTCATATCTATTAGTTAAGATGTTAAGTGGTCAAAAACTAATTTAATTAATTGCTTACTTATTAGAATTGGATTTACATTAGTCATAAAAAATAATTTTATTTCAAAAAGTTTACCTACGGTATAGTCGACACCGACATTAAGCAGAACTAACTGAACAGAGTTTCCCATGTTACTACTCGAAACTTTTCTGAAATAGCCTAACCTATCAAAAACCGGTAGCTTGTGTGATTTTCTTTAAATAAATAAGTAAAAATGAAGGTGTGTTTGAAGTGAAATATTCTTCAAGACTAATGCAGTCTCTAAATCTTGTATTTAGCTAACTAAAACTCGCACCAGTAGATGGTTGAATGTAGCTATGGGCATTCTAAAATAATGAAAAGGCTCTCAACTGAGTGATCTTCCTAAAGTAAACCTCTCTTCTTTCAGGATTGGGAGCACCCAAACTTTTCCTTTATTTATAGTTTTCTTTTAAAATAATACATAACAATCTTCATCATTGTTTGCCGCTTCAATCGGGTCCGACATTCGGCTAGTGTGAACAAATGTGAGGACTACGAATTCAGATTGATTTTCTGGTTTACTTCTCAAACGCAATTTTTAGAAAATCGCGAGAGCCGTAAAAGTTTCCAAACTTAAGGGGCAATCTTATGTTTTCATAAATAAAAGCTAGGGGTGGTCTACGAAAATGTATGTTATGTGGCAAGTGTACCAAACTTCGACTGCACTTCAAAATTTGGGAGATAAATTGAGAAAAAAACACCCTGTATGTCAAGTAAAAAATGTTGAATTATTTTAGAAGAGAAAAGTTTTTGATTGGTAATTTACATTCATATAGAACAACATATCATCATTATCATATTAGAATATCCAACTTCGCTGGAAAAATAGGAATACGACTAATTGTAAACAGTGTAAATGCGACTTCAAGTAATTTTTTTAAATTTAGATTTATTTTTTCATCATATTTTGTGAGTTTTTCTTTAAGGTTTATGGTGATGCAGCTGGAGGTTAAAACCCTTCCGATTTCTATGATTCCAACTTGCCAGTAACTTAACTTTGCAATAGTTGTTGAAAACAATTTTATATAGTCAGTTTGTTAACGCATTTGCACCAATGAACAATTATTGTTGTCTGGGTTGCAATAATTAAACCAAAAAGAGCAAACGATTCAAAAGTATATTTAACGAAATCGAAAATAAATTAATTTCTTTTAATTCCTAATGTAAAATATCTAGAAGTTGCCCGTCTTAGTTGTGGTATGGATACTGTGGGGTAGCTACTAATGCTTTAGCTACAGGTACCACGAGCTTTTTGTAAACGGCTGGAGCTTCCGTGGGTTGACCGGATTTTTCAACGACAGCGTTGAAACCGTGTCCATCGTCAGAGTACTTTACAATCCTCACGGTACCGTCGGCTTCGTGAAGCGAGTACTGTCCGACGACGTGGTCACCGTCACGTTGTTCCTGTTGGGAGTGGAAGTCACCAGTATGGGCGTCTTGGATTCCATACGCGAATTCGTATTTCGCTGGAGCGTATTCTTCCTTGTAAACTGGAGCCGACGCATAGTGGGACACTGGAGCGATTACTTTCGTAATTGGGGCGACGACTTTAGCGACTGGTGCAGCATATGAAACAACTGGAGCAACAGGCAGAGCCAGTTTTGTGTAACTAGGTGCCGAATACGCTGGAACTGAGTAAGATGAAGTCGCTTTCACTAAAGCAGGTGCTGACTGGATGTGTTGCACGTTGTTGTAGTTTTGGTTGTAGCTTGAATATGAGGTCGCCCCATGTTCAACTGGAACGGCAATGGAGGTGGCCACAATGGCAGCAAAAGCAAAAATCTGAAACGAAAAATCGACTTTAAACATCGAGTTTTTCTTTCTCTTAATAAATTTACCTTAGAGAACATGATGTATCGATTAAGCTTATTCCTTAACTGACGATAGCTTGATTTTTTCGTGGATTATATACATCAGCTTCGCAAAGTCCTTGTTACATTCGACATTCGTGCACGGTTTGTGTGAGTAGTACAATTTTAGGGTAGGGGATATTATGTGAGCAGGATTTTTTAACGTTGATCGACTGGCGTAGGTCGCGCTTTTTTAAATAGGGGGGTCTAGGTCAAAGAAATGTTCTTTCACTTTCATCCGTTTCGTAAAAATGAGGTTAATAGTTCTGCTGCAATGCAATTTGTCGAATATAAAATTTGATTATATAATTGCATTACTTGTACAGGCCAACTTTTAACGGTACCCGCCAAATATTTTTTGTCGCATTTTTGAATGTATTAAGTATAAAAGGCATTTTTCATTTCGGCGCATAAATATTGTATCAATTTAAATTGATCTGAATTATCACAGTTTAAGATTTAGTACAATTTACAAAAATAAAAAGATTCGGAAATCTAATTTTTCATTATAAACCTAATGAACCTTCTGGATTTTTCCTGCTTGTGGTTTTGGCTGGATGATTTGAAAAACGAAGCCAGCATCATATATGGCGCGATCCATGAATACTGAGGATAAGAATAATCTAGAAGCTTATTATGAGGTCAGATAGTTCTAACAGGACTATTTTTAATTAATTATTGCAATAAGTGGATGAGTTGCAGATACCCTTTGGATATTTTTCAGTGTTGAGCAAAAATGTTAAAAAGACACGCCTTTAATAAAACAGCCACTTTATTTTTCTTAAATAAGTGAGTTGATTTCAGTAATCAATTCTTTTTTCTTAAATATTAATATTTTTGCAGCATAAAGGAAAGTGGATATTTAACTTAATTCTTTAAGCAGCACTGTATCAGCTAGCTGGAGCACTACTTCTTGGCTATATGTCAAACACTACTACTAATTCAAATTGACGTCTATGTGCAGAATTTTCACAACTTATAAACTTTAGATGCATTTATAATAATGATGAATGTTGGCTTGCATTATTTTATTGCATTTTATTATATAACCACTGATGAATCAGTCGGAAATAGTATATTATGCAACAAGTGCGGTAAACGGCATTTGACTCACGAGTTTATTTGACACGAGCGGAGCGCAGCGGAGCCAGTTTTTAATAAACGACTGGGTTAAAAAGTTTTCCGAACGTGTTGCATACTATACTTTTTCTACGACCGTCAGTTTTTGGACAAACGTCAAATATCTTCGAAAACATCCGATTACTCCCAAATCCGTGCGGTAAAATCCCGGAAATGTCCGAAGTGGCTCGGATTCATGGGAAACGAAACTGACGTGGTAAAGTGACACTTCCCGAACGCTAAATCTGTGGGTAATTAGGTATTTTACAGACGGGAGTAAAATTTTTTTTCATATCTATTAGTTAAGATGTTAAGTGGTCAAAAACTAATTTAATTAATTGCTTACTTATTAGAATTGGATTTACATTAGTCATAAAAAATAATTTTATTTCAAAAAGTTTACCTACGGTATAGTCGACACCGACATTAAGCAGAACTAACTGAACAGAGTTTCCCATGTTACTACTCGAAACTTTTCTGAAATAGCCTAACCTATCAAAAACCGGTAGCTTGTGTGATTTTCTTTAAATAAATAAGTAAAAATGAAGGTGTGTTTGAAGTGAAATATTCTTCAAGACTAATGCAGTCTCTAAATCTTGTATTTAGCTAACTAAAACTCGCACCAGTAGATGGTTGAATGTAGCTATGGGCATTCTAAAATAATGAAAAGGCTCTCAACTGAGTGATCTTCCTAAAGTAAACCTCTCTTCTTTCAGGATTGGGAGCACCCAAACTTTTCCTTTATTTATAGTTTTCTTTTAAAATAATACATAACAATCTTCATCATTGTTTGCCGCTTCAATCGGGTCCGACATTCGGCTAGTGTGAACAAATGTGAGGACTACGAATTCAGATTGATTTTCTGGTTTACTTCTCAAACGCAATTTTTAGAAAATCGCGAGAGCCGTAAAAGTTTCCAAACTTAAGGGGCAATCTTATGTTTTCATAAATAAAAGCTAGGGGTGGTCTACGAAAATGTATGTTATGTGGCAAGTGTACCAAACTTCGACTGCACTTCAAAATTTGGGAGATAAATTGAGAAAAAAACACCCTGTATGTCAAGTAAAAAATGTTGAATTATTTTAGAAGAGAAAAGTTTTTGATTGGTAATTTACATTCATATAGAACAACATATCATCATTATCATATTAGAATATCCAACTTCGCTGGAAAAATAGGAATACGACTAATTGTAAACAGTGTAAATGCGACTTCAAGTAATTTTTTTAAATTTAGATTTATTTTTTCATCATATTTTGTGAGTTTTTCTTTAAGGTTTATGGTGATGCAGCTGGAGGTTAAAACCCTTCCGATTTCTATGATTCCAACTTGCCAGTAACTTAACTTTGCAATAGTTGTTGAAAACAATTTTATATAGTCAGTTTGTTAACGCATTTGCACCAATGAACAATTATTGTTGTCTGGGTTGCAATAATTAAACCAAAAAGAGCAAACGATTCAAAAGTATATTTAACGAAATCGAAAATAAATTAATTTCTTTTAATTCCTAATGTAAAATATCTAGAAGTTGCCCGTCTTAGTTGTGGTATGGATACTGTGGGGTAGCTACTAATGCTTTAGCTACAGGTACCACGAGCTTTTTGTAAACGGCTGGAGCTTCCGTGGGTTGACCGGATTTTTCAACGACAGCGTTGAAACCGTGTCCATCGTCAGAGTACTTTACAATCCTCACGGTACCGTCGGCTTCGTGAAGCGAGTACTGTCCGACGACGTGGTCACCGTCACGTTGTTCCTGTTGGGAGTGGAAGTCACCAGTATGGGCGTCTTGGATTCCATACGCGAATTCGTATTTCGCTGGAGCGTATTCTTCCTTGTAAACTGGAGCCGACGCATAGTGGGACACTGGAGCGATTACTTTCGTAATTGGGGCGACGACTTTAGCGACTGGTGCAGCATATGAAACAACTGGAGCAACAGGCAGAGCCAGTTTTGTGTAACTAGGTGCCGAATACGCTGGAACTGAGTAAGATGAAGTCGCTTTCACTAAAGCAGGTGCTGACTGGATGTGTTGCACGTTGTTGTAGTTTTGGTTGTAGCTTGAATATGAGGTCGCCCCATGTTCAACTGGAACGGCAATGGAGGTGGCCACAATGGCAGCAAAAGCAAAAATCTGAAACGAAAAATCGACTTTAAACATCGAGTTTTTCTTTCTCTTAATAAATTTACCTTAGAGAACATGATGTATCGATTAAGCTTATTCCTTAACTGACGATAGCTTGATTTTTTCGTGGATTATATACACCAGCTTTGCAAAGACCTTGTTAGATTCGACATTCGTGCACGGTTTGTGTGAGTAGTACAATTTTAGGGTAGGGGATATTATGTGAGCGGGATTTTTTAACTTTGATCGACTGGCGTAGGTCGCGCTTTTTTAAATATGGGGGTCTAGGTCAAAGAAATGTTCTTTCACTTTCATCCGTTTCGTAAAAATGAGGTTAATGGTTCTGCTGCAATGCAGTTTGTCGAATATAAAAATTGATTATATAATTACATTACTTGTACAGGCGAACTTTTAACGGTACCCGCCAAATATTTTTTTGTCGCATTTTTGAATGTATTAAGTATAAAAGGCATTTTTCATTTCGGTGCATAAATATTGTATCAATTTAAATTGATCGGAATTATCACAGTTTAAGATTTAGTACAATTTACAAAAATAAAAGGATTCGGAAATCTAATATTTCAGTATAAACGTAATGAACCTTCTGGATTTTTCCTGCTTGTGATTTTGGCTGGATGATTTGAAAGATGAACCCAGCATCATATATGGCGCGATCCCTGAATACTGGGGACAGAAGCTTATTATAAATAAAATGTGGGTAGAGGTCGTTCTAACAGGGCTGTTTTTAATAAATTATTGTAATTAGTGGATAGTTGCAGATATCATTTTGATATTTTTCAGTGTAGAGCAAAAATGTCAAAAAGGCACGATTTGATTCATATAGCCTTTAATAAAACAGTCACTTTATTTTTCAGTCGATTTCAGTAATGCAATTAGTTTTTCTTAAATATTAATATTTTTGAATCATAAAGGAAAGTGGATATTTAACTTAATTCTCTAAGCATCACTGTAGCAGCTAGCTGGAGCACTATACGCACTATACTGGGCTATACGTCAAATACTACAACTAATTCAACTGACGTCTATGTGCAGAACTTTCACAACTTATAAACTTCTTTAACAAATTATCTTCACATTGAATATTTTTGGTGGTTAACTAGTCGTTAATTTCTTGTTTTCTCCATGATGAAGATAGAGTCATCCCTATGCGTGGTGAATAATGGCTTGCATTATTTTATTGCATTTTATTATATAACCACTGATGAATCAGTCGGAAATAGTATACTATGCAACAAGTGCGGTAAACGGCATTTGACTCACGAGTTTATTTGACACGAGCGGAGCGAGATTTTAATAAACGAGTGGTTAAAAAGTTTACCGAACGTGCTGCATATTATATTTTTTCTACAACCGTTAGTTTTCGGGTCCATTTTCGCAAAACAACACGAATACATTCACTGACATGACCGTCAGAATTGACAAACGTCAAATATCTCCGAAAACATCCGATTGCTCCCAAATCCGTGCGGTAAAATCCCGGAAATGTCCGAAGTGGCTCGGATTCATGGGAAACGAAACTGACGTGGTAAAGTGACACTTCCCGCACGCTAGATCGGTGGGTAATTAGGTATTTTACAGACGGGAGTAATTTTTTTTTTTCATATCTATTAGTTAAGATGTTAAGTGGTCACAAATTAATTTAATTAATTGCTTATTTATTAAAATTGGAATTATTATACTTCTTTTTAATTGATAACTAAAAGACTTGGTCTCTGTGGACTTGTTAAGCACGTATTCAGATTGATTTTTTGGTTTACTTCGAAAACGCAATTTTTAGAAAAACGTGAGAGTCGTGAAAGTTTCTAAACTGAAGGGCCAGTCTTATGTTTTGATAAATAAGAGCTAGGGGTGTTATACGAAAATGTATGAAAGATGGTATGGTATTCCTCTAACTATTGTGTTTTTGTTATTTGGTAAGTGGACCAAACTTTAGCCGCACTTCAAAACCGTAAAAAAACCGTAGGTCAATAAAAAAATGTTTTCGAATCCATGTACTTTAATTATTTTAGAAAAAAAAGTATTGGATTGGTAATTTATATTTATATAGAACATCATAATTTAGACTTATTTTTTCTTATATTTTGTGAGTTTTTCTTTAAGGTTTATGGTGATGCAGCTGTAGGTTAAAACCCTTCCGATTTTTATGATTCCAACTTGCCAGTAACTTAACTTTGCAATAGTTGTTGAAAACAATTTTATATAGTCAGTTTGTTAACGCATTTGAACCAATGAACATTTATTGTTGTCCGGGTTGCAGTAATTAAACCAAAAAGAGCAAACGATTCAAAAGTATATTTAACGAAATCGAAAATAAATTAATTTCTTTTAATTCCTAATTTAAAATATCTAGAAGTTGCCCGTCTTAGTTGTGGTATGGATACTGTGGGGTAGCTACTAATGCTTTAGCTACAGGTACCACGAGCTTTTTGTAAACGGCTGGAGCTTCCGTGGGTTGACCGGATTTTTCAACGACAGCGTTGAAACCGTGTCCATCGTCAGAGTACTTTACAATCCTCACGGTACCGTCGGCTTCGTGAAGCGAGTACTGTCCTACGACGTGGTCACCGTCACGTTGTTCCTGTTGGGAGTGGAAGTCACCAGTGTGGGCGTCTTGGATTCCATACGCGAATTCGTATTTCGCTGGAGCGTATTCTTCCTTGTAAACTGGAGCCGACGCATAGTGGGACACTGGAGCGATTACTTTCGTAATTGGGGCGACGACTTTAGCGACTGGTGTAGCATATGAAACAACTGGAGCAACAGGCAGAGCCAGTTTTGTGTAAGTAGGTGCCGAATACGCTGGAACTGAGTAAGATGAAGTCGCTTTCACGAAAGCAGGTGCTGACTGGATGTGTTGCACGTTGTTGTAGTTTTGGTTGTAAGTTGAATATGAGGTCGCTCCATGTTCAACTGGAACGGCAATGGAGGTGGCCACTAGGGCTGCAAAAGCGAACAGCTGAAAATGATACAAAGGATTAACTATATGATTGTCAAACCAAGAGCTTTTAGGTAAACGTACATTAGACAACATTTTGTTTGTATGGATCAAAAACCTCAACTGATTGCTAATCGATTTTTCAACTGTATTTATACGAATGAATATGAAAGGACCTTGTTGAGTAGCCGTTCACTGTTTTCGGTGTATAACGAAATTGGTCTAGCGTCGGCGTTGGTTACGCAGGCTTTAAAAAATATGGAGGTCTAGGTCAAAGAAATGCGCCCAGACGGCAGCGATCGAAATACAGCCGCATATCCTGGCTAAGATTAATTCTTTGTTAAAATACAAGCATGTGATGTTGCGAATTAAAATCACTATTTTCTTAGATTACAGCAATTTAGTTCTCTTATAAGCCAAGAACGACAAGTTTGTGTTGTAAATAGCAATTATGCATATACTCCCAGTTCTGATCGAACAGTGAATTTTTTAAAAGTTTGAGACATAAGTGCCGTACCATTTTTTGTTAATTTATGAGTAGCGTTTCGACATTCTTCTTAGCTAAAACCCAACGGCAAGTAAAGAGAAAAACAACACCCGAAGAATTGGATTTCTATTTAACCATGTAATAAATATAGAGGTCTAGGACGAGGGATTTTAGATCGCTGGGTGTGCGTGTGTCTGAGCGTTATCTAACACTTTCCTTACATTCCTTGCTATTAATTGTCTTTTTCCCATATAGTGGCTTTACCAACGTTTTTACACTTAATTGCACTAAATAGTACAAATAAGTTATTATTGTATATATGAGACCAGGATTTTTTTTTATAGCACTGACAATGAGATGAGGTTAATGGTAAATTACAGTAAAATTTACATACGAGAGGTCCAACGACTTTTATAAATTATTAACACCTTATCTTTATCAAATGTAATATTTACAAACTACCTGCTACTATATATACCAAAAAATGACAATAAAAGCTTAATTAATGTTGTTGTGAGAATTTAAGTTCAATAAAGGAAAGGTATTTAAATCTAATTGATCGCTATGCAATACATTTGAATGTCTCATTTTGTTAATCTCCAATAATTTAATTTTCTATTTTTTGTGGCTATATGTAAAATATCCAAATTGTCCTCAAAAATGTGTTTTTCTGTGTTAAGTATGTATCATAATTAGAATCTAGACTATTGTTTTTAAACGCTCTTTTATGTTCGTTAATGCGTTTCTTGAAGGATCTACCTGTTTGTCCAATATAAATTTTAGGACAAGATCCGTATCTCAACCTGCAGACACCTGATTTTTCAGATTTTTTTATTGCAAATTTTGGTTTAAAATATATGTGAAACTTTAAAATATTTACTAATTTTGTTGAGAGTTTAACTCCTGGAGCTGTTACATAAGACACGACTGGTCTAATGGGCATATCTTGTTTATGTAATTTAACTAAAGAATATGATTTCGGCGGTTGTGGATTCATAATTTTTAAAAAATATTTGTCTTTGTCACTAAATAGTGTGCAGTTAGTAATTACTTCCTTGACTTATCTTTGATATAACTCGGTAGGATCGTGTTTGATAAATTGGAAAAGTTCTGGTTTAAGAAAATTGTTGGTGTTTGAAATATATTCTGGGAGATCGATAGCTATGACTGTCTTCCCTTTATCTGCACGTGTAAATATTATGTTATTTTTAGAAACTTTGACATAAGTAAAAATATATAATTTCGTGAAAATCTGAACTTTTAGTTCTTATTTATTTTGTTAAATGGATTTTCATCAAGTAAAAGCCACCTAAGTTTAAATTTAGGACACTTTGCCCTATATTATCTACCTATGAACACTTTTAAATGTAGCATGAGAGTATTCTAATTCCCAAATTATTTTAAATTAATTTATACTGTTGCTATATTTATTCACTTGTGCCTGCCGGTCATATTTGTGATGCGACTTAGGATTGATTGTTTCCATTATAAATATGCTGGTCTTCAATTGGACATTTCAAACTGAGAATGTATTGGAATAGGACAAAGGTAAAATGTTAGAATTCGATATTTCATGAAATTATTTCTAATATTTGCAAAACTTCTGAATTCCTCCTGCGTCGGTTTTTGCTGAATCGATCTTGCTGACTTTTCGCAAATCATCCTGTCGGCTTCTTCAGAGCTTAACTGACACTATTTTTTTTAAACTGAAACACAGCCTGTGTCTTTGAAAACTAATATTATTTGTATTAGATTAAAATTATGAAATTAAATAAAATTAAATGTGACCATTGAACAACAGCACATGAGGTATATTGCATTTAATGTTAAATTTGCCAATGTATTTTTAAATCTAGGCGTGCGCTGATGTTCCAAATACTCGCAGAACAGGTCACAATTTCTCGTAAACTAGTAGGTGTGTTATATGCCCATATTATTCGAAAGTTAAGTATAACACTTTTCATTTTTGCTACCACTCGGAAGAATGTGTAGATTGCAATTTGCATAAGAATATGACAAGCAACTTTTGAAGCGTTATAATTGATTCTTTAATAAAATGCTGTTGCGTACATACGGCATTATATAAAAGGATCCAAATTATTTTCAAACTAATAATCGACTTTTCAAGTGATGTCACGAAGTTTTAAGTTTCCCATAGTCGAAGGTGCGAGAACAGAATCTAGTTTGGTTGGTGCCGCTATTCATTAAGCATTACCTATTTAAAAAACCATGTTAGCAGCAATTATCAACAAAACCAGCCAGTATAATGAAATAATGCTTCCGGTAGCTGCAAATATTTCAGCGAAAATTATTACACACAGTGTTTACGAAAAGAATATTAACATGGATAAAAGTATAATAAAGCGCCAGACACAGTTTTTTTTTTTAAAATAGAACAGTTATATCACTTCTTCCGATTTGTTCATTTTTATTCATCATGTATACAAAAATTGCATAACCTATTAGACTATCAGCAACATAGTTAGTAACGAGTGCAAAACAAAATCTGGGGAGAATAATCTTGCGGAAAACTTAAAGTATAAAGAATAAATTGCCAGCAATGAGCACCATCTTTTATTGCTTATTTTAACTTTTTTCTGAAGTTGTCCTCATCGGCCTACATGAAAGAAGTTGGACATTGATACTATACTTACAATTACTTTATTAATTATAGCATTAAAAGTAAATTCAGTTTCTCGAAGTCTTAACGGAAATAGATTTTTTTAAGTTTTGGGTAAGTACCTGACAAGTTAATAAAATATAGTGATTACTGACGGGATAACCCTGTTTAGCGTAAGCAATAAACGATCTAAGGTCTTTTAAACTGGCTATAAATTTTTTATAGATAGGTAGATCATCCCAACAGAAAGAAACATTATTTTGACGTTTATTTATTTTGTTTTATATTCACGACTAAATAGACAACGATAGACGGAAGATTCGTTAAACTCGTCAATTTGACAAAGATTTTTTTCTAAGTTAAATAGTATATACAACTTCTGCTAAAATGATTTTTCAAAATTGTGATAAATGCGGGAGATGTGTGTAACGCTTTACTTTTAAAGTAAATGTCTTATACTATGTGCACAAGTACGTACTCTACCATTTGACCTACGGTGAGATGTTTTCAGTTTATTTACTACCGATATAGTTAGACAAATGTTGGGATAGTATGCGTCAGAAAAGTAACCTTTCGATGATTGCAAAGCAATCGCTCACCGACAAAAAATTATTTAGATTTATCGCAACATTGCATTTATTTCACACGGACAACACAATAAATAATATTAACAACATAACCTAATTAGCTTCAGTGCTCGTAATTGACTTAATAATGATGTTGGTACTGGGGCTCAGCTACGACAGCCTTAGCTACTGGCACGATCAGCTTTTTATAAACTGCAGGTGCTTCCGTGGGATGTCCAGACCTTTCGACCACGGCGTTGAAACCGTGACCGTCATCGGAATATTTAACGATGCGTACGGTACCATCAGCTTCATGGAGAGAGTACTGTCCTACAACGTGGTCTCCGTCGCGCTGTTCCTGCTGGGAGTGGATGTCACCGGTGTGGTGATCTTCGACGGCATAAGCGAATTCGTATTTGGGGTGGGCGTATTCTTCTTGATGATGTGCGGGAGCAGCTGGAGCGTAGTGAGCTACTGGAGACAAAACTTTGGCTACGGGAGCAGCGTAGTGAGCTACGGGAGCTACTTTGATGGCAGGCACGGCGATTTTAGCGATGGGGGCAGCGTAACTCGCTAGGGGCGCTGAGTGTTGAGCGAAAGAAGAGGTAGAGTACGAACTAGCCGACGAGTGGGCTGGAGATGCATAAGAGTGAGCTTGGTAAGCTGGAGCGGCGTATGCTGGTGCGGCAGCTTGAGCGTAGACAGGGGCGGCAGCGGGAGCGTGAGCATAGACGGGGGCGGATTTGATCAAAGCTGGAGCCGATTGGATGTGGTGGACGGTATTGTGGTTCTCATTAAAGCTAGCGAAAGAAGTCGGCCCGTCTAGAGGCGCGGCCAAGGCGGTGGCGACTAGGGCGGCAAGGATGATGACCTTGAGAAAAAAGTATTTGTATTAAAACCAAAAACTTTTGGTTCTAACATATCTGAACTGTGATCGTTACATATTGCTTTTACAGATCAACAGCTTAATTGTTGTTGAACTGCTTTTAAAATTTCGTAAATTAATTAAACAATATCCAGAAATACCGTAAAAATACCAGCAGATGTTTTCTTACCTTTGAGACCATATTGAATGAATTGAGTATCTGTATGTTAACTGATTGCAATTAATTTTTTTCTCGCTTATATACCTACACAAAGGCGGGTCCTTCTGTAGACTAGGCATACAGTTACATTCACCAAATACGCCCAAAAATAACATAATGATTGATTTGAAAAATTGGGTAACGTGATCAAATTATCATTGCACTAGTTTTCGTAATGTCTAATCGTATACATAAATATCTGGGACTGTGTTGACAAGTGGGCGTGGGCCCATGTGCTAATTACCTAACATTGATTCATACATTTCTGTTTTCGTGGTCACCACTGAAAATAAAATACACTTTTGGCTGGGCCGTTTAAGGTGTTACATAAAAATGGTATCGGCAATTATAAACATGCTTAGATTATATAACGGAAACTGGGTCGATTGGTTTAGATCGAAATCTTTGATGTCAAATAAATCGTTGTGGGTTGCCGCATGTAAACGTTGGATATTCTTAACAGATCCCTAGATAAGAAATGGTAATAATTACACAAATATTGGTTTTGCATGTCAACCAACATCAAAAACAAAAATGTTTAAATTCAAATCACAATACTTATATAGGATGATCCACTAGCCCCTGGATCTGCACAAAATATCCGACTTGGGGTTTTTCTTGGTACATAAATTTAATTGAAAACTTCCAGAGTTGTTTTAAATGATCAATAGCTTGGAAACCCTTAAAATAAGATGTAATTTTAATTAAATATCTTCCCTTGTTAGTTCGATTTAGAAAAAGTAAAAATAGCTTTCAGTGCAGCTGTATTTTCATCTGTTTTATTTTCAGTTGTTTTCAGTTTGTTAGAGTATTTGTGTAGAATTCTTACATTTTTCCACTGTTTTTACGTTAGACTTTAGTGTTTTCATTTACTTGTACTATAAAATACACTTTATTGCAAGATCACTTTAGGAAATGAATTTGTAGATGTAATTTAAATTTCAATTATTCTCCATGGTAATTAAAAACGATATTGTATATGCATGGGGCAATCCCTCGCCATAAATTCCTGAAGAAGGAACGACGGTTAAGGTTAAGGCCAATGACACGGCGTAAACTTCAGCCGTAATTTTATCAAAGTATCATCACTTGGCGACAGTCACCTTGGAAGCAAGAGTACCGGCGTCGAAGGTGCCATCCGAAGCGGTACCGTCGTCTTTGTGTAACAGTTTGCCGACGAAGTGTTTACTGTGAAAATATTTGAATAGGGCGTACCGTTTAATCAGTCGGTGCTATTTGTTTTATACACTTAATTTCTTAAAAAAAAAAAAAGAATTTCGCGATGTTCGAACTATTTCTCTTAACTATTCTCATGAACGTCGTATGGGGGGCACCGCTATCAAACGAGATCGAGAATGACACTTCTGATCGCCTTGATAACGAATTCGACCAGAAAAAGTACGACGTTTTCTACGATCAAAGGCAAAACGGCACGTATGGAAACCTTCGAGTGAGTATTAATTGCCTAACCTTCTATTGGGTTAAACAATTTAATTGAAAACGTTGTTTTCTGTGAGTAAATTGTACGAACAGTAATGTAATGTGAGAATTAAATATTTATAAAGTAAAAACAAAATGTGAATATTTATTACGAATACAAATCACAAGCAAGATCGATTAAATATTTGAATATAGCACCCTAGAGCAAAATTTATATAGCAGTAAATTAATGGAAAACATTAAAACAACAAAAACAACAGGCAGAACCATTAGTTACAAAAAATAATTTCACCCGAATCAGTTGACTATAGAGCTTTTAGGTTTACCAACCTGGTTGATGGTGATAAGCGAAAGTACCTTTAGTGGCACGTCTAATTAGCCATTTATACATTTTTATTGAAACAAGGATATCCTAGTAAATTCTATGAGTAGACTCTTTTTTTATATTCGAACAAAAATGTCCATCTTGCCCATTCTGGAATGTACCTGCATTAATTACTTTTAAAGTGTTGTGTATTATATATTATTTAGATTTTTTTTAATTTTAAGGAATATATTTCTTCTAATTATTCTCAAATAATATTAATTTGTTTATGCAGGCGTCAGGATGTATATATGTGGGCATTTATATAGAAACTTTCTTAAATTGTGTTTAAACCAGTCTAAAATGATAGACATTTTGTTTTCTGTATTGTTTCCAAAGTTGATGAAATTAATCTTGGAATCTATAGTAGCATATTATGCAAGATGAACGTCACTTTAGTCACAAGTTTTGATTTGGCACGAGATAAGTGAGTGTTTTATAAACGAGTCTCTAAAGCGATTAATCAACATGTTGCAAACTATGCCTTTTCTACGATCGTTAGTTTTTGTGTTTTTGCAAAACACCACGCATGCATTCACTAAGTAACGTGTGCTATGATCGACAGAATTGACAAATATGAAAATAACATTGCCAAAATCTACCCAAAACACCCGATCGCTACCAAACCCGTGACTAAAATACCGGAAATGTTCGAGGAGGGTAGCGAAGTGAAGCTTGATCCATGCATAATTGGGTATTTTAGAGCAGGGAGTCAAAAAAACATATTTATTAAATTTTAGCACACTATCTGTATTTAAATAATAATAATAATAATAATAATAATAATAATAATAATAATAATAATAATATACTTTATTCGGGTAATTTCGACAAGGAAAATTACAAGAAAAGGCAAGAGTGCAGCGCCCAGACGTATCTGCTTGTTGATTTCTATAATTTCTATAATTCAAATAATAAATAATTTTAATAATAATAATTTTCATTCAACTGTTTGAAAATAAAATTCATGAACTTTATCGGATAAAAAATGTTGAAGTAGGAAATGTTAATATAAAACGATTGCCAAACCAAATCACAAAGAAATTGTCACTGTAAAAGGAGATTTTAAAATTATTCGTTTCTTTAAAGGTGGATATGGATGGGGTTGCCATCATATGGACACCACTTAGCTCTCTGATTATGGCGGCTGGCCTTCTAGATCCACCCTTTTCCGAAGGAGAGTACTCCGAGTCTGAAGTAAATAAGATTTTGAATCAGCAATCGGATGAAAAACATATCACAGTGACTCCGAATGAACCTAGTAGCAGTACCACGGTAGCAAATCCAGAGGTGCTCATGATTGAAGATGCACACATCGGGAACAACTTTCATAATAGACCACCGATTACCAAAGGCAACGCGAAAAGGTGAAATGCAAGTGACGCCGTCGAAGAGCACTGTGTATTACCTTAATTTCTTTTATTTTCCTCCAAAAGAATTATTTTAATTTGTTACTTTCAAAATCTAATTTATTCTGTTAGTTTTTAATACATATACTAACAAATTGACTTTGCTGGATGTAAAACAAACTGTTTGTTCAGTTAATTTTTCAATATATTCTATGTAGATATTAAATATTCCTCAAACGTGGCGATCGATAGAATTAAATAAAAATTTATGCATTGCTGAAAAGAAATCAAAAAATTTTATTTTGGACACTTTGTATTCCAAGAACTAAGACCCCATGTGCATAAGTCTTGTATAGAAGTACCTTTTTAATGTTTCTTTTTTCTATTTTTCAAACTGTACTTTGGAATTATTTTTTTAATACAAAGTCACATTCCGATTTGAAATAACAATAACACTAAAAAATAAATATTTTCATTTTCTATCTATTATCTATAAATTGAAATATATGTGTAGATATAGTATAAAATATTGAAGAATAAAATTGTTTAACTTATTCTTTTTAAATTAAAAAAATCTTTCACTGCCACCCCCGGAATTAACTACTAATATATTTCTAAATTTCCTTTCAGGAAATCTGCAATCCCGAGCTTCATTAGGCCTTTTCTCAACCTGAGAAAGATTATAACCCACAGAGGTCAAACGAAGTAATATTTAATTCTACACATAATAAAGACTACTATTTACTAGCTCATTTTTATTTTTCCCAACCGTTGACGTTGGCCTACAGAATCTAAATTATACACCTATACACCTATAATACGCGCCAATCCCAAACAGCGTATCGAATTTTAAGCGATGGTATAGCGGTAGATTAGCTATAAAATATTTCCAAAAAAAAACTTAATTCGACCGTTGAAAATCCACGTTGAAGTAATTTTCATTGACTTTATAATGGACCGCTCCCGCTTATAACAGAAACGTATTAAAAAAATTGTATCGCCTATTTTTGCACAAATATTTTCTTTGATAGTCTAATCATATTTGCATCAAGTTACCTTCTGCGCTTTTCTTGCCAGATGCACCATTTTTGATTGAAATAAATGAATTAAAAGTGAATGTTATATAAGAAGTTTGTTACGTTCATACGAAGTTTTTTTTCTTAAAATAAGATCAAGCGCTTCAGTAATGACACACCATTAAAGAACACCCTGAATATTATATGTTGTTAATAATTCACTGAGAATAAGAAACTAAGAATGTTCATGTTAGACAGTCTCAGGAACTGTCTTGAGTAGAAATTTTACAGTGTATATAATATGGATGTAAAACGGTGCTAATGAGGCGCGTGTCCAAAAAAATAAAATCACATCTTCGAAAATTTCCAATTCCAACCCTGTACTGCGGCCTCGTTAATGGCCTTTCACGATTGCATCTCTCGCACGGGAAGTCATTCAACCTGTTACCATGACCAAGAAGAAGCTAAATTTCTTGCCATATCCCGATGGACTGGCGATTGTGATGGCACCTCTTCAGTTCGTATCAAAACATCGCTGCGATAGGTGGAACGGGCAAGATGACCGGGTCGATATTCAACTTTTTTCTGATTCTGGCCTTTCTGGTAGCGTTTTCGTGGTGTGCGCCATCTAGATCAAAGAAAAATAATGGCCCAGATCTGATTTATGACCAGAAACAGACTGGAGATTACAATGTGCAGCTGCACCTTAAGGATTTCCAGATCATCGCCATATTGGGGGATACCGAGGGAGCCTTAGGGGTGAGTTTTCTTTACTTTTTTTTTTAATTAAATTTACTTGCAAGAAAAGTCGCAAAACTAAAACCTGGTAAGATTTTTATAAATTCTTGAGTTTTTTATATTTCAATTACATAAGGGGAAATAGAAATTTTTGTTTTTATAATTTGTTTCAAATGATTAATTAAAATTTAATTATGATAAAATTGATTTATGAAAAAAAATTATCGCTTATAATCTGAATTCGGTTTCAGCTATTTTCCTTTTTAGTTCATCATATTTTCCATTTTATTTGGTATTTTTTTCATTTTCTTTATTTTTATCTCCGAAGAATATGCTGAAAAAGCAAAAATATAATTTAATTTCCAGGTGCCATTTTTATATTTCAAATACTTCTGATAAGAATTCGTCATGAAAATATGAAATTAATCTAAAAATGTAATATTTATAATATTACATAATATAATATTTATAATTGGCCATATACCTTTGTAAGAATATTACCCAACTGATGCATAGAATAATTTAAAAAGTATTGTTTTTTTTTTTAATTTTTATCCATTAGCCAATATGTTAGTTACAAGTTTGATATAGCTCTGATATATTTTTAGGACTACGACTACAGCTATGATTATTCGGATTTCACCGTCAAACCGTCAGCTGGGTCTCCGTCTACGACCATGAAAATCTCAACACTGCCTTCCACGACAACATCTACAACTGCAGCTAGTTCGGTGGTCAACACGCAATCAACTTCATCCCTTCCAACCAAAACATACCACCATTCGTCGACCGTTGAGATAATATCTTCGCCCACCATGAGGCCCATCGAACAAACTCCTCAAGGCGGCCAGCAACAGTCCACCTTAGATTCAGAAGACTTAACGAAAACCAACTCCACCATCGACAAATCCAGTTTCGCGAACGATATTTCGCCTGATTCTAATGACACTTCCGCTTCCTCAATCGGCGTGTCTATATCCGATTTTTTATCCTTCATATCGTCTACGATGAAACCATCTTCCACCGAAGAACCGTTGTCCATGACACCTGGTAAAATCAAAGTACAAATATTGGCGTCTCCTGGAGATTTATCTACCTCACATACCGGCTTGGTTCCTGGAGAAGGTACCGAAGAGGGGGATGTCTTGAAACGGTGCGCCGCCGGTTATTCAAGGGATAAGAAAGGCAGGTGCAAGAGGGTGAGGCGGCCTGCATATTCTCCACAACTACCGTAAGTTGCCATGTCTGTTGTCCCATTAACGAAGCTGATATTTCTTCTATATTTTGCAGGTTTGGTTTTAGCCGTTTGGCCAGCAATTTGGCCTCTAGGTTGAGGTTATCGCCGTCCCAACTTTCGCTACCGTCGTCGAACGGCACATAACAACACTAGTTTTGGATTCATTATTTATTATTGTTCATTAAATATTTATCGCGTTGGGTATTTGGACCATTCCCATCGTTATTGCTCATTTGCTCAAAATTGTTAATTTAAATGAGGAGTCGGGTGTGATTTTTAATAAAATAGAAAAATTTAATTTCCTTTTTCACTGTTTGGCCTTTACAAATATTTATGCTCTTCCTCTGTGTACATTTTTGCACGTTCTATTTGATTCCAGAATTGCTCGATAACAAACTAATCCTATCCTAATCCTAATCATCATCAATTTTGCCTCGCTTGCTGCGTCCATAGCAACGTTGCTTGTGCTTGAATTACTATTTTTTTCAAAAAACAAAGCTGCTAAGTTATAGCAAACTTCTTTACCTTTACCAGTTAAATTAAAATTAGAAGCCAAGGCGTCAATACCATATTATGCAACAAGTGTGGTAAACGACATTTGACTAACGAGTTTATTTGACATGAGCGGAGCGAGTGTTTAATAAATTAGTGAATTAAAAACTTAACTGAACGTATTGCATACTATACTTTCTCTACAACCGTCATTTTGGCAAAACAGCGCAAATGCATTCACTGACATGCCCGTCAGAATTGACAAACGTCAAAATTCAAGGCGTGGGAAATATCTCCGAAAACATCCGATTGTTCCCAAACCCGTGCGGTAAAATTCCGGAAATGTTCGAAGTGGTTCGGATCCGTGAGCAACGAAAATGACTTGGTGAAGTGATGCTTCCCGCATGCTAGATCTGTGTGTATTTAGGTATTTTGCAGACATGAGTAGAAAAAAATATTTTACATACACAAGTCAGTCAAGTTTTTTAAACCTTAGAAAATTTTATGCAAATAATTTTAAAAAACATTAGTGCTGCTTCCTATTTCATGACTATTTTGGGAAGCTTCCAATTTTTAGGGTTTAGACCTTTTTTTGTTGCTTTGTACACTTTTCGACTTTTTTTTTTCTCATGTTAAGTCTTTATCAAATCATTTACAACTTAGTTTACCGAAAATAGCTCAATTATTATTTTTTAAATTTTGAACGCAAACCTACCGCTTCAGTAGCCATTTTGTTTGTAGGATGTGGTTTTATGACATTTTCAAGCTCATTTAGTCCATTACTCATTACAGAAAAAAAATAGTTAGAAAATAAGTTGCGTAATAATATGTGCAATACTTAGGTTTTGGTGAGAGTTGTGATTTCTGCGCAGAAAACTAAATTTATGCCTTTTGAATGTTATTGCCAAATTGAAGTAACCTGACCAAATAAATAAAGCCTGCGAAAACTGAAATTTCTAAAAAATTAAAACATCCTAGAATTAATTTAAACTAAAAAGTCAAGTTAGAGTTGTCAAATTTTAGCGTCGACAAAAATATTTTAATGATTCGTACCAAAAAAGAAAGTGTTAAAAACTAATTTTCAAAAATCAAATATTCATACGAACATGCCTGGTACTTTTTAGGTGTTTGTTTACTCAAATCCTGACAATAACACTACAATGACTACAACTGACAATAATCTATCCCGTCGACAATCGCTGTAAAATTCGGCAAACTTTACTATGTATTATTTGCTTATGCGCTAATTTTAAAAATAGTTAAGTTATGTCTGATGGCGGCCCGGGTATATGAAATGAACAACGTTTGCCTTTAAGGTCCTATACTTAAATTGCCTTTGGTATAATTATTGTGTTGAAATAAATAAACTTATTATAATACCAAGATACATCGCAATTTATAGTGACTAATCCCGGCCGACGAAATAACAACAATGTTACAATATTTTAGGAAAATAAACAACTACGAAATGCTATTTCAAATTATCTGCCGAGCAACGTCTTATATACCGCAGATTAAAAATTTCGGCCTCGCACTAAAAATAGACAAGCTAGGTTCGATATCGTCGCTCTGCCCATCGCATCAATCTTTTATATAAGGTATTTCCTCGTGGCACTTTTTACTCTCCTTATTGTTTGGCGTAAAATTAGCTTGCAGCGTCTAAAAAACACGCAATCATCTTTCCCGTTATAGACAACGCTCGAACACCTTTCCTTACGGTACAATCCGGATCCATCTGCGAAATAATGGAAGATATCTTATATTGACCCCGAGCCATTATACCCGCAGCAGTCTCAATCTGATATTCGCAACGTAAACATTATTTTAACGAGATGCAGTTCCTTGGGGCGACTATTTTAGTTTTTTTCGTAACTTGGGTTCATTCGTCGCCTGTGCCTCATCACAAATACTCGAAAAACGATCACGAAAAGGTATACTATGACCAGAAGCAAGAGGGTGAACTAAACGTACGCGCCGACCTCAAGAATTTCGTTATCCTTGTAATCCCGACTGCTAAACAACAAGCTTCCGCGGAAGAACCCAGCAACCTGTTGGATTTTCTAATGAAAGCACAGCAACATAATCAAAACAAACGACATCCCAGCACCGCGCCTGTAAAACACGATACGCACGAAATTGGGAGAGAAACAATGACATTTCTGGAAGCCAAGACAGCCCCCTATCATGTGGACATTAGCAAATCAGACAGCCACTTGATGAACGACGAAATCAAAGCGACTCAGAGTCCACCAGCCACGTTGCCCAAATCCAAACGCGAGAAAGACGGTAACTCGTCGAAAAACAGAGCGAAACGATTTACGGAAGCTTTGATATTAACCGTACCCGAGGAAGATTTTGTCTTGTCGAAAACGGATGACGTGCAAAACGAATTAATAACGAATGAACAAAGTAATGATGCTGAGAACGGCAAAGGAGAAATGACGCTTCTTGGTGCATTGGAGCAATGTGGGCCCGAAATGTATAGGGATGAAGGTGGTTTGTGCAAACTAAGAAACTCTGTGTAGTGAAGTCAGTTTCTATATATTTTAATGCTATTTATTATAATTACGTTGATTATTTTATTAAAATAAATTATTTCGAGTTTTTGCAGCGTTTTGTTATTAAGAATTGTTAATATACAAGAACATTTTTTTAACTAAAATTAACTCAGGTTATCAAATGTACCTAGTAACAAATGGAGATATCAAAAATGGTATGGGCGCCAAAATATGTAGGTCGGTTTCCCTATGAACACCACTGATAGATATAAAAAGAACTATGGGGCTATGTTGTTTATCTACAACAAATTTAGAGTGATGGTTACAGATATATTAAACTTTACAACCCTGTATACCAAAAGCTAATACATACCTTCTTCAATACTAAAATTCAACATAGAACAACCTTTTCCTGAGAAAAAAAGAATTAAACAAATGCAGGAAAGAAAAATTAATCAAAATTTTAAAAAATATACAAAAAAAACAAAAGTTCATATAAACATTGGTTCGAAAATGCCAATATTAAAAAATAAGATTTGAACGAAAATACTTCTTAGGCTTTACTCTTGCAATGAAACTGGTGATGGTCATTTTCAGCATTTTCCATTCCATCAACGAGCTCCAAAAATAAATTTACATGTTTTTTATTTCTTTGTTTGGATAAGAAGACTGGACTAATTCTGAAACGATGGGACTTCCGCCACCTGTTAGAGGTACTAGATGATGCGGTTCAAATAGTCATGGTGTTGAAAGTTTCAAAATACCAAGCATAAGATTTAATGATTTTTGAAAATTGGAACTCTATATATATACCGTTTTAAATTTCAAAGCGAAAGTGACTGAAAGGGTTTAAAAATGAAACGTCGAACATTGGGTATTTTTACTCAAAAAATTCAAATTTATGCTCAACAAAAAACTGCCAACTTTTAATGAACCAAAAATTTTTGGGTTTAATTATTTTTTATTGTTTTCCATTAATTTGATTTTTTCTTTTAAATTACTATTAATAAATAATTAAACTCTTCTACTTTCTTCTATAATTTCATAATTTATAGTAATTAATGGATCATCTATTTTGTTTTCAAGTAACGGCTTGACAATTAACGAATTGTAGTAATGCATTTAGGTAAATGAAATTGTAACGAATTAGTTTAACTTCCTCTTTTTAAATTTTTTTCATCAATCAAAAAGCTTTTGTTGAAATATTTTTTAAAATATAGGTAAACACATGTTCAAAAAATTGTTAATTAAATATAAATGCAATGGAAAATCTTAGTTTTTGGTAGCTATGCTAACAGATAAAAAATAAAAATCTAATTAAAACACAATATTCTCTGGAATATATGTGTAAGACCACCAGCAATACAGGGGAACATCTTTTTCTGTCTATGTTTACGTGAGGGCGCTTATTGCTTCGAAAACAGTGATGTGGCTCTCCTAATCGACTGTCAAGAAATGTCAGAATGTGCAGCTTTAATATAATATATATTCTAATATGTATATTAAATCTGTACACTATTAATGGAACCGAGATATCCGACAAACGATTATGCGTGGACAAGTTATGTTCTGGTAAGTTTATTCCAACAAATTTTGTAAATATTTACTACCTTCTGTTGCCCTATTTTTAGTACCCATTTCCGTTGGAAAAACTACAAATAATTACGTGAGCCCTGATGCAAGGATTCTATCATTTGCCCGCAATGTGAAAGTGATAGTGTATAGCTACCCAGCTGGAAAAAATACCAGCTATTTTTATGTTGAAATTGATGGCAAGAAAGGTTATGTACCAAAGGGCCATGTAAGAGAAGTAGAGCTATTAAAAAAACCCAAGATATTAGTTGAAACGGAAGTATTCGAGGAGAAACCAAAAGTGCCTTCACATGTCAGTGAGATTCAAGTTGATCCTGTACAAGAGGCATTTGAATTTGTTGATGGTACCAAGATTCCTATTGATCCACACAATTTCGTTAAATCTGGAAATACAGGAGCTCTTCCAAGTGTTAGTAGTAGTACTGAGAGGACTGAGCCACTAGAAAATAGTAGGAAAATAGGTATATTTTATAAAATTTCCAGAAAAGAACTGACAATAATCTTAACTTGTCTATGTAAGATATCTGAAACAAGGTATAATATATACTTAGAAATTTGCTAAAAGGTTTTGTTAAATATTTTTACCAATAATGTATATAAAGTAATCTTTTGTTTTGGCAAAGGTTTCTGTTTTATATTTATTTATTAATATGTATAATAGATAATTTCTGATAATTAATTGAACACTTAGTCAAATTTGTTAACATTTTCTAACCAAAAATTGTGTACAAAATATTTACCCCAATTTTGGTTTTGTGGCATAATTGGTTGCTTGTGTTGTGTGTTTCTTGTAAAAACACAGCAAGAATTTGAAGAAGTTTACATTTACGCCACATTATCAAACAAAATATGAGAAACATATATTTTCTGAGAGTAACTGTTTTACGAAAAGTCTCTATTATTCAAAGTTTGGTTTTATTATAAATGGTACAACAAATTTTTGATTGTTTAACTTTGTCTTTTACTTTTAGTCATCGCCTTTCCTGATATTTATTATATCTTACCATCATGTGAACACTTCTATTGCTGTTGATTATGCACTTGTTTATTTATTATGTTGAAAATTTCTAAATAACTTACAATTATTAATCTTTCTTTCATGCAATCTTCTTTAACTTGCTAATAATTTTAGATCGAAAATTGGAATCAAGAAAAAATGAGGGAAATGTTGATTCTGGAATTCATGAACAGATAGAAACAGAGGAAGATTTTGATGATGATAGTGATGGAGAAGAGAATGATGACGACGATGATGATGAAGATGAACGTCCAAACACTGAAAAATACAGTGACAGTGTCAAAAGTTTGACAGATATTCAATCATTTCAACCAGCCACCGAAGATGTTTTAAAAAATAAAATAATGCCACCATCAGATGTTGAGAATAACATAAAAATAGAATCTAATGGCAAGGAAAATATAATAGATAATACCAGTGACACAAAGGAAGCTAGTTTTAAAGAAGATAGTACAGATAAGGTGGAATTAATTTTAACAACTGAAGTACCTATTTTAGAAGAGGCACTACCTCCTCTTGAGTTGGATAATGTTACACCAGACCCAAATTTGAGTGCTGGTTTGGAAGAAAAATTAAAAAGCAAAGATACTGCTGATGATTTAAATCAAGATAGTGGTGGTGTGTTGGAGGCTATAGGTGGTAAATTGATTGACATATTTAGTTCTGCCACTGAGAACAGAGTCATGGATAATAAAGAGTCTGTCAATGGAAGAACCCATGAAGCAGATGAAGAAATAATTATTAAATCAGAAGATATTATAGAAAGCAACAAAAAACTTGAAAATCAAATGAATGCTGAACACGTTTTACAGCCTGATACTTTAGGGGATGCCACAAAAATTAAAATTGAAGCAGAAAATGTCACATTAAAGGCAGATATTGATCAAGGGGAAGAAGAAAACAAAGAAGAGACCATATTGCCTCCAGATGAGTCTGAAGTAATTAAACAAACTTTACCACATAAGGAAGAAATAAGTAGTTTAAATTCCTCTTTATTGAGTAATATTGAAACCAACAAAGAAAGTACTGTTGCTGAAAATGAAAAAGTTTATTTATCTTCAATTACGACACCTCAAAGGGAAATAACTCCATCTGCATCATTAGAGATTCAACAAAACTTTCCTGAATTAGATCATACAATTCTAGAGTCTTCTAGACACAGTAAAGACGACTTTGGTGAAAAGAAAACAGACAAGAGTTTAAGTTTATCATCACGTATAGAAGCCATCCAAACTTCAAATAAAGAAGAAATTGATAACACCAAAGATGATCATCATCTAGATGTGTCTACACTTAATCAAGGAATAGATGGACATTCAACACTACCTGCAACTTCTGATGTAACTTTCCCATTTTTTGGAGTTAGTGAGGTAGAAGAAAAAACTAGCTCAGATGAAGCAGTTGTTGAGAATCTTGTGACGAATGTTGAACAAAGTGTTACACATATAGAAGAAAAAGCACATCAACTGCTAAGTAAAGAATCTGCTTTTTATAAAGAAGAGTTCTGTGATATAAGCAGTGATAATTGTCCTCCAAGTAAAAGTAATATTGAAAATCTAATAACATCTGGCAGTAGCTTCAATTTGGATATTATACTGCAAGGTTTCAGCTCTGATATGTTCCTCTACTTGTCAACCACAGCAATGTCTGTCATCTTATTTCTGTTTGGATATCTCCTGCTGGATAAATGCAAGCGTGAAGGTCCATTGATAGCACATATCAACAAACTGGAAAGGCAGTTGTTGACCACTTTAAAAGAGAACCAAATGTTACAAGAAAAAGCAAGTCTTCATATTGATCAGCAACCTCAGATTGTAGCTGAACCAGTACCTAATGAACAGACAACAGAATTAAGCATCAAACTTGCCGAGGCACTAAATCGGAACGCCAGTCTTGAGGATCAGATTCAGGCACTGGAAAAAGAATTAGATAATTCAACTGAAGTTGGTATAGAATTAAACAGGATCATCTCTGAGATGTTGAACTCGACAGATGGCAATGAAATTTTAAAAGATAACATCGAGCAGATGCAGAAGAAAATTTTGGAACAACAGGACACTATCAACTCTATGAACGAAAGTTTGAATTTAAAAGGGACAGAGATTCATGAGCTACACCTGGAATTGGATATTAGCAATAAAAAAGTGGGCGACTTGCAAGTGGAAGTTGATAAACTGGTTGAAAAGCTGTTAAAAATTGAAGAGGAAAAAGACCAGCAACAGAGTAGTTTGGAGCAGGAGATAGTCAGATTGCAGCAAAGAATTGGTGAAGCTGTTGGGAAGGAGATTGGATTCACTAGCGAGATACAGGTGACCTTATCAATAATAATTACGGACTTTTTGTTTCTAATACGATGTCATTTCAGTCATTGAATTCTCAACTAAGCGAGGCACAAAGGGCGTCTCAAATTAAAACCAAAGAGTATGACATTTTAAAGGAGAGCCTTAATGAAATTAAATCTACCAAAAATAAAGGTGAAACAATTAAGTCTTTATTAGAAGTGAGTGAAGTAAAAGCGCAGCTCCAGCAGTTCAAAGTCGAGAATTCCAAGTTTTTGGAGCAGTTGAGCTTAGAACGGGAGGCGAATATTGCTTACGCCGCGAGAATCGAGAGCCTTTCACGCGACCTAAATGAACTGAGACAAATTTATGAAAAGGCTGACAAAGAGAAGGTTGAATCATCCACAAAGCTCCAAGTGTTGGATAATTACTTCAAGGAAAAGGAAGAGCAAATGCAAAAGTATGATTTGAAGGCATACTTTTCTGAACTTTGCATTTTTTATTTATTTTTTGTTCTAGGGAAATAGCAAAATATGAGTCACTTTGGGCAGTTAAAGAAGGAGAGGCCACATCAACGACTGAACGAATTCGATTGTTGCAAGAGGAGCTTCAAAACTATAAGTAAGGTCTATTTTTTGATTTTGCATTTTGTTAGAATTATTATTTTGTAATTTTTCTGTTCTGCTAGTTCTCTTTAACTTTTTCCGTGAAAGCAAATGTTTCCGGTTTTCACTTGTGATATTATTTTCAAAAAAACGATTCTATTTTGTTTAGAGCCCAAAATGAAAGCTTAAAACAGGAAATTATCAACCAAGAAGTCGAACTTAAGAGTCAAATTTCTGTTTTGGAGAAGAAAATTCATGACAATTGGGTAACAAGTAGGCAGACTGAGAGAAAGTTGGAAGAGGCTAGGCAAGAAGCAGCTCAACTCAGGAACCGACTGACATTGAAAGAATGTAGTCTCACTGAAGGAAATAATCCAATGAGTAAGTGATTTTCAATAATGTTTCTTTAAGAACATTGGGGTAATAGTATGTAGTTTTGGTGAACTTCATTCTTAGGTTGTAACAGAATTATACTTAATGCCGCAAATAATAATTAATTTGTCCTAATTCCATTTTGTTTAATTTCAGGATTGCAGTCGCCACTCCAACAAAACGGCGAACTTCCCCTCTCTCCGCCACCTTTATTGGACGCCACCATTTCTCCTCCACCTCCATTGTTTAACGCAAGAGATTTAACAATGTCCCCACCGATCCCGGGTATGCCGCCTCCTCCCTTTTTGCCACCCCCACCTGGAGCTCCTCCTTTCATGCCACCGCCTCTGGGAGGTCTACCGCCGGGCATGCCACCGTTTATGCCTCCTCTACCACATGGCATGTTCCCAGGCGACCATCGACCTCCACCATTGGGACGGATGTCGTCACCACCTCCATTAAATTCGAGGTATTCACCCGATTCAGTCGCATATTCTGAATATGATAGGTACGACAGGAATACTCCATCACCCATATACGACTCAGAGTATGGAGTATATAATGATTACGATAATAGGTTAAGGGATGATAGGAGAGAATATAAGCGGCCACAGGCTAGGAGCAATGGAAGAAATTCTAAGGGTAAACTAGTTTATTAATATGGTTGAGAGTTTTGCATTTCATTTTTTTTTTCCATTTCATTTAGGTGTCCACAGTTCTGGTTCAGAAAACGACTCTTTGGGTAAAAAAGGGCGAAAGCCGGGCAAGAAAGTCTAGCGTTTCGCCTGTTGTTTTTATTATTAAAGTTATGTCATCGTCGTGGACTGTGATGGTGGGGACTAAGTTATATCAAGTTGCCACATGAATAGTTGCTATAGCTTCTACATACTGGTATCCTTGGTTTTTTCATTACATTGTGAAACAATATTTTCCTACTCTTTTATGGTTTCAATGATATTTTTTTATTTTTTGTGGATATTGTAAAAATTGTATAAAGTGCTGTTGTAATACATTTATTGATCATTCCCGGGAAGTTTGATTTTTGCGGCAGCATTCTTACCGGGGTGAAGAATTAACTTCCCCTGGACTGGAAGACTGGAAAGGTCAACACTGTGCATGCCCTGAAGAAAGGGTTGTGTGCCTACGGAATAAATGAGTAACCTGCATTTACACACTGGTAATTATAACCTTTCTTCTAAATTTAAACAGTGTTTCCTGATTATCTCAAAAATGTAATTTTATCATTTCCATGCTTCAATTAATTATTTTGCCAAATGAGTGCATTTTCTATTATAATGCCATATTTTTCTTCAAAAGTATGACTGTCGCTCCATCTATCTCAAAAAGTTGAACCATTAAACGAAACTATGGCAAGAAATTTTAAGATTTGTTTAAATTAACTTGTGCTTTCATGGCGTATAATAAAAGAAGTTCATATTATCAAAAATGTAGGTTCGGAAATACTTTATTTTTGAAGATTCTTTTAATTATACCAGACAGGTATTAGCACACTTTACAACAAGATAAGTACTGCAATAGGAAATTGCTTAATTACAAAAAAATACAAAAACTGAAATGCCAGTGGCTCATATATATAATTACTTTTAATGGCCACGACTACATAAGGTTAGCTTACAACAACGGGTAACTGTAGTCGAAAATTCCTAAAGGATGCCTATATAACTGAAGGGTCTGGATAGCTCCATTATCCTCTAAGTATATTATCATATCCATATACATCTGGTTAAGACGAACACTATTTCCCAAAATTATACACACTGCACCTCTATCGATTCAGTTAACAAATATACAAAACACTATTTTAAATCAAACGATACTATTTTCAATCTATTTCTACCGGACAGGAGCAACGTCCGCCATGTGCAATGTTGAGGTTTTTTTTAAATTTACTGTTTTATTCGGACCTGTAACGCAGGCAATTTGGCCAGCTTACAAATATTTGTAAATATAATTTAAAATTCCTAAAGGATGCCTTCGTAAAGAAAGGGTCTGGACTCCAGGTTTTTTAACATACTCATACCAGCGTGAATAGACGACATCCGGAAACCATCCTTAATAACCTTTTTCATTCCTAATAATATTTCAATAAATACCATTGCAAAAATTTATTTGTGGAGTTTTCATTTATTAAAACTCGTTTTTTAATAGCGCTGGGAATTGGATTTTAAGGTCTGGAATGGAAGTTTTTTAACACGCGACATAATGCAATCGTTTTTAAGTTATCTAGGCTTTATATTAGTATAAAATTTTTAAAGAAGCATATGAGAGTTTAAGGTTACTTGTGTTTGTGCAATTGCTCTCTAGAGAGATCAGTGCCCGATTCCATATCAAACTGCGCACGAATGTTAGACTATTTCAGCCTTTAATGACAGATATTCTGCACAGTAGGTGGCTTGACTGGGCCAGATACCCGGCACAAAAATGTGAATCGGATTTCATGTATTGTTTTGTAATATTATAAAATAACGTAGTTTTAGTAAATCGTGCGATAATATTCGACTTAAAAAAAATTCTTCAGATGTTAGAGGTGGTTTTGGGCAGCAAAAGTCATATATTTTATGCATTTATTTTTATTTATTCTTTAAAGTCATTATTGTATTCAAAAGGAATTCTTGGCGGCTAGTAAATTGTTTTTTTTATATCTTTATTATTTCTAAATTTCTAAAATTGATACGAATTGATTTGAATCGTTTGTCCTTCTTTGAATTATGACTATTTTTGACGGTGAAATTCTCATGCACATGGAATAATTTAATGCATAGTCGTGAGCCATTTCGGACGTTTCTGTTATTTTTTCACAGATCTGGCAGCGATCGTTGGTTTTCAATAGATTTTAGTTTTGGTTAGTTTGGGATTTTGACGTTTGTCAATTCTGACAAAATCAATGTACACCCTGACCACCATCTATTCGCCCATAGACGAATTAGCCGTCAATCAGAACGTTTTATCAATTATAAACTAACAACTAAATACACATTTAAAATCCATTTATGCCTGCCATAAGTTTTTTTTGAATTAAAATTTTGGTATGTCAAATAGTTGTTGTTGTTCCAAGAAACCTTCTCTATCTGAATATACCTTCCAAGTTAAGTACTAATTTTTTTGCGCCTGTGCGCGATTACAGAGACATCTTACTTATCCGACGTCCTCACAAAAAATATTCATAGCTTCTTGATTATAAATGAAATTCTCACACGGCAACAAAACTTTGCTGATTATTTCGAAAATAATCAACTTTTTGCTGCGGAACATCGGACATTACTTTGACATATGTCAGGACTTAAATTAATTTAAATATAATGATCGACGACGACGAAAAATCAAAAAAGTAAAGTTAAAAGCATTAAAAACATCGCCGGTACAATGGAAATGGGACCTGCAAAACGTCACGAATCAAATTCAGTAAACAATAAAAGCTTCGTCGAGAAAACTAAAAATTTCTTCCGCAGGGAGAAAACTTTCGATGATAAACTGCTTCGCAAGCGAACGGACGCATTTGCGACTGAATACAAGCGAAGGCACAAAAGCCACGATGCAAATAAAGTACGGAGAAATCACATTAAAAACGATGGACGCAAATCTATTAAGAGACCCAAAAATACCGAAAGCAAAAAATTCTACGGGCATGTGGAAGAAGTTATTTACTGCGAAGTTACGCCATCGATGCCATTTAGGATGACCAATGACAAAAGCGTCACAAAACTTCGAGATATTTTTAAACGCCATGAGCTTCGAGATCGTAACGAATTTGGTGGCGACAACTTTCCTAGGAAAAGTCAGAATAAAGACAAGTCTTGTAGTAAGTCGAGAAATAATTCGAAACAAAAACACGCACGTACAAATTCGAAGAAGAATGACGACTCTGGGAATACTCAAAAGTTGCCCGAACAATACCTTTCCCCGCTAGCTACTCAAAGGCATCAAAAAGCGACTGCCGGAAACGAGGGGAGAGGGAGAAAACGACACAAAAGAGAAAACACCCGTTCCAGCAAAGAGAACAAAATTGAAGATGGCCAAAATCCCGGCGAAGAAAAGCAGCAAAAGAAACGAATCAGACTGGTACAAAAGTACGACAATCTAACCGAGAAAATCGAAGAAGACATGAAAATCTACTTCGCTCAAATCCAAATGATGATAGACAAAAAGTTGGATGTGATTTTACAAAGTCAGAAATTAGAGCAAATGAGTACTAAAACATATTTCCCTCTTGAAGAGGGCAAAACGAAACGGGAACGCAAAAAATCGAAGAAAGTGAATAATGCACAACACACTACATCCCACGGAGAAATTAGTCCAAGTACACAATCACGAAAAGTTGTAGATACCAACGACAAAGACAACGGAACGTGTTGCCTTTTCGATCGAGCTGATCCAGCAACAAATGTCGAAATGCGCAAACATTTTAAAAAATATCGAAATTCTGAAATATCGGGACTCTTGAATCAAAAACTCCAAGAGCTTTTAGGTGGGTCTACTGTGGAAAGGCCTCCAAATAAGAACAACTCGACTGAGTGTAAGGAGTGTAACATCTGTTCAGCCAGAAACGGTGAGTACAAAAATTGGAGATCAGCAAATATTCAGAAGGTGTTAGATCAACACTCATCAAGGCAAGAATTCGTGGTTCAAGGAATAGAACCGCCCAGTCTGGAACGTAATATTGAGAGATCCAACGAACAGCTGAGGCCTCGAAAGCTCGAGTGTAAAACTGTATCCATCATAGGAATCATTCCGAGTAGTCATCGGAAAAAGTCGAAAATGGAAAGAGAAACCCAGACTGAGAAGAAAAAAAGTTCCAAAATCTACCTAGAGTGTTCGACTCTAGAAACGGAGATTAGCCACGAGGAAAAATTACACAAAGGTATAGTTGACAACAGGCAATTTAACGAAGATGAATCTTCTGAAATCTTAAAGGGACATTGCAAGAAGAATGATTTGCTCCCGGATTTTAAGCGATGTTATTTTAACGCCTTAAGTAGTAGTAATTCTGACAACTGTTTCCAAATGCTCCAGAAAACCGGTAGAACGAGCATCGGCGACAAGTCCAAATTAAAAATCGATCCTAGAACATCCCTAAAAGGTAACCCGAAAATCTCCAGATCCAAATCGGATTTTACCGACAAACCTTTCTCGATCAACGACTCTATGACAAAAAAGTCACGAAGTGGAAATCCGCAGATTCAGCGTACTTCAAACAAAGATGAGGGATTGCAAACCTCCAAAATAAAAGTAGAAGTACAAAGTACTGCGGTGGGTGGTGACAAAAAGCATCACCGCCACGTGCACACGAGCATCCACAATGTAAGACAGATGTCTAGAGGAACAAGCGCCAGAAAAATGGACGCTGCTATCAATATCGTGAAAAAGGTTGACGTAGCAATTTCGCCTAGAAAATCTCCCAAGCGCTGCTTAAAAGAAGCTGCAGTAGGAGTGAGTTACGTGGATTTGGTAAATGCACCAGCTAAGTTGACGAGGTCGAGGGGGGTTTCTCCAATTAACATTCGAGGTATCCACTTAACGAAACCAGTAATGGTACCTACCCCAAAACCGAGGAATTTCAAACAATCTGGCAAAATCCGAATTGCATCACATGAAAAACACAAGACCGCGACGATGGGAGTAGCCAGCGTCGAAGAAACTCCATTACTAAGTTTGGAAAGAGCAAACGTTGCTACCAAATCATTTGATGTGCAATGCACAACTATTAACCCCAAAAGTCGCAAAAGTGTAGTGAAAACGAAGCATATTACACAAGCTAAGATTCCAACTGTTGATCCTAATCATTCTGCGGCGGTATCACCGACGTGCAATCAATCCAATCAAAATGCCATCGATGTTTGTTTCCACTTGCCTTATTCGGAAAACGAAGAATCCTCACGCAAACGTGAGAGCTGTACTCTGACTAGAAGTATTACCGCAAACGCAATGCTCGAAAATGCGAACTCCGTCGTAAATAAAGTTTCCACCACCACATCATCATCTGCGCACGTAAGGTTTGTAAGGAAAAGCAAGTCTTTGGTGGAAATTAGACCTCGGATGCGAAATAACATGTATAACGAATCCAATTCTGAAGTCGGTAGCAGAACTAGAAGCACGCTTGAAAAATTTGCGAACCAACCGAAACAGCGTTTGCAAAGTCAAAGGTCAAACGCACAATCGTTGGATCAGTATTTGGGTAAATTCACTAGCAGATTGTTCCTTACAAAAGACTATAAAGGATCGCAAGTCAGTTCGTATCAGAGAAGGAAACTCTATGATGACTCGATACGAAAAAGGATGAAAAAAAAATTTAAGCTTTCCAAGAACTCCATCGGACCTCAAATCTACGAAGTTAGATTTTTATCTATGTTGGAAAATAAAGATTTTATTAATCGTTCGGTTAGATCGGCGATACACTCCATAGACCACAAAGACAATAATATAAAACCCGCAATGTATACTGACGTTCCACATTCATTGGCTGCACTCAGAACTGAGAAATCAAACGTCGGAAAAGTTACGGAAATTTACGTAAACAACAAAGAACACCTTATGGTCAAGTTTTGGAGAAAACTTTTGGCGATCAATAGCACTGTGGCTATCCCTGAAGGATTTGAGGAAAACCAGTGCTCTTGCACAACATTTTCCAGAAACTGTACCGCTTGCAAAAATTTCGTGACACTTTTGGATTTGTTTTCCAGCTCTATGTCGACGTATTGCAAAAATGGTGGCCATTCTCAAGTCGATAACAATACCGAATCGACCTCAGAAGCAACAGAGCGTATTATGTTGGCGCCGGATTGTGATTCAGTTGAAATCTGCTACAAATCCAGAATGAATGACGTAAATAACTCCACCACTGGTATGCGTAGCTGGCACGTGCCCACTTATAGGGATGGAACATACCTGACATATCCTACGAGCTGTCCAATTCTTGCTAGTCGTGTATCTTCCTTCGAATACTTGTATGAACGGGATTCCAATGACACTTCCAGAGAAATGGTGTTCGCCAACTTAACACGCCCATTCGGTCAAATATTCAGGTTTAATCCCAGTCAGTACAACGTGGAAACTCATTTTTCAAGAAGAAATACCCATAGCAGCCCTTGCAGCTCCGAAGAAAGTGGATATGGCAGTGTTAAATCCAAACAAACCTCTTCTTTGGATAATTTCTTCAAGAAGCCGAACATTGCTGCACTGTTTACTCCGTGTAGTTTGGGTACAACAGAATTTTGCACAATTAATCACCAGGATAGGACGGAGTTAGAGGAAGTCGTAACTTATGACACCATGGTCGAACATTGTCAGTTAAATTCCGATCAAGTCCAAGAGAAGACTGAAAGTTGTGAAAATGAAGAAGAAGATGAAGAGTTTCCGTTGTCAATGGAGAACGATTATTCGAACTGCTTGGAAATGAAATCCACGTACAATAATATTGTAGAAGTCGAACAAGAACCGGCAGTAGAAACAGATGAAAATAAAATTGAACTTAGCGAGAATGGAATAAAATCGACAAGTAGTACAGCGATTGATGTCCGAGATATAGCGTCAATATCTGAATCGATGGTTGAAAATGTGATAAAAGCAAGTAGTTCGGAGATTGCGGAGGAAGCCCCTGCGAGAGGCTTTTTTAATATCCTCTTGAAAATATATGAAAAGGAAGTTCATATTAGAAAGCAGTTGTTTGAAGATTTGATTTTTCATGAGTGCTTGATATCTGCGGTCGAGGACAAAAGGAACCAGGAGAAAAAGTGGAAATCGAAACTGCGAAATATCTTAAAGAAAAAAGAAGAAAAAAATGCAGACACGAGAATGCCCGAGGTAATAAATATAACGTAACTTTTGAAAAAATTGGTACAAAACTTACGATCAAACACGGTATAAAAAGTACAACATATTTACTAAGATAAAGCTCCTAATTAAATAAGTAAGAAATAACGGCAATTAAAACTTAATTTGCATCAAAATCACAACGTATGCATGATGGACCTTTTCCTAACGCGCATAGATATAGGAAAATCGACTTAGATATCATGGGCTTAATTTTAGTACAAAATTTAATATTAAAAATTGTCTCAGTAAGATAGTGTAATTTTTTAAGTCAAATAGATTACAGTATCCAAACTTTCTCATTACATATGGCAATCGTAGTTGCCTATATGAAATGCTTGTGTTGCACCCTTTTTAATCATGTATGGTATGTTGGTATGTGTCATGAAACATGTCTAAGTAGAATATGCATATAGCTGAGAGGACTCATTTGGAAGTCTACATTTTAAATCTCGCACTCTCCTTTGTCGATAGGAACATTTTATATTATTATAATTGTGACTATTTTCTAAACTTGTATGTTAATCAGACGGCAATATTCGATAGGGTACTGACGGCAATCTTATTAGCGAATTGCGTGATCAACTTCCGGATGCAAAACGATGCTTAATCGCTATAGCGCAAGTTGCACAAATCTCAAAGTCTCTGGAAGAGGAGCTAAAAATAAACGCCCTAATGAAGCTGCTGAAAAGAATCGAAATGGGAGATTGGAAGGTTGCACAGATATTTCAAGTGAGTCTCTGCAAGAGCGTTAACCAAGGGTTGCATATATTTGTTTTCAGGACTTGGAAAATGGGAACTTACAAGAAGAGGTCAGAGCCCAAGTGCTCCAACTGTTTATAAATACCTGTCATGGGTTTTACGCGGGTACTAAATTACATCGACAGAAATTGAGCAATGAAGAACTAAATTTAGTGAAGATTTTCGCATGCAAATACGGGCTCATGGTGGAAGAAAATTTATCGATTACTGTAGCCAACTACATCGCTAAAAAAGTTATCAATTCGGAACGCCGGTTGAGAGGTTTGTTACTTTTTCTGCCAAAAACAAAAACAGCTTAAATTAAAAGTGAAGTTTCTCTGCACTAAGGTCGATTAAATTATCAGTTTAAACGTTATAAATTTTTGTCAACTTCTGGATGAGATTTGGGTTGTCAAATTTTATGTTTCATGATGTAGTAGAAGTGTTTGTTTAAATTTTGCGCCAAACTATTACAATTTATTGATGGAAATATTGCTTTCTTTATAACATAATGTAAATTTAAATTTACTGCGTCGAACAATATCCAATTCAATATGCCGGATTCATTTTTGAATCTCGGTTCGGGCAAACAAGAAATTTGTCTTGTCCGTTAAGCCCGCTACGCACTATTCGTTGATGCAATGATGCGGTGCGCTGATGCGATGCTTTATGTGGCGATTCGGCGAGAAGTCCGTATTTAGATGAATCACCAAAGGAAAAATAAAGACGGACGAATCAAATTCGTATTTGCGGTTAGTTAAATATAGACCATTAAGGCGACCACACCTATAGTAGACGCCACGATTTTTATTTAAAGTAGAATGGAAAGACAATATTATTTTTAAATTTGTTAAAAAAATACAGTTACGTCCGTGCTTATGGAATCCCAGCGACAAACACAAGAAGAAATGGGTCTCGATGACATGGGCGAATCAAAAAAGAAAAAAGTGTTTGTGAGGTGAGACAAACTTGACGTCTTAAGTTATTTTGTGTATACTTTTTTGTGTGTCCTGACCATGAAAACTCCGAAACTTTAACATAGTGATAAAGACTTAATAAAAGTCAAAACGTCAGTAGTTTGAAAAATTAATGGGAGTTTTTGTTAACACCAGTGTCCTACTCTCGTTATTGTTATCGATTTAAGTTAAGGACGCAAAAATCCAATGATCTAGTTTAGTTATTATTTAAATAATAAAACCTGTTGCCAAAATCTGCTTTTGTATAGAGACTGTGTCCACCATATTCTTTTCCTTATCCAATGAAATCACTAGATAACACGCGTGTGTTGCAGCCAGCAGAAGCAGGTCTCCCTGGGAATCCATCGCAACACTGACTAACAGGTGCACAATAGACGAATTGTGCACCAGTCATTGTCATTGCGTTTTTAACGAAACACATCAACGAAACGCATTACGAATCATATTGGGGCTGAGCGAGTAGCGGGCTTAAGTTTACGTATTTGTTATTTTTTTTAGCTGCCGTTGCCTATTTAATGCGCCCCAAAGCGGAAACGATGGACGCAATATCGTTTGAAACATTTATTTGCCATGAAGAATGATGGAAAATGATGAACATCGAAACTTTAAAAATGAATTGTTTTGTTGAAGCTATATCATCGTTTCGTAAAAAGCAGCAAAGTTATAAGTGAGATTATTAGTATTACATTCACAATAATAATATACTGATTTTTATTTCAGCGCTATGTCTTCGCAACAGTTTTTTTTAAAGATTTTTTCCCTAAATTATAGGCACATACCGACCAATGCGTAGATTTGACACTTTTCATACTTTCATAGGTTTTTTTTAACGGCAAAACTCAAAAATTCAACATATTATTTTCACCTTAATTTTGTTTGCTGAAAAAATATGGTTACCGTTTTTTGATAATTTTTGATACTTAATTCTGAACTATCCTAACAAAAACTTAAGTTCAATTCAAAACAAAAGTTCAATAATTCAGAAAGCTAAGGCGAGATACTTTTAAATATTATATATTTAATTATAATTAATAATGATTATAATTCCATATAGTTAATTAATAAAGAAAAGATAAGTATTTGAAATTTTTTAATAACTTTTTTCAGTGTCTCATTTAAAATGTTTTCATTGGTTTCAAAATTTAGTCATTTCTTAATTAGGTACACTAATTTTCCAGTAATTTTAAAAGGTAAATCCAATTAAATAATATAGCAATTAAAAAAGAATGCAGAACAGGATATTGTTAAAATATTTCTGACTTGGACTATATTTTAACACCGATGCCACTAAATGCGTGCTATACCATTTTCCTTAGAAAATATGGTGGCCCCAAATGCGGTAAAATAATGCCACTGTTAAAGTGAAATCGGAGCTGCCAGCTATATAGCTAGTGGCTATATGGTTTAAGAAGATAAATAAAAACTTATACCCCCATGACGCTTTACTTTTCGCTATGTATTGTGTATTTATTTATTTATTTATTTTATAAATTTATTTATTAATTTTATAAATTTATTTATTAATTTTATAAATTTTTAATTATTTTTTTTTAAATATTTTATCTATTATTTATTTAATATTTATTAGAAACAGATTTCTAATAAATTTCTAGTTTCTAAAGTAGTATGTATATAGGTACAGTAAATAGTTTTGGTATAATTATTCTAATTTTGTACTACAAGATTTAGACGGTGACATTCCATGGTGTATAGGTTCCGGGTTCCGGAGTTTTGATCTAAAAAATTGACACGATTAATTCAGGTAAAATTATTGCAGGTGCATTACCCTCGAAGTGATGGTGTCTCGACAGACCATCCGTATTTCCGCTGCTGTGGCGGGGGCGTTCAATCTAAATGGTTCCTTGCATCCGTTTTCCAATCTTGCAGCCTTCACGGCGTCTTTAATGGCAAACAGAGCAGAAGATGCCAAAAATAGAGGAGGTTCACCCACGGCCTTACGAATGAAACAAACTATTTAGCAAATTTTCTCTGCCAAAATTTTGGGGCAAGAATTTTATTTTAATTTTAATTGGATTTTAATTCAACTATAGAATGAGGAATGAGTTAAAGAGGTTAACAAAAATCTGATGAACCGGCCAGTTAGGTCAATGACAAAAACCTAAAATCAACAGTCAACATAAAAGAAGGTGATGTAGCATAAGTTTTAGAACTTGCAAAGGATAAAAGTTACTCTATGATTCAAAATCATCGTCTTTTGGTCGGAGTTGGTCATAATCTTTCAAAATCCTGATCACTTGAATTGACGCGCTTGTATTTTCACCTCGGAAGCAGTAAATTTTAAACGATGTTACATTAATTTTTCAAATAAACTTCCACGAGCTACTGTGATACTTTTTACAAAACTTCTGGATTCAGTTTCAGTCAAGCTCTAAAGAAGACAACAGGATGATTGGCGAAATGTCAGCAAGTTCGACTCAGCAAAAACCGACGCCGGAGGAATCCGGAGGTTTTGTAAAAAACGTTTATGCAATAAAGAGAAGCGCAAGAATTGCAATTAATACATTGATTTATCGTATGCAGAATTGGAAAAGATTTACTTTTTTCACCCTGTCTTACTTTATAGTTTTCTGGTTATTCCGCTGAAACATTTTTTTAGAAATAAAATGAACAAATGTACACATCTAACAGTTCCCTCTCTTGTTTGTACAGACAGGAAAATACGACTGGGTACAAATCGGATCATCTGGACAGTTTGACATACATAAAACCAATAGCATTTAGAAATTTGTAAAAATCATGATTAGAAAGGACTTCGGGTTTGATCGACTTTTGATAGCAAATACGAAACAACAAGAAAACCGTTAAAAATAAGTAATCATCGCATAGTAGGGTAATATACAGGGTATCGTATTTTAAAAAAGGAAGTATTGCAGTTTTAAAAATGTTGTGTTTGCTTTTAGCATACAGGCGATTAACACCAAGAAATTTTTATTAATTTTTTTAATAATTAAGATATCTATGAAACAGGATCGGAATTAGGATAAAGTATAGGGAAACCTGAAAGAACGTGTCATTTTTTTTTTCATAAATCTGTTTAAAATAAGGAAGTTTGGAAGCTTATGAGATACTCTGCTTTTTCCCTTTTTTCAATGAATATCATTGTTCTAATCATGCGTTTTTCGCTCGGTCGTTAGGGATTTGACTTTTTAACACTTCATTACCAGATAAATTAATATTAATTACCTTGGATGAGTACACCGCTTTGGGGTTGGAAACTCCTTTCAAAAGAGATACGTTGAACTCGCCAGGTATATCACCGAAACCCGGAATTTTGTACGCCCCTGGACCTTTGGTGTACAAAATCCCTGTGGGCGAATACACAAGCTCTTCTAAAATAAACAGCCCGTATCCCTGCATAAACGCACCCTCGACTTGTCCGATATCGATTGCTGGATTTATACTTTCACCTGCAAAGCACAATATCATATTTTTTTGATATCTAGACGGGATAATCGATCTATTTATGAAATGTATTTAAAACTTTCAAAATGTAACAAATATCTGGAAATTTTCGGTGAAACGTTCGGTAAAACAGAACAGAGTCGGATAAAAATAAATAGATTTGAAAGTCACTCTATTAATAAAGAGAATTTAAGGGATCATTTATTGTTACTCGATTTTTGCCCGAACTAGATAAAAAGAGTGAGACCTTCTGATGAAGATGGATTGCGAAATAATTCCTGAGAGAAAATTGATGCGTTTTAAAATCGGTCTATTAAAACATTTTCTTTTCCAAACCTCAAGACGAGAAGAGAGAAGAAAAATGTAAGATGTTATTTATAAACCTAATTAAGAAGAGTTTAGATTGGACGAATTTTAATTATTTATTCTGAATTTCAACTTACTAGTCGCTACAGGCCAATACAGTTCCAGAAAAATATTAAAATAATCAAAAAGTTTCATACATACTCTAAATTACTCTAAATTACTGCCTATCGAACTACAGAAAACAAGAAAACACAATCTGCGCGCAGCATGCCAAATAGTTCCTAATATGCAGTTTTTAAACTCCAGGTGCAATAAAAAATTGTTCGTAAAAAATTGTCCCATTTAGGTTGTTAAAATTTTATGCAAGAAACCTCACTCCCGATCTATAATTAATATGGGGAACAAATAAAAATAAAATGAAACAAAAATGAAACGTCAGTTGAAATTCAACTAACCGCTGATGCAGTAATTCAGAAATGTCCGATATATAACTAGCAGTTTCATTTAACCAAAAATCTAAAATGTATGCGTGCATGCAGAAACTTTTTAGTATAATTATATAATACTAAAAATAATTTAGAAAATTCTTGCCTAGATCCATAACAATATCGGTGCGTAATACTTTGTGGTCTCCAGTTAGTGTATCGATCTCCACTTCGGTACACGCAGCCCCATACGTGAAATATCTGAAGATATTGCCTTCGTTCGTATCCCAATCGTGTCCCAACTCTGGGGTGGCATAAAATCCTACAGCTGACAGGCTGATTCTGTCAAAATAAGCTTGTTTTACCCAAGAATCCCAACCACCCTTTGGATTAGTATTTTTGTACGGTTTCAGCCTTTCATTTATCTCGTTGCAGGCGTTCTGCAAAAAAAAATATATCTACACCATCACGTCAAAGAGCTGCGTTGTTGGAGGACCGGAAAAGAAATTATTAGGAATAGTGGTAGACTAATTTTCGTTTTGTTTTGTGTGTAAACAACCCTACAATTTGGATGCATCAAATCATACTAAGCTTTAAAAACTTTTGACAGTCGACAGTCGAAAATTATTGTCACACATATATAGTTCCTGCAGTAGAGTGCGGTGATGTAATTGTTTAATTTGTAAAAGTAACATTTTCTTTAAAGTTATTATAACGTTTATGCATTTTCAACGAATAAATATAAATTTGAATCGGAAATAATGGACAGGTCATATGGTTAGCTAAGTATTGTAATGGTGGTGATTGTAATGTCCTTTGATCAACAATGGAAAGCTCTTTTATAAAGGCTTATTGTTCCATATTTCTCATTTTTTAATTTTTATAATTTCTATTAGTATCATTGAACAACACAATTTCGATTGTAGTTATATTTTGCCGATATATGGAAATGAGAAACGTGTGTCCTATTAAGCTTGTATCAATTATCAATGTTTGAGTTAAAATCTCACCAAAACAGCCATTCCATTTAAATCCGATCCAGTACTGGCAGCCGTGGGTGACGTATTCGGAACGGTTTCAGTGGAAGTGGCGCTTGTATGTATTTTCTCTGGAGGGACGCTCAAAGCTTCACTAGCCACCTGTATCATCTTGGTATAAAGTCCTTGACCCATCTCGATGCCTCCATGGTGCAATAGTACTGAGCCGTCCGTGTAGACTAGCACCAACGCTCCGGCTTGATTTAGAAATTTCGCTCCGAATGCAATACCGAATTTGGTTGGTACCATAGTTATGCCGCGCTTTTTGTATTTATTTCTCCTGCAATAACGAAATGTGTTACCCCCTTATATCAGTAAACCGCTTAAACATAAAAATTAACTCAAATTCTCAAAATTACTCCTGTTAGGTGTTCGTTCATTTTCCAGGTCCTAAAGTATGAATCAATAATATGAAAAAGAGAGCCGTAATCGTTAAATATCGAAGAAAATCACTGTATTGTGTTCATCTTTATTATTTATTTTTTAAATTTAATAATTTATTTTAGCTTTTAGAATGTACTAGCTGGGATAAATTTTATCTACTCCATAAGATCCTTACATTTTTTGCAATTTCTGGAGTTTTTTTTGTTGATGAAATGGAAGTTTGTATCTCGAATTTGTCACATGACAACAACTCATAATTTTGTTGTAAGCCAACTTCACGAAACAGTAAAAATTTGTGTATTTAGTATAAGTTTACGTTTTCACTAACATAGGAACGGCAACTCGAATCTCTAATGGGGGCTATCCACGAAAGTGTTTCCAGATAAGTCCGCGAGCAAGTCTGAAACGAATTGCGGTCACACACAGGTAAACATTCAGGTAAACCTGGAGGTTCGCCAGTTGTCCTTAGTACTTGCTCTAAAAATCAGACAATCTGATTCGCTTCGAGCCGCGCTTGGAACTGAACTCGCCGTGAGTTTGAACACATACACATTCGCACTTACTCGCGTGTCTCGACCTGTACAGGCAAGTCGTAACACTTGCCTGCATGTGTATAGGCCGCTTAAAATTTACCTGTTGTATTCGTCTACCATTTTCCTTCGCGCGTGGTATTGCGACTTGTGGATACATTCCTTCCAACATTTGTCCATTGTGCAATCCTCCAATAGTTGATTATAATGCGTTAAGTCACCTTCCTTATAAAGATTTCTTTCGCTAATTATAATACGACTAATACCGAGATATTCGGCGATGTCATCAATTATATTCTCGGCCACAAACATGCCTTGGGGACCGCCGAAACCTCTAAAGGCTGTATTCGAGGGTAAGTTGGTTTTGCAGATGGTGCCCTTTACCCTAAACGCTGGGATGTTGTATGCATTATCCACGTGAAGCAGCGCCCTTTCACAAACCTACAAAGGAACAGCTAAAATAAATGTTGACGAAATAGGTATACCCCAATCTATATCCCATACCTATATACAAAAAAATTGGATATATTTGACAGAAAATATTTGAGATTTAAATTAAAATTTTACCACAACACTTAACAGGTTTGACATGTGAAGTCTTTGAAGTACTTACACTACCATTATACGGGGCTAGTTTGATTCCAAAGATCGTAAGAAAATAGTTTATTGTGTTTTGTTGCTTTGTTTTTCTTGTTCAATTCTAATAAACGATAAATGAAGAAGAAACTACAAAAAATTCATAGAAGCTATAAAAATTCTTCCCAAGAAAATAAAAAATGTGTAATACTATCGACAGCGAGCGGCAATGATTTATCAAACCATTTGAAAAACTTCCAAATAAGTCGTGAAACTTTTTCAACTAGGAATTTTCATTGATCAAGCGTGATATTATTGCAACAATTAAATAATTGCTGAACTAGTTTTTGTTTCAATCTTATGATGAATGACGAATTTAGGATAAACACATGTCTGTCTTCTTTAGTTTTGATATTGATAAATGTCTTAAAAATATGTGATAATAACTGACTAATGGCATTAGTAATTTTAGGTAATTTAAAATAAATTTGACTAGGAAGTTATGTCCTACTATTATACTACATTTTTTATATTTTTTAAATACCATTTTCCCTTGTACATTGTAAATAAGTAAAATTTTCATGTTTCTAACATTAAACAGTCGATTATTACAATGGTCGCGTTTGGAAAGGTTTATCATTGCTTACAAACAACGTTTTTTTACCGAAACTAAGCTATTGATAGTGTGTTAAAAAATATTGGTGGGTCTAATCTCGGTTAAATTTCAAAAGAAACATTGTCCGTAATAAGCCGACGTCACGCTACAATTAGATATTATTAAAAATCGTACCCCCGTGGACAGATCAGTCGAGTAACCACCGTTCAAATAAAGGTGAACGTCACACCCTAGAATCTTCCCCGTATCGTCGAACGCCGCTTTGTACTTCATTAGAAAAGGATGCCTACCGCCCGTCATCAGCATGTCCTCGTCTCTGTCCAGCATACATCTTATTGGTCGACGAAACTTTTTGGCAGCGATTGCGACCGGGATCGCTACCATCGCAGCTTTAGACTCCTTGCCACCGAAACCGCCGCCTATGCGTTTCACTTTGCATATGATTTTATTTTGCTGCGTTTCTAAAGCTTCCGCAACCAGTGCCTGGAGTTATTGAAAACGATAATTTACCCATAGCGAATAAGGATGTGGATAAGTATAAACATTTACCAAAAATTGTGTACAGGTTGGGAATTTTATTGTGAACCTATACCCTGTTTCTGCTGATCATAACTTTATTATTTTTAATGGAACACTCTGTATATTATTATCAATTTAGATAGTGAAATACAAGTTCAGTGATATATGCGTCTGTGACCAGCTCTACCGCTATTCGTTATCTGTTGTTTGTGTTTCTAATTGTATCTTTGCTATGTGATGTTTGTTTGCTATTTAATGTTTGATTTATTCGGCACCTCATTTAAGTTCCATAAAAAAAATATTTACTGTTACCGCTTAAAAATCAACATATGACGAGTGATAATTTATTTTTAAACTAAAACCAAATTATCAGTAAAAGTACATATGAACGTTTATTAGATAATTCCAACGCAAGCATCGACATAATCATTTTTACATTATCGAGGATCTATTAATAAAATTTTTATTTAAACATCCTGTTTATCTGTTATATTAGATACTTAAAAAGTTAGAAAAATTTCAATACTGGCCTAAAGCATTTGAAAAATAAGTGAATGATAAATTACAAATATTTAAATATAGAGAAACGTATGATGAGACCTGTGGTACGACCACGGAGATACTTCGAAAAAACTAAGACATATGCTCACCGCCACTTCAGAAGGATGCTGAGTGGATGAGTACAGCTCTATTTCACCGTCCTCCGCCTTGGGTACGGCTATCACAGCTTGTGTTTCGAAATAAAAATGCTCTTGACCTCCCATCCTACATTGACCCTCCAGAACGTGAGGCGCGCTACTGAATACTTCTTCGACGGGTCCCTTTCGGATAGACCTATGTACTTCTTTGAAAAACGACCTTTCTTTAATGGCATCTTCTATGGTAATAACAATTGGCTCTAGGTCTTGGTACTCAATTTTGACCTTCCTAGCCGCCCTTTGAGCTATGGAGATATCATTAGCTAGTACAGCACAAATGATCTGACCTTGGCTAGTCACCACGTCATAGTAAAAAATCTTTTCATCAGGAACAATACCGCCGAATACGTTTCTATCTGTTCCGATATCTTCTACAGACACTATACCACGTACACCCTCCATCTGTAGAGCATCGAACGGATCTACAGATATAATTTTCGCGTGAGCTCTTGAACTAACCACAAACGCTAAGAACAGTTCGTTTTCAAATCTCGGCAAATCGTCGCAGTACACTGCTTCACCTGCGGCTTGTTTGAATGCCGACAGGTGTACCATAGGCTTTTGGATAACATTGTATCTACCAGTTTCAGTAGAACCAGATTTAAAATATTGGGAATTTATCTGCTTCGACTCGTGAATTCCACGAGATCCGCTCAACTCGGTGGAGTTCAGTTCATTTATACAAGGCAATTGTTCGGATATGGCCAAGAATGCCTTAAAGAACAATCCCAAGGTTAGAGATTTGCGATAAGCGATCATTCCCCCTGGCGCTGAAGGATCCAAAGGAAGGTCTTCCAAGAGCCAATTGAACGCCATCTCCACACTTTCTTTATTCCACGGAAGACCTTTCAAATTCGCTTCAGTTTTGGGAGCCGTTATGGTTTTGAAGGACATACCGCCGAATGCCAAGTGTATGTCAGATACTATGTTCGAGTTATTTTCAAATATCACATTAACCGCTATGTTAACTATCGCGATGTCATCTTCCCTTCTTCTAGCTTGTTTGTAGGCTTTAAAGTATTGGCTCTTGGTACTAAAAGGTATGCGCACTGTTTTTAAGACTTCATCGGCATGAATTATACTTTTACGATAGCCAACAAAGAATTTGTCATCTAATACTACAGTTCTTAGTCCATTTGTCAGGTGCTCGATTTCGAGCTCTACTCTGCAAGCCATTAAGATGGGTAACAAATCAGATATCGGACTACCAGTCATGATGTTACCCCCAATGGAGCCGACGCTTCGAATTTGTTTCCCAGCGAACCAAAAGAGCACGTCCACGATAGCTTTAAATATACGGGATTTTTCTTCCGGCTGGGTGCGGATTTGGTATTTCAGAAAATCACCCAATTCGGTCAAAGTTACGGACGCTCCCACTGATATTCCATTGCCACCTTCGCTTATTTCTATAAGTTCTTTGATTTGGGTAGGTTGGATGATAACTGGGTAGAACATCCGCTTGAATTTCGTCTCCACGCCCACCTCAGTGTTGCCGACTACTATCTTGGCCTCCGGAAAAGTACATTTCAAACTAAGAAAATCGATATATTTAGTGGGTCGGTACCACGTAACGTTCTTGCCTTTGATTTCGAGTCTCTGCCTGTCATATACGTCCAGCAGTTTCAGCTCAGGCGGAAAAATTGGCTCTTGAGACGGGTGGTATGGACTAAATTCGTTTGGGTCAAAAAGTCCCTCAGCCGGTATTTCTAAAAATGTGTTAAAATCAACAATTAACTCAATTTTGACTACTGAATACTTGCCGGTTGTGCCGTTCTGCACTTTGCAACATTTATCTCCCATGCCACAACTTGCATCGCTGCCGTTAACGTAACTTCCACTTATTTGCGCTTCCCACTCTTCGGTGAATGTCTTGAAACCATCCAAGATTGGCCTATAACCTGTGCATCTGCACAAATTACCCTGCAGCGTTTCTTCTAGTTCTTCCATTTTCGGTTTTGGAGACTGCCTCAGGAGAACGTACATCGACATTACCATTCCCGGGGTGCAAAAACCGCACTGAGACCCGTGCGTTTTGGCAATTCGCTCTTGTACGGGATGTAATTTGGTTTTGGTCGAGCCTATGCCCTCGACCGTAGTCACTGCCAGACCGTGCATGGAACATATCGGTGCCAGGCATGCGTTTACTGGTATATGACTAGTTGCTATATAAGGATATTGACAATTATTATAATTAGCTTCAAAAGAAAAGATCTAAAAATAGTGTTGGCAATCTTATCTAACGAGACGGAATTGGGAAGGATGGCTGAAAAATCAGCTTTAAAGAGTGTAATAGTATATTATGCGGTGATTAAAGAAGTTAGTCAACGCGTTGGTATTATACTTTTTCTACAACTAAATAGTTTATATAGTTTAATAGTTTAAGAACAGACAAATAAATGTATTCTTGTATTATTAAACGAAATTTCTAGTGAAAATTAGGAGGGGAATTATCTTTTTATTGTACCATTAGTCAATTGTTATTAAAAGGATTATTTTTGTAACAGGACTTCTTTCAAAAACAAATCTATATTGGACACTGAATAAGACGACTCTCTTTCCTAGTGTACAACTTTTATCTGCAGTCGTCCAAGTAAGATTTTTTTATTCTTTTATTTCTATAGAGGTGGATTCTATAGGTGGTCGGATGGTCCCATGACAAATGAAAAATTTATTTCCCTTTCTACCTTGGCCTTATATTTCAGGGAAAGTATGCAGGGTTTTTCAAAAATAATATTTTGTAAGGAAATCTCAGATATGAATATGAATTTGTAAATAAGAAGCATTTTATATTCTTTTATTCAGGATTTGTTGTTTCAATAAGATTTACTTGAGAAATCAAAAATTAACTTACTCTTCAAAACTAATTTTGGTCTATAATAACAGAATATACAGAGTGTGGCATTCAAGAATACTTACTACGTGATGTTTTATGCTTCATCCTTCATGTTTAATGTAATGACGGAAATTCCATAAGATTTCGTTTACGGGTTCAAATTATTTTTATTTCAAAAGTCTAGGGGAACCTAAACAATATCAACTTTACCTTTACCAGTATGTTAGTTTTTATTAGTTTCAGGTAATATTTAAAATAAAATTTTCTTATATTATTATTCTCCTAGAGGTATATTCTTGGAAGGTAATGAATGCTATTTAGTAGAATATTTTAAAATAATATCTGATACTTTCCTATCTGTCAATTATGCAGAGATCAAAGGTGCGTTAAGGCTTCATTATTGACTGTCCTATTGACTCGATATTTATATTTCCCTAGGCACGACAACCATTTATTTTTAGTGATAAGTAAGAATTTAAAAAGGATACATTACGATGTTTCTTCCTCTGTCGAATCGGGAAACCATAACGGTGCATGCCCCACATCCTCCTTCACCACAGCCGAGTTTTGTACCACAGAGTCTTACTGTATTATATTTTTATGTCAAGGACTCATAGCAGAATTTGTCATAAACATTTTAAATATTCGTTTTCCATGGCAGTAGCATGAATTTAACAAAAAAAAAATGCAAACGTGTAATTTAAATGTGCCCAAGGAAATATCCTGTTATCCAAGTTTTGCTTTTTTTTTGCAGAATTACAATTTTTATCAATCTATTCAGCCATTCAGCAATTAAAATATATTCATTTCTTTTTTATTTTATATTAAGCTCCACTGTTTATAGGAAATATTATCTCATTCAATAGTATTGAAAACTTTTTGAATGGCGATACACTTTTTTGTTTAGCGTAACGTTTTTGTCAAGATTAACAACTATCAAAGGATACACTTTGCCCTTAGGTAATACAACAAAGTCCACTCAGGATCGATATTTGAATCGATAATCTGAAAAAAAAAGTATTTCACAAATCAAAATCATTTTAATTTTTTAAATTTCTAAAATAGTTCAAAATTTAATAGTCATTAATTGACTTTTCCATATATAACATTTTTATTATCGGAGTTATAAGACACCAGAATTGCACTAGTGAATATCAGTCACATAGATGGGGGAAAACCTTATAAAAATGCAGTCATCGGAACAAGAGAGTGGAGTAAGACCATTAACTTTAGTTAATTTTTAAATTATTAAATATTATTTGCTTCATTATTGATATATAAGATAAATTGGATAAAGCAGTGCAAGTTCATTAGTTCTGTTTAGTTTACGCAAGATTTAAGGTAGCTAATTAGGTATTTTGAGGTGCCAAAATTCAATAAGAATGGTTGTAAAACCACTCTCAAAATTATTTAAATGAAAAAATATGCATTTGTTATAAAACTAACTTAAATATTTGATGGTACAAAAATTTGCACTTTTATTATTTATATTATTTTAGTTCTTGACCACCACAAATTATAAACTAAAACTAATTCGCATTAACAGTGCTGTGAAAATAAATTGTTTTCAAAGGTAGTAAAAATAAAAGTGAAGAATAATGATCGATAATTTTTGTCAATAGTTTAATTTTAAGCATACAGTTGGCATTTAGTTATAAGTATCCATTTCATCCCAAATGTTAAAATTTACTTCTTTGAATTTGCTTTTTCATTCCTTTTGGTTGTTTCAAGGGTCTTTGTGATCGCCACAATAATGGTTGGCGTCTCCCTTCAAATATTTTGTTCTTCTCTCTCTAGGTCATTTAGCTTTACCTACAGCCAGAAAAACATCTGAACTGTACTATAAACCTTAACGGATAACGGGATTCCTTTAGAAAGCTCTGTCATAGTATTGATAATGTCCCATTTCTAAGCGGAGCCGGATTCTGATTTAGACGACGGCGCATAAATTCACTTTATCGGTTACCTACTTGTAAAATGTATTGAGATAAAAGACTACGCTCATTAAAAATAATGACTGTTGCAATTTTCAATTGCAATTTGGCTTACAAAAATAATTTGTAACTAAACACAACCCATAAAACCATTCAATGAGACCTTGAACCTCTTCTACATCTGATTGTTCGTGAATATATTAACGTTGAGTGTTACACTAATAGTTTTGCGGAACTAACTAGACCACTTTCAGAAAATAAGGGCATTGCTTCCCGAGTTTCGTCTATTGGGCTCCTGCAAAACACTACGATACTTTCGCGAAATTAATACTGCGTGCATTTTAAATATGAACTCAACCTAACTTTAAAGTAATGTCAAATTATGGTAAATATTAAAATTTTTGCCAGTATTAGGGATTTTTAACTATATTTTCTCAAAAATCTCGCGCACCCTTTATGATAGACGAAAACTGAAAATAAGAAAATTGTAGCTCTACTTCACTGCCCAACCCAATTGCTCTCTTTTTATGCTTTTCATTTGGGGCTAAAAATTAAACCTTAGAAAAGGTAATTATACACCTTGTACATAATCTAAAAAGTGACTGAGGAAAAAGTTACACTTCACTTAAAAATTTAAGAAGACTTCCCAAACTTTGACAATGACGGTAGACTTTCACCCCTATGCCAATTTTTTGGAGACATTTTGCACACTCTGTATAATACATATATGTATATAATAAGACCTTATGAAGAAAAGTTGTAGCCCTCGATACTCCCTAAATACCAAAATTAAAGAAACCGACAATTTAATTTTAGTACGGTCAATTTTCTAAGAGGAACTCAATTTTCATCACGTATAATTTTGGTATGTCATCAAACAAAGAAGTTTGCGGCCATTGCAGCTGGAAAATCGAAAAAAAAATCAACCGAGGTCAAATGTTTTGTGGAGTGCCCGTGGAGTGTAAAAAAGGAGCCAAATTTTGGAATTTAAGCTCTAACGGCTCCAAAGTTATTGCTTTAAAACCCACAGAGACCTCAGAACAGAAAAGCAGACAAAAAAAATATTTTTCGACGCTGATAATTTTCCCCATGACAAGTCGTTACCGAGACAGCGTAGATACGAAAAATTCGATTTCGTCGATTTTTTTAAAGTAACAAGGGGAACTTTGCGAAATTTAATATGCGGTCATAATATGTGATAATCCATCTTTTAAAAACAATTTCGAAAAATCGGCGTTGCCGAATCTACCCGAAACCATTGACAACTTTTCAAATTAAAGTAAATTTTGCGACTATAACAAAATAGGAGTTTATGTGATTATGAAAAAGCACATTTTTGGAGCTCCCTGTGTGATATATCGATATTTTGAGTTATACGAACTTTTTCTTGACATACTACTAGGAAAGAAAATATTAAAATTTATTTACGTATCATTTTTGTTATACAATATTAAGTTTTTCTTTCTGTAAAAGCCGGTAAAAAGGGCATTTAGAAGAAAATAACATTTGCGTACATATTCAACCTAAACAAAATCGTTGTTCTTTAGATAACGTTATAATGAGCTTGAGTTAAATTGCTTAACACGCCTCAAAATTAAAGTTAATTAATAGATAAGTTTATTTTCAGCATTTTTCTATGCCTATATTTTTAGAATACGGTTAAAATTTCGCTTCGAACGTTGAGCAAAGAATTAAATAACTGCTTTATAAAATTAGAATTATTGGAAAAATAATTAGTATCATCATAATCCGTGTTCTATTTAAAACACTACTTTTATTGACTAGTGACTTTTTAGTTGTCGAAATAGTGTTTTTCTTCCACATTGTCAACGAAAAGCATTATTACCTTTTTCCCATTAACGTAAAACACCAGAGTTCCACTTATTTCGTTCGTCTCATTCGCTGCCATATTCGAATCCGTGTGAACCAACGACATATACTATTCGTATCGTAATGTTGTTTTTGCTCCAAAAGCCGATCTTATTGTTGCTATCTGATAACCCTACCCCAGTTAATTTTAAGTGAATATATATTGTCGCGAATATACTTCCGAAAAACAAGTGTTGCGTCAACGCTTGCAACAACACCAATTAACAATAACAATAATGATAATATACAATTAATAGTTTTTAAAATTTCTTTAAGTTAGCCCATGTTTTAACGCATTATTTTATTAGATAAAAGAAAAATCAACTTTTTTAAAGATCGAAAAATCCATATATTCATTATAGAATTTAAACAATCTTTTCCTATGTCAACAAAGAACTGAGGATGCAGGAGGAATCCAGAAATTTTATAAAAATTATTACATTAGCCCGTCGAAGTTTCTTTGAAAAAAAAAGAATGAAACAGGTATATGCACATTTTTTATTTCAGGCTGAAAAGATTTCACTTTACTGCTTGCTTGGGTTTACAATATACTAAACCAAAACTAGCGCTAGGTAAGAAAATTATTTTAAACTTTTTTCACAAGAGGGAGCTTATTCAATTTTCCTATCACTATATAAAGTAGAAAGTTAACGTTTTAAAGGTTTCTACCGTTGCAAAATACTTTTTTTAGTAGATGGCGCTTCAATTTTGCCAGTCAGGCGATAATTATTTGGATTTAAATTTCAATAGTACCTAGTTTTCCATACCGTTTTACTTTTCCGCACGATTTATGAAAAAGCAACGATTAGTGAGGCTGTTACTCTAATACTGTTATCATCTGGTAGTTGTGACCAGCTTGCCTTCTGCTTGAAGCATCTCATTTTATCACCCGTTATAGCATGTGCAAAAAAAACATGTGCGAGTTTCCACACCATGTGAAAATTGTCATTTTCAGCTCTCTAGACACTTTTGATAGCTGTCATAGAAAAAAATAACTTTTCATTTCTACTAGCGTTGCATATTTACTTTATCTAATGTCTTAGGAAAAATAGCAGGTTGTGTCGCTCATAAATTCATAATCCACAATCTAATATAAAAATAAGGTGTTTATTTCGCGAACAAGAGAAAACTTGGGTCTATTTCCCTAACAGAATTCTAAAATATATATAGGTGGATCTATTCATCGATTCATTGCAATAATCGAATTTATAATTTTATTGGTTGAGCTCGAAAATATTTTATGTGTTTCGACGGTACTAGAAACAATAAATAGGTAAAAAACTTAATTTATTTGCATATAAACTTAATATACAATTAACAAATATCTTAATACTTTTAAATGTGTTATTATTTAAAATGTTACTCTGTGTATTAAAAATTACTGTTCTCTTCTTCCTCCACTAAACCACAATATTCCATGGTTTATATGACCCCAGTTCCGGCTCTTTGATCTAACAAAATAAATTAAATTAATATGGCCACTAATATTTGTCGGATCATTCACTTTGGGGATTGCTATCAATGTGATCTCTACAGTCAGTATTTTTTGTTGTGACCGAATAAACGCTTCTTATACAATACTTTTATTGTTGGGTTTGTGTTGAACTCAAAACCCTATTTCAGTGTTTTTAATAGGGAAAATAAGTATGAAAGCAACTTGTAATTAAAAAAATCATAAAAAGAGAATACATAGTGTACTGACTACTATGACCTAGATAGCAAACCCTAAATAAATGCAATGATTCTACTGGTTTATTATTACTTTTTGAAAATTATTTCAAATAGCAATTCTAATACTTTATTGTGATTGCTGTACATAATAACGATCATTGGCATGATAATTGTCAGTGCCAAAAAAATTATAGAGTATTACAGAGTAGTTATAGTTATAGGAGTTTGTGATTTACATTATCGGCAGGTCTCAGACATGTCAATTTTTTGTCACAGACATTATCATGCCAATGATCGTTATTATGTACAGCAATCTAGTGACATGACAATAATATGTCCCGTATTGATTTTAACAAACTAATTATGATCAGGGTGGCTAAAACGTCTTCAAAAATAACTTGACGAAGATAAGTAACCCAAAGTCAAAGAGACTATGATCAATGGGAAAATAAGTAATGTTTTTATACCTTTTCTGTAATATTATCTTTGCATGCCATGCGAATCTTTTCAACAGTTGCTGGGGCATCCAAAACGAAATACTCATCCACTCCGTGCTCTGATCTAGCCGCCTTTATTGCGTCTTTGATAGCGAACAACGTTGACGATGCTAACGTAAGAGGTGGCTCTCCAACCGCCTGTGAGTCATCAAAATTCACATTAACTAGATTTTATTAAATTTCAAACGAGTAATTTATAGCTGAGTGAATGATATCGTAGATTAATCTAGACTAATACTGCTCATGAAAAATCTTACCGCAGATTATGAACTGAACAATCTACAAATTGAATATCGAAATATTTCTTGCATTCATTTTAAGAAAAAGAAACACAACTTTTGACATACAGGGCGATAATTTTTTTAGGAAACAATATTGCTTTCATTTGATCTAAAATAAAAAACGATTCCACACATCTTGCAGAAATTTACAAAATACATTCTGCGCATCACGTATCGCGTATTATTGAAGATAAAGTGGTACCCCACTGAGATTTCTTCAAGTCAATATTTTCTTTGCATAGTTTAGTCATTTCTGCACGAAAGTTACTTCTTACGTTGTCGTGTATAAAGTAATTAAATTAAAAATGTTACAGTTCGCCACCTGAGTAATAATGTTAAACACAAAGATACAACATAAAAATCTATTGTAGTTAGGTTGGAATAAGTACAGATTATAAATGTTATTATCAAATCAGTTTTCGTTGTGTTTTTATTAAGTTAATTTTAACTTTTCGCATTTTTGATTTTTTTGTCAACATCGTGACGTATACAAATGTGGAAATGATATCACCCTGTGCAAAGTCGTTTAGGACATACGTTCATATGAAGTTTGTTTCTTAAAATGAACAGAATAATAATCCACTTCCACAATCGTTAATAATAAATCAAAAACATATTAATATTCTACAAAGCTCATTATTCTTGTGTTACTTAACTTACTTTGTTCTAAATGAAATGAAAATATGAACGACAAATTTTGAGCATAAGAGTTTACGCGTATGTAGTCTCTACTCGCTTTGAAAAAAGCCGTCCTAAAAGTACCTTGGATGAATAAACAGCTCGAGTATTGGAAGAGCCCTTTAGCAGGGACACGTTGAATTGGGCTGGAATGTCGCCGAAACCGGGGATCTTATATGTCCCTGGTCCTTTGGTAAACATAGTCCCGGTAGGCGAATAAACCAACTCTTCGAGAACGTACAGTCCATAGCCTTGCATAAACGCTCCTTCAATTTGTCCGATGTCGATCGCAGGATTTAAACTTTGACCTATGTTTGTATGCATAGATTTCATACATGAATTCGTAAACCCTCTTTACAGTAGCTATAGTATTAAATGAGAAACGATATCTGGAAAACTGATGGGTCAGTCATACCCGTTATGCGTAAACAGTCCTAGCTTTTTATATAAGGTAAAAAAGATTTCTGAGAAACTATCCAGTGCACAAAACTTGTTGAAATATATGTGAAAATGTAATATTTTTGGAGATGGTGACATACCTAGGTACCTAGGTCATTCGATTTTTGAAATAATTCCCAAAGTATACACAAACATAGGACATCACAAATATCGTGAATTTTTTTGCCGTACTTCCCCGCATAGCCTCAAACATGCGGGTGACCCGTAAACATTTTCAAAACTTAAAGACAATAGTTACTTGGATTCACTTATATTAGATAGGGTGTCTTCATGTACGATGTACTTATTTTAAACACAACACCACTCAAGACATTTTTATCAAAAACATAAATTTAGAGTTCCAAACTTCACTTTCACATAAAATTCAGAAAGAGTAAGGCTTAAGTATAGGATATATATTTAATAAAATATTTAATATCCAATCCTATTTAAAACAAAAATTTTTTCCTAAAAAATTTTACCACCCTCAAAAGTTTCTTTTTCTTAAAATGAATCCAAACAACTCTTGAAATCTTGAAATCCACACTCAACAACTCATCATTTAGATGTGAGACTTTGGCATCTGTCAAATATTTAAAACAATAACTAAGCAATTATTCTTAAACCAGATAGCTTTCCATCGCAAATTAATACAAATATGCCAAGTTAATGTAATGTATAAAATTAGCTATTTAGATGCTGACCCGTTTGAAAAAAAAAATACAGTTATGACTAGGTACTTGTGCTTTCGCCAACTGCAACCAACATTTTTGCTTACTGGGAGTTCAAACGGCAACTAAGTTAAGCTAAAGCTTTAGTGAAATCGAAGTTTTAGAACAAATTAAGGTGTGTGATTTAACATAACAATGTTTGTTATGTGTTAAACATAACCATACTTTATTATTGGAAATTATTTTCACTTCTTTATCTCTTTCTAGCCTTTCGTATTTATTATCTTACCTAAATCCATGACTATATCGGTCCTCAATACTCTGTGGTCTCCCGTCAAGCTGTCTACTTCGACTTCACTACACGCCACACCATAAACAAAATAGTTGAACATATTGCCCTCACCCTTTGCCCAGTCGTAGCCTATGTTGGGCATAGCGTGGAAACCAGTAGCGGACAAACTGACTCTCTCGAAGTACGCTTTGCTTACCCACGATTCCCAGGTACCGTTTGGGTCTGCTTTTCTATAAGGCTCGAGCCTTTCTTTAATGGTAGAACACGCATTCTGTCATTATAAATTATAGGTATACTGACATGTTTTAATCTTTCCAATGTACGCACCAGGACGGCCATACCGTTTAAGTCGGATCCGGTACTCGCTGCCGTAGGTGATGTGTTGGGTACCGCCTGAGTTGACGTGGTGCTGGTGTGCACCTTCTCGATTGGAACGTTTAGAACCTTGCTAGCTATCTGAATCATTTTGGTGTAAAGCCCTTGACCCATTTCCACGCCTCCGTGGTGTAGTAGTACCGAACCGTCGTTGTAGACGTGTACTAGGGCCCCCGCTTGGTTAAGAAATTGAGCGTCAGAAAATCCCACTCCAAATACTGTCGGTACCACCGCTAAGCCTCGTTTATAGTACCGATTTTGCCTGAAAGGTGGTACAAGAGAAAATTTCTTCAAAATTTATTGTGCAGCTCTGAAAACCCAAGAGTGATGTAATTACTCACACAAAAAATCGGACATGAACTGAAGGTGTCCAGGATATCCAAACTTTCTGTTTATCAAATAATGGCTGTCTCCGAAAGTATTCAAGACGTAAGAAACTTATTTTAAAAAGAGACTTCATTCACGACTACATAATGTTCCTGGTCAATTTTTACTACCTTTACAAATATTTACTAAATAATACGAAAATATAAATAAAAAACTACTCGGGTAATGGTAGCGAGGACACTGAAAGTACTTTCAAGTCTTCAAATGCTTCTTCAATATTCTGCACAATTCATTTTGCCGTCAGAGGCCGCGGACACAAAGATGGTAATGACAAAATGTGATTCAAACAAATTGCATGTATGCTGTGTATGCATTGGTTTCCAAAATAAAGAGAACCTTCTAAATTGTTTTATGTCTCGAAGTATTTTTTGTAAAAATCCTACACACCGTAACACGAATTATTCTTCTTTTTGATTTCCAAAATTCGTATGTTTACTAAAAGATGTTGGATGAAATTATTTTTTTTTATCAAAAATAAACAAACCAGTTGAGAAATATTGCCAGAGACAGAAAATTGGTGAAATACGATATACGATCCAGACATTGCCGATTACAAGAAATTGTTTGACAAAATTAATTAAATAAAGCGATATTTTCTTTGACCCCTTTATTATTATTAATGATTAAATTATTGTAAGGAAACTTTTGATATCAATCAGTAACCTACATTTCCTGGCATGATTGGTGAAAATTTAATTTTTTCAAAGGGACATCCCGTATATCATTATTTTTCAAATACAAGATACGTTTCAAATAATATAATAGGCTCTTATACCTACCTGTATTGAAGGTTTTCCAATTAAAAGCGATTTTATATGAAAAATGTTTGTTTATGTTTATTTTGACATATTTGTATGAGAAATATCAAAAATTTCAATATTTATTCTGCTAGGTAACAGTGAAATGTTTCATATTCAATTCAAATGTTTCGTGACATTTTCAAAATATCAAAAACAAATCATGAAAATATTCGAAATCAGAATTTTATTTCGAAAACTATATGGAGTTCTCTATAGGAATCATTGATGATCTATAATCGATAAATTAGTGTCTATAACCCAAGTAATGTGCAGGAAATTTCTGGTAGCAGGTAGTAAATTTCTACAGTTAAATAAGCATTGAAAATAATCAGTAAAGTAAATGAAAATTGAAAAATATTTGCGCGCTCTGTTTACTATTATAAGGACGTCTTATGTAAACCGGATCAACATTTCGAAATTCAAAATAGAGATAGGGTTTACAACCGCCATTTACACAAAAAAAAACAAATATTATGCCGAGTTGATTGGATTAATTTGTTTTCAAATTTTTCGGTTATCTTGGAGACGGTTTACACTAAAAACGTTAAATGAGGACCTTTTTGATGAAACGAACAATGCCAATTGAAAATTTGATTTTTTCGACACTAATGAAACGGGCCTAAAATAAATAGTAACAATTTGTATCATAGCTACTTTCTAAATTCTATGACAAAATCGATTTTCCTAGCTGCTTAGAGATTTTATGGATTTTTTTCACAAGCAATACAAAATTTAGCATTTAGTGCTGTCAAAGACTAAAGCTGTTAAGTTCTACTTAGCACTGGTCGCTTAAATATCATTTTAATTCCGCATAAATATTTACGAAATAGGTATATTATAGTTTATTAGGTGTTGCATATGGATGAAAAACTTGATATTGTTTAAATTATTATATCCCTATATTAAACAACTAATTTTGAACTCATTTTTATATAAATTTTTGGTGATAAAATATGTCAAAGAATTCACTCACCTATTGTAAAACTCAACATTCTTTTTCCGTTCGTGATAGTTCGACATTTTCATACATTCACTCCAACACCTTTCTAGAGTGCAATCGATCAGTTTCTGGTTGTAGTGCGTCAAGTCTCCTTCTTTATAGAAATTGATTTCGCTGATTCTAACGCGGTCAATTTTCAAGTAATCGGCGATATGTTGGATCACGGTTTCAGCTGCAAATACAGCTTGGGGATTCCCGAACCCCCTGAATGCAGTATTTGACGGTAAATTGGTCTTGCAAACAACACCGCTGATTCTGAGGTTGGGAATGTTGTAAGCGCTTGGCAGTACTGTGACGATTTTTTCGCAAACCTGAAAAATAATACGTATCTTATTTACTGTTAGGCTTTCATTAAAGTTTCGTACCGGTAAGGAAAAGTCATAGGAGTATCCCCCGTTCAAGTATGCTCGCGCTTCGAACCCTAATATCTTTCCCCTAACGTCAAAGGCTACTTTGTATTTTATTAGGCAAGGATGTCTGCCTCCCGTCATCGCCATATCGTCGTCTCTGTCGAGCGCTAATCTGATTGGGCGATTGAATTTTTTGGCAGCCACGACGACTGGCAAAGTTACCATCAGAGCTTTGGTTTCTTTTCCACCGAAACCACCCCCTATCCGTTTCACTTTACAGACGACTTGATTCTGATCGATGCCCAGCAACTCGGCAACACTGGACTGAAAGATTAATCCTTTTACAGCGCTAAAAATTTGTAGACGGTCACTGACTAAATGTTTTACGGACCATGTGGATTTAATGTATCAGAATTGCTTTTCCGAGTTACATATGGCAAACATTAATAGATAACACAAACCTAATAAAATTATTTCTATATTCCAGTCACATGAAAAACTTTTGAATCACTGGAGCAGTAAAAAGAGCCCATCCCAAGCTCTATCAGTCGAACACCTTAGAGTGAGTAAAAAAAATGCTGGTGTTGTAAGGCATTTGTTGTTTATTTAATAGTAGAATGTAAATGAAGCTATCAATGTCAATTTAAGACACTACAAAGAGAATTCAAGAATAATTAAACTAACACTAACACCAAATCCAAATACCATTTAATATTTTTATTTTAATATTATTAATTTTAAAACTTTACGTTAGATATTTATGAAACACATAGACATAGACGTTTTTCTAAAAACATAGTTAACTATGGTTGCCATATAAAATAAGTTGGATTCATTTGTGAGAAAACCGAAAATTACAGAAAAAATCTGAGTACGCCACTCAATTTGACTCAAAAAAAATTCCTGTTTTTATCAGAATCAAAAATTTTTATAAACACAAAAGATATCGATATTTTGGTGTAGATTGAGTCATTTTATTTTTTTTTTTGCTCTATCTAGTTTAAAAGATTAAAATTAAGAGCTTTTGTTCACTTTATAACAACACAGTAGCTGTTGGCTAAACTTTTATTATTTTATGAAAAACTGTACCCGCATCTATTGTATTACTTCTCGCACGCTAATCTACAATCATTTCAGTACGCCCCCGCGCTATTCGATCGAGGAGCTGTATTCTCAATCTTACGAAAAATAACAAATACTTACCACTATCCCTGCTGGATGCTGGGAAGCTACGTACAACAACATTTCATCGTCTTCTTTCTTGGGCACTGCAATGACTGTCTGGGTCTCGAGATAGAAGTGCTCCTGTCCCCCAATTCTACATTCGCCTTCCAGCACGTGGGGCGCTTCTTCTAAAAGCTTTATCGACATTCCCTCTGCTAATAGTCCTGTACTCACCCTCGAAGAAAGTTCGGTATTTTATGGCATCTTCTATGGTAATTATCACCGGTTCCAAGTCCTCGTACTCTACTCGAACCAATCGAGCCGCTTTTCGAGCCGTCAACTGATCTTTGGCAACAACAGCACAGATTATCTGACCCTGGCTAGTGACAATATCGTCATAGAAGATCTTCTCGTCGCGAACTAAAGGTCCGTATATATTTTTTTCGATATCATTGGCAGAAACGATCCCGCGGACTCCAAGAACTTTTAATGCTTCGAAGGGATCGATTGATAACACTCGGGCGTACGATCTGGTGCTTACTACATACGAAAGATACAGCTCGTCCTCAAACGTAGGAATGTCGTCGCAGTATACGGCTTCACCTGTTGCTTGCTTGTACCCCGAAATATGTACCACAGGTCTGTGAACCGTGTCGTATTTTTCACCGTCGTTAAGCACACGTGAAAAATATTGTGAGCTCGTTTGCTTCGGAACAGGAATACCTTTTGCGTCGCCTAATTCGCACGTATCTAACGCGTTGGGAGCTAACCGTTTGGAAATTGCCAAAAACGCTTTAAAGAACAAACCTAACGCCAAAGATTTTCTATATTGCACCATACCACCAGGCGCTGAAGAATCCAAAGGCAAGTCCTCCGACAACCAAGTCAATGCTCTATCCAGCGTCTCCTTATTCCAATGCAAACCCGTCAAGTTTTTCTCGGTTTTCGGAGCAGTTACGGTCTTAAACGACATCCCGCCAAATGCTAAATTACTTGTAGACACCACAGATGAATTCGCTTCGAACGTCACATGAATGGCGGCGTTGACGATCGCAATGTCGTCTTCCCGCCTCCTTGATTGTTTGTAAACTTCAAAATATTGGTTCTCATGACTATATGGTATTCGGACGGCTTTCAATACTTCGCCGGTTAGAATAACGTTCCTTCTATACCCAGTAAAGAATTTATCGTCGAGGATAACGATTCTATCACCAGTTACGTAGTGACTGACCTCTAACTCTACTCGCGCAACCATAAGCAGAGGTATCAAATCAGATATCGGACTGCCGGTCATAATATTGCCACCAATTGACCCGACACTACGAATCTGCTTCCCAGCAAACGTGAAAAGTATATCAATGACCGCCCGGAATAATCTTGTCTTCTATTCCAGTTGGATTTGGATTTGGTTCTCCAGAAATTCCCCCAGATTAGTTAGAGAGACTGACCCACCCACCTTTACGAAGCCTTCACAAGCCACAATCTCCGTCAGTTCTTCGATCTGAACAGGCTGGATGAGAACAGGGTAAAGCATTTGTTTGAATTTCGTTTCAACTCCAATCTCCGTGTTTCCCACGACAATCTTCGCACGGGGATAATCGTGTGTCAGATTAAGTAACGCTTGAAAGGTCGTTGGGCGGTACCAGGTTACATTTTGGCCTTTGATGATAAGATTTTGTCTGTCGTATATATCCGACAGCTTTAACTCGGGAGGAAAAATTGGTTCCTGGGATGGATGGTAAGGAGCAAATGCATTTGTGTCAACTAGTGTACTTGGATCGTCATCCGTAGTTAAGTCGTTTGTATCTGTAATCGCGATCGGATATAAAATTGCACAAGATCCCTTTAAGTTACCTACTCTCTAGGTCAATTTGCAGTTTACAACACTTATCGCCTAAACCGCAAACACCATTGGAGCCATTAACTAAGGTACGGTTTCGCTCGGCTTCCCACTCCGCGGTGAAAGTTTTAAAACCATCCAAAATCGGTCTATAACCGGTGCATCTACAAAGATTGCCTTGGAGGGCTTCTTCCATATCCCTCATTTTTGGTTTGGACGATTGTCTGAGTAGGGCATACATGGACATCACCATGCCAGGAGTGCAAAAACCACACTGCGATCCGTGAGATTTTGCGATTCTTTCTTGAATAGGATGGAGTTTCGTTCTAGTAGAGCCTATACCTTCTACCGTAGTGACTGCCATGCCGTGTAGGGAACATACTGGAGCTAAGCAAGCATTTACGGGGATGTGACTGCATGTGCAACAAGTGAAGGATGATATTGTTTACACCGGTTGGTTTAATTGAATGCAAAATTAATTGAAAAAAAATCATTTCTATTATTGAGGATAACAAATCTACATTTTACCTATGTAGGTATAATAAACAAATTTTAACCCCAGACCCGTTCAGAGGCATTAAAGAAGATTAATTTTACTTTTTACAAAACTTCTGGATTCCTCCTGCGTCGGCTTTGCGGAGTCGAGCTTGCTGATGTTTCACCAATCATCCTGTTGGCCTCTTCAGAGCTTGACTAAAACTGGACGAAACGTTAGCAAGCTCGACTCAGCAAAAACTGACGCAGGAGGAATCCAGAAGTTTTGTTAAAAGTATTACAGCAGCCTGTGGAAGTTTCTTTGGAAAATTAAGATTAATTTTATTGCAATGTTTTTAAACCAACTTATAATGATTTAAATGAAAGTTAACTACGCTTCATTAAGGATACACTTCTTTGTTTAGGCGTCTGTCAAATCTGGACACCATCACGGTACACGCACCGCAACCACCTTCTCCACAACCCAGTTTTGTTCCAGTTAATCTGACTATATTTTTAATAATTAAAGTAGATATATCAATTTATCAATTTTGTTACACTGTTTTAGTTTATAAGAAAAGGATACGTTTAGTCCTCAAATAAAATAGTAAAGTCCATTCTGGATCGATCTTTGCATCGACGATCTAAAATCACGAAAACAAATATACACATTTTGCCAATCATTTTAAAATTCAATCAATTTAAATTTTCTCTTTTTTCGATCCATTAGCATTGCTGCAATCTAAATTAAAAGTTAGTGTCTGACAGAATTATAGCTCTTTCTGGTAAATTTAATATCTTCCAATATTTCGGAAAATACAGAAACAATAACAATCAATATCAAATATGCATAATGCATAAGCAAGGAGGTGATATTATCTAATATACCCGAGTAAGAGCGATGAAAAGTGAAAACATAAATTTTCATTGTTCATTACTAATTGTGCCGACCATATAAAAGTCATTGAACTTCGATAAATATAATTCAGCCCCATTTAAAACCACACAATATTATTTTTGATAGACGCAGCTTTTTTGCTCACGTTTTTTATTTAGATCAGCCTAGTTTGAACAATGTGCATCAAATTTAAAAACAGCAACTGGCCTTTAAACATTACCTACCTTTTTTCCGTTAACATAAAACACTAACGTTTCACAAAAGTGCTGCTGAGTATTCTCTTCATCCATGCCCATATCGTTTTTAAAAGAAATACAGAAAGTGGTTGTCTGACCTCGCGTCGCTCCAGCAGGCAACTGAAAGGTAAACTTCCCACTCGAGGTCGGATATATTGTTTATTTATATCATATTTAACAGCTTGTTATTGTTATTAGATAACGATTGGATTTGTTTCAATCAGAACCAGCAGCGAGACTATAAGTCATCAAGATATTGTTGGGATTGACCGCGTTTACACCAAATATTACATCGTATCGCAGATTTTAATTCCAAAAATTCGACAAGTACGTGCCCAGTAACTTGTGTAGTGCTGGGTGTAGACCTGTAACTTGGACGCAAAAGATTGCACTGCACCAAGTCACTTAGAACCACATAAAACCTAAAGCTCAGGTGACACTATAGAAAAAATGGAAAATTTGGATTTGTAACCCCCTCGTCCATCACGGTATGAATATTTAAATCCTCTAGGTTTGAATGTCTACATTTTGATTTACCAATTCTGCTATGAAATTGGCGTTCGCCAATGTCCGTTTAAGGATCAAAAACATTAAAAAAATCCGCACAGCTCCATTTTAGTTAAATGATTCACAACATCAAAAGCCATTATCCATTATCTTTATTTAAATTAGGTATATTGAGTTACTATTCTACTCCCCTCTGCAGAATACCTAATTATAGGGTGAGGAAAGTGTCAGTTTACCACGTCAGTTTTGTTTACCACAGATCCGAGCCACTTCGGACATTTCTGGGATATGACTGCACGGATGCAGTGATACAACACGTTTGGCAAACATTTTAAGTAAAATAAATAAGAACTAAAAGTTCAGATTTTCACGAAATTATACATTTTCACATGACAATTGTTTCGACCACACCGTGTCTTTATCAAATGTTTTCAAACTTTTTAAGTCACTCGTTTATTAAACACTCGCTCCGCTGCGATCTGATCGTACTAAATAAAATCGTGGCTCAAATGCCGTTTACGGCACTTTTACACACGCAATTTTCATATATCCAAAACTTAATTAAGCGGAAGAGGTAGAAGACTCATACTCGTCACTAGCAATAGCAATAAACGATTCAGCACATCCATGAATCCAACTAAATTCAGTAAAGAACGAATTGCAAATTGTTATAAATAATAGTTAAAGAAAACTGTCGCGTAAACAACAGATTACTCCCAAGCTTCCAATTAATATATGATATAATGGTATTAGAGATGAAACGTTTGGATGCATTTTTCGGGTAATACCTACCTGTCGTCTTATCTTACCTACCGCTTATCACAGAGACTCCCAACATATTATTTTTCGTAGAACATTAGGCAGAATGTCATTAAATGTAGTACATCACAAACACTTTGCTCTGTTAGACATTATAATAGAATTTTGATTATAATTTATAAAAAGATCACTGGCCCACTTTTACCGTTTTAGTTTTTTTTTTCGAAAATTCGTAAAAGCGCATTTGTAAAACCAATTTTTATCTTTGTGACTTCAAACAATGTGAGGAACTACTTGTTTGGTATATAAAAGTCCCGTTTTCAACCAGTAAGTCCTATGGTGTTCAAAAACCAACTTGGAAGCTGATAGTTCGCCAATTCGACCATCACTGTATGTAGGCATACATAGTACCCCATTAAAATTATTTGCGCAGTAGTGTGCATCTCAAGAGCACGCAATCAACAAATCAAAAAAGATACATCCTGATCCAACGTTGCGTGCTTGCTCACTCTGTAATGATACCCTTTGTCAGTGTGTTACAAATCCTTGTCACTTCAAACAATGTGAGGAATTACTTGCTTGGTATATAACTGAATAGAGTTACTTCATACACCTCATCAGAAACGGAATCTGGTCATTACAAATTTTGATTACAAGTTTTGATGAAACAATATAGGCTATTTAAGTCCCGTTTTCAACCTCAATCAGACCTTTGGTGTTCAAAAGCCAACTTTGAAGCTGACAGTTCGTCAATTCGACAGGTTTCAGTTTATATGTAGCATTTTTACGGTAATGTTTTCTCAAAATATGCCCAGATCTCGTTAAATGTTCTACGAAAACAAGCTAAGTGTGTAAAGATCCCTGTTTAGAAAGAAAATGTCACAAAGTACAGGTGGCATTTAAAGGTATGCACGTTAGATCACTTCCATCTCCACAAAAATTTCATAATTACCCGAGGCACACCAATTTCCACCGTACTGGGGTCACTATATGATTTGAGGCCTATATGGCTCTGATCCCTGATAAATATCTTATCTTTATAAAGTAAAATTTTCGGATTTTGATTTCATTTTTAATAGGTTAGTTCAAAAGTTAGAAATAATATACAAATATTGCCATTGGAGAATTTGGATTTTTCACATAGCAAAAATCCGCTTGAAAATTTTATTTCTCCCCATTTTTGGAGCGACTGAACGTCGCTCAGTCGCTCATGGTCACGTCAGTCGCTTAAGTTTAAGTATCCAAAATGGTGTTTATTAAAGTTGTTGCATAACAGACTATTATATAATATATTATAGTACACCTGTTCCAAAAATTCCAAATAATATTTATTTATTTAAATTTTGCACTTCCTATTCTTCCTTAAATACAGTCGGGAGTCAGTTCAGGTGTTTCCGGTACTTTAGTAGTAGGTTGCAAGTGATATGTTGTTTTCAATAGATTTTCACATTTCACGCGTCACTTAGTCCCTTAGTCACTTAGAAAACTTAAAAATAATGATAAAGTTGAAACATAAAGCATTGTCTAAATATAAGAAACAGAAAACCGAACAATCCTGGATTGAATACAAGGAGTTGAGAAATCTTGTAAATATGGCTGTTAAGTCGGAGAAAAAGGCTTTTTTACAACAAAAATTTCTTACGGATCCAAAAAACTTCTGGCATGTACTTAGATATCTTTAAAAATTCTGGACCTTGACTAAATACAGATGTCTCAAATTTTGCGTATGCAAGGAACTTAATAATTTTATAATAATACCCCTCAAACAGACTTAAATAATGATTTCATTAACAGTTCTACAACAACAATAACTCTTTAAATCCAGAAAAACTTTCATTTTCAACTATTAACCCTAACGAAGTAGGAATAATAATACATCAAATTAGAACTCAGATAGTGGGGTCTGATGGGATTGATAGTAAAATGATATTATATGTTATCCCCCAACTTTTGCCGCATATTACGTATATTATTAATAAGTGCTTGTCTACTAACAAATTCTCTAAATCCTGGAAATACATGATGTTTCTGAATTCCGACCTACTAGCATTCTCCCTACTATATCTAAAGTGCTAGAAAAAGTTGTTGAGAAGCAGCTTGCAGATTTTATAGCTCGGCACAATATTCCACCTCCAACGCAATTGGGCTCTAGTTTGTGATGATATATTTCAGGCAAATGATGTAGGCCTGAATACCTGCTTAATATGTGTGTTGCAGTTTTTCAAAAGTTACTTTTCTGATCGGTGTCAAAGAGTATTTTTCAATAACAGCTATTCTCCAGTTATGTAAATATTTGCAAAGGTGTAGCACAGGGTAGTATTTTAGGTGCGATGCTGTTTTCCGTTTATACCTCTGACTTCTGTAAATTTATTAAGCATTGTTCTTCCCATTAGTACACAGACGACACTCAAGTATTATTAATTAATACCGCAGTTAATAATATAAACAGTGACCTAAGTGCTCTCAGTGATATTTCTAGTAAGCATGGTCTGTTACTTAACGAAAATAAGACGCAACTTATAATTTTTGGCGAAGCTTCATTGATCCAATCGTTTTACAAGTTTCGGATTCCTTAATTCTCTCCTCAATTTCATACTGTATTGTAATTTACTGGCCTGCCCTACTTCAAAAGGACAAGGTTAGTCTTCAGCGTCCTCAGAATGCCTGTCTCAGATTCTCATATATCAATCGTAAATTTGATCACATATCTACTAACCTAGAGGATTCTCGCTGGCCAACATTAGACGAACGTTTTAAATCGCTGCTTTTAGTCTTAATTAAAAAAGTAATATCTCTCGAACGAACGACGTATCTTTTTGACACACTTACTCGTGGATCAGATATTCGTTCAGTAAATACTCGCCATAAGTGGCTGTTTACCGTTCCCAAACATACTCCAGCACAGTTTCGGCGCAGTTTCACGTACAATGCTATCAAGGCTTACAAACAAACTCCTTCTCCAACTTAGATCAATCACCTCAGTAACTTCATTCAAACAAAAACTTAAACAATACATTTATCATAATAGAGACCAATCATAAAACTAGTAACTAACAAATTGTATATATGTATTTTTGTATATATGTATTTCTTTTTTGAATTCAATTTAGCAGTGTTAAAATTGTTAAAATTAAAAATTATTAAAAATGTTTTTTTTTCTCCACAATTTGACTCTACCATTTTGAATAAATGTCTATGTAATTTATCTGCTATATTTTATTTTATAAATAGTGGTCATATGCTCGTTTCAGGGGGTTGCATGAGAGCAACTATGTTGGATGCCGCCCCCACAGTTATATATTTTTGTAAGATATCTCGTTCGAAACCGAATAAAGGTCCTTTATTATTATTATTATTATTACTACCTAGTGAATATATTCCTGATGTTTTGCAAAAAAGTACCCAAAAACTAACAATCTTAGAAAAAGTGTATAGTAAGCAACAATAGGTTTACCAATGTCTTCAAACCAGTGCTTCCTTATTTAATACTGGCTCAGCTCATGCTTAAAGTGTCGTTTATAAGATCTGTTGCATAATATGCTATTATGAAGAATTACAATGATAATAACAATATAAGTAAAATTAAACTGAAATAATTCTATTCCATGTATGTTAAAAAAAAATAAATAAAAAATCACAGAATAGCACTCATGTGTATCCTCTTTAGCATTCAATACCAGTAATACACTGATAGTTTTACTTTTTAAACCCCAGAAATAAAAAATGGTTGTTGTTAAAAAAGGTGTAATAATTCACTATTATTTACAAGTCACCTGTATACAATCTAATTAAACTAAGTCAAATATCCACGGGTGGCGGAATTACCTGTTCAGAACCTTCAAACATAGAGCCTCTCTCAATCAGTTCTCTCATTCTCATAGCTTCAGATTTGGATTTGGAATATTCATACCTACACTGTATCCAATACCCCATGGTTATCATGCACATGGAGTAAACTGAGTAGTTCAGAGACTTGACTGATTTGCTGGTGCAGATAAAATGGACTAACCCAAATGCTAATCCGCCGCCAATTCCATAGAGAAAACTGTCTCGAAAACAGGGTATTTTTGAGAGGTCTCGACCAAACAGAATTAAACCCTGGAACCATAAACGTAAATATTATCTATAAAGTTGCTAAATCAGCCAATTTACATTTTCCTCCCCAATGTCCTTTGGATCAATTACCATTTTAACCTTTATCCCAAAATAAACTTACAATTTTGAAAATACAGGTTAGACTCAAAATTCTTCTTCTATTCGTTTCATCAATTATGTAAAAATGAGTTATTTATCTATGCTCAACAATCCATCTTCACCACTATTTTCTATAATTAAGCGTATCCCGAAATTTGCTAAATTACCGTATTTCTAATGCGCATACAAAGTGGTGCAAGTAAGATTATTATGTTTGGTACTTGGATGTTGACACGAAATAGTATAAGTGTGGTAAACAGCATTTGATTAACGAGTATATTTGGCACGCGGGGCGAAGCGAAGGGAGTGTTTATTAAATGAAACATTTAACAGTCACATAGTAAGACAATTAACAGAGTCATAGACACATATATTTCCCATAAAGAGACCGAGACCGGAATTGTCATACCGTGACATCTACCAACCAGTGATTAAAATAGCCGAAAACTGGAATAAAGAATTCCAATTTTTCTTTTGTACTAAAAAATAAGGTTAAAAATAATATCCGCAGTGACAGTATGCGGAATGCGTCGCTCGTTTCTGATGTTATGGTTTTTGTGTGTAGTGTTTTGTCCTTGTGAAATCTGTGAAAATTTTCAGGATTAAATCCGTGATGTGTAAAGTTTCGTATTGCACATTCCTTAACTTAATAATCACTGATCTTTGAATTCTTTTTGTAATTTTGATAATCTCTTTAGGTAAGACATCCAACAATATAGAAAATAGGTGGGGTTCAGACAAATTACAAATATTTGCGAAAGTTTATCGCTGAACATCAATCTAGCTATTTGATCGTTATTTATATTAGATTAAGGGATTAATTTAACAGCGCGTATTATTTTTAGACCATTAACAATACTGACCTAGTAGTTTTATTTGAACATTCAGGATCCTTGTGATTCTCATTTTAGTTAAACTGTATTAAAATCAGAACTAGCCTATTTGGCAAAATTAGTGTAATAAATAATAAAACCAGAAGATTTCGTGCTCTTTTAAAACTTCAGAGGATTATTTCTGTGCAAGGGAGCTAGCTAGTGTAGGATGTCGAAGGAACTCATGAAACTTTCCCTTTGAAATTAGTTGAAGCAATGAATTCTAACCTTTCAGAGATTTTAGTACATTCTTTAAAGAAAAAAAATTACAATTTTCATTTGTTCAAACCTGTATGTTGAAAACACAAACTTGTAGTATTACCAATATTGTTAGGACTCCATTTTCCTTATTTTTTGCTTAGGGATTTTTTAAAGCCATGTTAATTTTGTTAAATTTTAATATTTTTTCAGTTTATTTTGAATTTGTACTTAATGTTTGTTACAGGTGTTTAAAGTTTGTAAATTGCAAACCCGAAATGGACCATTTTCTGTTGGATCCCTATGAGCAGCAACTACTAAAAGTATTTGATAGTCATGACAGAGGTAGCAGTGGTAGTCTGGATTGGGAAGGCCTTACTCAGTTATGTCAGACACTACAACTTGAAGATCAAACTTCTGAATTAATTCGATGCCTTCTTAAAGACAAACAGTCTCGAGTTACTTTTATAGAATTCAAAGATGCCTTGCTTGCCCTGCTCGGCAACATGCAAAACAATAAAAGCCATGAGAGTCCTAAAAAGGAAGTCGGCAAGAGTTCTCCTGATAGAGAAGTTTCACCAAAATTCGTTTATGGAACAAAGAAATATGGAAGGCGTAGTAGGCCTAGGTCTGACGAAGTTACCCCTATTTTTAGTGAAGAAAATGATTTGTCTCAAAGCAAAAGTTTATTAGTCCAACGGTCAAATTCTCAGAGTGAAGTTTCCACTAAAAAACGGAAAACAAATTATAAATTAAAACGCTGTACTTCTTTGCCAGGCTGCAAAGATTTAGATACATCAGAGAGAGATTTTATAACATCTAATTTGGTGAGTGAACCAGAGTTGGTGTGCACAGAAGAAATGCTTAGGGAGGCATGGAAAAAACTGGGAGTTGGAGAGGATGGTTATTTAAATAAGAGTGAGCTAGTTTCAGTGTGTGATGCGATTGGTTTACATAAGTTAGCTGATGGTGTACTGCGGCAACTATCTGACAAAGTTTCTCTCAATTATGATCAGAAAATCAGTTTTAATGATGTCCTCGGAGCTATACAGCAAGATGAGACCTGGTTTGATGTTCTTAATGAAACAACAAATAATAATGAGGCAGTGAATGTAAGATGTTCGACTGAGGAATTGTTTCCTGACTCAAGAACATTCCATTATATCACTTTAGGGCCAGACGGTAATGGTATAATCAAAGCAGATATACTGATTGAGATGTGGGAAAATGTGGGCATCCATTCACCAAAGGAACTTATTCATGAACTTGGATTTAACACACGAAAGATCAGCATTTTTGACTTGGCTGACGTTTTAGAAAAACAAACTCGGGCTATAAATGAAAGCACCCGTAGCCAGTACCAGAATCCACATGTGACCTTGCTTCAGGCTAATTTATGTCTGTATCAGTCGGAAATAAGGTGTTTAAAGAGTATTCTGGAACAGTTACAGGCAGAGCGTGAAAAATTAAAATGTGATGTAGTAGAAGCTAACAACAGAGCCACTTTACTAGCCCAAGAGGTAAATATTATAAATTCTATAATATTTGTATTAGAAGTTTTTCAAAATTAAGAAAAAAATTTGTCCTATTAAAAATTCCTTGACACTACAGAAAAGGATCTAAATAGAAAGAAAATAAAATTATGAAAGCTTTAGATGAACACAAAGTCTTTGCATTTGGTTAAATATGTATTTGTTTTCAGGTAGATGACAATCACTCCAAAATGGAGCAAAGCGCTATCAATCAGGTTAGACTATTGGAGCAGCGTCACGCCCACATGCTTAAAGATATAACTTCACAATTTGCCAGGGACAAAGATCAGCTGACATCAATAAATCAGTCCCTGGAAGAGCGCATCTTGTCTCTTGAAATGGAAACCGCAAAGCTTAAAAACGACCTGTGCATAGCCCAAAAATATTCCCTAAATGTGGAAAAAGAGAACCACATGCTATCCTTTCAAATAACTGATCTACAGAAGGATAAAGAAATGCTGACGTGTCAAATAGAAATGCTGGAAACTGAAAAGCAGACTGTTCGAGATGAAGAGAGGGAAGAGAATGAGATACTGTTAGCCAAATTGTCGGAGTTACAACTGAAGAACTCCGAATTAAAAGACAAGAATGACGAGATGGAATCCGAGATTGAGACTCTTACTAATCAGGTGATGAGCATGAAATCAAAAGCCTCCAGCACTCCGACAAGAAGTTATAACACTCTTGATCAGTCGATGGACGACAGCATCTTGGTAACCTGTGAAGGAGTCGGAGTGGGATCTAAGAGACGAAGCGATTGTTCTCCTAGCAAGGACGTTCATCTTTTGAGGATGAGTAAGTTTTTTTTAGTTGAAATTATCCACTTATAAATAATATGTCTGAGATCAAGTTATGCGCCGACCTAAAAGGTGCTGTTTTAATATAGTAATTTTGAAATTCTCTTTAAAATATTTACGACAATCTTGGTCCAAATATTATTAGAACATGTCTAGTATTATTTGTCCACATACAGTTAGTTTAAAACTGAATAACCATTACAAAAACTGGCTGTCAAAAACATGGATTTATCTGTTTTATCAAGGTAAACTTTAGTTTCGAATCGTTAAAAATATTCCAAATATAATAAATATGATTTACAAAACTTCTGGATTCCTCCTCCGTCGATTGTTGTTGAGTTGAACTTGCTAACGTTTCGCCAACTATCCTGTTGGCTTCTTCAGAGCTTAACTAGAAACAGCTCGCATTTTACTCTGTACCGGCTTATATATTGTTTGAGGTGAGAGAAGCTGAAGGAGGGGTTTGAACATTGTTTCGGATGACTGATTCCTGAACCTGCGTCTCGGTTAAGATTGGTTGCTTATAGATTTCTATAGGCTCTCGGATTTTTTGTTGGTAGAACAAAATTTTGTGTCCGGTTTCATGAGAATGTTCGGTAACTGCTGATGATTTTATTTGTCTTAGTCTTAAGGCTCTTTCATGTTCTTTGACTCTAGTTGATATTTTTCGTCCGGTCTCTCCAATGTGTATTTTGCCGCATATGCATGGAATCCGGTAAATTCTTGATATCTCAAATGGAATTTTGTCTTTGATGGATCGAAGATGTTGAGAGATTTTTGGACAAGTGGTAAATCTCATTTTGGGATCGCTTTTGGGCTCATTGCTATTGGAAGGTTGTGGTGAAATGTAGTTTGTGATGGGAAGTGACTCTGGTTGAGATAATTTTACGGTTCTATAAACAAGAGAGTTTGATAACAGATGATTTTTGGGCCGGATGGTGATGTAACAATGTATTAAGGTATCAGTGACAATGTTAGGTCTGATTTTCTATTGATAAGGATATCTAAGAATGGGAGGTTATGACTAGTTTCGAATTCAGTGGTAAAATGTATGTTAGGATATAGAGTTTAAATGTTTAAGAAAATGTACTTGGGATTCTTGTAAGTGAGGCCAACAACAACCGACATAGGAGAAATCTACAAGTTTTGTAGTACCCTGTGGAAGTTTCTTAGAAAAATTGTAATGATAAATATATGTCAAAGTAAAAATGACACAGGAACAGAAAACTTTTTAAAGATATTAATTGCTTTAGTTTATTTTGCTCTTATTTATTGTAATATATTAAATATAATTTGACGCCTCGGCTGTCACATATCCTATAAATATTGTCACTGTGAAACTAATTTTTTGGCAAAGTAAAAAAGAAACAATTTTTTTATTCTTCTCCTATTCTTACATATTTTGAGCAGCACTGTTTCGTTCCACTTATTGGATTGTTGTTTATTGTGATTACAGTGCCTCTGGAATTGTTAACTTGGTTACTTAAATGAAATTTGGTATTCCTGATATAGCGGGAAATTTCCTGCTGGCTCCAAGCCACATCTTCGTAAATAAACATAGATAGATTGGTTACTGTTTTCTCTAAAACCCTGTATATTATGGTTATCCCATAAACTTGATTGCACAGCATTTAATATATTCCTTGGCGACATATTAGGTAAATATTAGCATACTGGTCAGTATAATCTAGCGCGTGTTTTTTTTTCTGTTCGTTCATGGCCGACTTCTTAATATTTAGCGTGAAATACATACCGCTCATTCTGTTAAACAAATTCTTGGCATATAATTAAAAAAAAAAACAAAACATTTCGCGGACAACAAAATAATTTTATTTCAATGAGTTTGCTTTGATATTCAGTTATTTTTCCCATGTGCAATACAAGTTTGATTATTCCAATATTCTATTAATTTTAACTCATGTTCTAAATAAGCAGAATTTAGAATTTCTCAAACTTGATTTAAATTGCGATTGTTTTATGAGTTTCAATTTTCGTTTGTTTTTGATTTTAATTTTATTAAGAAAAAATTCACCCATCCTCCAAATACATGAATTAAATAAAAATAATATACAGGGTGTTCCATTAAAACAAAGTAGGTATGATACACTTTTTCTGAGAGCAGCACCGAATCATTTGAGTGAATTTATATGAGGAACAATTACGTTATATATATAAAAAAATTAAACATTTATTCGTTGGAACTTTTACAGTAAAAAGTCTGGTTTTGTATCTAATCTATTTGTCGGTCCAATAAAAATATTTAAACAATTTTAAGTTACTGCTTATCATACTTTCTAACACGGCCCATTTTACAAAATGTTTTGTATGAGTTTACGAAATTCCTCATATTTTTTTCACATTTTGGCAACAATATTTCTTTCTTTCATGATAGGGCATCAATAATACCGATGTAGAAAACTTCACCTCCCTAGGCTCAAGTTTCCGTTAAGGTCTCTGTTAACATCTTATTAATATGCTCTTTTTGCGTCCCTTCTCTTCCGGCACTGTTTTCTTGAATTTCTCTTCGCAAATTTTTAAGTAAGTAACCGTTTAATGAATTCACTTCCGATGGTAGGTGTACAAGAAGTGCCTTTTAACGTTTTTATCGAAAGAACAGACCATTGACTTTCTCTTGTTCGCTTTCCGCTAAAAAAAAACCTTTAATCCGTTTAAATACGCCGAAGGGAATAATGTCTCTTCGAGAGTTCCTACCTGCGACGGTCCACCGTTAATGCACGATTTACTTAAAAGCGCGCTAATGGGATATCATCGAAGCATTTTTGTTATTGTTTGTGTTTTTTATTTTAATTTTCTCTGTGTCAGATAATTGTAGGAGCTCAAATGTCAGTAATTTTGAACGCAAACATGTTCGAAAGAATCACTTAAAAATCTCACCCCTGTTATCTTTCAATATGTTTATTAAAGAACAAATATATTAATCTCAACGAAGGAAAAATTGAGGCGTTTATTTGAAAAACAACATATACCCATTTTAACCAGAAATTCACGTTATGCAGATTTATATGGTGAACGAAGAATTTTTTCATTTTTAATAAAACAAATTTAATGTTCAAAAACGTTTCTCTACGTCACACTTAGTCGTAAACACCCTAACAAAATTAGAATCATTAGCAAGCAGATTCTCTATATTTTCTCAAATTTGGCTTTTTAGATATACGCTGTTTTTCAAATAACGGCCTCAATTGTAAGCGTAATTATATTTTTATTCTAATTTATTTATATAGATCGAAACAACAAAGATTAGTTCAAATTTTAGCACTTAACAAATATGCATCATGTGGAGATTTTATGCATTTTATGTATGACTGCTGTATAATTTGATAAACGCCATTTTGGTCACAAGTTTTATTTGGCACGAGCGGAGAGCAGCGGAGTAAATATTTAATAAACGAGTGATTGCGCTTTATCTACTTTTTTTTTGACAACTACTTTTTGGGTACATTTTTACAAAACAGCACGAATACGTCAACGAGTGATATGTAACTTGATCATCAGAATTGACAAACATCAAAATACAATGACTAAAATATACCAAAAACATGCGATCGCTGTCAAACACGTGACTAAAGTATCGCGACCGTGGGTAATGAAGAATACGACTGAAAGTGAAACTTCCGCACGATTAATACGTTCATAGTTGTATATTTTAGAGTTAGGAATAGATAATTAATATTAATCATATAACTATAAATAAAACACGTGAACAAGGAAACCATTATTCAGTGGCGATTCACAGGTTCCACGAACATCTAGATTAAAATTCACTTCAAATTTAAAAAATCTTTAAGTCCAATTATTAATTAAATTAAGAGAAAATGATAAATGGGTAAAGTAGAGTATGACCATACATTGAAGGGTATGGCCATTATTCACTCATATCACTTACTCCTAAGGCTCGAAACGCAAAAGTCAGCCTACGTGAATAATGGCTATCATAAATTGCTCGTTTAATAACATGCTATTAACAACACATGTGTACAAGTTTTTTGTGCCCGTAGTGTTAAAAATAATAAAAAAATCCAAATATTACCACGTTTTCTCGCAGATTTACTTTATTTCGTTGAATAGTGAACGATTCATTTCAAATTAAATTTAGTCTAGAAGTGGATATAACCCAAATTGAAAAAATCCACTTGAGCAAAGCAAATGTAATAGCAAAAGTCCAATATTTTTAATTATGTTAAATAAAAGCGCACGTATTTTCTACATACTCTTTTGTCCCACGAAGATTCATTTATGCCATTAGTGAATTAAAAAACTGCTGGGAAGCAAGATATTTGTTGTGTACTTAAAACTGCAAAAAATGTGCGGTAAAAACAAAGTAACAACACATTTGTTCCGAACTTGAACAAGTACCCGCAGTTGTATTTAAATTTACGTTTTTTACCACATAACCGTTACGAATAATTGTTTGTTTGACCGCTAAATGTACAACGGTACTCATATGCATTAAGTACCGACACTATTGCCCATTTAATGTATTTAGGAATAAAAATGTGAACAAACAGTTAAAGAAAGATGTTAAAATATTTTGAGTGTAAAATGTGGTTCAGAAAATTCATCGAGCGCAGGTTTATCTATAACACATCCAAAGTATGGGAGGGGGGCATCTCATGTTTGCCATACTTTAGTAATTAGTATTAAACAAAAATATTGTAAGTGTAAGTGTATGGTAAATAGCCTTTTTTCAATGGAAATATTCTATTTTTTGAATTCTTATCTTATTCGCATTCAAAAAGTTGTAGATGTCGAAATATTAGCAATAACATTTATTCATTATAAAAACGTTGTGAAAAAAACAATCAAGCACTATATAAACGTTGTTATTAGAAACGTTGGCTTGTGGTTTTAAAAATCAATGTTTGACAGTTTTATCCCACCTAACTTCATCGTTCATGTTATAATTATTTTAATACAAAAAATAATCCCACGTCTATAAAACTTTTTGAAAAACAACTAAATGATGGAGAAAATGCT